AAACCTTTTCGAGTGTGACACCCTGCGGACCGATAGTGGTCGGCTTCCAGCCAATCACGAGAGGTTTTTCTTGTTTTGGCTCCTGCTTGACCTTGGCTGCGCTTTTCGACGACACAGCAGAGGACGACGACGAAAAGGATGTGTAACCGACGTTGTTGCTCACGGACTGGCCTAGCAGCAAGAAAAGGTCGCCGCACAGGTAGGCGTCGTTGAACGACTTCGATTCCGGGCTGGCGGTTTCGACGAAAACCCGATAGAAGCACTGGGCTCTGCAGGCGTCGATGAAGTCGATTCTTCCGATGTCGTTGAAAATATCCTTGTCAGAAGTAGTTTTTAGTTTATAGCTCTGCTCTTTAAAACTGGGAAGCCGGATTGACATCGAGTTTTGTTGGTCTTCTTTTCACAGTACAGCGGATGCTGAACTTTGTGAAAATAAGTTTGTTCTTCTTGAAAGCTCTTAGAGTCGTGAGTTTTACGTCTCAGCAACCGGCTGGGACGACGGGGCTTATTTTTCGAAAAAAGACGGGGTCTTCTTCCTAGCTGTTCTGTTTTTGTTGAATCGGATTGGATTTTCTGCTGCTGCTCGCCAAGACTATTTCCAAAACAAACAAACCGAGACTATTTTAGGTTGTTTTTGTCGACTTGTTTTCGATTCTGGTTTTCGATTTCTCGCCCTCTTCTTCGAAAATAAACGCACCGATCGCAAGCTTTTGTTTTCTCTCTTTCTTCGATTTCGATTTCGAGACAGAAACTGCATGACTACTGCTTTTCTTCATCCGCTCCTACTACTTTTTCTTGTTCAAAATCGACAACCAACGTTGTTTCAAATCTAGTTCGTTCTTCCTATTTGCAGGCTATGCAAATCTTCTCCATTTTTACTCTTCAGCATAGTGTCCCGAACGTTTTCCAAACCGGGATACGGCTCGCGTCGTCCGAGAAAGAAAAGCTCCTTGCTGATCATTACGTAAAGAAATCAGTACTCGTGGATCCGGTTAATTCCCGATAACTCACCACCGTTGTCATCGGAAAGGGTCTCGTCTTCTAATCTCCTTGCTATTTTTCTTGCGCGTTTTCTTCTCTTCCGTTTCTCTTGCTGCGCGCCGTTTGGTGACTCGGATCTACAGTTTTTCCGGTCCGAAATCCTCATCCAGGAGCCGACAGGAATGGTGTCTTCTGCTTCTTTTGCATAACTGCGACCGGTTCTTCTTTCGACTAGTTCACTCATTACTCGATTTTCGACTCCAATTGGTTTTATTTGGATAATCGCGAACCTTGCTCGGTGTCTTCGAAAGAATTTACCGCATTCGATCTTGTAGTCTTTTAATTCGCAGCTGTGCATGTCAGTTTTGTCTTCCTTGCTGTTCCTGTTTCGCCTAGGACGCGGCAATGTGCGATAGTAGAGTGGAAGTTCTTCTAGCTTTTTATTCTGCTGTCCTAGAAGAAGTTGTTCTTGTGGCGGTTTCCGTATCACCATCGGCCTGTACTCCCAGCTCCTTATACACAACATTTCTCTTGCTAGCTGTGTAGATCTTTTCGCGCGACTCCGAGACTTCGGCTGCTACCGTCGCACCAAAGAAGTTCAATGCTGTTAAGTCATCAACCGGAAAGATTTCTTCTTCGGGTTGAAGATCGGCTGGAAGTAGAAGAACATGCTCTTTGCGTGGAGATTTTTCTTCATCCGGTTCGTTTGAATACCAGAGAGGACGAAGTGTAGCTACGCTAATGCTCGACATTTCTTCTTAACTGCTTCTTCTCCTTTTTTGCTGATTCCCGGTGCTGCTCGTTGGCGCCAGGATAGATGTAGAAGAAGACGACGATGAGGAGCTTGAGGAGCCAGACGAAGCTGCGTTCAAATTTACAACGGGCACTTCTGGACAGACAAGAAAAGCGCCGTCGTCTGCGTATGTGAAAATTGACGTATGAGTAGCTGTCAGGGTGCGGCTCCTGCTTCGTCCTCTCCTCGTGAGCGTATCTGCGATGTTGCTTGCGCTCTGGGCAAGTAGCGTAGCGGCGTTTCTAAAAGGATTGTGACTATTTCGTAATCTTCCTTTTCCGCTTGCTTTAGGCTCAAACTCTGGCTCGTTTTCACTTGCTGCTTCTGCCTCTTCCGGATCGTCTTCCGGTTCCGGTAAGTTGAAGGCTGGGTCTCTTGCTGCTTGTCTTGCTTCTCCCGAGTCTGTTTGTACTGTGCTCCCCTGATTTGGTCGCGCAGAGTCGACTTGTGATCTACCAATGTTCTCGCGTGGGTGATTGCTGTCGACTGACTCGTCCCTTCCTGGGCAGAAGTGGCAGTGGTGGCCTGACTCCCCGCAGAGAGTGCAAAACTTGAAACCTGGACAATTCCTGACGGTGTGCCCTTCACTTTTGCAGTTTGCACATGCGTAGGGGCACCGCGAGCGGCGGTGTCCGACTCTTAAGCAAAGAAAACAAAGATCGCAGGCAGCAGGTGGTCTTTCGCGGTTAGATTGGGCTCTTTCAATCCTTATACTTTCTCTCCTGGTTTCGATTCTACTGCTGCTGCTGCTCCGTGGCGCGACCTTTGATGGGCAGAGTCTGGTCTTGTTTGTTTTTACTAGTGCGCCTGGAACGCACCGAGCTAGAGCTTCAGCTGCTTCTCGATTCAGCACTTCGCATGCTGCTCTCGACACAACCGGAAGTTTTGCTCGTTCGCTGTCTGGAAGCTCGTCCGTCCCAGTTTCTAGCTTTCCAAGCGAATTCAGGTGACCGAGAAATTGGTTTCTAACTTCGTCAACGCGAATTTGCTCGGTAAGCAATCTTTTTCGCCAGATGTGGCCACCTCCAAACTCCTCGGACCGATCCAAATCCACAACCGCTGAGCGCTGGTAGTGTTCTTGTGGAATGCTGGACTCGAACAGAATCTGTTCGATGGGCTTCACGTCGTTGTATGCCGCAAATAAGCTTGCCACAGTGAAGCTTGGAGGAGAAGATGAACTGCTGCTTCCTCCTGCGGATGACGAACTTGCTGCTTGGTTGAAAGAAGACAAGGAGGATGAGCGCACGCTCTGAAAGCGCTTTACCTCGTACTTCCAGTCCGTGTATTTGTTTACTTGGTCAATTTCTCTTCTCCTCGCGGCCACAATAAAGCTGACTGCTGCTCTTCTTGTCGATTCTCGAAAGTCGCACGGATAGATGTCAAGATTCCGCACGGAGTTGTTGATCGAGTTTTCGCCTGTTTTTGGTACTGGAATTATTTTGTGGATTTTGTCCTTCAACTCCTGTGTTGGTACCACTGCGTAAAGGAATTCTTCCACTCTCCCCGCGTCCTCGTCTTCAGGATCCGGTACGTCGCGTACGTCCAGAACGATTGGTTGATGCGGGTGCGATCGTAGCAGATAGAATAAGAAGCAGGCTAGGTGTTCGTATTTCGAGATCGAGTCGTCAAATGGACGGGGATGGACTGGCTTCCAGTACAAGTCGAGATCTAGGATTTTCTCGTCGTTGATTCCTTTTTCTCTGCTCTTGTGCTGCGCCTTCGCGTTGTTAGTGACGTAGCTTTCTTTGAGATCGCATTTCTTCATCCCATACACTTTCACCGTAGGTACTTGGCAGCAAAGATCCCAGAGCTCGAACTTGACGAAGCCACCACCTTCATTCCACGTATCAGATAATTCTCCGTGCTCCTTGCTAAAGCGGTACTTCTTGTTGAAAAGCTTGGGCAGAAAAAGGGCGAAGTTATCTTTGCACTCTTCTTGACGTTGTTCTCGTCGTAAGCGATGACTGCGTAGTTGCCAGAAGGCCGGGGCTTCGATCAACTGGGTTGGCAAGTCGTCACGTCCGTAAGTTTGCGTTATCCAATCAGTCCCGTCTGTCATCTCGTTTTGCTCTTCTGGTACTGTTTTCGCTGATGCGGAATAAGTTTATCGCGGTGTTGATATTTCTTGGGGTTGCTGTTACCATTGTTAGACAGCTTTTCCTTCGATAAGCTTCTTCAAATCAAACCGCTTTCCAGGGCGGTACTTCGAAATAGAGGTTATTGGTTCTTGCTTTTTAAACATATTCACTCGGCTGATCATGTCCATTCGCGGTGCTTCTGCTTTTTGGTGCCCAAAATTGCTGCAGAAATGGCACGCACTCGTATTATTATTTCTGGATAATTGCTTCCACCGCTCGAGATTACTCTTCTTGAGCTCCCGACGGGAATTCGGCATTTCTTCTGGTAAAGTTTTAGTAGAGAAAGTTCAGGCTCGTGCAGCACCCGCGTGCTGCCCACTTGGTTCAAGTCAATTTTCTTCAAAAAACCGGCTAAAATTTTCGATGAAGGGTTTTATTCGAGCCATCCGCAAATTTCTTATTCGCTTTTGTTCGACGAGTTTTACCTTTTGCGAATTCTCTCTTTCCGATACGAATCAATCGATAGCGAGCAAGTGCATCAATTTCGATAGGTATCGTCTTCCACGACCTCTCGTGCTCCGAGATGTGCAACTTCAGGTCGATCGTATCACCATAGACTGCATCCCCGTAGTCTACTGCTTGCTGGATCGCGTCTGCCGATCCGAAAAAGTTATGGTCATAAGTTTTGCGCTTTGACATTTTTGAAAGAGAGTCTAGTAATATTTCATAAGTAATTTACATAGTTAATTTCTTTTGTTCCCCTTATTTCTCCGCTGACTCCATGCATATGGATGCAGGTAAAACCTGCTCTCCGCTACCATTGCTGAAACGGAAATCTTTCCGTTTGCACATGGATGTTATCAAGGAACGATTGTCAGCGGAGAACACCATCGTGACTTAGCCGCACGCGAGCAAGTACACCTTGCGAGCAAAATACTTTACCAGGTCAGCAACACGTAATAAACAAAAATCCGGGTCCTTGAGCCACGAAGGCAGGTTTAGTTAAGTCCATTGAATATTCATGTAGTTTCTAGTTAGGTTAGTAAACGTTGTACGAAGACGAGTAGACGTGCACGTATACGAGTTTTCAGTACGAACGATAAACATAACGTGCGAACCGATTCCCTTGACAACACCCATTCTGCAGACAGAAATTCTAGTTTACAATTTCGCATTATCTTTTGTAAGAGACATCGCTCTTCTTTGAAACGAGCAAGTATTTCTTAGAAGATGTTGTGTAGGTCTCTCCTCCTGCACGGCGAGGAGGATCACTGTGGATGTCGCAAGACCATCTCCACCGCAAAAAAAGCAATTGAAGCTGCCTCTGTATGCTACAGAAGATAAAAAAAACTGCATCATCTGATCGGCGCGATGAACTAAAGTGGGCCACGACCGCCCGTTGATCGGTTGACCACCAAAACCACCGTGGGTAGTAGTTGCTCAAGAAACCCTGTTCACATGATCTCGATCTACTTCTCGTAGATCATGTTCGTTTTCGTTGTCGTTATTTGCAACTACTTATGATCACGGAATTCGAACAAAAAACGCGGAACCCACTGCGAGGACATGATGCTGCCGGTTTGATGATCCTTGCTTTCATCTCATCACAACCTCCTTAACTTTTCCCATTTGTCCATGCTCCTGCCTGTCTGGCCTTTGATCAAGACAATCTTCAACTTTTTCCCGTTCCGCAGCTTCCAGCTCGACTTCCCCGGGTCGATGTGCCCCCACAGTTCCCGACAGAGGAAAACGTAGTTCTTGGAAGTAGAAGATGTTGCAGCGCCACTCCCCGTAGCTTGTCGTTCTTCCGCTTGTGGTTGTCCTTCAGCAGCAGCAGTCGCGTTCTTACTCCGCCTCCCTTCGATTCGCACCTCCATGCTGCGCTCCGAGAACCACACGACAATTTGTTGATCGGAAATGGGACGAACTGCTTCCACTTCTGGAATCACGATCTGCACGTTCACTTTGGAGTCTAAGTTTTCGAAGTAGATGTTTTCGGACGGGATTTCCGTCCACGGCTGATTTTCCCTGATCCATTGCTCCCGCTCCTCTATCGTTTCCAGCAAGCGGCCCACCTGCGCGTCTTTTTTGTCGCTGTAGAAGGAGCCGAGAAGGGGCTGGATGGACAGGTCGATGTTGTCCGAGTTGATGTTTGAGGGCTTTTTCGAAGTCGCGCCGGAGGTACTAATTTTCGGTTGCGGTTTTCCATTACCCCCCTCCGGCTTTTGCGGTTCTGCTTTCGTGCTGGACCTTCTCTCCTGTCGCGGCGACTCTGGCGGGAGGAGTGTCTCTGTATTTGCCTTCACAGCTTGAACTTCATTCTTCTGGTGTTTGAAATCCACTTCGTGACGCGGTGATCCAGCATCCTGCTTCGGCATTTCGAAGTGCTGCTGTGGCGCGTCAACCGCACTTGACCTTCCATTCTGCTCGTCCAAAGAGCTGGCTGTCATGATCGTGGTTGTATTGATGAATGGTCGAAGCGAGGTATGTACGCGTTCTAGTAGAGCAGAGGCAAACTCAAACTCAAAAGCTGGAACGTACGAAATTCCTTTGTGCATATGTATACACACAGACCTTTATCTTGATCCTAGTTCATCAGCGCGTTTCGGTTAGACCAAGCACGACACGATGAAATCAGAACAGAAACGGTCGCCACAGGGATGTTCTAGAAGACGCCCTCCTAACATGAATAGGCATCTTCTAGAAGAGGCAACACGCGCTTCTTCAGCGTCGAATACCTGCTGCAGCAGCGCAGTTAGTTTGAGTTGCAGATCTTCGATTTTTTCAGTACGCGAGAAGAAACGTCTCGGGTGAGCTTTCCTATTCAACAGCGACTTTTCATCTATTTTGACACCAGCAAGCTTGTGCGAGTTCAAAAAATCTATCTTTTTTGTACATTGTTGTCAAGGAGTCCAAGGTTGTGTCAATGATAATCTCTCTTTTACTTCTATCTAATTCAGTTTTCTGGTTCAACTAATAAATTTTTCGTCATTTTGTACATTTTGTGATTTTGGCGTCAACACCGCCGTCGCATCCCTGATCCAGGTCGGCAACCCGCTGCAGGCGCGGTAGCGGAAGAGGGGGAGGTGGTTCTTTTTTTACAAGAGAGCATCGGAAAAAAAGCGAAAGTCGGTAAACAGCCGGAACGTTTTCACCGCAACTGCACTGGACTGGTCCCGCCGCCTGGTCCTGCCCCTGGGGGTTGTATTGTCGGTGATGCTACTGCAGTGTCTGCAGCTCTCCCACGGCCCGACGGACTGCGGCTACCACGACCTGAGGGTTTTGTAAGTTGAATTTCACTTATTCAGACGTATTTGAACTGCCACATACAACGACTTCACGCCCAAAATTCAGAGTTTTTTCCCCTGATGGCCCCAAAAGACCCATCTGTACCTCCTCCCTTTGGGCTCATCACCAACGCCCGGTCTTGCAATGGTGGTTCCAACGGAGGTTGCTCTTTGCTACCGGTTGTGCCGTTTGTACTCGATATACCGAAATAAACGCCCTCGTACGGAATAAGCAGCTACACACCATGTCTAGCAGGACAAACAAAATGAAACATGAATGCCAGCGCCCATAGAGAGCTGCGCCTCACCCCGTACAGCCATGAGAGGCTGGCAACGCCCGCGGCGCCTGGCCCGCCCGTTCGGTGCGGGGCAATGATGAACAGTTTGCCCCTTTTCCCGACACCTGCGTCATGCCTGCGCTTTTTTGCGACCTGCCAATGCCCCGGCCACAAAAAGAGAGGGCAACGTCGAAAGCAAAGCCACGGAAGAACCAAACATCCCCTAGCCCTTTTTCGAGGCAAGCAGGACGGAGCGAGCGGCGCTTTCGCGCTTCCATCCTCCCATCCAATTGTGCCAATACGGCACGGGCAGCACCCATGACAGGGAACTGCCCCACACAGGCAAGGACGAAGTAAACGAGCACCAGCGCCACCCCATGACTATGTAGCCCCCGCGCAAGCACCAAATAGAAGCCCTGCCCAAGAGAACGGCGGCGCCCACCCCCACAGGCTTCTTCTGTTATTTCCACAAAAAGCAGCGCCGCGATTTGTGGAACCAGCGGCGCAGCGCGCGCGGAAATTTTCGCTCACTCCGCACGACCTACCCATGCGTAGTACGGAGCCAAGAATCCTGTTTCTTGAGACACCCTCGGCGCGGCGGGCCCTGCGCACCTGGCATGTCAGGTGCGCAACAGTCGCCGCGCCGTCAACCAGAAAGAACGACTTGAAGGCACTACGCAACCAAGAGACGGAAGCCGGCAGACCAGCCGCAACTTGCAACGCCCTGCCTCGCAACAAGATGTTGGCAGGCCAACGCGCTTGCTGAGGCGGCTGCGAAAAGTGTGAGCGTTTCGGGTTCCCTCCATCGCACTACGCAGCGCAGACAGTGGGTGGGGCGCAGGCCTGCCCACGTTCCACGGGCTTGGGCTTTGGAAACTCCCTTCGGGGGCCAACATCAATCTGCAAACCCAAAGAAACGGCCCACTAGTTACATTCATAGGCCGGCGCGGCGGATGCGTCCGTGGTGAACCCGCAATGGTGGTTCCAATGGAGGTTGTTCTTTGCTACTGGTTGTGCCATTTGTAGTCCCGCCCCGGCCATTCATCCTGCTCCTCCTCCTACTCTCCACGATTTCCTCTACGGATTCTTCCCAAGTCGCCAAAAACGCTTCCCGTAACCTCGGTAAATTTCTCGCGAACCGGTCGTCAGAGAATTCCCTGTGGAAATCCCGCAGCCAGAGTTCGAACGCCCCGTGGTCGGTTGGCTCTGCGGTGTTGTGAACACTGTCCGGGCTGGTGAAAAAGTTGATGATCGAATGGCGGACCACACCGGAGTAAGACGTGGTGACGCCGGGGTGAGTTGTTGTGCTAGAAGGTCCGGAACTAGAACTAGAAGGAAAGGCTTGTGACCCCCCAGGAGTAGTAGGCGTGCCATTGTTCTGGCTGTTGCGCCTCAAAGGCTGGGAGGGAAAGTTCTGCTCGCATTCGATGGTGTGCGCTTCGATGGCTTCGGTGTCTGTTTTGGAGTTGGTTTGTCATGCAGAGAGAACGTCGCCCATGATCCACTGCGCATCTTCACGACGCATGCTTCAATATTAATCGCATGCCAAACAACCCTATACCGAGAGGCAGCCTCGCGCCGCACCGTCCGCATTTGGCTACTCCAATCGCGTCAAGCGGTGTGTCGAAGTCCAACCCGTCTAGGCTGTGCCCCCCGGATCTGTTGTTCGGATCATTTTCCTCATCCGTATCTATCAAATGTAGAAATGTCTGGGTCTGGAAGATTGCAACTTGTCATGCTGTTTTTGGACTGTAAAAAAGTGTGTATTGCATGACAAGCAAGAGGGGTACAATTTGTGCTACACGGACAGGGCATTTCTCATGCGGAAGGTGCATCAGGAAGCCGTCTGAAAGTCTGCGACGCTAGGTCACGCATTACAGGCATCCTGGGTCGTGAAAAATATGCATGACAAATCTTGCATTCTTCCAGACCCAGACATTTTTACATTTGATAGTATCCCCGTCCATGCTAAACTGCTGCGCTTCCTGCGCGAGCCCATTTTGGTCAAGGGCGGTCAGGGAAACGAAACCGGACGGGTCTGTTATCGTTGGATGTGGCTGCAATTGTGAAAAATTTGCCAGTTTGTTATGCATCAAACAGCTGACAACGGACATTTATATTGCAGTTTCCACGACGCTGCTGCATGTGCATCGAATACGAAATCATAATCAGTACTGCTCTGCGGTGACGTCGCATACACCGCTCGATCCAACTTTTCCTTTAGCGCATTCCGCTCGTTCTGGGCTATCTGCAGTTTCTTCTGCTGGTCAAAGACTGCCTGTTTGCGGAGCTGCAGCTCCGTTTCCTCCACCTTGATTTGCTCTTCCGCGTGGCGGAGCTGGGTCTGGAGGAACTCGACTGACAGGTGTTCACCATCTTGCTCGGCATGATTTGGATTTTCTGGAAGAAGTCCGGTGGGCGAGGTGGCCATAATTTTTTAGGGTGTAAAAATTTTTCGGTAAGTAGGTGTAGTTCGCTCATTCGTTTTTGCGCGGATGAAGGGCAATACGCTCGTTGAGAAGTGACCTAGTTGAGGACTCGTGCCTTGAGATGGTCTTCGTGGCACAGATTTTTTTTCTGAGATGCAGTGATTGAGAACACGCCGGCAGAGGGCAAATAGGTATTGGGAACGGGGTGAGGAAGCTGCTTATAATTTTTCGGTAAACGACACAAGTCAGAGTCAGTAGAAGAAATTTTTTGCCTAAATTACAGTCATGCGACTTCTCATGGCCCCAAAAAGTTTTAGAATACATGTGACGAAACAAATTGTAAACAGCTTACCGCTCAGAAGTCAAAGCCTATATGAAAATTCAAGTTGTAAAGCTAAACCAACGTTTTATACTGTGAATCCAAACAATAAATACTCACTGAAAAACCGAACGAAAACTACCTGCTGAAATCGTATTCTGATAAAATTTGAAAACGTTGTGCTGTTGAATAACCGGTAATTTTTGTAAAGAAAACTTGCCGTAGCAGAAGCGAAAAATGCTGATCCTGATTCGAACAGAAATGGTAGTGAAGCATGAAACTTGTTGTTCTAGGTCACAACGGAAGAAACAGACAAAAATTTGAAAAGTTGTAAAACTGTGCAACGTGTCAAAAAAGGCTATCGAATTCGAAACTCAAACTCAAACTGAAATCGTAAAAACAAAAACTCCACTAAAAGCTGTGGAAAATAACGCTCAGGCTTCATTTTCCAGTATGACAGACTCTGTTCGAATAGATGAAAAGATCGTAAATTCAAAAAAACCTATACGTCTGCAACATAATTCATGCGAAAAGTCAATAAGTACCTGCCAAATGATGTAGATATTGCGAAGCTAGCAAGACAAAGAAAATATTTCACGGAAAGCCCCCCTTCGCCCGCGTATACGTAGTCGGCCCCATGTTCCCTCCCTGCGGATGTGGGTACGTCGGACCCGGTAGTTGTTGCCTGATAATTTTTTTTGTAGTGGCATCTTTACGCATCACAGATTTCCCTTGCATAGCAGTACCACATTCTCGCATGACAAACTCAACAATAACAATTCCAACTAATTTATTAGTACCTCGTGCTCATCATATTCCGGGGCACAAACCCCCCAGCTCCCGCGCTTTTCACCGCTTTATTACTGTTCTGACTCTGAAACCCCGGCGGCGGGTTTTCCCCGACCCAGGCAAAAGTAGCAGCTTCGACTAAATCTTTCGGATTATTCCCCAAAGAACTACTAGCATGATTCATGTTACCCTGCAGCTGCTGGTCCGTATCCATCCCCGGAGCCGTATGCGCCACGCGGTCGTATATAAATTGCAAAAGTATCCATCGTACTAGTATAAACGCATTCCAAATTTTCCCAAGAAAAAAAATTCAATTTGTCATGCTATTTCAGGTAGAAAGTTGGATTTGTCATGCGTATCTGCAATTAGTACGAGTACGATACTTTTGCACAGGATATCGTACCCCCGGAGCTCGTGGGCGTTCGCGGACGACGTCTTCCAAACACTCCTATGCACTGCAAATATGTCTGGGTCTGGAAACTTGTGATGCTGGGTGGCGTATCATGAGGAGGCCACAAGTGCTGGCTCAGCAGGACAAGTTTCTGAGCTTGTAGGTGTTGCCTCTTCCCCATGACAAACTGCGTTCTTTCTGCATGACAGAAAAATGAGGATCTTGGGTAATACGTGCATGACAGATTTAAAGAGTCTCATGCCAGACAAGCATGACAAACATGCACTCTTCCAGACCCAGACACATTTGCACTTGATAACTCCCCTTCGGCAGATGCGGGTTCGTTCCGTGCGGATCCGGCACCGGGCCCGGTGGAAGCATACCCGGCGGATAAGCTGCACCACCATTCGAAGATGAAGATGGCCCGTTCTTACTCGAAGCCGTGGAAATTTCCCGTTGCGGGAGCGGTTGATCACTTTGGAACGTGAAGACGTCTTCCTCCAACTCGCTCACTTCCCCACTGTTCATCCCCGAAGAAGAACCACCCTCGTTCAAGTTCTGGTACGCGCCCTCCGGTGGCAACCAGCGGCTTTTGCTGTTGGATTTCGGTTTTTCAGCCTGCTTCATCATCAGCCATTCGTCAAATTCGGTCGCATATTGCTCTAATTCGTTTTCCGTGGGCATCAACTCCCCGTCTTCTTCCTCGGAAGTCGAAGTTGTGTTCTTCATCAAATTGTCCTGAACTACGGCTCCGATCTCCGCATGGTCTTTCGAACTGCTCGCCTCACTGCAACTCAGCTTGCTGGACTTCACAGAATTCGAGCTTCCATCCTCCTCCGACTGCGATTTGGACTGCGATTTGCTTGACTTGCTTCCCCGCCGCTCCTGCAACCAGTTCCCGACGGCAAACGGGTCCACCAGCATGCGCGAATTGCAGATAAACACCATGATTTTCTGCTCCCGCTTCGACGGCTGCTTCCGCTTTTGTAGAAGTGTCGGTTCCGGTTGCCCGGTGAGTTTGTTTTTCGAATTCACCTTGCTCGCGTTGCTCATCGCGTACATGTAGTTGTAATGGTGCGGCGCGGACGAGGAATTATGCCCTCCAGAGCTGCTCACGGACTGCTTGTCCTTGCTCCGGGCTTTGATCGGAGTGGAGATGTTACTCGGGTTCGAACTCGAGGAACTGTGCGAAGGCACCGACGCCGGCGCCTTCCGGTAGTGGTTTCGGGTCGAGTTCACCATCCGGATCTCGGGGCCCACTGTCATGGACATCGCAATCCCAGAATCGTTCACTGCAGGCTGTCGGGAGATGTGCGGGTGGCCCCGGGGCCGCCGGGTCGGGATGTTGTCGGCGTGATGTTGGTGTCGGAATTGCTGCTGATTTTGGTGCTGCACTAAGTGTTGCTGCCCATGTTGAAGGTTTGGCGGCAAAACCGGCGGCGGCGCCATGTTGGGCGGCGGCGGCATCATCGGTGGGGGAATCATCATGTTCGGTGGCGGCATCATCGGCGGCCCCGCGAGCATCGCCGTCACCGGGGGCACAACGGCCGTTCCGGCTACGGTGGGCGGGAGAATCGGTGGCATCGCGGTGACGACTCCAGGAGGTGGCAACGGGCCGCCCGCCGGGGGATGCGAAGACCCTCCAGGAGCTGGACCCCACTGGTGCAGCCCAGGGTGGTGCATCACATTGTTCATCGGCGCAGCTGCACTGTTGGAAGATGTAGTTGCATTTCCACCACCCACAGCTTGTTTCGGCGTTCCATTCATCGCGTTTTTCATGTTGTTAAACGAACTGTTCTTCGACGGCGAAAGAGAATCCCCTCCCTGCTGCGAGTTATTTGTTCCCCGCGAGGACTTGTAACTCGCGGTGTAGTAGCTGCTCGAATTCGTTGGCGTGATCAATTCTTCCTCACCGGATGAGATGGCTGCTGGTGCACTAGTCTGGTTATGTACCTGTGCCAGCGGCGGTGCAACAGCACCGCCGGGAGTCGCATGATGTTGTTGATCTGCGCCTTGTTCGAAAAAGTTCGTTCCCGCGAAAACCGCCGGATCAAGTAACGAGTTCTGGCCCTCGATCGGGGAGAGAATCAGCATCGGGTCGAAGGAAAGAATGTCGTGGACGTTCGTCGACAGGTGATGTGCAGGGTGTTGATCTAAGTCAACAGCAGTGGTTGCACTAGTATTTGTATTTCCGGTAAGCGGTACGCCCGAAGCAGTTGTCAAATGCTCTTCGTTTGTTGTCGTGTCGCCGTAGTGCACCATGTGCTGGTAATTATTACCATCAACCCCTGGACCTTGGTGCTGGCCGTATTGATGTTCCATGTCCGAGCTGCTGTGCGGGTCACCCAAGTTATACTGCTGATCTCCCGTGACCCACGGATCCGAGTGACCACCAACACCCGCTGTCACAAGGTCCTGCACCAAAAAATGCGGGCTGTTGCTGTTCAGATAGGCGGTCTCCTCAGCCGCCGTGATTCCCAATCCCATCTGCTGGTCCGTATTTTGCGTGATGTGCTCGGACGCGCCGGGCGTGAATTCGGTAACGGCCAGACTCTATCAAATGCAAATATGTCTGGGTCTGGAAGAATGCGCGATTTGTCATGCAGCTTTTCCATCACCCATGAGGTCTGGAGTGCAGGACCTAGCATGACAGATTCTGCGCGATCTCTCTCATGCCGTTCCTGCATGAGAAACTCCCTCCCGACTTGGTCAAACCTGGGCGACTTTTGGTAATCATGCAACACAGATTTTTGCATGCTTCAGATTTAGCATGACAAGTTGCATTCTTCCAGACCCAGACACTTTTACATGTGATAGACTCGGCTTGGTTTGATACGGGTTATGGTCTACAAAGCTGCTGCTGTTGTTGTTGTTTCCTGCACTCGGGGGGGTCGCGTTCGGGTAGAATTCCTGGTAGATCCGGTTTTTGGAGAACGAGTTTTGGTTCGCGTCAAGAGTCGTGTAATTATGGTCAACATGCTGCTCATGCGGATCTTCCAGGTACGCAACCTGCTGCTCTTCAGTGGTCTCTTGCCCAGGAACAACATACGCAGCTTCTGCTGCGCAATATTCTTCTTCTCCCAGCATCACCGGATCAACTTCGTCCTCGTTTTCCGCCGAACCAACACCTTGCAGTTCCTGCTCCTGTTTCGCCTTCTCCGCAGCGTTTTGCAAGAACGCACGGAAAACCCCATTGGCGGTAGAGGCGAGCGGCGTGTTCAGAGTTTTATTGTTCGTCGGAGGGACTCCTACGACAGCTCCAGGTGGAGCGAGTAACGCAGCCGCGCTTGATGTGGTCGTAGGTAAACCTTCGTTTTCCATCACCATAATTCCCTGCTCATGCGCTTGTCCTCCCAACAGCAACTTCTGGTGCTCCACCGACCCGGAGGAGCTCGCCTTCGAAGTGGATAATTCTGCTTGCAGCGACGCCGTGCCGGAGTGGTGCCTTGGGATACAACTAGACGGTGGAACAACCTTAGTTGTACCGCCATCCACCTCTTGCGCGATCATGTTGCGGAACCTTTCGGTTTTCTTCGGCGATACGCAAATTCCAAACTGCGTTTCCTCCAGCGCGTTCCCCTCCGTCGGCGTTTCGACGAGGGGCTTGTGTTGCAGCAAGGTTGTATCAGCCGTGGTCCCCACTGTGTCATCATGAGCCAAGCCACTTTTCTTGTTCATCTTCTCGGTGGTCAGAACATCGCTCTCCTCCTTCGGCAGCGCAGTGTCACCGTTAATACTCCCTCCTTCCCCACTGTCTACTTCCCCAGCACCACCAGAACTTCTACCGGAGCCCCCACTATTAAAGTCGTTCGGAAACAGCTGCCGCAACACCCAGTCCGTGTAGCCGTGCTTCGAGGGAGCCCTCATCCAGTCCTCACACTTCTTCTGCTCCGCGGTTTGTTCCGTCGTCAAAGGCTTCAAAGGGGAAGTAGGAAGGGGAGTGACTAACGTGGTCGAGGTCGTGGTCGTGGTTGGCGGCTGCTGCTGCTGCGTAACACTAACAGTCACAGGAGGTCCTCCGGCACCCGCCGGCGGCGAATGTGGCTGTAAACCCGCATCGACCATCGTTGGCATCAAAGGCGGCAGCAGCGCTTGCGTGGGCGTGTCATGGTCAACTACTACTGGGGACGTTGCATCAGCAGCAGCTTCAGCTACTACTACGGCAGAATGCGTCGTCGTACTAAAGTCCTCGACCTGATAAACGTCCTCTGCAGGCACGTCAATTTCAATGTTAGCCGTAGCCGTAGTTGCCCCTCCAGCAGGCATCTTCTTGCCATCTTCCCGATCCTTCTTCATCTGTTCTTTCTCCTTGCCGTTCTCGTTACTGGTCGAGTACCCACTGCTGGAAGTGAAGATTTCCTTACTGCTCGGACTGCTCTATCAAATGCAAAAGTGCCTGGGTCTGGAAGATTGCCAGGTTTGTCATGCATATGTTGCATGACCAATGACGCCTGTAATGCATGCCCTAGCATCCCAGATTTTTAAGAGGCTTCCTGATGCTTATTCCGCATGAGAAATGCCCTCCCCGTGTAGCACAAACTGGACTCCTTTTGCTAGTCATGCAAGACAGATTTTTTTGGAATCCAAAGACAGCATCACAAGTTACCGCCTTCCAGACCCAGACATTTTTACATTTGATATGCTCGTGATAGCCGTGCCCGTAGTTGCAGTGACATTATTCTTCGGCGCGGTCTCCGCGATAATATCAGCCTGGTTCATCTGATCATCCTGCTCGTTTTGATCCCGTGCAACTACTCCTTCTTCAATCGCCTTCTCCAGTGAAGCTTGGATAGCACTTCGATGTGTTTGTTCATCTCCTACTCGAGCTGCCACATCACTCCCCTTTGGCGTAGTTTCCCCCATCACCAGTGCCTTGTCGATCACCCCCTGCAAATCGAAGCTTTCGCTGAAGGAGTTGTTTTCGCTACTGGAGCTCGATTGCTTCGACAGCTGCGGCTTGTGTTCTTCATTTCCCACGATAATTTCCGGCCCAGCAAGAACGGATGTCGCAACTTCCTCGAGCAGCTCAACGGGCGGTGGTGGCGCGGCTCCTTCAACCCGGGAGGTTGCTGTTGTAATACTGCTCGCTTCACGTTGTTCCGGGAGATGCACCGCTGCAGCCTGCTGTGTCTTTTGGTTTTCAGGCTCGTATTGGTGCTGCTGCGCATGCGGCCGCTGCTGTAAACCATTGAAACTGTACTGTTGGTGGTCATAATACTGTGCCGCGGCTGCTCCAGGGCTGCCTGCAACCTGCTGCACTCCTGGCGGTGGCGCAGGGTCGTACTGGTCGTAGATATTCTGGTGTTGATGCTGCTGTGCCCCCGCATTGACATGATTGTACGAGGACCCATGCCAGTTGTTCGCATGGCTGGTGCCTTCTCTTTGCTGCCACTGTGAAGATGTTGCTGTGTTGTAGCTGTGGTGGTTGTAGTATGAGGGCGATTGGGCCGTTCACTCTAAAAAAAATCAAAAATTTTTTATTGCTATATTTGCATTACAAAAAGCATCTCAAGAGCTATCCCATAACGGCTGCTGTTGGGTGCGATCGGAGGCGAACCTGGTCAGGTGAGGCTGATTTTGGAGATATGAAATTGAAACTAGCCAAAGCTCCAAGTTGAACTAGTTAACTAAGGCATGGGCTTTAGGGTTTAGAGATGAGGACTTTCAATGAGAAAGAGCAGCATTATCCGCATGGTATATGGGAAATCTGCCGGGGCCATCACGGCTCGGAGCCCCGTCTGACATGCTTCGCGAGCGTGCCTGTTTTTATTATGGTTGCGTTTCGGCACCTCATTCAGGACCTCACTTCAGGAACTCAATCCCGATGGTAGGGTAGGATTTAAAGCGAGGTCCTTTCAGGACCTCCGCCGGAAGCTGTTTTTTGCGAAGTTGAACGGTCGGACCTCAAAAGTGCAGCTTTTTTGAGCTTCCCTTGATGGTATGGCCATTTCAAAGCACACAACTTTCGGCATCCCGTTGAAGGGGCCCCGAGGCAGTTGGGCGGCCCACCTTCTTGGATATAGGATCCCAGAATGCAAGCTAATCGCCTTCTAGTTACCTTCTATTTTCTACCGATTCAGAATGCTTAATAAACTTGTTCACCTTGGAGCTTGTAGCTAGTTCTCATCTTGATATCACCCACACCGTCACATCGCCCGACCGCAAAGAGAACCTGCCCGAGTGCGCGTCCAAACCGTCGCACTTCAAACCTAAAAACTGCAATCAAAACATACTAAGAAAAAAATTTTGATTTTTTTAGAGTGAACGGCCCAATCGCCCTCATATTTGTGTTGTAGTGTTGGTGGAAGATGTTGCTGTGTTGTAGCTGTGGTGGTTGTAGTGCTGGTGGTAATTATTCTGGTCGTACGCTGAAGCTCCGTAGTTGCAGCTCATCATCTGCGCATTGTGATGACCATGCCCCGGCGTCGGGTTAAAATTGCTGTACGCTCCAGGTCCAGCTTGGTAAGAAGTGTGTTGCTGCTGGTGCTGGCCGCTGGTGGTCGTGCTGTTCAGCATCTCAGCATTTCCTGTTGTACCAGCTACACCACCTGCAGTTCCTGACTGAGCAGTACCAGCGGAGTTTTGTTGATTCTGCCCGACCTGCTGCCGGCGCAAGTGCGGAGCCACATACAATTTCGCTTTGGTCGGACTGGCTGGCGGGTTGTTGTTTGCATTGGGCGCGCCATGAAGAACATCCGTCGATTCATTTGCCTTTCCTGCACTAGGAGGAGCTTCTGGTGCGCCAGTCGTGTTTGAAGGCAGTTGCACCGGTGCACCGCCAGGTTGTAATTGTAAAGTCGTTGCACCAGAACAAGTTCCTTCTGGATGATTTTCCTGCGCCGCACCCTGCGCCAGTTGACTCCCATTGTTCAACATTCTCGGTGACGACTGCAAGGAGTTGTTTTTCGAGCTCTGTACGGATCCGTTTTTCGAGGAGTTTTCGCTCGAGGAGGTTTTCTGCACGGCTATCAGCTTCGAGCACATTGGCGAGGGGAGCTCTAAGTCGAAACCTATCGCGAGAAAAAACTGTTTCACTGTGAACTTGTGATGCATAGAATGGAAGACAGAACTATTTGAATTTGTCTTGCCACACCTGCAAGACCTCGAGGACTCTTTAGCGGTGTTTTTCCTTTGGAAGCGCGCATGGCAAATTTTCTGTGTCATGTGTAACAAACTTGTGATGCAGATCTTGCAAGACCATCACAGTGAAACAGTTTTTTCGCGGGATAAAACCAAAACTGGACTTATTGTTATTCTGCGGAGCAGGAGCAGCTGGTGGCAGAACCGATGAAACGGTGCTGGTTGTAACTACCGGGGCGGGTGGAGCTGCTGCGGGAATTTGTGGTTGTCCCGCCGCGCTCGTAGAAGTTGCCGGCTTCATTACAGAGAGATTTTTAACCGTCGACGTGCTGTTGGGAACAAGACCACCAGCAGTACTACTGTTCAAAGCAGGAACTTCTACAGGAAGTGGTCCACCTGCTGCCACGACTTCTTTTGAAGAAGAAGATGCTGGTGCGCCATTCATCTTTGGCACAACGACGACACTGGTACTAGAACTCGTGCTGCTTGTCGGGTTAAAAACATCGTATGACGCCACCTTGCTCGGTTGTCGCTCCTCCTTTGACAAGTTCTTCACCGGGGAAGCAGACCCGGAAGTTTTGGAGTAATTTGGCGCAGCTGCTGTAGTAGAAGTTGCACCAACTACTAAAGAGCCAGCAGGAGGAAGAAGTCCAGGGACTGCAGGTGGGATCGATTTGCTGTTCTGGACATCTTTATTACTGCTAAGACTGTTAGAAGAAGAGCTCGATAAAATTTTCGACATCGCCAAAGCACTATTCATCCCGCCAAGCCCGACGTAGGAATGCAGCTGCATCTCGACCCGGAAAAATTTCTCCTTCGCGATGTCATCCGTACCGTTCACGATCTTGTGCGTCTCTCGAAGAACTTTTTCGAACTTCACTGCGAAGTTGTGTTTCAGCTTCTTCGGATTCATTTTTGAAGAAGTACTTTTTTGGTCATCCGTGGCAGCAGGTTCGTCGTTGGAGGAGCAAAACCCTTCATGGTCGTCGATCGGGCAGGTTAAGATCATCTTTTTACTCTCCTGCTTGTTGTTCAAGAGCGGGGAAGGAGAACTGCTACTCAACATCATTCCTGCACTAGTACTTCCACTGTGCGTCATATTAGCATCGCTGTCGATGTGAACGGGCAAAAACGGATCTGCGACAGCGAGTAGACAGGGCGATTGCCGCTCTTCCTGGTCGCCGTCGAGGGAGAGAAGGGGGATCTGCCTTGTTTTATTCCCTTTGTTCAGCTTCATGTTATCAGAAAGTTGCTCCGCCCTTCGCGTGAGAAAACGAACCAACCGGCAAAAAAGCCCAGAAGCGGAGGAGCCGATGGTGTCGAGACGGCGCCTGATACACAAAAAATATCATATAAATATATCCGGTATTTCTAGGAAATTACTCTTACAGTTGTACTTCTGTGTGAATCCTCGTGATATCATGGCATCACAGAAAGATAATGCGGTAGAGTTTTCGCAAGGTAATAAATACTAGTACCTGCACTCCGCGTCTTCCTTCGACTGCGAACCCACGCTGCTCCAGTTTCCGTCAAACGCAGTGCAGACACCGTCGATTTTGTCCGAATTGGATGCCCCCGCCAATCCGAATCCAGTAGGGGGCGTTGCGCTTGTTCCACCACTTGCCGCTCGCAAATCCGGTATCAAATTCTCGAACCGCAGAAACGACAACACAAGTAGGCACATTTCGTAGCTGCCCCAGTGCAGCTGCAGAGCGTGATGCGATGTTGAACGGGCGTTGTCCTTATCATCATCGATAATATCGTGCAGCTGCAACACTTTCTTTTCGTAAAACGTTTCCCACAATTGGAGCTATCAAATGTAAAAATGTCTGGGTCTGGAAAATTGTGATGCTGGGTGGCGTATCATGAGGACGCCACAAGTGCTCGCTCAGCATGACAAGTTTCTGAGCTTCTAGGTGTTGCCTATTCTGCATGACAAACTGCGTTTCTGCATGACAGAAAAGTGGCGCTCTTGGGTAAGGTGCATGACAGATTTGAGAGTCATGCCAGACAAGCATGACAAACATGCACTCTTCCAGACCCAGACATTTTTACACTTGATAGGAGCAGCTCGTTCACAAACCCTGCGTTCTCCCGGTATTGCTTGATCAGCAACCAGCCCCGCTTTCGCCACAAGTTTTGGTTCGACCAAAGCCGAACTTCTTGGCGGGAAACTGGTGTCCTCGGGATCATTTTGGTTGTACTACTATTAGCTGCGCTGGTGCTCTGCTTGTTCAGAACCGCGATAACGACGGTTAACGCTTGATGCTGGTCACCACCAGGAGCATCACCATTACCAGCAGTCCCTCCTCCTGTGCCCGTACAACTGTAGGTTTTCGCAAAGGAGAACGACCAGGCGGAGGTGCTGGAACTCGAAAGCACAATATGGATTGTGAAAATGTCTGGGTCTGGAAGAATGCATGTTTGTCATGCTTGTCTGGCATGACTCTCAGATCTGTCATGCACGTTACCCAAGAGCGCAACTTTTCTGTCATGCAGAATGGCACTTTGTCATGCAGAATAGGCAGCACCTAGAAGCTCAGAAACTTGTCATGCTGAGCCAGCACTTGCGGCCTCCTCATGATACGCCACCGAGCATCACAAGTTTCCAGACCCAGACATTTTTACATTTGATACACAAATTGCTGTTGCAATTTCTCTATCCTCTGCAAAAGTATCGCACTCGTAGTAATCGCAGTCATGCATTACAAATCTCGTCCAGCCCAAGGAAAAACAGCATGACAAATGCATTCGTCATGCTGAGCCAATTTGTATTGCAAGTTATACCAGTACGATACTTTTGCATTGCATATTCTCCAAGCTAACACTCGAGTCCGCGAGCAATTCCAGAACAAAATTATTTTTCCCCCCGCTGTTCGTAGTTGCAACGCCACCCGCAGTCGGCGCCGTCGCAGCTGCGGTTGTAGAAGACTTCCGCAGCAGGATCGGTTTCCACGGTTTCAGCTGGAAAGACAGCTCGTCCAGGAGCTTGTTGTCGGGCGTTTCTGGAAGAGCAGTCGGGGGTAGGGGTGGAACCATGTGGTTTGATGTTCCTACGTGGACGTTACTGTGCTGCTGCATGCCGTTGCCGACTCCTGTCTCCACCCCGCGACCTAGCGCGCGTTCTTGCGTCGTAGAGACGTTTAGGTTTTTCCTCATGTTTTTTTTTCGTGGAAAGTTGTATCAGTCTAGGCTCGCTGATTTCTATACATGATAAACGCCCTTGCCAGTATTCAAAAGTCTGGCTTGTTTCTCGTGAAATTAGTTTCGATGTTGTTCTTGATTTTTAAGCTCGACTTTTAAAATGTCACTAGTAGCTGTCAACAATGTATTAAAGCTAGGCTGTACGCACTAATGTGCCGGCTGCGCGACCAACTTAAACTTTTACTTTTAGTTATGAGACACTTACGTATATATAATAAATCCCCTTGCTAGAAAAAAACGCGCTGGTAGACCACCTGAGAATACAATACGTTTTAGAATGAAAATTTTGACGAATTTCAATTTGAAGTGTTCACCTCTTCATTCCATAACGTTAACGACCATCACGAAGATGCTATACTTTACGAACCACGAACTCAGTGATCAAGCTTCACAACCATGCAGACGATTTTCGGGTCGATACGTACCAACATCCGCTTGCACTGCAGACATTGATGTGCCTTTTACGATTCTACCATATTGACACTACATGCTTCATGAAATACTTAAATGCCACGATTACAACACACTGCCTGGGAATAAAAGACTCACATACGACCCAAACGACGAATTCATTGTAATCTTCTTCACGAAAGGAATACACATCAGACCTCTGGACCCACCTGACGTGGACTTTTGTTCAATCAATCTACGGAGCGCATAATTGAATCTCGTACGATTATCAGCAGAACACCTTCGGGAAACGAAGAAAAGACCGCAACGTTTTTGCTTTTGTAAGTTTTTACTTTATGCTGACATGGCTGAGATCTGTGAGACCGGCTCAACAAACTCGTTGCGAGTTTCCGGCCTACCGGCACCGGCTTTGAGCGCGCTGTCATCATGTATCTATTCACGTTGATGTGAAAAGCAATCTTCATTTTTGCAGAACCTTGGCATCAAATTCAAATCATACAAACTTAAAAAAAAAGTCAAACCGCATATAAATTTAGCATCTTGGATGCGCGGGATTCATCACTATAGTTTTGCGTTTCAGGATGCACTGTGCGGAGAGGAATAGAATAAAACGACTCAAAACTAGACAAAACTTTTTGGCACCATTTTTCGCAGACAACAGATCCTCTTTCACTTTCCATCAGTTCTTCCTCAGACCGCGATCAGAAAAAGATTGCCTTTGAGGACTGACAACCAATGCATCATTCTCAATACCCATCCTCTTGCTGCGGGCCGGAGGTCGTGCTTTCGGATTGGCCCACCGTTCCATCGGAGCCCACCACGGGTAAAAAGCTGCTTGAAGTGTATGACGACCTGGTCAAACGTTACAATCTCAAACGTTAAAATTAGCATCTTGGATGCGCGGGGTTCATCGCTATAGTTTTTCAGGATGCGTTGCGTCACGCTACAAACTGTGCGGTGAGGAATAGACTAAAACGACTCAAAACAAGACAAAACAGTATCTGAAACCATTTTCGCCATCAGTTCTTCCTCAGACCGCAATCAAAAAAAGATTGCATTTGAGGACTGACAACCAATGCATCATTCTCAATACCCATCCTCTTGCTGCGGGCCGGAGCTCGTCCCTTCGGATTGGTCCACCGTTCCATCGGAGCCCACCACGGTCAAAAAGCTGCTTGAAGCGTATGACCTGCTCAATCGTTACAATCTCAAACGTTACAATAGAGTCTAAATTTTGTCTCGCACAGCTATAAACAGACTGCGCGGCTCCTACACCGAAAGGATCTAGATTTTCTCTTGCATGATGAGCATGACAGAATCGCAGAGCGTTCCCGTTCCATCTTCTGCAATACAAATTTCCCCAGGAGATTCTAGTGCGGATTGGGGCTCCGAAACTTGTCATGCGCAATCCTATGGAACTAGGCTAGACCATGCAGTGCTTGCATCACAGATTTCCATCATCTATTGTACCGCTTGAGATTGTAACACCTGAGCGGGTTATAAAGCGGACGCTCTGAGCCGGAGGGGCGAATGCTCCGCTGGTACCGCTGGTACCTCATATACGTACTTCTGCATCAGTTGGAGCTGCGCTCTCAATGCCGCGACTTCGGTTTCGCACTCTGCCAGAGCAGCCGACCAGTCGGCCGGCTCCGACGAGTGTGACAACGGAGACGCGGGCGAGGAAGGAAACGAGCAGCCGTCAGAATGCGACGCCGGGGCCGTCGACGAGGAGGGGGAGTGGTGCGCGTGGCTGTGGTGGCCGTGGGGGGGGGGGGGGGGGGGGGTGACTCTTGTCGTGGTGGCCGTGGCCGTGGTGGCCGCGGCCGTCGTGCGCGACATGACCGTGTCCAGAAGCAGTCAGGTGTTTCATGCGTTTTGCATGCTCTTGCTCCGCCTTATTAGCAGCAGCTTCAATTCGCTTCAATCGTTCCGCTTTGTCCTCCGCGCTCAGAATGGTTCTTGGCGATAATTCGTCCACACTGCTTGCGTATACGGACACAAAACCAGGACGAAGAGCCTTTTTCTCAATCATGGAAACTGCACCAGTTGGAGACCCCCGCTGCAGCGCTGCATCTTGTTCATTGAGGCCATCACTGCACGGCGTGTCGGTGTGCTCCGAAGTCGCAACTGCGAAGCGCAGCAATGCTGTGATAACCAGAAGCAAATACATCGGCCAATAATAGGACAAGGGCTCAGCTGTTTGTAGTTGACTTAGACTTTCTAAGTATTTTCAAAAAATGATGATGATGTTGGCAGCGTGCCCTTTGGCGGACTGCTGCGTGCTACTCCCTCCTCCAGCCCGAGGGCGACTCCTGAGCACCGACCTGCTAAGGTGAACAGTTGTTGACCTATGTATACCATAAGGGTGCGGCTGCTATGTTGAGGCATACACAAAAATAGGAACACTCATACTCTTCTCCCTCTGTGTTGACGGAGGAAGTGAAGTGAAGTGATCTAGAAGATCAAATTACGACAAGAGAGAGTGCCAGCGCCGATGATTGCGCGGGCGCGGAAAAGATATCACGTTGGTGTGATCATACAAACACGTACTTAGAACAGCGCCCGATAGAAAAACCAAACCTAAAGCAACGCACTCGTCGCGCCGGCAGCAGGCCTCTGCGATAGCTGAGCCTGCACGACTCACTCGCATTGGCTTACTCGGACACAAGTATCGGGTCGTGTTGAAGCAGAAAAGCAAAAGAGTTCTCAAGATATTGTAGTTCCTTTGCAGAATAGATTTTTCGAGCATCTCGTCTGTTCAAACGTCCAAGAGATCACCAGTGCATCTACTTGGGACGCACATAATCACAACTTCAACAGCAGAACCGAATTTCATAGTATTAAAAAACCACAGCATGATTTGCATTCCAGGAACATCAAATTCAGTAAGCTTTAGTAGATCAAAAGTCAGTAGTCAAAGCGAAGGAGTAGGATGTACATTTCAGCAAATTTTCTTCAGCAGATGGAGCGCGAAAGTTTTGGTAATCCGAAACAATTGTAGAGATCAACATCAACTCAAAGGTCGTGGTTTCATATAGTAGAAATCATCAAGCAAAAGCAATCGAGCAATAGAAAATAATCAGAATCAAAGAATTCAAGGCGTACTAATAAATACGTAGCGAGAAAGAGGTCTGCAATCTGAAAAATGGCCTAGTAAAGGACTGGATAGGCTTGTGGTTTCGCAGGCAAAGAAGGTAATTCAATCTCGGGGACGAAAGGAGCTAACAATTGATCGAGTCGGAAGCGGTGTTCGGTCTTTGAAGAACGGAGTGGCCATAATATCTTCAGCAGCTCTTTCTCGATCATCAAAAGTCGTGCTTTGCTTGTTGAACGAAAGATTTTGTAAATTGAATTGCGAAAAAAAGGTAACAGCTTCTGCAAACATTCTGCAAAAATATTAACGAAATAGAAATGATTTTGCATATAGTAGAAAATTTTTCTGAAAACAAGTCCTCAGCTGGTAGTTCTAGAGTCATTATCTAACTTCTTTGCAGGAGCTAAATTGAGTTGTATTTTTCCACCAGCGAACTTGTTGTAGTTGTAGAGAAGAAACAAGAGTAGAGAAAAATCGTGCCTCTCCATGGTACATCAGCAACATTTTAGCCCTAACGCACATGGAAGGCCAGCCTCAAAATTTTTCCGCTTGAGTATCTCTATTTAATGTCTATTTTCATATAGTTTTTCAAGCAATTCAAAATACAAAATCTATTTCCTCTTTCGTGAAAGATATATCGAATAAATGTTCTGAATTTTATTCATTCGCCCCCGAGGTTCATTCTGATACAGATTATGGCCGCATAAAGATCATGGCCGAAAGAAAGCGCTTTGTCAATCTTTATGAAAAAAAACTACATTTGAGGTTTAGAACATCAACCGAACCAGGTGCCCCTTGTACGTTGTGTAAGTTAGTAGTGCTATTTATTTTTTGTAAATTTTCGAAACCAAATTTCTATGCGATAAAATACCATTGGGCTGAAAGGTGCGTGTGGTTGCATATTTTTACGTTCAACATCTCCTAACTACTGACAATTGATCTTTTGAGGCATTCGGCAAAAGCAGCGTCGCGTTTAAAGGTTTCTTCAAAAGTGGAGCCGTTTCTTCGAGTTCGTTAGTATTTTTTCTCAAAAGCTATCAGTCGCAGAAGTAGAGATGATTTATTTGATGGTTCTTGCATAGTAATTTGCGAAAAGAAACCTTCGGGCATAGGTAGGTACTTCTTAGAATCTCAACAACTCCCGTAGAAATTCACGCTGTCACAACAGAATTTGCCTGCCAACGTGACAGCGTAAATGACCATAGGCGTCGAATTCGATTCTTGGTATTAGTAATCAATACGCAACGGTAGAGAGCATCATTGTGTCGCAATGGAGATAGTAGTACCGTAATTTATTTTTTCCCATGCCTATTTCTATCATGTCGTGAGAAACGTATTTATTCTTATAAAAGCCGTAAAATTCATATCTTTGGCATGTTTTTGTCTCTGTCAATTCATTTTTTGTACTGCTTTTCTCAATTTTGAAACTCAAAACCGATTGGACACGTACTAAATTCGTACCAAATAATTTACAAAGAAAAATGCAGAATTGTTTTAGACGGTGGCTGCAACGATGAAGCGATGAAGAGCTCATCATCATCATCATCATCATCATCATCCCAACCGCCGCCTAAAAAAGAAGAACGAAACAAAATTTTGAGAAAGGATTCTGTCTTTGGATAGCACTTGCTCCCACCAGCAGCTCGGTAAGAAGTACTACGGGTCACCACTTGTCGTTTTGCTTTCCTCTTGCAGCAGCTGCTGTGGAGTATCTATCGTAGTGTTTCTATTTTCATCTTCCAGGTGGTATTTCTCTTGATTTTTGACCTACGGGTGACGAAAAATTTCGGCGACGTTACATTACGTTTCTTTACGTATTTTCCATTTATATCCGACTCTCGTGAAGACCACTTACGCGCCGCCATGGTAGCCGCACTTCTCGTCCATCTTCTGTTTCTCCGCGGTTTCCAGAGCATGCTCCCCAGCCCGCGTGGTTGGGATCGACGGAGTGTTTTGGTGACCGGCGCCGCCTAAGAGGCCAGACGCACCTGAGATGATTGAACAAGCGGAGAATGCGCGTTTAGGGATTATTGCATGCAATGCCTACTGCGACTGCATACTTACAACGGATACAACAACTACTTTGGATCTTGCACGCGCTTAGTTCTCGAACAAGCTTACCGCCGTTGGCCGCACCCATGAATTCCTGATCAAAAGCGCCGGCATTAAAAAAACTGTCGTAGCCCGCATCCATCTGGTAACCCATGCCAGCACCCGGAGCATCTGATTTGTGGTGGTCATTTGTCGTGCGGGAAACACATCAAAACGATAAACTTGTATTGCTTTTTTGTTTCGCTAGATGTCCTACAAAAGATAAAACTTGTCATGCAGTTGCTTCCATGCTAGTGCAGTTTGCTCATGCGTCGAAACCTAAATACAGTAAAAAGAAGTACTCAAAGCGTTCGCCATTCCCGCGGAGTAGGAGTTCTGGTAGTTCTTCCAGGACTGTATCAAACAAAAAAAAATTTCACGATCACTCATCGACAATCTTGCAATACAAACAGCCTCTGCCATGCATGAAGATGCATCACAATCAAATCTGATACGGGATTTCTCTGGTGCTTTTGCAATACTACAAGAAAGGCCTCCAAAATTTCTCGTGCGAAAACTGCAAGTGACGAGTGATGATGACCAACTTTCTTCTGTCCATAGACTGCGAAGCACCGCTACCACGCTTGGAACTGGTATGAAAGTAAAAAACCTTTTTGCTTGTTGTGTTGTACAGAACAACTGCATCACAGGTAGAGGCAGTCAGTTCTTAGTCTACTAATCTAGGCTATTCTTGCATCACAAGTTGCGTTGTACGTGTTCTCTCACGTAGACTATAAGCCACGCATCACAGCCCCCGCCGAACTCTGTCATGCTGATCCGACACTACAAGCTTTCTACTTCGATTTCCGATCATACCCCGACGCGTTCGACCACTTGTTCCACTCGGCCCACTCCTCGTGACCATACCCAGCACCGTAGTTCTGATGGTTTTTTTGCATCGCAGGTTTCCTTCGTTTTGGTGAAAACAGCATGACAGAGTTTTGACACTTTTTCTTCGTTCGGGTAAGGACCATACGCACTTGTGCTGCTGCATGACGACCTTTCTTGAAGCCAAGAACATGCTGATCATTCTATATCACAAACACAATACTATACCCTCGCAGCAGCGGCCGTCGCGGCGGAATGGTGGGCGTGCGCCGCCGCCGCGCCCATGTGGGCCGCATATCAAAAGGAAAAATCCTCCCTCCCTAGATCAAAACGGAAATTTGTGATGCAGGTTTGTGGTCACAAATCATCTTTGTCTTGCATATAAGATCATAGGAGCCATTTAACGCGTTCATGAGCAAGTCTGTCATGCGCTTTCGACTACTGCAAACCTGTTTGCCATGCGCAATTGCTAGCCTTCTGCATACTCAAACAGGCTCAGAAAATGCCGCCAAGCACTTTCTGCACGACAAATCTGATTTGTGTACGCAAATTCAGCATCAGAGACTTCGTTGCGATATGGGGAGGGGGGATTTTTCCTTTCAATACCGCAGCCAGGTTCGCCGTGGGGTTTGCGTTGGCAAATTCGTCGTTGACCCCAAACCCGTATGGATTGCAAATACGTCTGGGTCTGGAAACTTGTGATGCAAGTCGGTCAATAACAAATGCACTGTAATGCGCCGCCAAGCATGACAAGTTGTCTCGTGCTTCTGTGCTGCGTTTTCCGCATGAGAAACTGCGTTTTTGCATGACAGGCGAGAGAGGCTGTTTCGATGGCCCCAAGCAATACAGATTTAAGGGCCATTCCAGATCAGCATGACAAATCTCGCAATCTTCCAGACCCAGACATATTTGCACTCCATAACCCGCCGTGATTCCCGGCGCCAGACCCGGCGCCAAACGCAGCAGCTCCGAGGGAGTTGACGCCAGCAGATCCCTGTAACCCGCCCGCGGCAGCAGCACCCATGTTCGCCGCGGCGGCAAACTGCGCAGCGGACAGCTGCGAGGCCGCGTGGTTGGGGACTACGCCCGTGGAGCTGCCATATCCTGAGTAAAAACGTACCCACACCAGAGTCAGGATGGGGATTTTGCAACAAAAACCTAGGAGGTTTGTGAGTCACGCATGACAAGTTGCACTCTGCAGTGTAGTGCAGGTTAGCAACTGCAGCCGCATCACAAATCCATTTGCTCATCCTGTTCACAGCATCACAAATTCCAAAACACGACTGGCAATGGCTCTCATGGGGATGCGCGTTACAAGTCTTCCTGTCTTTGCAAATCTGCATTACAACTCTGGTGTGGGTACGTTTTTACTCAGGATATGCCACCGTGCATGTTCAAAGCGTTGCCAAACGGGTTCGCGGTGTTGACCCCCGGTAAGTTGCCAAACGGGTTCCCGTATGAAATGCAAAAGCAACGTACTAGTATGAATTGCATCACAAATTTCCCCAGCATGAAAAATAAAATTTGTAATGGGGATTTAACTTGAGAAAGAAATTTTTGAATGCATAAAAGCAATCACTACGAGTACGATACTTTTGCAATGCATATCCCGGTGTTCACCCCCGTCGCAGCACCGCTGGTCTGCGCCAACATGTTCATCATCGCGTCCAGCTGGGTCTGCTGCGCCTGCAGGTGCTGGCTAATCGCCGCGGAATTCTGCTGTCCCTGCATCTGCTGTTGCTGCTGCTGCAGAAGCAACTGCTGGTTGTTGTTTCCATTGTTGTTTCCGCCCATGTTGTTCAGGTTGTTCTGGCCGACGTTGTTCTGGCCGTTATTGTTGGCGTTGTTCCCGGCACCTCCCATGTTGTTCGCGTTGTTGACGTTCTGTCCATTATTGTGCTGCTGCTGATGGTTGCCGTTGACATTGTGCTGGTTCTGGTTCACGTTGGGCTGCTGGGTGTTGTTTCCGTTGTTCCCACCAGCAGTGTATCAAATGCAAAAGTGTCTGGGTCTGGAAGATTGGTAGGTTTGTCATGCAGGTTTTCCATGACCCACGCGGTCTGCCATGCACGGCCTAGCATGGCAGGCTCTGTGAGATCTCTATCATGCCGTTCCTGCATGAGAAACTGCCTCTAAACTTGTTCAAAAGTGGACCTCTTTATTTCGTAATCATGCAACACACATTTTTCCACGATCCAGATGTAGCATGACAAGTTGCACTCTTCCAGACCCAGACATTTTTGCAATTCATACAGTGTTCAGCCCGTTGTTTCCGCCCTGCTGCTGGTCCAAGTGCCGCACGGAGTTTCCGTTGTTGGCCCCCGAAACAGATCCTGTGCAAAAGCATCGTACTCTTTAACTAATCGCAATCATGCAAGACAAATCTTCTTCCCAAGCGAAAGCAGCATGGTGAATTGCATCTGTCATGCTAAGGTCATTTGCCTTGCGTTTTCTACTAGTACGGTGCTTTTCCGCATGATAAAGTAGACCCATGCTGGCCCAGGGCCGCAGCCATGGCAGCGTTACTAGACGCGTGCTGACTCGACAGGTGGTGGTAGTTCGCGGCGGCCAACTATTACAGTGAAAAGTGCCCCCCACCCCTAAATTGCAAAAATTTGTGATGCGAAGTTTCCAAATGAAAACTTTTTGTCATGCATGAAAGGAGTATGAATCTTTCTGATGCAGAATGTAGGCGTGTATCGCATCGCTTGCATGACAAGTGCCGCTCTTGCTGGGGTCTTTTGCAATACAAATTTTTGCTATTCACGATTGAAAACCCGTGATGCTGATACATGCAAGAGGGCGAATGTTTCATTTGGAAAGGTTTGCAATACAAATGCTCCCAAGTTCGGGGGTGGGGGCATTTTTCATCGTAATACCAACTGCCCGGCGTTCAGAGCCGCGGCGTTCGCGTTCAGAGCAGCTGCGTTGCGTTATAACAGTGCACAACTCCCCCTCCCGCCCCTCATTTGTATTGCATGAACAGCAACACAAGCAACAGCAGAAAAGGGGCTTTCGCATGACAAAACTGCATGCGGATTCTAGTACTATTTGACGTTCCAAAATTTGTCATGCTATCAGTTCCCACCATGCAAGGTGCGAATTTGGTATTTTGCATTACAAATGAGGGGGAGGGGGAGTTGTGCACTCTCATATGCGTCCGTCCAGCGCCGCCGCGCCCGGGTTTCCCGCCATCATAGCCGCACAGCCGATCGCGGTGGCCTGCGTATCCTGTGCAAAAGTATCGCACTCGTAGTCATTGCATTTCTGCATTACAAACCTCTTTCTCAGGGTGAATCAGCATTAGAAATTAAATTTGTATATGCTAATTATTTCTAATGCACTTTATACGTAGTACGATGCTTTTCCAATGCATACTGCGCATCGCGGAGCAGCTGGTTGATCTGCGATTCGGGCAGGGCGTTGCGCTGCTTCAAGATACAGGCCACGTTCATCGGGTCGCCCTGCTGCGCGCAGGCCTTCATCAGGCAGGAGTAAACCGCGCGGGTGGGCAGACACTTCCAGACGAACGGCATTTGGCGGAAAACCAAGTCGATGGCATCGTACAAGCGGTTCACCCCCGCGTACAGGCGCACCAGGATGGAAAAAGTGACGCAGGACGGAGCAATGTTGCACCGCTGCATGTCCGCGAAAACCATCAGACCTGATTTTTATAATAATGTGTAGTGAAACAGTGCTGTCAGACTTTGATTTCCTTTCACGCATCACAAGCCATTAAGTATTCTTTCTGCGTTCATCGGAACATATCATGCATGTTGACAGGTCGTTGTAGATAAACACAACAAGCTGAAAAAAAACACGACCCGTACCAGTATCAAAGTCTCCAATCTTGGCGCAGCCATCCAACAGAGAGTTGAACATGATCTCATCGTATGGATTGCAAAAGTGTCTGGGTCTGGAAATTTGTGATGCTGGGTGGCGTATCATGAGAAGACCACAAGTGCTGGCCCAGCATGACAAGTTTTTGAGCTTCTAGGTGTTGCCTATTCTGCATGACAAACTGCGTTTCTGCATGGCAGAAAAAGGCGGCTCTTGGGTAACCTGCATGACAGATTTAAGAGTCATGCCAGACAAGCATGACAAACATGCATTCTTCCAGACCCACACATTTTTGCATTTGATACATCGACTGGCAAGCGGCGCATCCGGGCCTCGTTGGCGACAAGCAGGGCCTTGCGGAGGTTGCCTTCGTTGCAGAATCCCTTGACCAGGGTGGAGAAGGTGATGATGTCCGGCATAATACCTTTATTCGATATAGTATTTTTGCTTCTATCTACGATGCGGATGCGGGACTACGCAAGACAAAAGTTGCTCAGCATGCATGCTGGATTGTCATGAATCAGAAGTGGAACAAGTAAGTAAGTAAGTAACTTAACTTTTTGATTTCATAATCCAAATCTTTGTGATGCAAAAGCCTGCATAACTAGACAACATCAGCATCATGGGTCTGTCATGATTTTCACATTACCACTCGCCTGCATCTCCTGTAGGACCATGGCGGCGACCTTCATGTTGTTGCACCGCACAGCGACATCAATCAGGGAGTTGTAGGTCACAACGTTGCACGGCACCCGCTCCGACAGCATTTCCTATGGAAAGGAGAAGTCCCCCCGCCCCATAATGAAGCGGCACGTTTCTCAAAATTTGTGATGCTGATTTGTGGCCACAAATCCTGTCTCTCTTGCATGAGGGCAACCTCAGAGACTCCGCCACGATATGCAGGCGGTTTGCAATGCTGGAAGGCCTATAGGCTAGACCTCTAGCAAGCTAGGCCCCTACAACAAGAGGCCCCCCCTTAGGATTGCGATCTGCGTGCAGTCCTTTACTGCAAGACAAATCTGATTTGTGTACTCAAATACAGCACCACAGATTTCCGTTTTGTCATGGGGAGGGGGGATTTTTCTTCTTGATATTTCCCGGTACAGCTTCATGGCACGGGCGAGGTCCTTGATCTTGGCGAAACCTGACAGAGTATGTCAACAGGTAGCTTTGCAACACAAATTTTTTCCAAAATTCTGTTTCGATGCTACGGCTCCGCATGATTGAAATTGTGATGCATGAAGACCGCTACAATCGTAAGTTATATATCAGTACCTTTGATGATGGTCGTGTACAGAACCGTGTTCTTGTGCAGGTTGGAGGACTTCATGTCTTCAAAAGTTTGGACGGCCATCTCCACGTGGTTGCACTTCACGCAGGCATCCAGCATGCAGCCGTAGGTGACCGCGTTCGGGTATCCCACAGAAAAAAGCAGGCAGGGCAGATTTGTAATGCAAAAATAAATACACAGAAAAATCTGTCATGGGCGGCCCCATAGCATGCTGTTTAGGATATGCTATGCAGACTTTTTTGTGTATTTGTTTTTGCATTACAAATGTGACCTGCCGGCTTTTTTCTGTGTGATATCGGGGGAATATCGGTCTTGCGCATCTCCTCCCACAACAGCAGAACTGAAAATTTGTATTGCAGAATCCGGATTTGAAAGAGTGGTCTCTGTTGCAGCTGGTGAAAGTGGAACAGCAACAGCATTTGATACTGAATAAACGGAACCAACGATCCTGGATGCTATTATTTGCAGAAGTTGAAAGCAATTTGTGACGCTGCAATGCAATTATGCAATGCAATATCAAAACAACTCCTCTACCGCGATTGAAGTCCCGGAAGGTTCCGTAGGCCTTGATCAGGGTACCGTACGTGACCGCCCCCGGCCGGGCCGAGTACATGTGCCCACGCAGGTCCACCATCGTTTGTTCCATCGACTGGACGTCCCGGAGTATCAAATGCAAATATGTCTGAGTCTGGAAGAGTGTACTCAAACTTGTCATGCTGGTTTTCCATGATCCATGAGGTCTGGAATGCGGTACCTAGCATGAAAGACTCTGTGAGGTCTGTATCCTGCCTTTACTGCATGAGAAACTCCGTCCCAACTTGGTCGAAAGTGGCCTGCTTTTGGCACTCATGCTCATGCAACACAGACTTCTGCATGATTCAGATTTAGCATGACAAGTTGCCACCTTCCAGACCCAGACGTATTTGCAGTTGATACGGAGGCGCGCGAAACCATCCAGGCACGTGTTGTACAGACCTTCTTCCGCGTCCTTGGACTTCCGGATATGCAATACAAATCTCCCGTACATGTACAAGATGCATCACAAATTTCACCAATTTGGAGCGTGAAACTTATCATGCTAAACTAGGATCGAAGCCAAGTTTTGTCATGCAGAGACCGCATTTGCACGTCGTGTACGGGAAATTTACTGTGGATACCGCAGGAATTTTTTCAACAGCGAAAACCCCCGGCGCAGTTTCGCGGTGCGGCTGTCGCCATCGAGGGAGATTTTCACGAGCGCGGAGACGGACTGGTAGTCGATCTGGTAGTCGGAGGTCAGCATCTTGTCCACCCACGACCAGGCTTCGTCGACCTTCTTCCAGCGGATGGCGTGGTCCAGGTACTTTTGGTACCGCATGGCGTTCTCGTCCTGGACAACCGCGGGAGCTGCAGTGGCGGTGGTGTTCTGCTGTTGCTGCACGTTGGCCGGTTGCGCAGCCGGCTCCTCCTGCAGCTTGGTCTCGGAGGCAACTACATTTTCCACAGTTTGGTCCACCAGAGTCGGTTCCCCAGTATCAAATGCAAATGTGTTTGGGTTCTTTGGAAGAGTTGTGCCAATTAATTGTCACGCTTGGCCGACGATAAAAGAAAAGTCTGTCATGCTTGTTGCGCGGCTACAACGTCACTTCGATTTGTCATGCAAAAAGACAATTTTTCATGCGATTAAGAACGCTACACATTGTAGCCGCTCAGATGAAAGAACTTGTCATGCGCGGCTCCGCAATACGGTCTGCCGTGTATCATTGGGACATTAGCATGACAACCTTCCAGAGGACCCAGACATATTGGATGCGGTGGATACCCCGCATCAAATGTAAAAATGTCTGGGTCTGGAAGAACGCGCGATTTGTCATGCAGCTTTTCCACGATCCATGAGGTCTGGAATGCAGGACGTAGCATGACAGATGCTGCGCGATCTTTCTCATGCCTCTCCTGCATGAGAAACTGCCTCGCGACTTGGTCAAAACTGGACGACTTTTGGTAATCATGCAACACAGACTTTTGCATGCTTCAGATTTAGCATGACAAGTTGCATTCTTCCAGACCCAGACATTTTTACATTTGATACCCCGTCGCCGTCAGCAAATCCGCCGCGCCGGAGTTCAGCAGGGCCGCATTCGGATATGCTGTGCAAAAGTATCATAGTAATCTTCGCAGTCACGCATTACAAATCTCCTTCTTGAGGCGAACCCGCATCACAAGTTCCGGTTCTCATGCTGATAAAATTTGTCATGCGATTTACACTACAACGAGACAACTTTATTTGCAGCGCATATCGGACTGGTCATCACGATCTCGTTTTCTTTGTCACCGATATGGGACTCTCAAACGTTACATTCTCAACTGTTACATGATTTGCCATGCAAATTTACCACCAAGATCGCCACGATTAAGCTGCTTCGCATAACAAATCTACGAAGGGCTAAACAGCATCTAAATCTGTGCCAAATCTGTAATGCAAAAGGCGCAATCTTGCTCCTTTCACTTTTGCCGTTCTTGCATTACAAATTCGTGTAACCGTTGAGAATGTAACATTAGAGAACGCCATAACCGACCGCGCCGGCTTCCATTCCCGACAGCATCTGCAGTTTCTTATGATATGCATTGCAAAAGTATCGCACTCGTAGTAATTGCAGTCATGCATTACAAATCTCTTTCGTTAGGTAAATCCGCATTACAAATTTTATTTCTCATGCTGAGAAAATTTGTAATGCATTTATACGAGTACGATACTTTTGCACAGGATATATGAGGGTGCACAACTCTCGCCCCTCCCTGTTCATGCTGTATGGCATGAACAGCAATACAAACACCAGCACACTTAGACCCTGTGCATGACAAATAACTCGAACCCCAAATGTTAAAAATTTGGAGTACTCAAGTACTGTTTGGGCAGCTTCAGAGCAATTTCTCATGCAAACAGTGCCACAAAGCAGCAACGAGATTGTGAACTTTGCATCACAATAAACACAAATCAGGGGGAGGGGGACGACTTGTGCACTCTCATATTTCTCATTCTCGCAGCAGTCGTCCTCATTCGCATTCGCGATGTTTTTGTGGTCGGTGTCGGTGTCCGGGGTGGTGTGGGCCAGAGATTCGGTGGTTTCGGCCGACGCAGCAGAGCAGTATCAACTGTAAAAATGTCTGGGTCTGGAAGAATCCAACTTGTCATGCTGATTTTGAATTCTCAAAAAATCTGTATTGCATGAGCAGCAAAGAGAGTCCAAGTTTTGCTACACGGAAAGAGCATGTGTCAAGCGGTATAGGCATCAGGAAGCCGTCACAAAATCTGTGATGCTAGGGCATGCATCACAGACATCAGGAGTCATGCAAAATGTGCATGACATACCTGGCAATCTTCCAGACCCAAACATTTTTACATTTGATAAGCAGGTTTGCTTCTCGATGAACTGGTTGCATTTCGTGATCGTGCCCGGCTTATGCATGGCAAAAGCATCGTACTAGTAGCAATGGCATCACAAATTTGCTGCTCAGCATGAGACGCCGAACTTGTCATGCTGATTTAGCTCGAGAAGCAGATTTGTCATGCATGTACGACTAGGATAGTTTTGCACAGGATAGTGGTTTTTGGTCGGGGTGGTCGGGTGCAGATCCTGGTCTTGCTGCTCCATTTGCTCCACCTGCTTCTATCGCAAGAAAAAACTGTTTCACTGTGAACTTGTGATGCAGAAAATGCATCTGAGAAGTGTTTGTGTTGCTACACATGCAAGACAATGGATTTCTGGCTGTGTTTTCCCTCAGGAATCTCGCATGGCAAATTTCCTCTGTGATGTAGAGCAAACCTGTGATGCAAAACCTGCAAAATCCTTACAGTGAAACATTTTTTTCTTACGATAGCTTCGCTACCTGGTGTATTAATTCTTGGAGTTCAGTTCCTAAGGAAGAAAGCAAATTCAGTTCCGCAAACTCTCTAGTCCCGTGGGAGAAGTGAGAGTGACAACCTCTAATGCATAATGACGCATGAGTAGAAACAAGAATTTGATACCGCAGTCTCCTCCACAGGCAGGGCGGCCACCGAGACGGCGGCCTCTTCCGGGACACCAGTTGCAGTCATCTTGCTCTTATGCAAAATAAAAACTTCCGGGTCATCGGGATCATTCGTGACGCGAGTGATTTGAAGGACAGCGACAGCGCGATCTGTGATGCATACACGCGATCTGTGATGCATTACAAGGAAAAATCATTCGCGTTCCTTCTCCAAGAGAACCAGCACCCAGATTGATATTTTCATTTCCATACGTTATGGTCTGGTCTCCGATCTGCGATGTGTGCCTCTTAGCCGTTTTTGGTCAAGAGAATTCCCGTCCGTGCTGGTCTGTAGCTTGTCCAATTTCCTTCCAGAATCGGACTACACCACGCTCTTCCTCTATCCCACGAAAAAAGTGTTACAGTTACACATTTGTTGTCAATTCAGCAATACAAATTTTCTCTGCATGAGAGGGAGAACTTGTAATGCAGAAATCCTACGGGAAAACACCTAAGAAACGAGGCTTCTATGCGTATCCGGCATGACAGAGCTCGTCTGTCTTGCTTGGCCTGCAATATTACAATGTGTAACTGTAACACTTTTTTCTTGCGATATCCTCTGAAAAACAGAAGAAGAATCCTTCTCAGGAGAGAGGTATGGAAGTCGAAAAACTTTATTTCGGAGTGTCATGGAAGTTTGTCATGCAGACTGATCTTATCAGCGTAACTGCTCATGCAGTCTTCGCCTTGCAGGAGTGGATCCTCGGATGCGTGTATGCATTATGTTTTGCTTCATCTTGACATAATGATAATTCTGCATGACAAACAGTTACCTCCGAAAATAAATAGTGTTGCATTCTGGATAAGACAAGTCTGCTACTCTCTCTCTCGTTTCGTCCTTCTCTGTAATATCGTGCATTTAGCAAATTGGTTTTTTGATAATAAATAGCTGTTTCTCATGCATAGACGCAATGGGAGGGGGGTAAAATTGTCATGCATCGTCCAATACCTCCTCGTGCGATTGTTCTTGTAGAGTAATTAAGATAACTTTTTAGTCGAAGACAAAACAGGAGTAAAGTGTAAGCCAGTGGCTTTTCAAAGTGAATATTGTCATTATGTTTATTTTCATTGTGTGCGAGTGCCGTAAATAGTGGGGGCACAACATGTTTTTTTTTGCTTGTTTGTCGTCAGATACTTTTTACTTCTACTTGATACAAACTGGATAAGTACTTATTCATAGGCGTCGCTTAAGTACGTCTCGGAAATGCAAAAATGGTGAATGAAAATTGATCTTGTTCTCTTTAGGTTTGATAATATCAGCAGGCTGTCACAAAAATCCTGTAGCAGTTCTGATGTTGAGTCTGTGCTTCGATATCTATGGGTATGGGGTATCGCACTTATGGTACCAAGTGTTAAGTGCAAAGCCAAAGGTAACTTGAAAATGTGACTACGGTCGTGAGAGGTCGTTCTTGCACTTGCAGGCTAATAGGATATGTGTAATCGTGTGGTCAGAAGTTTTTTATTAAGACGGTGGTGGTGGTGCAGCTAAAGTAATGCACTATGTTTGGACCGTTCTTGTGCTAGGTTTTCACTTTTCGCTCTCTCTCGACAGGATAGTGTTCTACACAGGTTGAAGTTGATGCTGTGATGGCGCAATACCACACACCATGATTTTATTGTTGCGAGGGAGCTGCAACTACACAGTGAAATCAAACAAACACACAGGGAACATCCGCGAAAAGAAACAACAAACGCGATAGGTTCTCCGTGGCGCAAGAACCTGAAGGTCCTCTGATGTCGGCCCTTGCTTGCTCGACAATGAGCGGGCGGACGTCCTCGCATGGGCGTCGTGAATAGTAAGTACGCCATGCAAAATCTTCATGCTGATAGACAGCAGCATGTGCAGTTGGCCCAGAGAGTGGTAGACCTACTTGTGAAACAACGAAACCTCACAATGCGCCAGCGGCGTGGCAGACACAGGAACATGTCCAGAGACGAAAAAGAACAAACAGCACGGGGCTCGGTGGTCCGGTTCTTGTCATGGGTGTTTTGATATTTGAATTTGTGTGACTTTTGATGAATGTTTCTGAGGGCATGGTAGAAAATGGTCTTCTACTTGATGCATTTCATTTTCATCCCACTTATTTCTATACGTGATTTTTCTACAGATGAGTTCTTGCGAATCACGTACGAGGTGCTTTGATTTATTTGATCTCTTTGACACTGTCAAAATCAAAAGGGAGAGAGTACTGTCCGTTGCGTAGCACTTACACGGTTTCCCGTCGGAACGGAAGTGTAATTCTGTTTCTTGCGGAACACTTCGCGGAAAGGATTCACGTGGCACCACGTAGGCCGGGTCTCTTCAGACGAAACACACGACCCGCGGGCTGCATGGTGAATTATCAACATGGAACAAAATACGTCCTCGACCCATGTTGAATTATGTTGACGGATTTTCATCAATGTCGAGATAATTCGTCGCTGAAACTACATCATCGCTTGCCTGTGGCTGTGTCTGTGTGTCGCTATATGTTTCGCTAATTGTACTCACGTCATGAAAACGAGTTATTCCCGGTTGAGGTGCAAGAAGAAGTACGAGTCTATGCATCGTGACCCATCTTCATCTCGTCTTCACGCCTTCGGCACAAGATCAAAGAACTGAAACTAAACTAATTCCATGCTACTTACTGCCTCTCCCCGGCAAATACAACTTTGAACGGGTGTGGCTGCGATAGGATATCGTAGAGCCGCCTGTTCACTTTAAACGTGTCTTTTCCTTTCTTCGTTTCCTCGTTCTTATGTCCTGCTTGTTGTCCACCGATGAAGATGACTTTTTTTGCCAAAACATCTTCACTGTGGTCTGGTGTCGCTTCTGCGCCTGCCTTTATTTTTTCCCCAGTGAAAGTGATTTCACTTCGAGCATCCTCGATCGGAGAAGAACTCTTTTCATCAACCTCGGCGGCAACAAAGGTGGGCGAAAGCTTCCTTCTGGAGCTTACAGAACCAGCATCACACTCGTCCTCCGGAACAGCGGTTTGATCTGCTTGCGTTTCCTTTTTCTCGTCCCAAAACTCCTTCTTTTTCCGAAATAAGCAGCAGAAAAAGGCACCCGTATTGCTGTAATGCGGCATCAGGCGGGCGCATTTTCGGAGCTCCTTTTTGATCCAGCGGTGGTCTTCTACTTCGTTATTTTTACCTTCATGATCTACTCCTGCGATGCTTTTAGAAGTTGTACTTACCGGCCACATCGTCTCTCGGTACTTCTTATCAAATGCAAAAATGTCTGGGTCTGGAAGATTAGAACCTGTCATGCTAAATCTCAATGATGCAAAAATCTGTGTTGCGTAAGTAGCAAAAGCTGTCCGCTTTTGACCAAGTCGAGAGGGAGTTTCTCATGCAGGAAATGCATGATAGAGACCTCAAAGAATCTGTCATGCTGGGTCTCGCATTCCAGACCTCATGGGTCATGGAAAACCTGCATCACAAATCTTGGACTCTTCCAGACCCAGACATTTTTGCATTTGATACTTCTTTCTGTCCTCCTTCCCGAGCAGCTTCTGGGACTCCTGGTAAGAGGAAAGGACCGTGTAGGAGGTGGGGGCGTCTACTGTTGAGCTTCTGCCATTTGATGTTCCATTTGCATTTGCCTTTTTTGGTTTTCCACCTCCGTCTGCTGGCAGAATTATTTTCTCTCTTTCCGCGACAACCGTCCAATCTTCCAGACCTCTGTGCATACGACAGGGTGCGACAATGCCGGATTTCGCACTGTCGTGCACGTCGACGACCTCTACACACCCTTTCGGTATTTTCCGCAGCACTGCCTGCACTACGGCCTCGTTTTCTAGCGGATTCAGCGAGCACGTGGAGTAACAGAGAAGACCAGTAGTATCACTCGCCAGCAACTTCAACCCCCTGAGTAAAATCTGCACCTGGAGCGAGTGTAATTGCTGTCCGAGAAAAGGGTTCCAGGATCTCCATTTCTCCTCGTATTTCCGCATGGTCCCGTCCCCGCTACAGGGCACATCTGCAATGATCCGATCGAATTTCAACAAACTCGTTTTCCCAAAAAATTCGGGGAAAATCTGCGCTCGGTGGTTCGTTACAACCACATTCTTCGCGCCGAATTGCACCCGCTTCGCCAGGGTGCCCGCCCGCTTCTGGTCAAACTCGTTGGCGAAGAGGAAGCCTGAGTTAGTCTTTTGAGGACCATGACGTTGCTGACCAGTAGTCGGGCAAGAAACCAATGAATCAGGAGTCGCTGATGTTGTAGTTGTACTAACATCCAAGATCCGTTCCAACGCCTGGCTGGTTTTCGACCCCGGGCTGGCGCAGAGGTCCAGCACCCGGTGCGATTTCTGGACGTTCAACAAAAACACCGGGAACATCGAGACGATCTCCTGGCGCTCGAGAACCTTATTTCTGTGCTTCTCCACCAACCACTTTTGGATCTCGGGGAAAAACTTCTGCATCGTCTTCGCATCGTAACACATCTGGAACGCGACGAGCTGCTTAGTTGGCACTGTAGCTGTTATTGCCTTTGCCGCCGCGGCGTCAGATGTTGAACCTTTAGAAGTTCTGGGAGCTGCTGTATTAGGTTGATGTTTACCTCGATGTACTAGTTCTCGTCGTCGCTCTTCCAACCCGAAGCGGAACTTCACCGGTTTTGGCACCGTGCGTCCGGTCGCTGTAATGTACGATGGTTCGAGAAAGTGTTTCTTGACCTCCAGCAACGCCTTGCCCACCTCGGCTTTCTTCGATTCCAAAGACGAAAACCGGAAGGAAACGCAGATCGGCTGGTGGAGAAATTTGAAAAATTTCTGCCACTCCGTCCCGTCGTGGGCGAAGAGTTTCTGGTGCAAATGGTAGTACTCCGTGAAATTTTTGCCGATTTTTTCCTTTTCCAATTGGATCTCCCAATACTTTTCGTCCGTGAGGTAGGTTTCTTGGTCTTGATCAGCTGCACATCCAAATCCTTCGTAGGTGCTCTTTGCATCACGACAAGCTGCTGAAGCAGCTGTAGGCTTTGATATTTTCGACACCACATACGCTTTCTCTTTTCCGCGGATGCTAACCCTGCCGTTGCGGCCGCCCGCTTTTCTTCTTGTTTTCCGGCGTGGACGATGTTGATGGACTTGAAGAACCGTACTGTTCTTACTAGCACTCCTCGTCGCAGCAGCCACTTGCGCGGTACCAGTTCCAGTACCGGTTGAACTTATAGCATTCGACTTCGTGGCGGCACTTTCATTTGGCCTCGTCCCGACTGTCTTGCTACACGACGGCTTCTTTCGACCATTTTCGCCCGAAAAGGATGAACAATCCTCGGTAGTTGTAACAAGCTTCCGCCGCTTGGCTGCCGGAAGAACTTCTACACTGGAATCCATAGTTCCAGTTCGTAGAGCTTGTTCAATATCCGGAGTGAAGTCCTCCGATGCTGTCTTTTTCAATTCCGTTTCGCTCCCAGCACCTGCCATCTTTTGTGTTTCTAAGTATATTGGTAGTTGTCCGACTCAATTCATTGCTTCAAAAACATTAAAAAGGCGCGATGAGCATACTAAAAACTCTTTCTATAAGTTCAACAGCTGATAGCCATGCCCAACAAACCATCTGACTGCACGTGTACCTCGGACAAGAACTCTGAGTCATTGATTGATCCAATGGCAACAAAAATCGTCAACCAGTAATGAGATCATGATGGAACAGATTCACTTTTTATTCCAGTGCTGGCAAGAAGTTATGCCTGTTGATCCTGATCGAAAATAGATCCTGGGGCATGATAGATTCTAATTCTTCGCTCCTTCCCCATACAATTCCTTTTCCGAGGAACACCATGACAAATAAATCCCCCTTCTGGGCGACATCGATCGCTGATCAATGCAGCATTTTTTTTTTCCAGCAACACCTGATCCAACCGGCCGATCGCACGAACGACTAGAGCAAGGCAGCTGGTGGTGTTCTTAGAAGATTTCGTAGAACAAGATGACCAAGGAACAAGACGTGATGATCAATTATCCACCGTCAAGAAGTTTCAAATCGTTTAATATTTTCCCTACACTTCTACAGCGTCGAGTCGATACCTTTTTACACTTTTCGGCAATTTGAACAAAATAAGAACCTCGGATTTTGAATTTTTCTCTTCCAATATTTTGTGGTTTTAATTTTGAAGATGAACCAAACTGAAGGTATCAAAAACTACTTTACATATTAATCTTTTCTCGTTGTGCATGCTTCCGGTAAAAATTGCTTTCAACATTATTGAAGACTCACATCCCTACTACTTAATTCAAACGGAAAAAGACGCTTCTCCATACTCAGGCTGGTGCCGTCAACGAAGTCGAAGTCTCGGGAGGTCGTGTTGGCAATAAAGCAGGTTCGGAGGGGGCAACATCAACTTCGGCTGACGACAAACTTCTATTTTCATCTGCCGGCGAGGAGGTGGATGCTAGGTGTTGTATCGAGGCTTCGTCTGGACGTCCAGAGGGCAAAGTTGTAGGTGCGAGGAGCTCCTGCTGATGATGATGTTCATCTTGTGCGGCCTGCTGTTGTAGTTGTCGTGTTCTTATTTCTTCCTCCTCCAGCGTTGCTCCGTCCTTTGCGACGTCCGCATCATTGGTCGAGTGGTCCTCGTCCTGCCGCCCCCGCCTTCGCCTGTAATTTATTGTTCCTTTCCCGGAGAATCGCCGTCACGAGGCCCAGGTGCGGCGCCGCTTTCCGGTAGGCCGGCAACTCATCTTCGATTTTCGCAATGTTGCCCAACTTGTGCCCGGTTTCCGCCCTGCTGCTGCCCGCGTCTGTTCTTGCCTCCGCCGCTTCCTCCTCCATCGTCTTTACATGCTCAGACAAAGTCTGAAAGTCCTCGCGCACACGGACGAGCGACCTGCCCCGCCAAATTTGGCTGTGCGCGTGCTTGGGCCGGCGGGAGAGATCTAGTACCAGGGTGTTGGTGCGGAAATTGTGCTCGTTTTGCAAAGCGGCGCACGCCAAGTGCTGGATGTCGTGCATTCGGGTACTCAAAGATTCCAGCTGCTCCTGTAGCTCCGGATACGGCACCGAGTCCCAAAACGTGTGCAATTGGACCTCGGCGTCCTTCTTTGTGTAGAGGCTGGAACTGGGAAGCGCCTGCGCGTACTGCTCCACCAGGGGGCGCACCAGGACCATCTCCACGAACTCTTCGGTGTCCATATCTCCTGAGTCAAACGCGTGAAAGGCCCCGGTGTGGTTCACTTGCCACGAAGCCAGTAGCGGCAGCGCAAACACGCAGTAGCACAGCAGCAACTCGAATACAAAGGAGCACCGAGCCAGGTGGCGTCTACATTTTTCTTTCCGGAAAAACCGTCTCTCCGCGGCCACCGCGTCCTCATCTTCCGAAATTTTTTTGTGTTCTGGCGAAAATAAATCCTGTTCTTCCTGATGCTCCGCACTGACTCTGTTTTCGATAACATCAGAAGTCCTCCTCCATTCAGGGCGAGCGCTAGAAGTTGCAGCAGGAGGCGGTGAATCATGTTGTTCTGAACGCGCCCTGAAAACGAATAAAACAAGCTGAAGGAAACTTAGCCCGACCCCAGACATATCAAATGCAAATATGTCTGGGTCTGGAAACTTGTAATGCTGGGCTGTGAGTAGTGAATGCTCTGTAACGTACAGGCAAGCATGAGAAATACTTGCGCGGCTTAGTGTAAGTGTTGCGTTTTTCGCATGACAAACTGCGTTTTTGGATGACAAGCAACAGGGTCTCTTCTTCCTTGGACACGCATCACAAGCTCTTCAGTCATGCCAGACAAGCATGACAAACCTTGTATCCTTCCAGACCCAGACATATTTGCATTTGATAAGACACAACGGCGACGCACAACACCAGGAGCCGCGCCCAAGTGATGGGTTCCCACGGCCGCGGCGAGGTTTGGTAATCCAGGCAACCCGAGTGCCACAGGTAGCCCCGGCGCGTGAGAAAATTGTCAAACAGATCCACCTATGAAATGTAAAAATGTCTGGGTCTGGAAGATCGCAGATTTTTGTCATGCTGTTTTTGCATGACACGGAAGGTCTGGCATGGACGCCCTAGCATCACAGGTTTAGGTTACGCAATGCCTAATCCGCATGACAAATCCTCTATTCCGATGACAGAAAATGGGTAACTTTTGCTGCCTAAGCATGAGAGATTTCTGCGCGTTGTGAAATGCGCATCACAAGTTCGAATCTTTCCAGACCCAGACATATTTGCAATGCATACCACCACGGTGGGGTCGGAGATGGCCGTGAGGTAGGTCAAGGGCATATGAAATGCAAATATGTGTGGGTCTGGAAGAATGCAGATTTTTATCATGCTGTTTTTGCATGACACAGAAGGTCTGTCATGGAAGCCCTAGCATCACAGATTTCGAGAACCTTCCGCCATGCCCAATCCGCATGACAAATCCTCCTTTTTGGTGACAGAAAATGCGCGCCTTTTGCTGCCTATGCATGAGAAATTTGTCTGTGTTGCGAAATTCGCATAACAAGTTCCAACCTTCCAGACCACCCAGATACATTAGCAATGCATACGGCACGTTCTCGCCCCAAAAGAGCTGCAGCCCCTCGAAAAGCACCAGCAGAGCACCCCCGGCCTGAGCGGAAAACGAGTGCAGCCGCCAAAAGACCTTCGCCGTGCGGGCCCGCGATCGCTTCCACCGGGTACTCTTGTTCTTGGTGCCAGCGTAAATTTGGTCTATCGAAGACCAGTATCAGCTGCAAAAGTGTGTGGGTCTCTGGAAGAATGCCAGACTTGTCCTGCAGGTTCTTTTCCATGACCCATGAGGTCTGGTATGTAGGACATAGCATGACAGATTCTGATGTGACAGTTCTATCATGCCTATCCTGCATGAGAACCTGCCTCTCGATTAGGTCAAAAGTGGGCAGCTTTTGGTAATCATGCAACGCAGATTCTTACATGATTCAGATTCAGCATGGCAAGTTGCTTTGTTCCAGACCCAGATGACATTATTGCATTTGATAACGAATCGGTCGGAATCACAAGAGAACAGCAGAAGGACGGGACAATCAGCCAGATGGCACGCAGTATCAAAAGGGAAAATCCCCCCTCCCCATATCGAAAAGGAAATCTGTGATGCTGGGTCTGCGTACACAAATCAGATTTGTCTTGCAGTAGAGGACTCCACGCAGATCGCGAGCCTAGATAGGGGCCTTTTGGTGTAGGCGCGTAGCATGGTAGACGGCTGCCCCGTAGTCCTTACAGCATTTCAAATCGCCTGCATAGCGTGGCAGAGAGCCTGGACTTGCCTTCTAGCAAAACAGGCAAGATTTGTGGTCACAAATCTGCATCTCAAATTTTCAGAGGATACGTTTTCAATATGGGGAGAGGGGATTTTTTCTTGCAATACGCAGGCAAATTTCTTCCGGCGACGTCAGCTTCGGCAGCCCCGTATGAACTGCAAAAGTATCGCACTCGTCCAAATGCATGACAAATTCCCTCAGCATGAGAAATAAAATTTGTAATGCGGATTTACCTTGAGAAAAAAATTTGTAATGCTGCAAGACTTGCATTCATACGAATACGATACTTTTGCGCAGCATACCCCGGATTGCCCCGCTCGCTCGCCTCCTCGGGCGCCGCCCATTGGCAGAAGGACCGGTACGCGTGAAACGGGTACTGGTTCAGCAACGTGGCCACCATGTAGAGTACCAGGCACAGGGTAAAAATTTTGCCCTCGGCCGCTTCCGGGTTTTGGCACACGCTGGACAGTATGGATTGTAAAAAAGTCTGGGTCCTCTCCTGGAAACTTGTGATGCTGGGTGGCGTATCATGAAGAGGCCACAAATGCTGGCTCAGCATGGCAAGTTTCTGAGCTTGCTTCTAGGTTTTGCCTATTCTGCATGACAAACTGCGTTTCTGCATGACAGCAAAATGGGGCTCTTGGGAAACGTGCATGACAGATTTAAGAGTCATGCCAGACTAGCACGAGGAATCTCGCAATCTCCCAGACCCAGACATTTTTGCATTTGATAGACAGCGTGCCGCTCCTCAGAAACCCTTTAGGCAGCTGCACCTCCTCGACCGGTCTTTCCTCGAAGCCCGGTGGCATAAAAACTGAGGTGTCGTCTTGCTTCTCCACTCCATCTCCGACTCCTTGGCTTACAACAACTTCGCCCAGCAGCGAGGTGCCTTTCATCGTACTAGCATCATCTTTTGCGGTTGTTGATGATGCACCACCTGACTCGGCCGTCTGAACAACTTCCAGGTGGTGACCAAAAGTAGACTCCGCACGAGGACCTCCTTCGCGTTTCTTCAAAAGATCCTCCAGTTTATTCGGCGCTTTCGTTCTCTTCTTTGCGCGGCGGCCTGGCTCCTCAGTTCTTGTTTCCTCGTCAACATCGCTTGCACCACTCTGCAGGGCGGAGTCCGGAGCGTTCATACTCAGCACTGGTAAATCTTCGTCATCGACATGCGGCTCGTTTGTCGATTCACCCAGAAAGACACTGCCTTGACTGAAGCTCCCCTCCAGTCTGCTGCTGGTGCTCGTCTCGATGTCGTCGTGATCGACGTCCACTGCAGCCTCACTCCCCTCTCCTCGTCTGCTCGCCGTTTTGATGTTCATCATATTTGAAGAAAGGTGACCTTGACCTCCACCCCGCCTGCTCTTGCGCACCAGCAGTTTCCGCACGATTGTTTCGGGAAAAAACACGAGCTTCCAGGGAAGCAAAGTCCCGAAAACCACGGCTGTATAACCCGCGACCAAGAGCAAGAACCCCAGCACCCCGTCCGTCCGCGTGGAACCGACGAAGGCGGACTATGGGAGCGTCAGGCTTGAAGTCAACGAAGTTGTTGAAATGATTTGCCATGCATAAAATGCAAGGCATGAAGTGCCTGTCTTGCCGGGATGGCAAGTGAGGCAGATTGTGAGCCTATCTAGGGTTTGGAATAGAGCTGCTAAAGGAGCATGACAGAAGCAGTATTCTGTGCCCAAACAGCATGACAAATTGGATCCGGGTGCTCCGAAAATTTGTCATGCGCCGCTTGATAAGTGGGCTTCCAACTGGTATCGGCTTTATGCATGACAAACTATTTCAACTCTGACGATTTCGATCCTGACACCCCCATACGGACAGCAGAAACCGGATCAGGCTGAGCGTGACCGCCCCGCACCACCGCACTCGCTGCAGCGCGTCGTGGAAAAAGTCGTGGTGCTGGTCCAGTTTGTCCTTCAACTGCGCGTATGGATTGCAAAAATGTCTGGGTCTGGAAACTTGTAATGCTAAAAGTGAATGGCACACGCACTGCAATACGCAGCCACGCATGACAAATTTTTTGGCTCCTATCCCAAAGAAAAAAGCCGACAGGTCAGAAAAAAAATAATTAAATAATAATTGTTATCGTCAACAATAAAAGCAAAACAAAACAACAAAAAAAATTGCCGCCATACCATGCGGATTAGCTTCAGGACAGATCAGCAATCCGCGCGAATCATGGTGGGGCTGCTATTGTCAACAATAAAAGCAAAACAAAACAACAAGAATAAACTGCCGCCATACCATTCGGATTAGCTTCAGGACAGATCAGCAACCCGCGCGAATCAGGGCGGGACGGCGATCGCCCGCTTTTTTTATTTTTGCGACGAATTTCGCCCATTCGCGCCATACCGTGCGGGCTGGGTTTCGTAGGGGGTTGCCGGTTTCGCCAATCCGCACGCCACGGCGCCCGCAGTCGGTTTTGCGGCTTTTTGCAGATTTTCCATGTTCGCGCCATAGCGTGCGGGCTGGCTATCTGGCGAAGCTGCCGGCTTCGCGAATCCGCACGGCACGGCGGTCGCAGTTAGTTTTTTAAATTTTGGCGAGTTTTCTTTGTTTCGCGCCATACCGTGCGGGCTGGGCTTCGTACGGGGTTGCCGGCTTCGCCAATCCGCACGGCACGGCGTCCGCCGTCGGTTTTGCGACTTTTTGCAAATTTTTGCTGTTCGCGCCATAGCGTGCGGGCTGGCTTTCTGGCGAAGCTGCCGGCTTCGCAAATCCGCATGGCGAGGCGGCCGCGGTTAGTTTTGTGAATTTTGGCGATTTTTTTCCTTTCGCGCCATACCGTGCGGGCTGGGCTTCATAAGAGGTCGCCGGCTTCGCCAATCCGCACGGCACGGCGCCCGCAGTCGGTTTTGGGACTTTTGGCGAATTTTCTTTGTTCGCGCCATACCGTGCTGCTGGCTTTCTGGCGAAGCTGCCGGCTTCGCGAATCCGCACGGCACGGCGGCCGCAATTAATTTTGTAAATTTTGTCGGGCTTGTTCCTTTCGCGCCATACCGTGCGGGCTGGCCTTCGGGCGAAGTTGCCGGCTTCGCGCATCCGCATGGAACGGCGGCCGCAATTAGTTTTGCGAATTTTGGCGAGTTTTTTGCCTTCACGCCATACCGTGCGGGCTGGCGGTCGCAAGAGGGTGCCGGCGTCGCGAATCCGCACGGCACGGCGATCGCAATTATCGCTTCAAAATAGGAAGGCAGGAGCTTGGAAACCGTCGAAGGCTTTGCCAGCTTTGCGAAAGTTCCCGAATGTTCGGAGTCGCCGGATTCAGAGGCGGCGAGGCGTCAAACCCTCGCCAAGCTTTTCAACATTTGGGAATGCCAAAAATGCGACCCCCTCCTCTATCTGCGGAAGCTGGCGCACTTAAAGCAAATTGCTCCCGCTTCTGGTAATTTTTGCCGAGTTCGTCCGCGGATACTTTCGAAGGCTCGGAATCGCTTCAAAATAGGCAGGCAGGAGCCTGGGAGCTGTCGGAGGCTTTGCCAGCTTTGCGAATATTCCCGAATATTCGGAATCGCCGGAATCAGAGGCGGCGAGACGTCAAACCCTCGCCAAGTTTTTCAACGCTTGGGAATGCCAAAAATGCGACCCCCGCCTCTATCTGCGGAAACTGGCATCCTTAAAGTAAGTGGCTTCCTCTTCTTCTGGAAACTTTTGCCCGCCGAGTGTGTCCGCGGATCCTTTCGAATATTCGGAATCGCTTCAAAATAGGCAGGCAGGAGTTTGGAAATTGTCGAAGGTTTTGCCAGCTTTTCGAATGTTCTCGAATCCTCGGAATCGCCGGAATCAGAGGCGGCGAGGCTTCAAATCCTTGCCAAGTTTTTCAACAATTGGGAATGCCAAAAATGCGACCCCCGCCTCTATCTGCGGAGGCTGACATACTCAAAGCAAATTACTTCCTCTGCTGGGAATTTTTGCCGAGTTCGTCCGCGGATACTTTCGAATATTCGGAATCGCTTCAAAATAGGCAGGCAGGAGTTTGGAAACTGTCGAAGGTTTTGCCAGCTTTTCGAATATTCTCGAATATTCGGAATCGCCGGAATCAGAGGCGGCGAGACTTCAAATCCTTGCCAAGTTTTTCAACAATTGGGAATGCCAAAAGTGCGACCCCCGCCTCTATCTGCGGAGGCTGACATACTCAAAGCAAATTACTTCCTCTGCTGGGAATTTTTGCCGAGTTCGTCCGCGGATACTTTCGAATATTCGGAATCGCTTCAAAATAGGCAGGCAGGAGTTTGGAAACTGTCGAAGGTTTTGCCAGCTTTTCGAATATTCTCGAATATTCGGAATCGCCGGAATCAGAGGCGGCGAGACTTCAAATCCTTGCCAAGTTTTTCAACAATTGGGAATGCCAAAAATGCGACCCCCGCCTCTATCTGCGGAGGCTGACATACTCAAAGCAAATTACTTCCTCTGCTGGGAATTTTTGCCGAGTTCGTCCGCGGATACTTTCGAATATTCGGAATCGCTTCAAAATAGGCAGGCAGGAGTTTGGAAACTGTCGAAGGTTTTGCCAGCTTTTCGAATATTCTCGAATATTCGGAATCGCCGGAATCAGAGGCGGCGAGACTTCAAATCCTTGCCAAGTTTTTCAACAATTGGGAATGCCAAAAATGCGACCCCCGCCTCTATCTGCGGAGGCTGACATACTCAAAGCAAATTACTTCCTCTGCTGGGAATTTTTGCCGAGTTCGTCCGCGGATACTTTCGAATATTCGGAATCGCTTCAAAATAGGCAGGCAGGAGTTTGGAAACTGTCGAAGGTTTTGCCAGCTTTTCGAATATTCTCGAATATTCGGAATCGCCGGAATCAGAGGCGGCGAGACTTCAAATCCTTGCCAAGTTTTTCAACAATTGGGAATGCCAAAAATGCGACCCCCGCCTCTATCTGCGGAGGCTGACATACTCAAAGCAAATTACTTCCTCTGCTGGGAATTTTTGCCGAGTTCGTCCGCGGATACTTTCGAATATTCGGAATCGCTTCAAAATAGGCAGGCAGGAGTTTGGAAACTGTCGAAGGTTTTGCCAGCTTTTCGAATATTCTCGAATATTCGGAATCGCCGGAATCAGAGGCGGCGAGACTTCAAATCCTTGCCAAGTTTTTCAACAATTGGGAATGCCAAAAATGCGACCCCCGCCTCTATCTGCGGAGGCTGACATACTCAAAGCAAATTACTTCCTCTGCTGGGAATTTTTGCCGAGTTCGTCCGCGGATACTTTCGAATATTCGGAATCGCTTCAAAATAGGCAGGCAGGAGTTTGGAAACTGTCGAAGGTTTTGCCAGCTTTTCGAATATTCTCGAATATTCGGAATCGCCGGAATCAGAGGCGGCGAGACTTCAAATCCTTGCCAAGTTTTTCAACAATTGGGAATGCCAAAAATGCGACCCCCGCCTCTATCTGCGGAGGCTGACATACTCAAAGCAAATTACTTCCTCTGCTGGGAATTTTTGCCGAGTTCGTCCGCGGATACTTTCGAATATTCGGAATCGCTTCAAAATAGGCAGGCAGGAGTTTGGAAACTGTCGAAGGTTTTGCCAGCTTTTCGAATATTCTCGAATATTCGGAATCGCCGGAATCAGAGGCGGCGAGACTTCAAATCCTTGCCAAGTTTTTCAACAATTGGGAATGCCAAAAATGCGACCCCCGCCTCTATCTGCGGAGGCTGACATACTCAAAGCAAATTACTTCCTCTGCTGGGAATTTTTGCCGAGTTCGTCCGCGGATACTTTCGAATATTCGGAATCGCTTCAAAATAGGCAGGCAGGAGTTTGGAAACTGTCGAAGGTTTTGCCAGCTTTTCGAATATTCTCGAATATTCGGAATCGCCGGAATCAGAGGCGGCGAGACTTCAAATCCTTGCCAAGTTTTTCAACAATTGGGAATGCCAAAAATGCGACCCCCGCCTCTATCTGCGGAGGCTGACATACTCAAAGCAAATTACTTCCTCTGCTGGGAATTTTTGCCGAGTTCGTCCGCGGATACTTTCGAATATTCGGAATCGCTTCAAAATAGGCAGGCAGGAGTTTGGAAACTGTCGAAGGTTTTGCCAGCTTTTCGAATATTCTCGAATATTCGGAATCGCCGGAATCAGAGGCGGCGAGACTTCAAATCCTTGCCAAGTTTTTCAACAATTGGGAATGCCAAAAATGCGACCCCCGCCTCTATCTGCGGAGGCTGACATACTCAAAGCAAATTACTTCCTCTGCTGGGAATTTTTGCCGAGTTCGTCCGCGGATACTTTCGAATATTCGGAATCGCTTCAAAATAGGCAGGCAGGAGTTTGGAAACTGTCGAAGGTTTTGCCAGCTTTTCGAATATTCTCGAATATTCGGAATCGCCGGAATCAGAGGCGGCGAGACTTCAAATCCTTGCCAAGTTTTTCAACAATTGGGAATGCCAAAAATGCGACCCCCGCCTCTATCTGCGGAGGCTGACATACTCAAAGCAAATTACTTCCTCTGCTGGGAATTTTTGCCGAGTTCGTCCGCGGATACTTTCGAATATTCGGAATCGCTTCAAAATAGGCAGGCAGGAGTTTGGAAACTGTCGAAGGTTTTGCCAGCTTTTCGAATATTCTCGAATATTCGGAATCGCCGGAATCAGAGGCGGCGAGACTTCAAATCCTTGCCAAGTTTTTCAACAATTGGGAATGCCAAAAATGCGCCCCCCGCCTCTATCTGCGGAGACTGACATACTCAAAGCAACTTCCTTCCTCTCCTGGAAATTTTTGCCGAGTTCGTCCGCGGATACTTTCGAATATTCGGAATCGCCCGAATCAGAGGCGGCGAGGCTTCAAATCCTTGCCAAGTTTTCCAACGCTTGGGACTGCCAGAAATGGTATGGCGCGAAAGAAAAAACCCGCCAAAATTTACAAAACTAATTGCGGCCGCCGTGCCGCGCGGATTCGCGAAGCCGGCAGCTTCACCAGAAAGCCATCCCGCACGCTATGGCGCGAACAAAGAAAATCCGCCAAAAGTCGCAAAACCGACTGCGGGCGCCGTGCCGTGCGGATTGACGAAGCCGGCAAACTCTTACGAAGCCCAGCCCGCATGGTGTGGCGCGAAAGGAAAAAACCCGCCAAAATTTACGAAAGTAATTGCGGCCGCCGTGCCGTGCGGATTTGCGAAGCCGGCAGCTTCGCCAGAAAGCCAGCCCGCGCGGTATGGCGCGAACAAAGGAAATTCGCCAAAAGCCGCAAAACCGACTGCCGGCGCCGTGCCGTGCGGATTGGCGAGGCCGGCAACCTCTTACGAAGCCCGGCCCGCACGGTAAAGCGCAAAAGGAAAAACTCGCGAAAATTTACAAAAATAATTGCGGCCGCCGTGCCGTGCGGATTCGCGAAGCCGGCAGCGTCGCCAGAAAGCCAGCCCGCACGGTATGGCGCGAACGTAGGAAATTCGCCAAAAGTCGCAAAGCCGACTGCGGGCGCCGTGCCATGCGGTTTGGCGAATCCGGCAAACTCTTACGAAGCCCAGCCCGCACGGTATGACGCGAAGCAAAAAAATTCGCCAAAATTTGCAAAACTAATTGCGACCGCCGTGCCGTGCGGATTCGCGAAGCCGGCAGCTTCGCCAGAAAGCCAGCCCGAACGCTATGGCGCGAACGTAAAAAATTTGAAAAAAATCGCGAGACCGACTGCGGGCGCCGTGCCGTGCGGATTGGCGAAGCCGGCAGCCCCCTTCGAACCCCAGCCCGCACGGCATGGCGCGAATAAGCGAAATTCGCCACAAAAATAAAAAAGGCGGGCGATCACCGTCCCGCCGTGACTCGCGCCGATTGCTGATCTGTCCTGAAGCTAATCCGCATGGTATGGCGGCAATTTTTTTTGTGGTTTTGTTTTGCTTTTATTGTTGACAATAACAATTATCATTTAATTATTTTTTTTCTGACCTGTCGGCTTTTTTCTTTGGGATAGCTCCCATGTCTTACGTATTCCGCATGGCAAACTGCGTTTTTCCATGACAGGTAAGCGGGCCTTTTCGTGCCTATGCAACACAGATTCTCGAGACATGCCAGACAAGCATGACAGACTTGCATTCTTCCAGAGCCAGACGCTTTTGCATTTGATAGCGAATTCTCGACCTGCAGATGGTGCAGGTTTTCCGCAAACTCCTCCATTTTCCGCTCCAAATACCGAACTCGGTCCTCGAGGTGTTGTGGTGGAGCAGGAGAATTTGTCCTAGAAGTAGAACGGGCTTCTACTCCATCACCGTGGTCCTCCGCTGGCAGGGTCGTCGCCCACCTGCTCGTCGGAAACGATGGATCTTCAACATGCGGCTCCGAGTAGAAGAAGTCGGGAGATGTTGAAGCGGAGTTGTCCTCCTGGCGCAGTGGTCCCGTTCCACTTCTCTGCAGGACCGAGGAGCTTCTAATGGAGCCAGCAACTACATGCGATTCCGGTGTCTCCTCAGAATAGAAGTACTCGACGTCCCCTTGATGATGATCTTCGTCGTGTGTTCCTTCTTTATCGCCACTTGAAGATGGCAAGTTGTCGAAACCCCCATTTTCGCCTACATCGAGGAAAACCAGAGAACTACTACCGGTAGTAGAGCCTCGTGCAGAATGACGATGCAGCTGGGGCGATGAATTCCTCTTGCTGCTCTCATGCACAACATCATCATGCTCAGCCACGTGAACAGCTGCCGTGGTGGTGGCTGCGGCGACGAGGAAAATGATCCCAGGCGTGAAGGAGATCATGGGCGTAGTAGTTGTTTTAGTTTTTCTCATGCTTGAAGAAACGTTGCGGGTACTTACATTACGATTACACCAAATATCATCCTCCGGGCCGTTTGTACGACCTGCTCCGCTCCATTTGTAGCTCTTTGGTGGAAACAAAACCGTTGAAAATTCCTGTTCGACGTCGACCTTTCGCTTTCGTGACCTCGAGAAGAAAAAGTCGCGCCGGAACGGCATATGTCAAATTCAAAAGTGGTGACACGGACTTTTTGCTCTGCGCATGTTGTATGTGAAAGTATGTAAGTAACGATTCTTGTTTCCACGACCCATTTTGGAACAGCCCACGACTAAGAACCCCGCTGCCTTTTGGACGAACAATGAGAATGAAGATCCACACTTAATTATTTCGAGACCAAGTAGCTACACAAAACTAGCTCCGACGATCGACGAGAACGACATGATCACAAGATGCAGCCCGCCCCACACGCAGCAGCTAATACCGACCTGTCCCTGTAGTAAAATAGAATCAAAATAAAAGCATCACGAAGATTTCTTTTCGGCAACGAACGACGATTTTCTATATCGGTCGACTCCGAGATAATTAATTACTTACTTACTTATCATCGAACTTAGCAGCAACACAACGACGCACAAGGACTCGACAGCATTGCATTTCTAAGTGTTGCAGCCGGACCGGCAATGCGTAGTTACTGGTCGTGATAGAACTGCGCCCTACTCTTCTTGCAACCGCCTTTTTTTATCGCAGGGACCGCGGCGTATCAGCCAGGTACTCGGATAACGATAAGCTGACCAGCTTTAGCATTTCTTGACGAATCTTGGATTATCTCCCTTGCCAGTAGAACTAGAATTTGATGTTGTATGCTAAATTTTCATTCCTGTAAGTGTGTATCCTGATGCTCCAATGTGCTTATCACTTGTGAAAATCATTTTCGAAGCAGTGCAGACACGACGACGTGCTGCGCCCAGTTGTACAAACTTAGTGCCACAATCAATCGCTCTTGATCCTCGCGTAGATGTAGTGGAGAAACCTCGAGCAGCTCCAATAGGTTATCGCTCCCATCATCAAGAATATCCCGTACGCGATTACCAAGGAGTAGAGAAAGAAAAAGGATCCCTGCAGAAAGGAATCCATTAGCGACGCTTTGAAGTAGGAGATGCAGTAGAGGTAGAAAAACACCGCCAGGCTGCTCCCGGAATAGAAAGACCTCCACCACCACTTGTAATTCTCGGCATTCAAAGTCCAGTAGACGAAGAGCACGGACAGCAAGGCAGACACCATGATGGTCAGAACCAAAGTGAGGAGGAGTATCCCAAAAACTCGGTAGCTCGCGTGGCCTGTAACAATGCACAACTCCCCCTCCCCCTCATTTGTCATGCAAAATACCAAATTCACACCTTGCACGTAAGCACTGCTAGCATGACAAAGTTTGGAACGTCAAATAGTACTACAATCCGCATGCAGATTTGTCATGCGAAAGCCCATTTTCTGCTGTTGCTTGTGTTGCTGTTCATGCAACACAAATGAGGGGGAGGGGGAGTTGTGCCCTGTCATATGGCCCCAAACGGAGTCAAAGATGTAGTGCAGTTCGGCGTACATGGAGAGGAAAGGGAGGCCGCCGCAGCAAATATACTGAATCAGCACGGACCGGGACCTTGTGAGGAGGGTTTCGATAAAGTTTTGATGTCTTGTTTATTTCGCGCTTTGATATGGGGTGTGGGTGCAACATCAACATGAGCATGACAAGACAAAAATGAAATTTTTTGTGTAGTATCTACTTCGTAATAGGATCATCTTCGCAAGACGAGAAATTCACACGGAATGAAAAGCTGCTTCATATAGAAGTACCAAGTCTTCGCGTGCGGCGGTATGTGCCTCTCCAGCTTGTTGGTCTTGCAGGGAAAGTAGCTGGCAATTTCGCTGGTTTCGAAGTATTTCTTAATCACCACCTGTCTCCCCAGCACGCCCCCAACCACCGTCAGGGGGATGGTCACACAGATCCATACGAACAGCAGCAGCACTATCGTCGCGAAGGGAACGGCCACGGTGGAGGAGTAGAAGATCGCGATGGTGTTCAGCACGGACCAAATTACGAAACAGGGTAAAGCGAACATCAGACTGGTGAGTAAGATGTTTAAGGTCCACCTTTCGCCGTTCAACACTTGTATCCCACAGAAAAAGTAATAGAGACGCAAGTCAGATAATTTGTAATGCAAAAATAATCCGCAGAAAAATCTGTCATGGACGACCCCATAGCATGCTGTTTAGGGTACGCATTTTTCTGTGTATTCATTTTTGCATTACAAATCTGCCCTGTCTGCTTTTTTCTGGGGGATAACTTGGTACAAAGACCCGGACACGTAGCCCGCCACGACCGCGCTGCAAACGTAGAAAAACGTATCGCAGAAAAAAACTATGTGAGTGTAAGTCTGTGATGCAGAAAATGCAAAACTGCTACACTTGTCATGCTGAATGTGCGTCATGGGCTACTTTCATACGTGTCTCCACTACTACTACCTGCGCATGAGAGGTTTTCCCTGCAATGGAAAGCGAATTTGTGAGGCTGCTCTTCCTACAAAGTTACACTTACACAGTTTTTATCCTGCATAAAACGCCATGGAGCTGATCACCGCGTTGTTGTGGTAGTGCCCGAAACACCCGAAAAACACTACAGAGAGTGACATGATCAGAATTTGCGTGCCGGTTCCCACCATGGAGGCGAACACCGTGCGGAACTTCGGCGGGCGGAACACGTCGGCATGGAGGAGCTTCTATGCAGTGCAAAAGTATCGCACTCGTATAAATGCATTACAAATTTCCTCAGCGTGAGAAATAAAATTTGTAATGCGGACTTGCCTCAAGAAAAAGATTTGTAATGCAAGACATGCATTTATACGAGATACGATACTTTTGCAGAGGATAGCTTCCAGCCGGTATGGGACATAAACTCAAAGGTGTTGTTATCAATCGCAAATATGTCTGGGTCTGGAATATAATTCTGAGACTTGTCATGCACGTTTTGCATGAGCCATGATGTCGGTGATGCATGCCCTAGCATCACAGGCTTTTTGAGGGATTCTTGATGCCTATTCCGCATGACAAATGCCCTCTCCGCGTAGCAAAAATTAGATTTCTTTTGCTGCTCATGCAACACAGATTTTTTTGACATCCAAATGCAGCATCACAAGTTGCATTCTTCCAGACCCAGACATATTTATTGCACTTGATAGTTGTCTAAATCGTCGAAGTCAGAAACCAAATCGTCCAACGTTTTGGCCTATCAAGTGCAAATATGTCTGGGTCTGGATGAGCAGAAGTGCAGATGTTTGTAATGCAGGTTTTGCATGACCCAGAGCGTCTGGCATGCAGGGACTAGCATCACCGGTTTTTCGCGGGGGGCTTCGTGATGCCCCCTACTCTGCATGAGAACAAGTCCGCTCTCATCATGGCCAAGAATATGAGACATTAATTTTTGCTGTTCATACAAGACAAATTTTTGTGTGAATTGAAATGTGCATCACAAGTTGCAGCATTCCAGATCCAGACAAATTTGCAATGCGTATAGCCTGGCCGCCGCCGTCCGCGTTGGCGTTGCCGATTACGTTGTACTATGGATTGCAAAAATGTCTGGGTCTGGAAGATTGCAACTTGTCATGCTAAATCCGAATCATGCAAAAATCTGTGTTGCATGAGTGCCAAAAGCTGTCCACTTTCGACCAAGTTGGGAGGGAGCTTCCCATGCAGGATAGGCATGAAAGAGACCTCACAAACTCTGTCATGCTAGGTCCCGCATTCCGGACCTCAAGGGCAAGGTCACACTCTTCCAGATCCAGACATTTTTGCATTTCATATGTACTGCGGCTTCTTACTCGTTGTCGTCTTGCTTTCGTTGCCCATGGCAGTGTTGAACCCCTCGACGAAGGCGTCGGCTAAGTCAGATTGGAGGTTACGAATCAGGACGGAAATCACCACCACGGAAACCACACCCATGACGGCGATGGCGTTCAAAATTCCGAACCAGTGGACCTGAAAAAGTAGTTTTTGTCATGCTTCCCCGGGTTGCATGACAAAGAGGTCTTGTCATGCTTTGTTTTGCATTACAAATTTATGTACCTTCATATGCGCTCGTCCTTCCCTTCCCTCCTCCTCGGACACAATTCCGGCGTAGTTGTTATCGTATGTAAAAACGTCTCCACCCTTGTAAGTAATGCAAAACTGCATGCTGAAAATGTTTCTCATGCGAAGCCCCATGAGAAGCATTGCCTAGTCGTGTTTTGGAATTTGTCATGCTCCAATCTGCATCATATACGAGATCTGTGATGCTGCTGAACTACCTCAAACAGCACTACACTACGAGTCCAAATTTGTCATGCAAAACGGCCAAAACATGTGGACTTGTCTAGCCGATTCCCCATCTTGACTATGGGATCGTGGGGACGTTTTTACATAGGATAGTTGTGCATGATTTGGTACTCCAGCGCCTCGTCCCGGGTCATCCCGTAGTCCGTGTGCGGAAACCAGTGCACGGACATCGTGAACTGGACCTTCATATGCATTGCAAAAGTATCGCACTCGTATAAATGCATTACAAATTTTCTCAGCATTAGAAATAAAATTTGTAATGCGGATTTACCTTAAGAAAAGGATTTGTAATGCATGATTGCAATTACGTACGAGTACGATACTTCTGCACAGGATACTTCAACGACTTTTTCATGTTCGTGTTCATTTTCGCATCCCCATCTATGCATCTTCAGAAAAGTTATCGCACTACTAGAAATTGCCTTCCAACTTTTTCCAGATGGCATGATTTTTAATGCTAATTTTCTTCAAACAGAGGAAACTTGTCAGCATGCGTCATCGATGCAAAAATTAGCACGAGTACTATGCGATACTTTTGTAGAAGATACCCTCAGGGAAAGAACCGCTGAAGGAGAAGTATAACTTGCTCAAGCGTTACAATCTCAAACGTTACAGTAGAATATAGAAATCTGTGATGCAAGAAGTGCATGAGCTAACCTACTCTCACAGGGTTGCGCATGACAAGTTTCGGAGCCCCAAACCGCACTAGAATCTGCCGAGATCTGTATTGCAGAAAGTGGAACGCTCCGCGATTCTGTCATGCCTAGCATGCAAGACAAAATCCAGATTCTATTGTAACGTTTGAGATTCTATCGTTTGAGCGGGTCATATGAAGAGCGGGATGTCGGGTAGCTCCGTCATGTCGGATAGAAGCGGCGAGGTCATCTTCACCTGCATGATCTCCCCCTTGCTGTGCGTGACCTCAAAGTCGTAGTGGTTGCGCAGGTAGTACTTGGATTTCTTTTTCAGATCCTCCTTCTCCTCTTCCGACAAATTCATGTCCTGCTCGTTGTCAATCAGGCCCTCCCTTTTGTGGTACAATTCCGAGACGTACACGCTCCACATCTTCTCGGCCAGATTTTGCTTGTGGAACGGCGTTATGGACTGCAAATATCTATGTCTGGGTCTGGAAACTTGTGATGCTAAGATGTGAATGGTGAGCGCAGCCGCAGTGCAATACGCCGTCAAGCATGACAAATCTTTGGGCTGCTAATCTGTTTCGTTTTCCGTATGGCAAACTGCGTTTTTGCATGACAGGCAACCAGCCCTTCTCCTGCTCATGCATCACAGATTTATGAGTCATGCCAGCCTAGCATGACAGATCTTGCATTCTTCCAGACCCAGACATATTTGCAGTTCATAGGCGTCTCTTCCGGGCGGAGGCTGCTTTCCGCGATCTCCTTGTCCCCTTCCTTCTCCAGTTCTTCATAGTGCTTGGCGTTATTTATCCAACGAAAAAAGTGTTTCACTGTGATAAATTTGCAAGATCCGCATCACAAGTTTCTTTACACATGACACAGAAAATTTGTCATGCGCGCTGCCACAGGGAAAACACCCTCCACGAGTCAAGGCCGTGCAGGTGTAGCAACACAAAAAGTTCTGTGTTCCATTCTATGCATCACAAGTTCACAGTTTTTTCTTTCGATATTATTCGGGGACAGCTTAATGCCGATGAAATCCGAGACGGGAAACTGATCCACAGAGAGCTCGGCGATGTACCTGGTGGTGTCGCGTGTTCTTTATGTTGTATGTACAACACGTGAAGATGATGCAAGATAGACCTAAACTTGCCATTATGGTGCTGGATGATCACATGCATCGTTATGTGCTGCTATTCTGGTACTACGTGCCTTGATGTTGACCACGTGCACGTGCTAGGTTCATTTCTCTGGTGCCACCATTCATCAAAACAATTTTGTGGTGCCTCCAAAGTAGTACAGAACAAGTGGTCCTCCATGTAGTAACTAAAGCAAGTAAGTACCACTCATCAATCCCCTTTCTTAGCATCGCGATCTCCCAGGGATTCAGCTCGCGCTCGCAAATAACCTTGGTCTTGGTCTCATACACAAACGCGGAACCCGGTTGACTCGCCTCTACCTTCCAAAACTGGGAAGGCAGGCGTTTGAAATCTAGCTGGGAAGAAAGCAGCCGGTCGCCCTGGAGTATCTGGCCCAAGGTCATAAACTGCGGGATCGGCAACTCGGGGGCGCAGACTAACGGGAAGTCGTAGTACCTGTTGGTGATGTGATATCATAGCATTTGATGTTGACAAACACCCACAACGCGGAAAACATGTAGCATGTGCAGCTGCAAAATTTTCATATCCAAAAACTTGTCCAACGTGTCGCATAAAATACCCCAGACGAACTACTGCTCTTACCTGTATGTTTCCTGCGGGTTTTCGCTCGGCCAGATTTTGTTATCAAAGCGAAAAAAAGCCACCACCCCATAGAAAACAAGAAATTTCTGTTGCTGGATTTCTGTACACAAATCAGGGCTGTATTGCACATGGCGCTTGGAGGCACTTCCTAAGCCTGAATGATGGGTATGCAGCAAGCTAGCAGTTAGGCAGGGCAGACACCTTTGCAGTATGCAAAAGCGCATCACAGATTGGCTGTGGAATGCGCCAAGCGGCTCCCATTTGCCCCATATGCAAGACAGACCTGATTTGTGGTCACAAATCAGCATCACAAATTTCCTTCTCGGTATGGGGAAGAGGGATTTTTCCTCACAATACTTGTTGACAAAAACCCGCACGTCATTTGCGTAATCCTTGACGTAAGATTTTGCGGATTCCAGATACTGCGTATCCGGTAGAAGTTTGTGGATGAATTTGGTGTAGACGTGCGACTCTGGGATGCTATCAACTGTAAAAATGTCTGGGTCTGGAAGATTCTGACACTTGGTTGGTTGGTTGGGTAGCGCCTGTCGCCGGTGCAGGTCCCATCCTCCATCGATTGCGATCCGGAGTAGCCGGAACACGAGGCCCTAGTGGCACAACTTGTCACGCACGTTTTGCATGAGCCACGATGTCTGTGATGCATACCCTAGCAATACAGATTTTTTGAGGGCTTCTTGATGCCTATTCCGCATGACAAATGCCTTCTCAGCGTAGCAAAACTTGGGTTCTCTTTGCTGCTCATGCAATACAGACTTTTTTAGAATCCAAAATCAGCATGACAAGTTGGATTCTTGCAGACCCAGACATTTTTACGGTTGATAGATGCCATCGTGGTCGTAATCCGCCTCCAACACCCCGTCGCGATCCACATCGGACGTGTGGTGCTCGCGCAAGTGCTCGACTTCCTCGCTACTCGGATTCCCGCCCAGTAAGGACACAAGCTCCATGTCCTGTTGCGTACTTGTACCGTCGTTGTCTGCCATCATATTGCCACCCACCTCCACATCGTCACTCAGCGCGCGACGGTATTCCGATTCCGTTCTGGGAACCTTCAAACCTGATGCGCTAGGAAAACTTCTACCATGCTCTTGTTTTTGTCCTGCTGTCGTGAGCGAATTGTCTGTAGCATAATTTGCGCCGACCTGGTCTGTTGCAGCCTGGTTGTGCCTACTGTTTGAAGATGAGTCAACTGCATCCTCGCTTGGTGCTCCTGCCGCCGCTGCACCATGTGAAGATCCTCCTCTTTGGTCCGTTGTCCCACTGCTTGGAGCGGCTGCATCCTCTTGCAACCGCCTTGGCAGTGCACCTGCGTCCCGACCGGCTCCGGATGTTGAAGTACTACTTCTAAATCCCGCATCTTCGACACCAGCAGCTTGCCGCACCAGATTTCTTTCCTCTTCAGCGGCCCGGAGCTGTGGCGGTGGTGCGTCGCCTGAGGCGCTGGCGCTGCTACTGGGAAGATTAAGATTATGTTTGTCTTCCGACACCAGCGCCTGGGCCGCTGCTCCTGGTTCATTATCCGCATCGGAAATTCCCCCGGCCTGTCGGTCCGCGGTGCAAGAGTAAAAATGAGAAAAATGCCCATGAAACTGCAGTCCGGCGGTTGCGAGAGCCACCACCCGTTGCCGTCGCCTGCTTGAGGAGGCAGATGTCGGTAGTAGGGACGTCGGCTTGCAGCTCCTTTGTGATCTCCGCATTTTTTCCTCACCCATTTTCATCGTCGACCGATACCTTTAGAACGGCGCAGGAGCTTCGCGGTCATTAAAAACAGCCCAGGCGGAGGTCGACGTCGTGCTGGTGGTGGTGGTGTACTTACACACTCTGTCTAGATCGAAAAATGTTACCTCCACGAGTTGTAGTACTAGCACAAGCGGACCGCATTTTTGTAGAACTTGATGTGGTTGTATGAAAATCTTGTACTACTTCTTACCGCAAACTACACTTCTCGAAATAATGAAGACGGCTACTGTACAAGAGAGGTGGACAACATGACGAAACCATCATAAGACCTCATCCAAAAACGATCGGACTAAAAAGGAGTTTTGTTTGATGAGCATACTAGTACTCAAGAACTACACGTATACACTCTTGTCAACCTACTGAAACACACGAACCTCGCAGCTTGATACAAATTCAGAACATGGCGTGAATGTGAAATAGATCTGGCATCACTGAGGAATGGAACCGCATTGGACGATCAACATCACATCTAAATCGCTGCACCTTACTATAGCTTCTGCAGCAAGAAAGAATTTTTCATGTTTCCAGTAAAGATGGCGGAGCCCATAGCATCACTGACAGCTACCTGGTAAAGTTCGTCGTAGCAATAGGAACACAGGACCTCACTCATCTTCAAAGGAAGAAATCCGTCACAGACATAGCCTGCCGGTCCATTTCGGAAAATCCTCGGCAGAAACGGCAAAGCCGTTTTCTATTCCAATTTCGTTTTGTTTTTCGTACAGAATCATACAGTCAGCCATTTATAATTGTGGTGCATTTTCAAAAAAAATTCTAATTGTTGCGGAAAAAAATTCCAAATCACAAGACTGGTAGTATCTATCTCTCTTCAATACTACGCATTTCTAATCGGTGCTTGTCTTTACTCCTTCGGTAAAAAAGACGGGCATTGTCTTCGTGACACGCTGCGTCCTTCACAGCGCCACTTTCTTCCCGCTCCTGTTCGGTCGCACTCTTCGCCGTTACTTGATTTTCCAGACAATCAGAATCCCTCTTCCCCGCATTGTTCCTTTCGTGGTTCCATCATGTTAGTTCTAGTTGAGTGATGTTCTAATTTCTGTTTCTCATCTATAAAAAGTCACAACATCAATCTTCTACCCGTTCTTTAATTTGCTTGCTCCATAAGTGATGCTGTGCCATCTATGTCTATGCTTCGCACACGATAAAGCAGATTGTTGCAGGTAGTGTTTCTTTAATTTTGAAGCAAGATTCTTTTCCAAGACATGAATTTTCCTAATAAAATCAGGAGATCCGTCCTTCTGCACGGGCAGCAACTCCCAACCTTGTTTTTCCGCACGGCGACAAGCTCTGTCTACTAATATCGCTTGTGCGGCTTCCCCCGGTGCTGCAGTCGGAGGATAGATGAAGCCGACGGAAACTGCCTCCTCGTTGCCGCAGGACTAGGGGTAGTTGTGGCAAGATTCCCCCAATTCCTCTCCTCGTCCTCGTCCTGGGAGTAGAATTTCACTTCCTCTTTAGGTTGTGCCTCCACCACCGCAGGAGCTGTTCTCGCAGGTTTTTTCTTCTCTACGTGCGGCGTAATTTTCGGAACGAGTTGCAACTGCTCGTGCAACTCCAATTCCAGAGAACGCAGAGGGCTATTTCTTCTGTCCTGCGCGGAGACATGCGAAGCGTTCAGGTCCTGCTGGAACAGAAACAAAGCGTGTTTCAACAGATCCAAAAACTGCTGTTTCATCGCATCCATAGTTTTATTTCCGGTCTTCGTCACTAGCTCCTGGTCTACCCAGATTATGGATTGCAAATATGTCTGGGTCTGGAAGAGTGGAACTTGTCATGCTGAGTCTGGATTATGCAAAAATCTGTGTTGCATGATTACCAAAAGTTGCCCCATTTTGACCGAGTTGAGTGGGAGTTTCTCATGCAGTATGGGCATGATAGAGACCTCAAAGAATCTGTCATGCTATGTCCTACATACCAGACCTAATGGGTCACGGAAAAGCTGCATGACAAGTCTGGCATTCTTCCAGACCCAGACATTTTTGCATTTGATACAGATCTCGGCGAAGCCAAACCAACGCGGGAAGAACTCTGTCTCGATTTTTACTTTGAAGCTTGTCATCATCCACCAGGGCATCAAGTTCTGGCGTGAGGACCAATTTCTTCCTTGTGGTTTTCCGTCATACACTTCTTGCAATAAGTACTTGTTGTACAGGTCCGTCATATACCGGTCCGTCAAAACCCTGTGCAACGCCTTTCCGATCCGTTTCGCGAGCTCCGCTTCCAGCCCAGGATCCACGCGCTTCTCCTTCTGCGCCGGAAGAGCAGCTCCCGAGCTGTTTTGATTTTTCCCCTTGCCCCTGTTTCTTTCTTTCTCCACTTTCGACAAACTATTTTTCAGACTCGTTTGGATCGAGGTCCCAATGGTCACAGCCGCGTCCTTTAGCCCGGTGAGGTGAAATTTGTATTTCGACCGCTCTTGTTCACTTTCGCGAGAGTTTTCTTCTATGTCACCAAGAAAAACGAAATTAGTATCCTCTGGTCGTGTCAGAGCTTCCCTTTTTCCGCTAGTAGGTGAAACAATGGATATCCTGAAATCCTGGGCGTCGAGCCAGTCTTCGTACTTCTGCTTGTTTGCGGTATAATTTTCAGCCTCTTCTGTCTCTTTCACCAACTGCGCGACGTTGTTTACAAAGGACTCCCGCTTTGCTTCGTCGAATTGAAACGTCGAATTATCACGACCCCTGAGTAGAGGTGCAGCCCCTTCTCCTCGCTGACTGCCACGGCTACTTCCACCCCCGCTCCTCGAAGAAGCCTTGGATCGTGCCGACGAGGAAGAAGCGGCTTCAACACCGTTGCCCGCCATAATTATCGGAGTTGGAGTTCCACTTTCCACGGCGCCATAAAAATCCTGCTGAGAATCGGGAGACGAGCGCGAGGGCATAGCGGAAACATCACCGGTGGCTGTCGTCGCGCCGTCGAAGCTCGGCCGTTGTTCAACAACACCAGTGGAATCATCAGCAGAAGTCGGATTATCGTTTAAGAGCGTGAGGAGCTCAAGCTTCATCTTCCGTTGTGTCTTTGGCGCGATGGGCAGCTGCTGCTGCAAATGGAACCGATCAACTACCTCGACCTCCGATGCTGTTGCAGGAGCTGCGGATGAAGCAGAAGCTTCGTCGCAAGCTGCTTCAGATCCTACATTTAGTCGCAACCTGCTGCCTGTAGTACAGAGGGGTCGTGAAAGAACCACCTGCACCGGGTCCGTGGCACTCAAGCCAGCAACCGCGTTGTAGGGAACAGTCGTGCTAGCCCCCGCGGGACGATCAGCGGCTGATGTAGTTGCGTACGAGGTGGACGCCGGAAGATGAACGTATTGTGGTGAAGCAGGAGTGTTGCGGAAATCGCCAGAGGAGTCCTGGTTTTCCGCGACCAACTGGCGCTTGCGAACGGAGTTCCTGCCAGCCCGGAAACCCGCGGCATAGACTGCCTTCCAGTGTGCGCCGGCTTTGGATGTTGAAGGCGAAGAACCTGGTGTACCAGCCGACAAGGCATACGTCGGCGTCAGCGAGTGCGGTGTCGCCGCGAGGAGTAGAGAAACGAGCTGTACCAAAGCGGTACTTGTTCTCTTCGAGCTGAGATCGAACATGATGATTGGAGGTTGTGTTTGTCTTTCGATACTTATGTCTCTACAGAAGTTTAATTAAATACTGTTCTTGATGCGCCTGAAGTCGTTTACACAGATTTTATTTCAATTATAATATACGTTCTTATTTTCTCTACAGAAACATCTATGCGTCAGCAAAATCTTTGGACAAGTTGTTTGAAGAGGTTGCGAGGTGCCATGTATTCGTAAAGGTAAAAAAAGCTAAAAGTGAAAGTAAAACCTGCTCAGTGTGGAGTCAAGAAATTTTCATTTTAATTTTGTCCAAAAGGTACGGCAACTATCTTGAGGACCAATGGGTACGAGCGCCGCCACTTTTGATGTGCCACCGGCTTGGATCTTCTGGTGCTTGGATCGATCAATGTATCGTGAGGTGGACGTGAGAGATGTTGCTCTCGTGTTGTAGCTCCTCGCCGTCGTTCTTGATCAGATCTTCTAATACATAGCCTCCATGCATTTCTATTTTCGTATTCGGATCGCTGGTGTGGTTTGAGTTGTTCACGATCTCTGTGGTCCACACGACTTTTGCGGCGCTGCCCCTTACTTTATCGTCTTCATTTTGATACTAAATGATAATGAGAACTACCGGTTACGGTTAATAAACATAAAGCACTATGTTCAAAGCGCAGTTCACTTTTGCTCTCTACTCCTACCAACAAATACCAAACGAACAGGGCGGCGTCGATGGCTACGCACAATGCAGGCACCAATCCGCTGTGCCTGGCGAAGAAGTTCTTTCCTTTCCTTCCAAGGCATTTGTTCTCACGAGGATGTCGGCGGCCGGGCCGGGCCTGGCGCCGGATGGATCGTAGACGCAGCAAGGCAGTGCGGCTTCGCGGCGCAGAGAGAAGTCGGAGTAAACTTACATGCTCACTGGTGGCCCGGCACGAGGTCCGTGGTATCCTTACACAGCAGGGCGCAACAAGTCCGCAGGGACACGCGCGCGCGGCTGGTACTTAGTTAGTTTGTATTCCCACAGTGCAGGGGAGTGAAAGGGGCCCGCAGTATCGTCAACGCGGACGCCACCGCCATCAGCTCGTGCCGAAACACGTCGCCAGTTGCTGCAGGAGCAGTGGATTTCTCGTTCAACCGGTCACGGTTCCCTCCGCCTCCTCCTTTGATTGTCGACCACCTGGCTGGCTGCTTCATGTTCGCCCGCAAGTCCTGCCATTTTCGCTCTGTCCCAGCGGGAAACAGATTTCCGGCCGCATTCTTCCCCGGCCCCTGCGGCGGCGGCAGCAAGTTCTGACTGTTGCCGAAGACCGCCGGTCAGCAAAAAACTGCAAGCCCTTGCGCTCGCGCGGGCGCGAAGCCACAGCGCCGCCCCTGGATCCGGCCCGACAACAGCGCCGCGGCCGACTAAGACGCACCAACTGGCGCCGCGGGCGAGACCATGCGAAGCGCCAGCGTGCCGCGAAGACATCTATTTGCGGTGCGCTTTTAGATCGCTCTTGCGAGGCGCATGCTACGCTGAAGTTGCAGTTGGTATTTATTATCATCCAGTGCGGGTCTACTTCCGGGACATGTGTAAATTCAGATTCACACTCCTAGTCGGGCTCAGGCGCTCGCTCATTGCGTGAAAAAGTCATGACTTGCTCTTGCCACCCTCAGGCTCGTTAAACAATGTGCTCCTCACCCTCTGAGAGGGTGAGGAGCACATTCTGCCTCAGTTACCTACCTCCATTCTGCCGCAGTTAGAATACGGCTTTCAGCTCTGGGTAGCACACGCCAGGACCCCGCCTGAATTTCTGAGTTGCAGAAACACTTGTCACAAGAGCAACCACGGCATAGAACAGGCACATAGAATAGGCACGACATGCGTACTTACGTCGGCGACGGCCAGAACCAAACCCGTACTACAGACCTGGCAGAGCAGAATCGGTGCCCCCTCACCGCATGAAATAAATTAGCCGACAACGAAATGTCGACAATATCTGTTTTGTTGTTCTTGTTGCGTCTACAATTTTCCTCCTGTTCATGTTCCGTTGAGGTTACTGAAGCACATGAAAACGACCTATGGGACGCAAAAGTCCTAGTGCTTCTGGGGAAGCAGCTTGTTTGTCCCGTTTAGTAGACCGAGATATTTTTCTAGTACAAGTGATGGAATAGGAATCATGTTGGGTACTACTACAAATTTGTAAGCACAACTACGACAAACCATGTATGACGTCTCTAGATCTTCGTTGGGGGGACAACTTCATCTACTACCACTGGAAGGATTGGATTCGGCATCGGTGGATTCTTTCTCTTTCCTCTCGGTGGCTAAAAAAATCACTATCACTTCGAGATTCCATTTCGAATAATCAAATGCCTTCGCATTTTTATATATTTTTGGCTAGCAAGTCCGGAGATAAAAACATGAAAACGAGTATAGGGGGCACTTGATGGTTTGCAGGTTATGCAAACGATTGTCCTACACCTGAATGTGTCTACGTATTAATGTCGGCATGTAAAAATGCCAGTTCCTCTAATAATTGTCGTTGTCCCGTCTAGAGATACTACTAACTTCGAGGACGGAAAAACTCTTCGTAAGTGCAGCTGCTGGTACTATACAATCTTTGTTATTGTGTCTATCGTTCCCTCGTTCTGCAGCAATTATACTACACGTCTCCCAGAGACGTGACCGGCGCCTTTCGCTTTCCAGCAGCTTGCGATGCCGTGAGGATGCTCTTGTGCTCTTTTCTTCCTGCAAATAAGCTATCCTGTGCTTCATTATCATTTCCCCGTGAGCAGCAGCTGCTGCCGGTAGAAGTATGACGACCACCCGCCTCCAGCTGAGCGGCTGCCAGTCGCTCCGCTGGACCAAATTTTGTGACCACTTCCTCATCAGAGCCCCACGAAAAGTGGTCGCCGCGGTAGAAATTTCCGACGAAATCTTGAGTCCCCAACTCACCCTCGAGTTGTCGTAGCGTAAACAGCACTGCGTTTTGCCTTCGGTCTACCAGAGCTAGGTCCTTGGCAGACAGCTCGTCCAGCTGTGCGGGTCCATTGCCATCAATTGCGGATGAACAAGAAGAATTTCTATCTTGTTGTCCTGGGCATGATACAAGAATTCTGCGCTGTTCATTACCATCTTGATCTGGTGCAAGATCAACATCATCTTCGAGAAAGCGCCGCCAACACAGCCCTCTGTTGGCGATTTCTGCCAGCTTTTCAGCAGCCCGGCGTGCGGATTCCACGGAGGGGATTTTCTTTCGGTGCCGCCAACTGGCATCCTCGGGTCCCGAGCGCAGAAAATCCACCACTTTCGACGACAGACACGAATACAGCGCTCGGATCGAAAAGTATCCTGAGTAAAAATGTCCCCACACCATAGTCAAGATGGGGAATCGGCTAGACAAATCCACAAGTTTTGGCTGTTTTGCATCACAAATTTGGACTCGTAGTGTAGTGCTGTTTGAGCTACCTCAGCAGCATCACAGACCTAGCACACCATGCTGATTGGAGCATGACAAATTGAAAAACACGACTAGAAACTGCTTCTCATGGGGCTCCGCATGAGAAACATTTTCAGCATGTAGATTTGCATTACAACTATGGGGTGGGGACGTTTTTAAATAGGATAAAAAGTCTTGCATCGTCACCTTCGCCACCCTTGCGTTTCTGTTCCCCTCCTCAACAATGGCGGCCCGGGCTCTTATTTGTTCGTCCTGCGATGAAAGTAATTGGCTTGTTACCGTTGGGACAACTCCTACACTGCGATCGCTTGTGCTCTGTGCATTTCTTGCAACACCTCCAACATCTTCCCCCGACCTCCCAGGCCCCGACGCTACTGGAGATCTTGACCGGTGAGCGGCTTCTTGTTGTCCCCGCGGCTCGTTTGGTATACTAGTACCAGCGGTAGATGATGTTCTTGTTCTTCCCTGTGTATCGACCGGTTCTGGTCCGTCATCAGAGGACGTCGAGGGAGCCAGTTGTGGCTCGACGCTACCCCACCTTCCCGTGGCTGCAGAAGGAGAAGTTGAAGTAGGAGGCGTTGTACTAGAACCACGTGATGGCGGTGTACAACTCGACCCTGCTACGGTGTACAACAACTGCTCGGGATCAAGATTAACACCTTCCCCACCATCAATACTTCCGTCTGTTCGACTGGCAGGCGGTTGATTGTTTCTCACACTTCCTCCTACAGTGTCACTTCTGGTGGTGCTGCCACTTATACCATGGTCTTCATCGCTTCCCGAACCTGCAACAGTCGCAGTAGTAGACCCACCTTCACGATGATCACTTCCGTCTGTAGCAGAAGTTGCGGAGGCAATAAAGCCTGGACTTCTACTTCTGTCGTCGCTTTTTGGTTGAGGTGGTGGTGGAGGTGGAGATGGTGGATCTGCAGCTCCGGCAGCACCCCCCGCTGATAAATGACCTTGACCTCCGCCTCCAGCAGCAGTTGATCTACCTTGACCTCCCCCCATAATTCCCGTACTATTGCGCGCCGGCGGCCAAAAAATGGTGCGAGCAGGAGAAGGGACAACTCCCCTGGAGGGACTTGTTAAGCTGGTCGTCGGTGCCGCATCTTCCTTCGGCTTCGTCGCTGATGTCCTAATACCGCCATCCTCGTCGTGCTCGCCCACTTGATCATGTTCGTCCCTATTTTGAGAATGTGTCTCCGCAACAAACACGCCACAGCAAACCGCGACGGTAACTGGCAGGGAAAGGAGGACGCAGGCGAGCAGGATTTTCCCGAGCAGGGTCGCGGGCGACAGGAAAGACATGAAAGTGCTTGTTGAACAGCAACCTTTATCTGTGTCCTCGTCTCCTGCTTCTAAAGAAAGATCCGAACCACAATCTACTACTTCCTCCCAATTATTATGCTCGCGCCGTGGGAGTTGTTCGGGCAAAAAATCTACTGTGGTTCTGGTTTCGTCCTGCAGTTCTTGCGTCGGCAAGAAGGAGTGGTCTTCATAGGACTTCTGCGCGGGCGCCGCGAGCCGCACGCCAAAACCTTCTTCAAAAAAGTAGGCGGACGGAGTCTCTTCGTCTTCCGCAGTTTTATCGGTGAAGGTCAGAGTTTTTGTATCTTCGGTAATTACAAGAGCACTTTTTCGTCCACGACGGCCTTCGCGGTTCGCGTAAATTTCTTGCAGGTTTAATATCCTTCCCCCGTACAGGTCGAGATTTTGATTTTGGTCTTCTGGGTTTGTTTTCTTCTCAACAAAGTAGTTCGCATTTTCGTCTCGCAGGCCTTGATCAGAAGCATGATGAAGATCGACGTCCTCTTGTTTATTATTTCCCGCAGCAATAAAGTCAAGCGGCGCAAAACCTTGTCGTTGTGCTCCTTCAGCTACTCCGAAGTAGTTGTACAACAAATCTTCCTCCTGAAAGTTGTACCCGACTTGTTTTATTTCACCACCGCTTCTTTCTTGTGCTCCACCCGGACGCGAGACGAGAGCTACCGGAATGTGTTTTTTGTGCAGGACCGTCGCAGTGCTGCCCGGGATGGGCCGAATAGGGGCTTGCTGGAAGTCGAAACAAAGTTCTGGATCGTGGTGATGAAAGTTGTTCTGCTCCGCAGAAGATGAGTCAACATTTCTCCCGGTCGCACAAGAACGATCTCGTCCCTGCGAGTTTATTGCAGATGCAAACGTAGTACTAGTACGGCTGGCTCCCGCTGCAAACGTAGCACAAGAACTGCCACTCGACGTCGTCGCTCCACCGCTACAACTGCCCTCAGCCCCGCCGCATACCAACGCTTCCAGCCCGCACAGCTCCGCTTCAAACTCCGCCGCGGTTATGCGCTTTTCGATGTCGCGCTCCAAGCATTTCTGCAACAGAAACATCAAATGCTCCATCTTTCGTGCCTCCAGATCATCATGTTGAGAAGTCTTGTTGTAGCTCTCATCGTTGCTCATCGTGAAGATCGTCCCGGCAGCTTTGCAATTATACTCCTCTTTTCTCGGCCAGCCCAAGCTTACCCTTTCCGGATACTGTATCTTCATCCACGCGTCGACGATGCAGAACATGACCCGATTCGTTCCCCCCGGCTGACTCAGCAAGTAGTCGTGCGGCGGCTTTCCGTAGATCATCGCGTACAGGATGATCCCCAGCGACCACACGTCCGTGCCCGGCCGCATCTTCATCGTGTTTTCGTACTGCTCCCCCTGGTGCAGCGCCTCCGGCGCCATGTAGAGCACAGTCCCGCAGTGGCCAAACCGACTGATGTGCGATTTATCACAATCGACCACCCGCGCCAGCCCAAAGTCGGACAGCTTCACGGTTGTTCGGTTGTCAAACATCAGAAAGTTCGCGGGCTTCAAGTCGAAGTGGACAATGTTCCGGCTGTGGATGAAACTCACCGCCTTCGCCATCTGGGTGATGCAGTGCAAGATTTGCGGCAGCGGCATAAAGTAGAAAATCTCGGCCGCGAGGTCTCGGTTGGAGTCGCTCACATTACTCGTCAATTTCCTCATATTATGATCTTGCCCTTGCGGTCTTTTGCTTCCACATAGTAAATCAGTTCCTTGTCCTAGTCCTTCCCCAGCTTGCTTCCACAAAAAGGATTTCTGGTAGGTCCGGAAGTCGCAATCCGCGCACTCCAATACGATGAAAAGATTCAAGTTCTCCTCGAACCGCTTCGACCCGTAGCATTTCACGATGTGCTTTTCCCCGATCCTGTCGTCTTTCGTCAACTGCTCCAGCAGCACCGCCTCTTTATCAAATGCAAAAATGTCTGGGTCTGGAAGAATGTGCGATTTGTCATGCAGCTTTTCCATTACCCATGAGGTCTGGAATGGAGGACCTAGCATGACAGATTCTGTGCGATCTCTCTCATGCCTATCCTGCATGAGAAACTCCCTCCCGACTAGGTCAAAACTGGACGACTTTTGGTAATCATGCAACGCAGATTTTTGCATGCTTCAGATTTAGCATGACAAGTTGCACTCTTCCAGACCCAGACATTTTTACACTTGATACTCCTGCTGAAACTGCAACAATTTCTGCCGGCTGTCGGCCGAAACAATCTTCAACGCGTAAAACTTCTTTTTTGATTCGGCCTTGTACACCTCCGCGAAGCCCCCGCGACCCAGCAATTCGCCGATGGAAAACTCCGTGTTATTGAACGTGAAAACGGAAGTTGCAGCTCCCCGGGAGCTTTGCGCCGCCGGCGGATTCAAGTTCAACACAGACAGGTCGTTTACTAGCTTTATTTCGGCAGGATGTGGATGTGGATACGTCGTGATATTTTGATTCCCGCGCCCACAATTTCTGGTCATTTTTCCCTGCTCCCGATAGCACGCTTCGAGTTGTGGTGGTCCTGGTGGTCTTGTATGTTCTTGACCGCGTTGGTCATCTTCGTCCTGTGGACGTGGATCTCCTACTAGCACCGTGGATTTCATATTTTCACCACAACTGCGCCCATTATCGTCGTGAATATTAACCGGGTTGTTGTAGATGGTCGGATGATGAACATCAATCCGAGGCCGCTTCTTGTCTGCTCCTCCTCCACCAGCTCTTGGTGCACAAATATCGACAATATCTTCCTCCGGAGGTTTGGCAGCTGCAGGTAACGAAAAATCTACTTGCCGACCCTGCAGTTTTTCTCTCAATGAGGTCTCTTCACTTCGCCCATTCGCAACCGCGCTTTCCACCAAGTGGTCCACTCTCGTCGGCGGAGGGACCGACGGGAGAGACAATGCGACCTCGAGCCGGGTCAGACCAGCAGGAATAACCCGAGCCCGCCCCGGGAGCTGATGCGCCGGCTCTTGGGGAAGACAAAAACCACCACCGCCTTGCGCCGCTGGTCGCACTGGACTAGTGGTAGAGCTACAAGAACTTCTACAATGGGAGGGAACATCAACTTCCGCCAATTGGTCTCTCTTCTCGTCGTGCTGGGGGCTTCGGATTTCATCGCGGAGGTCTTTACTTTCAATGTTTTCACGATCACGACCCAGGGGCGGGGCCGGGGGAACTACAGGCATATAATCTGGCTCCACCCAACGGACACGGTGCGTCGATACTCCTTGCAGTTCATCTCTAAAAATTATAGGGTGATTTGTCTCCACTTGAATCTTCTCTCCTCGCGCAGGGGCCGGCACATTACTTTCCTCCTCTTCGCGGCCTGCTTTATTTCGGTTCACCTTATCCCATCTCGGCGATGAACCGAGGTGGTCTACTACTTCGCCGGACGAGGAGGTCCTCGTACCCGTTGTGCAGCAAGAATCGTTGGCCGCGGCTAAGCGTGCTGGTGCAGCAAGACATTTTCTTTCTCCGGAAGAATCATTCCAGTCGTGCTGTCTCGACTTGGAGGTAGAGGTCCACGCCGTTTTTCTCAGCATTATCGTCCCAGTTCTACTTCCGGCGCCAATTTTGGCGTTGATACGAAAACTGCATAAGTATAGCAGGATAAGAACAATTTACAATTATATTTTGGATGTCTATGGATCAGAAAACAAGTACTTTTATTTTCTTCATCTTTCGATCTGGGAATAAAGCCGGGCAGTGTTGAGCAACCATTTCTAGTAATTTTTTCACATTTGATAGTTTTCAAACTACAACAATTTCTACTTCCGGCAAGGGGGGAGAACTACATGAAATTCTCTCGCATTGGATGACGGGGAACTTATACTTGGTTGTCTTCAAGTTCAATATTATTATTAATAGATACAAACGTAATATAAAAGTAGAAATAAAAACGTATCGAAAACTTCATCACGACCTAGAAGAAGAAGCTATAAAAATGCTGCTATTTTTTTAAACTGCCCTTCAGACGCAACACCGATAGAACAAGTATGAGGGCATTAAAACCAAGTATGCTCCACCTTCCTGTTGTTTGTTCCTGGTGCTGTGGGTAATTGCATTTGCAAGAGTGCTGATGTCGAAGAACAGAATTACACAATTACAATTACAATTTATTCGCGAGAGGATCTCGCGAGAATCCGACTAATATCACTCCTTCATGATTTTTCAAGGATCTTTATCTATCATCAGAAGATCTTTCAGCATTTTTCTCGTGCGGGATCTTCGCCATTTCTGCTGTAGTTTCAAGACCGATTTAGTATTTCATCATTGCCACACATATAATTCTGCAAGAACATTTTGGAATCACAAAACAGCGAAAAGGATAAGACCTGAACATTTCAACTACTTCCCTTGCAGACCAGAACGATAGAAACCCATTTCAGTTGGAAGCACCTACCGACGCCGGACATTTAAATTCAGCCCTTCTGCTCACACAAACGCACACATTGATCCATTTCGATCCAACAATCATTTCAAAGCGTGATCATGGATCTTTTACTTGTTGACCGATGTACTTTCTTCTCGATTTTTTCGATCATATCAAAATTACATCAAAAAGGCATTTATTTTTCGTGCGGGATCATCACATGGGAGATCTACTTCCGCCACGCTTCCAAATGTTGCTTTCGCAGGAGGTAAGACCGAGAAAATAGGAGGGCTGGTCGTGCGAGTTTGCATCACAAACAACAACAAGTGAAGCATTAGTGCAGACCATGCATCACAGATCAATCCAACACGGAGTTAAGTAGACGTGCTAGCCGAGCGGCGTTCAGAACCTGCATGTGTCTTGCAATCTTCCTGTCAGTGTGAGTGACAATATACTTGCGCGTACAGTGACACTTGTGCACTACAATTGCTAATTTACAAAAAACACAAATGGGCATACTGGCGTTCTACCATCATAGGGCTTCCAACAAGATCATAACGGTCATGGAACATTCATCTATGCAAACGCAAGCAAAAGCTGTTTTCTGTGAATGACAAATACTGGAAATCAACTCACACGGAGAGAGTGGAAATGAATAAAAACGATTCTATGTTCTTTTTTGTAATGTAAACTGAAACTGATAGATGAGACCGCCCCTGCATCAAGAACGTGATCTCATGATGTGCTACAGGAAATAAACGAAAGAGAAAATGTGGATGTGCTCATTTTTGAAATAAATCATGATCATTGCAGAAGAAAAACGATCAGCTTGTAGTTCTATGCACTTCTACATAAAATCTACAGCATTTCCTCCCTGGACATATCAACCGACGACGCAAACCCGATACTGCGCCTCTGGTTCATCCGTGCGGAATCTGCCGTGTATTCATCCGGCGTATCCGATAGCTCCGCGACCATTTGCTGGCTCATGGTCAAATTCACCGCAAACGATCATATCCTGTGCAAAAACACGGGCCCCACGAACCCGCCGCATTGGTCGTCGTGCAGGTACTAGTCTGCACTTCGACTACGGGCGGGTGCTGTGGTCCTCGTTTTTGCTCAGGATAAACGACCCCATGGCGGCGCCGCTGCCGTCCCGGAGAATTCCGTCAGCCGGAAAGTTCACGGTGCCGCCTCCCGCACGGGTAGCGGTTCTTGCTCCAGTCCTAGCTGCACCATCGCCGCCAAGATCTCCCGTCGAAGTCGTTGTGATTATTTCCGCGTGGCCCTCAAAGTGCGTGGTCACCGCGTCTTGCAGCTGATGAATCATGGCTTCCACGTCGATCTCATTTGCTCGTCCCGCCAAGGCGGACGAGTTAATATCTTGCGTCGCGTCTAGGACAGGGGTCTGTAGTTGTCCTAGATTCAGTTTCGCCTTCTCCAGCGAGTCAGTGTTGTTCATCAGCATTCGGGTTAACCCTATCGCACGGAAAAACTAATGCTTCACATTCTACACGAGTAACAATGCCGTTTCTTGGTGTCCTTGCATCGGTATTAAGTATAGCAAGGCAACCAGGTCGTTGTGTGCTCTAAAAAATTTTCCGCATCACAACAAGTGCAACAATGTCAACAGCACAGTTTTGTCGTGCGATACACTCAGACAGTTTTTTGATCGTCGCATTTTTCCCTTTGATCACACCCTTCAGCTGCTATCGTATGGAAAAGCCGATAGTGCCCCCGCCCTATAGTGGTCACGATGATCGAAAAGGAAAACTCCGCCGACGGCGCACAAACACCAGTAGGAAGACAAACTCTCGGTCTCCTCATGGTGCTCCTGCGCATGAGAAATTTGCATGACAAACGTGAGATGATACATATGGGTTGCACCATCGGTTTTCACGAAGCATAGCTCCTTCGTTTTCTTCGACAGGTTAGCCAGCTCCGCCTGATATTATGTGTAATCAGTTGATCTTCGATACAGTTGCAATTCCATTTTTAGTATTCGTGAAGATGATCATGCAGCTCTTAGACACTACCAGACCACTACTTCTACTTCACGAATCTTTTACTTGTTACAACAAGAAACAGAAGGCTGCACAGGTGCTGGCATCAAGGCAGTATCAACATGGCGTAAGTACTTACAACTAGCGTGTGAATCTTCATGCGTCGTCCTGTGGACGAGCACGAGTGACTATGAATCTATACCGCGTTGTCTGCAGCCACGTCGTCGATTGAGCTCCTAACGACGCCCAGTTCGGCTTTCATTTTTTCTTCTTTCAATTCTAAGCGGTCAATCTTCAAGCGCTATGCACTGCAAATAAGTACTGATCTGAGCGTAGTTCTCCTTCACCTGGCTTCCGAAGGCTTATTTTGCCGAGCATGCTTCGCAGGTTTTTTCCCAAACTGCTTGTGTCCAACTCCATCCCTATCGTCCCGCATGAGACGTACTTTCTTAATGTGACGAAAATTGGACAGATGCTGTTCATGCAATACAGATTGTAAAAAATAAGTTCGCATGACAAGTTGCAGTTGTAAGTTCCAGATGATGTGGACTTGTTCCCAGAGGACAGTAAAACTTGCAATGCATAAATCCTTTTCCCGGCACATTTCCTCCATCTCTAGCAAAGCCTTTTTCAATTGCTGAATTTCGGCCTTTTGCTTCTCGATTTCTACCTGTTGCTCCAAAATCTTGTCCTGTTTCTCTTGGACCAAAGCGTCTTTTTCCGAAACCTCGAAGTTCAGTTTCGTGATGGCTAGCGACTCCCGGTCTTTTTTCGATTCCTTCCCTTGCACGCTCGTTCGGTCGTGTTCCAGCTTTTCTTGTCGCAGGTTCTTGATTTCGTTTTCTAGTCGAGGGATTTCTTGCTCATACTTTCGCAGCTGCTCGATCAGGGCAACGTCTGCTTTTATCGAATGCAAATATGTCTGGGTCTGTCATGCTGAATGGTCATGATTGAGTGCGCCTGTACTGTTTTGTGTGCAGTGAAGCATGACAAATTCTTCAAACACTTTTTCATGGGTAAACACGCACTACAAAATCAGATATTGCATGACGAAAATGTGGTGCTTGTTTTGCTGCTCATGCAATACAGATCTATGAGGAATGCGAGACACGCAATACAGGTTCAACCTTTCCAGACGAGCCAGACATATTTGCAATGCATAGCTTTACTGTTTTGCTGAAACGGAAAAGTTGAACTGTCAAAAGAAACCGACGCTTTGTTCAGTGTGGTGGCCCGCGCGAAGCTGACCCGGCTGTCTGCGTGGTTCAATTCCGCCTCTTCTAGCATCTTCTCCAGCTTTTTGATCTGCAGCTGATACCTCTCTTGCAACTTCTTCATCTCTTGTCGGGCTTCCTCCTTGACCTGCTATCAAAATGAAAAATCCCCCCTCCCCATATCAGAACGAAAATCTGTAATGCAGATTTGTGATCACAAATCAGCTTTGTCATGCTAGAAGGGAAAAAATATATGCGAACTGTAGTGCTGGGTGGCGTGGAAAGCAGGCCTTGCATCTTCAGCATGACAAGAGGCAGCTGGACGTGGGAAACAGCATGACAAATTGCCTGTAAACGAGGCCACGACTGCGCCTATATGCCTTCTAGCAATACAAGTCGACTTGTGTACTCAAAAACAGCATCACAAAATTCGTTTTCGATACGGGAAGGGGGACTTTTTCCTCACAATACCTGCTTCTCGAAATTTTTTTCCCGCAGTTCCCGCGCCGACCCGGTGGTCGGCGGACTCTGCTGCCGTGCGGTCTTTATGCATTGCAAATATGTCTGGGTCTGGGAGATTGGGAGATGACTTGTCATGCAGGTTTTCCCCTGGCGTGCAGGACATAGCATAACGTCTGGCGTGCAGGACATAGCATGACAGATTCTGTGAGATCTTTCTCAAACCTAGCCCGCATCCGAAACTTCCTCGCTAGGTGGTCAAAAGTGGACCACAACTTTTGGTACTAACCATGCAACACAGATTTTTTTTTTTCACAGTCCAGCCTTAGCATGACAAGTTACAACCTTCCAAACCACCCAGACATATTTGCATTTTATAGTCTTTCCGTCTTTCACCTCCAAGGCCTGCAGCTTCTGGTTCATCAGGATCAGATCGTTCCCGAGCGACCAATTCTTGTGCTTCAGATCCGCGTTCACTCGTTCCAGGGAATCCCGGCTGTGGGCCGTAGTTTTTAATTCCTTCTCCAATTTTTCCTGTGCGAACTTCAACTCTTGCAGCTTTTCCTTGTACTTCTGTTCGACCGAGTCCTTCCACGACTTATCTTTCATTAAATTATGCAAGAAAAAAACTGTGTGAGTGTAACTTTGTCTTGCAGATGTTGCGCTACAGTTACACTTGTTATGCTGGATATGCTTTAGAAGCTATTTTGATACTTACGTGTTTAGTTTTCGCGTACTAGCGACGCATGACAGGTTTTCTCTGTCACGCAAAACAAATCTGTCATGCTGTTCCTGCCAAAAAGTTACACTTACACACTTTTTTTCTTGCGATACAAATCGCCCGCCCCCCAGTACGCCAGCTCCTCCTTGCACTGCCGAATGGTCTGCAGGGCCACCTGGATGTCCCGCAGCATCTGCTCGTGAGACGTTCCTTTCGTCAAGCTCGTGACGCTGGTGCTGGGAGACAGCAACGCCGCGGATATGACAGTGCACAACTCCCCCTCCCCCTCATTTGTGTAGCATGAACGGCACTGCAAGCCACAGCCAGAATGCACGTTTTGCATCACAAATTTGCATAGGATTGTAGTGCTCTTTGGGCTGCCAGAACTTGTCATGCAAACGCTGCTCAGAGGCACGGACTGCATTGGGCATTTTGCATGACAAATGAGGGGGAGGGGGAGTTGTGCACATTCATAGCGGAGTTGCCGGACTGAAAAGACGTCGTGGACAATTTCGACCCCAGCCTCTTATATCAAATGCAAATATGTCTGGGTCTGAAATAAACTTGTGATGCTGGGTGGCGAGTCCTGAGGACGCCACAAGTGATGGCTCAGCATGCCAAGTTTCTGACTTGCTAGGTGTTGCGTATTGTGCATGACAGACCGCGTTTCGGCATGACAGAACAGTGGGGCTCTTGGGTACTAACGAGCATGACAGACTTTGGAGTCATGCTAGCAGAGCATGACAGATCTTCCATTCTTCCAGACCCAGACCTTTTTGCAATCCATATCGCAGGGGACAACGATCCCCCACCCGTCGCCGTCCTTGGGTGCTGCTGAAACACGCCCCCTTCCGGGCTAAAGACCCCCTTATCGTAAGGAAAAATCCCCCCTCCCCATATCGAAAAGGAACGCCTCAGAAAATTTGCGATGCTGATTTGTGACCACAAATCGCGTCTGTCTTGCAAGAAAGCAACGGCATGGGCTCCGCCTCATTATGCAGGCGGTTTGTAATGCTGTTGGTCCTACAGCATAGGCGTTCCCCATGCTAAGTGCCTAGGCCAAAACCTCTGCACACAGGCATGGTATGGGCCTGCAGTCCCCTACTGCAAGACAAATCTGATTTGTGCACGCAAATCCAGCATCAGAAATTTCCTTTTGATATGGGGTGGGGGCTTTTTTCACTTTGATACCCCTGGGAAGGCGACCACCTGGACCTGCTCGATGGGCTTCTCGTAGCAGGAGACCTTCCCTGCGAGGGGGAGAAGGGCCGCGTGCGCGAGGACGATGGATCCCGGACGTAGGTAGCCCGGGTTCCACGCCCTGTAGTTCTCCGGTCCAGACTTTGGCTGTACCGGCTGGCTACGGTTGCAGAAGAATTGTTCTTTGGGCTAGAATTCCTTGTACCCGCCCGTCGACTGAAATCCGCGCCCGCACTGTTCCCCGTTTCGCCCAGTGGGATCTTGTGCCCGAACACCAGCTCGGAGCTATCACTCGCCAGCTGCCGGACTTGCTGTCGCACCGTTTTCAACTGCGTCCCGAGCACCGTGAATTTCGCCCGCAGCATATTGCGCTCGTGCTCCGCGGACGTTTTGCCCCTCTGGTCCTCGAGGGCCCGGAAGTCCTTCTCCAACCGGTCCGCCCGCCGCTGCTGCGTACCCAGTTGTTCCTGCAGAATGGCGATGCGACGCTCGTATTTCCCCGTCAATTCCGCCCGCATCACGATTTCCGAAGGAGATTCGTGCATAATTTTCGAAGCGGATGCCATACTGTGCGGACTGGAGCGTCGGGACAGTTTTTTCTCCCGGGTGTCAAGTGTAAAAATGTCTGGGTCTGGAATGTGTCCGGGTTTGTCATGCATATTTTGCATGACCCAGGATGTCTGTAATGCATGACCTAGCATCGCAGATTTTTAGAGAGCTTCCTGATGCCTAATCCGCATGACAAATGCCCTCCAAGCGTAGCAAAAACTAGACTACTCTTGCTGGTCATGCAATACAGATTTTTTTGGAGTCCGAAGTTAGCATCACAAGTTCCAACCTCCCAGACCCAGACATTTTTGCATTTGATACCGGGTATCGTCGAACAAAAATTGCTCGAAATCTTCCTCGATGTTTTCATCATTCTCACCCTTGTATCTTGGTCTTCTTTCACTTGCTCCAAGAACTACCCCAGCACCAGCTGGCGCACCATCATGATCAGGATCGTCTTCACTATTAACGTCATCGTCATAAAACTCGTTTTCCTGCCCGAAGGAGCTGTGCAGTCGTTTCGTGGTGCTTGCTTTCTGCTGCTGATTTCCTTTCGTGTTATTTGTTCCTGCAGTCATTTTTGCGCTGAAAAGTAGTTTTTCTTGCTGCATCACCTCCGCAATATCCCCGCTCTGCAGCTCCTCTAGCTTTTTCCTCTTGGACACGTTATTTTCTCGGTCCTCTTCCGGGTTTAATATCTTCTTCGCGTGGACCGGGCTGTCTTCGTCTTCTTCCAGAATGACCGCGCCAGACGCCCTATCCAAGGAAAAAAGTGTTTATACATTTGTAGTGAGTGCAGCATCACAAACTTGCCTTGCATGACAGAGTAGAAAACTTGCAATGCAGAGATCATATTAAGCGAAAACACGTATGAGGTGGGGCTCGAAAGCGTTCTGTGCATGACAGAGCTTGTCTCTGCTGCGTGGAATGCAACACAATGTGGAACTGTAACACTTTTATCTTTGGATACGCCCGGTAGTTCACCGTTCTCCTTTCGCTGGGCGAGGGGGAGTTCGTGATCTTCTCGGTGGGAGGTCGGTTCTTATTGCCGTTCAACACTTTATTTTTACTAGTGCGACGCTCCTCGATAAGATTTGCCGGACTCATCGTTCCGGCTGACGACTTGGACCCGACCCGACTTTGCCTCTCCCTCGCGCTTTGCGACTGCAGCCGGACCCCGGGGACGTCGTACAGCGCTTCCAGTTCCTTGACCCGTCTCTGCATCGCCTGGGCCTCTATGCATTGCAAATATGTCTGGGTCTGGAAACTTGTGATGCTGGGTGGCGTATCATGAGGAGGCCATAAGTGCTGGCTCAGCATGACAAGTTTTTGACCTTCTAGGTGTTGCCTCTTCTGCATGACAAACTGCGTTTCTGCATGACAGAATGGTGGGGCTCTTGGGTAACGAGCATGACAGATTTAAGAGTCATACCAGATCGAAGCATGACAAACATGCATTCTTCCAGACCCAAACATTTTTGCATGTGATAGCCTCTGAAACTTTGCCCGCGTTGTCCAGTTGTAGCGCCTTCTTGTCGTGCTTCAACACCCGGTTTTCGGCCTTCAAAATCGCATTGGTGGTCTTTAACCTCGTGATTTCCTCGCTCACGTCCAGATAAAACGAATCGCGAGGTGGATAGTTGGCTGCTGCACCATCATCGTCAGCAGCTGGTGTGGTTGTAGTACCAGCTGCGTCACCAAGCTGCTTGTGTTGGTCCTCATACAACGGACCACTTCTACTTCTCGCACGACCACCTGCGGTGGCGGATTTTCTATCCTTTTTTGCCTCCAAAGACATCAACTACAGAAAACATCTGCAGCGTACCACCCAGAATAAAGTGTTCCGCCATGGTTGTATGGGGCGCGGATTAATATCGCGCACCAGGCCATGCTGCAGAGCCCTACTTCTCCCGACGGAAAACTAAAGGGCTAAGAGCGAAGTTCGCGCCCGCCATGCCGCGCGAAGGGTGAAATGGGACTGGGCATAACAAGTCACGACACAGTACCTTGAGCCAAAAGCCTCCCACTGCAACACACTTGACATCGATTTCATAATCCACAAGTCTCAATAAGCGACGCTTCAGGTTGACATCAATGCTCTGAATGCCGAAAACCTGTCGCGCCAGATCTGCACACACTTAATTGAGACTTGTGGACTAAAAGATCAATGTGTCAAAGCTTGCGATGTCGGCATTTTGGCTCAAGGTACAATGGCGTGAGTTGCTACGCCCAATCCCTTTTCACCCCTCACGCGGATTGACAACCACAGCGACGCACCCAGGGGCCGCCCGCGTGGAGGACACGCATGCAGAAATTTTTGGCCCCCTAGGTACCACCGGATAAGTGCTTCTCTGTTCCCTCAGCACGAGCGGCTTTATCCAGCATTTTACTTCTCCATGTGATGCCGCTTTTTCGCCTTGTTTCGCGCCCTAGTTTTTCTGTTTGTGATTTTTCAAACCGAACCAACTGCCACGACCTACTTGCGGCCGCGCTTTGCCCTTTGGTTTTTGCGCTGGAACCCGCGTCAAAAAGTAGAATTGTGACCCCGTGCGTAAATTGAAGTACTTCTCGCACGACCACCTGCGGTGGCGGATTTTCTATCCAGGTACGGGTTGTCATCATCATTCAAAGAACGTGCCTGCTCCTCCTGCTCGTGGCTCGTTTTACTCGTCTCCCCCGTTTTGCTTCGTGCCTTCTTCAACGCCTTCAAAATGGCCTCTCGTTCTTCCCGCATAGCAGCTTCCATCGCCTCTAGTAACGCTTGCTGCCGTTCCTCCGCCAGCTCCTGGATATTCACCGGCGAAGTCGTCCCTGACATAGGATCAATACGGTTCGGAAGACCGACGTTGTCTTCTAACTCCTTACACTTCCGCCGCCACTCGCTGGCCTGCACCCACGACCGGTTGATTTGCTCGTGCAGTCTCGCGATCTCTTTCGTGACCGCCTGTTCCAAATCAAATGCAAAAGTGTCTGAGTCTGGAAGATTCTGAGACTTGTCATGCACATTTTGCATGAGCCATGATGTCTGTGATGCATGCCCTAGCGTCACAGGTTTCCTGAGGGGTTCTTGATGTCTATTCCGCATGACAAATGCCCTCTCCGCGTGGCAAAAATTAGAATCCTTTTGCTGCTCATGCAACACAAATTTTTTAGACATCCAAATGCAGCATCACAAGTTGCATTCTTCCAGACCCAGACACTTTTGCATTTCATATTCCAAATCCGAGATCCAAAACCGGTCCGGCGCCAACTGCTCCTTGTTGATGCTGGTCCCGCTCTATTGTGCGGAAAAATCCCACCTCCCAATATGGAAGCAGCATGCCTCTGAAAATTTGTGATGCTGATTTAAAGCCACATCTTGTGTTTGTCTTGCAAGAAGGCAAATCCAGATCCAGAGAGCCCGCCGCATTATGCAGGCTGCTTGTGATGCTTTTAAACCCATAGGGCAGACGTCTGTCAACATGCTAAAAAGCGCCTACCCCAGAACACCCCCGCCCGGGCTTTGCAACTGCCTGCAGTCCCGTGCTGCAAGACAAAGCTGATTTGTGTACACAAATCCCGGATCAGAGACTTCCATTTTGATATTGGGAGGGGCGGGGATTTTGCATTGTGATACGTTCTGGTCATTTTCCAGAACCTCGTCCTTTTTCGTTTGCAGCAACTTATCCAAGATCGGGCTGCCGGTCGTGGCCGCCTGGCCGGGGAGCCGCCGGTACGGGCTGTTCGGGGACAACTGTTTTTGCTCGATGGACCTCACTTTCTTGATGAGCCCCGCGTTCTGTTCCCGCAGGATGCGGAGTTGGTTTTCGTAGTTTCGCTTGAAAAGCCCCAATTGTTTCTCCTTCTCCAGCAATTCCCCTTATCAAATGTAAAAATGTCTGGGTCTGGAAAAATGCAGAGGTTTGTGATGCAGCTTTGGCATGACCCAGAAGGTCTACCATGCACGCCCTAGCATGAAAGGTTTTGAGAAGGTCTCCTAATGCGTCATCCGCATGACAAAGCCCTTCTTTCGGTGGCCGGAAATGTGCACCTTTTGGCTTACATGCATGACAGATTTTTGTGTGATGTGAAATGCGCATCACAAGTTGCATCTTTCCAGACCCAGACATTTTTACATTTGATACCCCTTGCAGGTCCTCGATTTCCTTCTCGAATTTGTATGGGAGTGCACAACTCCCCCTCGTTTGTATTGCTATTGCATGAACAGCAATACAAGCGTCAGCAGGAATACAGGTTTTGCATGACAAATTTGTACACGAGTGTCGGGCTATTTGCGCTGCCAGAACTTGTCATGCTGGGAAACTAAGGGCAGGGCGTCCCTTTGTAAATTACGTCGACAAACTCTTAACCGCGTACCCGGTAAACTCCAAAACAGAAATTTTGAACAGCGTGATTTCTACCAGAACTTGTCATGCAAACAGTGCCAAGAGGCAATGGGTGAGTTTGGTATTTTGCATGACAAATGAGGGGGAGAGGGAGTTGCGCACTCTCATAATTTGAAATTCGGATTCAGATTCTTCTTGGAAATCCTGGTGTTCGCTGGACCTGCTGCTCCGGGTGAAGTAGTAGTTGACGTTGCAAATGCGTTGTTTATTTCATCCTCGTCGTAGTTGAACGGGCCGGTGCTGTCTATCCAAGGAAAAAACTGTGTTAGTGTCACTCTCCCTGGCTGACAGCATCACAAATTTGCTCTACACAACAGAGACAACCTGTCATGCGTGGCTTGCAAGGGAAAACACACCTGAAAAGAGGACTTCATGGTTGTCTGGCATGACAGGTGTAGCTCTGTTGCATGTTCTGCATTACAGAGTTACACCTACACAGTTTTTTTCTTGCATATTGTCGTTCTGCTGATTATTATTCCCCGTCACCACCGCTTTTGCCAGGGCTTGCTGGAAAAAGCTCTCCTGCTTTTTCAGCTCCCGGTAATGTTCCTGCGTTTCCTTGCGTATTGTCTGTTCTAATTGTTCTATCCCACGAAAAAAGTGTTACAGTTACACACTTGTAGGCAATTCAGCAACACAAATGTCCCTGCATGAGAGAGAAAACTTGTAATGCAGAAATCCTACGGGGGGAAAACACCTATGAAGCGAGGCTCCTGTGCATATCCGGCATGACAGAGCTTGTCTGTCTTGCTTGGCCTGCATAGACTATGTGTGTAACCGTAACACTTTTTTCTTGCAATATGTTCGACTTTTCCCGCCGAAATGTTCCCAAACAGGCGGTGTTGGTGCGCGAGGCAGGATTGCAGAAAATTCTTCCATATGGATTGCAAATATGTCTGGGTCTGAAACATTGTGAGACTTGTCATGCATGTTTTTTTTTTTCATTGGGCCCCACTCTGTGTCTTCGCATGTAAATTCATCACTAATTTAGGAGGCCGGTGTGCGTTACTTAACATGTGATGCAGTTCTACGAATTCACCTGCCTGCCGCAGCAGGATGATCAGGGCCGACACCTTTCACACAGTTAAGCATGTTTTGCTTGTCATGCATGTTTTGCATGACCCAGGACGTCTGTAAGGCACGCCTAGCATCACAGATTTTTAGAGGGCTTCCTGATGCCTACTCCGCATGACAAACGCCCTCCCCGCGTAGCACAAACTAGACTCCTCTTGCTGGTGGTCATGCAATACAGATTTTTTTAGAGTCCAAAGTTAGCATCACAAGTTCCAACCTTCCAGACGCAGACATTTTTGCATTTGATATTCCACGCGCCTAACTGCATCAGCTTGAGGATCAAGGTCGGGTCCTGGCCGACGATGACTAGCTGCTTCAAGCGGTGGATGGTCACAACTCCCTCATTCTCTACTTCCACGACGGAATTTTCCTTATCTGCCCCGCGCCGTTGCATCTCCTTCACTTTCGCAAACAAAGAGAGAGAACGCTCTGCAGAAGCTGCACTGTGGTCCAAACCCGACTGGTTCAAGCCACGACTTCCAGAAAGCGCCTCGCTGTAGCGGTCGAGGACTTTGTCTATTTGGTCTGAGGACGCTACTGGTGCTGCTGCTCTCGAAGAGGACCACGACGACGTAGCTGACATTGTAAAAAGCTCGGAGGAGAGTTCGGTGAAGGCGGAGAGAGGAACTCCAGACCCGGTTGTGCTGCTAGGTTCTGCGGCTTTGTTGCTGCCGAACTTCCTTTCCAATTTCTCCAGCACACTGTCCACCAACTGCTCCGGTATCTCCGTGTAGTCCAAGCTAGCTAATAACGGCACATCCAGCTTCACATTGAAGGCCCCGGCTGGGCCCTGCTCGGCTTTCTTCAACAGGGAGGACTCACAGAGCCCCACCAGCGTCAGCACGTCTTCCAGCGGTTCGCAAGTGGTATGGCTTGCTGATGCAGCTATTGCGTTATCAGAGGATGATGTTGAAAAGAACCCTTTTTCATCTACTCCGAAAGAATTTAAATTCTCCACCCGTCTGCTACTTCTCGCCGCGGGGCTGTTCCCGCGGCCGGCTAACAGCCAGTCTTCCAACTCTCGGTCAACGGTGATCGGTCGCAGTTCCTCTTGGTGCAGGGCTAGCTGCGCCCGCGCATTCACGTTGATGCCCCGCTCGATCAGGCTTTGGGGAACGAGAGCGGGGGCATTTGGCCCGTTATAATTTTTGCCGTAGTTCTCGGTGCTGCTTTTCAGAAGATTCGTGTGCTCCTCCAGCAGCTCGGCAAATTTCTCCTTCAGATAAAAAAACTTCTCCTCGTAGGTTGGCGTTCTACTTGCAGAATCTTCTCCACTTATCCCAGCACCTCCGGGTGGCGGTCCTGGAAAGAACGCTTTCTTCAGAAACGGCATCGTCGGGGCCGACGCAGGATTGTGCACGAAACCTGTTCCTCCGAACTGCTCCCTGTTTGATATTATCGCGTGGTTGTTCGAAGATCCTAGCAGAAAGGATCTTTCCAACTCCCGCTCCGCCTGCTCCAGTTTCGATTCCAGCACCTCCACGTTGTCCAGCCGGTCTTGAATCGCGTCCAGTTGCTCGTCCTTAAACTGAATCTCGTCCTTCAAACTGCTTAAAACCTCCAGCAGATCCTGCTCCCGCTTCTCCGCGTCTACCAGGCGGCGCTCAGTTTCGCGAATCTAAAGATCAGTTTTTTACTTGAAACGCATTCAACACTCTTTGTCATGCTGAATCACTATCACAATCATGGTCCTATCCTATAGACACGAGATGACCGCACTGCTCGCATGGTATGACCATGAGGACAAAAAAATCATCTGTCATGTCATGTAACTACAGCAAAGAAGTAACAGATACCTTATCCCCCTCAGCTCGCAGCTGTTTCTGGTGCAGTTCCACCATGAGACCCGATTTTTTCTCAAACTGCCGCAGCGCGTTCCTGACCACGGCCCCGGCGGACTCTTCGATAGCAAGCAACCGGTCATAGAAAATTCTCGGCAGGTCTTCCCTCGCGATACGCAAGTCTAGTCCCAGTTTCTGCAGGGATTGCTCGACCGACGCGGGGATTTGCAGCACCTCTCCATTCGCGAGTTGCACGGCCTGGTTCTTCTCGAGAAGAGCCGTGCCGTCGATGTGCTCTTCCAGACCACCGTCATCTACTTCGTCCTCCAGGTACACCAAAACTCCCTTGTTCTCCACGGCTTCTATATCAAAATGAAAAATCCCCCCACCCCATATTCAAACTAGAAATTTGTGATGCAAATTTGTGGTCGCAAATCAGCTTTATCATGCTAGAAGGGAAAAGATTCGGACTGTAGTGCTGGTTGGCGTGGGAAAGCCTTGCCTCTTCAGCATGACAGGGGGCAGCTGGAAGTCGGAAACAGCATGACAAATTGCCTGCAAACGAGGCGAAAGCTGCGTCTCTTGGCATTCTAGCATTACAAGTCGATTTGTGTACTCGAATACAGCATCACAAATTTCGTTTTCGATCTGGGGAGGGGGGATTTTTCCTTTTGATATTCTACCTCCTGCAACCGCTCGGCCCTCATCTCCTGCTCTGCCTCGTTAGCGAGCTTCCGCAAATCCACCACTTCGAAATGCTGGCTAATGTTGTCACAACGAGCAGGGTAAAAATCATTATTAAACCCGGGGTTGTAGACAGGAGGTCGTGAGGCAGCTCCTCGTCGTGTACTTTTGTGGAAAGCTGCCGCTGGATGATCCTCGATCTTGCTGTTAGTCAGAAGCAAGTTGTTCCTGTTCATCATACTTTTTTCCGCGGTTGTAGATGACATCGTCCCTGGTAGTACTGTGCCACTTCCGTGGCCTACGCCACTGTTCAGAATCGCCAACCCTGGATTTTTCAGAATCGTTGTGTCCTTTGACGACGTTTTTGTCCCGGCGGAGTTGTAAACCTGTCTGTGGCCCCCCTCCCGCGCACCAGCAGCAGGAGAAGTAGGAAAAGTCTTCTTGCTCGGACTGCTTGTGGTCTATTGTGAGGAAAAATGCCCCCACCGCAGAACTTGGGAGCATTTGTATTGCAACCCCTTCCCATGGAAGCGCTCGCTCTCTTGCATGTATCAGCATCACAGATCTTCTTCTTCAATCGTGAATAGCAAAAATTCGTATTAGATCCCAGCAAGAGCAGCGGCGCTTGTCATGCAAGCGATGCTGTGTACGACTAGACTCTGCATCAGAAAGATTCATAATCCTTTCATGCATGACAAAAAGTTTTCATTTGGAAACTTCGCATCACAAATTATTGCAACTTTCGGGGTCGTGGAGGCATTTTTCATTGTAATATGGTCTGAATGAAATTCTGCTGGCTGTTGTACAGATTCCAGGCGTTGGCTACCAAATGTAAAAATGTCTGGGTCTGGAAACTTGTGATGCTGGGTGGCATATCATGAGGAAGCCACAAGTGCTGGCTCAGCATGAGAAGTCTCTGAGCTTCTAGGCGTTGCCTATTCTGCATGACAAACTGCGTTTCTGCATGACAGAAAAATGGCGCTCTTGGGTAACGTGCATGACAGATTTGAGAATCATGCCAGACACGCATGACAAACATGGACTCTTCCAGACCCAGACATTTTTACATTTGATATTGGCGGAGGACAGTCCAAAAGGAAGTAGCGGACCTGGTGCAGAGCCGTACCTGATAGTACTCCCCGCTGGCGGTGCGGAAGTGCTGCTGGTTGGATTTGTTTTCTTCCGGAAATCGGTGACCCAGGTGGCGGACCCAGTTATCCTGAGCAAAAACGTCCCCACACCAGTGTCAAGATGGGAACTCTGCAACACAAATGCAGAAGTTTTGGGAGTCACGCATGACAAGTTTTTCTACGGATTGTAGTGCAGGTCAGCAAGGACGACCGCATCACAAATCTATCTCCTTATCGTGTCGATAGCATAACAAATTCTGCAGCACGACTGAAAATGCCGCTCATGGGGATCCGCATGACAAGTCTCCCTGTAGATGCAATTCCGCATGACAACTCTGGGGTGGAGGCGCTTTTGCTGAGGATACCAGTGCTGCGATGGTTGCTATTTGTACTACCGCCATTCATCATCTTCGCCGAAGCCGCGGATGCGGTTAGAAATACCCCGGAAGCTGCTGTTGCGGAAGATGACGATGAAGTAGACGACAACCCCAGTAGATACGGGATTTGCTCCGTGTGCGCCTGCGAATCCCCCAGGTCTTGCTTCCAGCTGATCCCGCTCTTGTTGATCGGATTGCTATTGCTGTTGGATAAAAACGCAATCTTGTCCTCTATCTTTTGATGCACTTGATCATCACTTTGCTGGACGACAGGATCTACAGACGTTTTAGAAATTTTCTTCTCGCTGAATAAGGCACTCGGCGTGCGCGGGTCGGGGTCGGTCTCGGTTCTTATTCCGGAAGGAACTTTCTCGCCGCCAGTCAGCTCGAAAGTAGGTAAAATTTTTGAATCGTCCTTTTTAGTGGTCGCTGCGGCAGAAAAAACCGCGCCCCCTATGACCTCCTGCGACGAAGGTTCTGTTAATGATATCTGCTCGGGATAATTATTCGTGTTGTTGTTCTTCCACTTCGCCTGTACTACATTCCGCTCGGGAAAAGTCGTGGTCCCGCCGGCAATATTTTCAAATGCTTCCGGCAGAAGCAACTTCTCTTCGTAAAAGTCCCCCAGTAACTGCTTCGCAAATCCGTTCGGCGTCTCGCCCCAGAAATTCGGCGGGCCGCCGCTACTGGTATTTTCGTTGTTTTCCTCCTTCACCGGGCTGTTGCCGCGGGAGAGAAAGGTGCTCACGGGCGAGGAGTCAGTGATGGAGTCAAGAGCAATGTTGATTTTTCCCTCGTCGTCCACCATGGCCAAGGACAAGATCAATGCCAATGGCAGCACGCGATATAGGCGTCAACAGGAAGAATGTAGGGTGCAACTTCATGTGCTTCTGCTGTTCTCGAAAAAGTAAAAGTGCATCATTCAAAAAAACCTGAAATAAAGCAGCACTAAGTAATCCTTGTTTAGTAAATAAAAATCGTGAACAATAAAAGCTGCCTGGTTTTTACTACCCAACAATCGTCCTCTTTACGCTGCTCTATCACCCCGCTTAAACTTACTTATTCTTCTCGGACACTAATGCGCCGCACGAATCGTGTAGCAACATGTACACGACGACAACGAGGTTGTGATCTACTCTGTTGGCATTGCCTCTACGAAGATAATCGAGCACCTCCGCCACTAAACGCCCACGAAAAAGACGACTTTATTTCAGCGGCACGACCCTTACAACCTTCCTTGACCGAATCACATCACGATCGCATATCGAATTCACATTCATTCATCACAGATAGGCACCTACTTTTTGATTAAAGACGACCAGCGGAGTTGACCGGAGAGGTGCTGACGACGTTTATTTAAAAGATTTCACGAAAAGTTTTTCTGAAATGTCCACCATCTTCACGATTGAGATGACTACGAGGTCGACTATCACGCAGCTACACGACAATATTTGATGCCGGCATAAGTAGTTTCACCCACAGCAACACACGAGTAAGTAGAACAGAAGTGGCTTTGGAAATCCTCCAGACCACGTCGCCGGCTACAGGCACACAAGAAGAACCTCTTCTTACTTCCGATGTTTCATCTTTCGAAACAGACCGTAGTGAGTGTCGTCATTTTCTTGAAACAGTACATACAGCATCTAGATATGATTTTTGCTCAAAATTGTCCTCTTTACGTAAACGTTCTATCTGAAACATTAACATTCGTCTTGAACCATTCAAATCATGCAATCTATCTTACGGACATTATTTCGCTCTTCAACAACCACTCTACTAGTAGATGAGCCACCACTTTTGTACAAAAACCAATTTCCGTCAAGACCTCGCCACCCCCCGCCGCGAAGACCACGACGCCACAACCCGCAGGCCCAAGACCGACACACCCCCGCCGCACACTAAAGCCAAGGGTGGGAAGAGAAACGGCGAAAACGTGTCCGCGCCTTTTTATCAACTGCAAGAGTGTCTGGGTCTGGAAAAGTGTAAACTTGTCATGCAGATTTTCCATGACCCATGAGGTCTGGACTGCGGGACTTAGCATGACAGACTCTGCGAGGTCTCTGCCATGCCTATCCTGCATGAGAAACTCCCCTCCAATTTGGTCAAAAGTGGACGGCTTTTGGCACTCACGCAACACAGATTTTTGCATGCTGCAGATTTACCATCACAAGTTGCCACCTTCCAGACCCAGACGTATTTGCAGGTGATACTTTTCGCCCCATCACGAACTCCCGAATTTGCCACACGCTCGCCAATCCAACGAGTGCGCCGAAGAGAGACACGGCGATCGCCTTGCCGATCATGTTGACCATGTGTACGCGTAGATCAACATTTACTTCTTCCGGATGGGAACAAGAATAAGTGGCCCAACTACGACCTGCCACCCCGCCAAGAGCCACCGTCGGCACGAGAAAAATGGCGAAGGGCCACCAATGTGCGGTCGCTGTGATCAAAAACAGCAACGCCAGCGTCTTGTGCCACTTTTTAAAAACCGTGCGAAACCTGGGGTGCTTGTTCCTAACCGCAGCCAGCCCCCCGATGGCGGCGAGGAGCAGAAAACTGAGTAACCCCGTCAGATACAGCAGATTTTCGCCCTCGCTGAAGTTATCAAATGCAAAAATGTCTGGGTCTGGAAGAATGCAAGATTTGTCCTGCTTGTCTGGCATGACTCTTAAAACTGTCATGCACGTTACCCAAGGGCTCCGCTTTTCTGTGATGCAGAAGCGCAGCTTGTCATGCAGAATAGGCAACACCTAGGAGCTCAGAAACTTGTCATGCTGAGCCAGCATTTGTAGCCTCATCATGAGACGCCACCCAGCATCACAAGTTCCCAAACCCAGACATTTTTACATTTGATAGAAGTCGAAAATGAGCCACAGTTCCCTGCGGTACACAAACCAAACCAGCTTATGGCGTTCCCAAACAATACACTCGCAAGTGTTGCATGAATTTGCAATGCAAGAATGGCAAAAGTGAAAGAAGGAAGATTAGGATTACGCCCGCTGCGTTACAGATTTGGAACAACGGATTGTCGTTCTACTTAGCGCGACGAGAAGAAGTTGTCATGCGGAGAGGCCTTGATCATGTGAAGAGTGATAGCGTTTTTGCATGACAAATCATGTAGCAGTTGAGAATGTAACAGTTGAGAATCCCATACAGTTCGCCGCCACCGTGCAGCACCGCCCAGAAGACCGTGTTCCACGCGACAAATTATGAGAGTGCACAGCTCCCCCTCCCCCTCATTTGTCATGCAAAGTGCCAAGTCCACCCTTTGCCCTCTGGCACTGCTTGCATGACAGGTTCCCGAACAAGCCGAAACAGGACTAGAATCGGTCTGGAGTTTGTCATGCAAAAGCTGCATCTTAGCCAGCACCTGTGTTGCTGTGGATATCACCCAAATGAGGGGGAGGGGGAGTTGTGCACTTTCATACAAACTTGTGCATCTTGAGAACCAGTGTGTGGTGACCGTGACGAGAAGCGAAAAGCATCAAGGTCGACATGGACCCGGAAATAAAGTTCTGCACTTTATTCCCCGAAACAAGAATCCGCGCGGCGAAGGACAGGATTGCGACGAAGACAATGTGCCAGGAGAGCGGAAACGCCGCGGCGATCGCGAAGCCAATTATCCGGTGCCACACGTCCTGTGCGAAAAAGTCGCCGGTTTCGTACTGGAGCAGTGGGAGGGCGAACCAGAAAGCGGACAGGATCACCCAAGAAACTTGGATATGCAATGCAAAAGCATCGTACTAGTATAGATTGCATTACAAATTAGCCCAGCATTACAAATTGAATTTGTGATGCTGATTCACCTTGAGAAATAGATTTGTATTGCATAAACGCAACTGCTGCAAGTACGATACTTTTGCACAGGATATTGGAAAAAACGATACAATTTTTCATTTTCTGATTGGATTTCATCGACGGCAGAGTTGTAGTTGATGTGAGGTCCTCTCGCCAGCACACTAGTGTCGCTCGCGATCGCGTTGGCGTTAGAACTACGATTAGGAGGCTCGCCAGGAAGATTCCTCAACGCGACTGGATTTCTCGAATTTTGAAGCAGTTGCTGCTTTGATGTTGATGTTGCTTCTACTCCGTTCACACCTGAACCAACCGAAACGACAGCATCTAGATGAGTATCGCCGGGTGGCGGAGCTGCACCATCCACAAAACCACTCCGGGGTGGCGGCGCAGCACCGGACGGCGCACGCAACCTCCAACAGTGGTGTAACATAGCGAAAATCGCTACTGGCACCGTCCAGACGAGTAGCATCACCAGTGCGAAAGGGGTGAAACCGAGGAACATTCCTTTCTGGAAGCAGTACGGCCCGTGTTCCCCGCCGGCGGTAGTGGTGCAATTCTCCCGCGGATTCCACATGTTGCACAACCCACCGACCCCACCCACGCCGCCGACATCTTCGCCGAATCGGAAATCGAGGATAAAAACGCGGACCGGCTCGTAGACAGTGGAAACGAGGAGCAGGGACGTCCAGGCGAGTAGGGTGCAACGGTAAGAACTGGTGGGTGGAATTATCTTCCACATGGCAGCTTTTTGTTTCTTCTACTCGGTTGACCAGTTCATCAAAACAAACTACTCCGAGACGACCAGCAGTATGTCCTGTATAATATTCCCGCGGCTCTGTTTTTGCTTCGTTCGAGCTAATCAACGGCAAGGGCTTTGCTGAAACCATAATCCAGACAACTAACAGAACCCGGCGAAATTTCATTTGACCAACCGCGATTGACAGAAGAAACGCAACCGCAATTCTAAACAAAATTTGTTCGATGCCGATGTTGGGTATACCGAGCCGAGTTTTATTCAAGGGTAACGAACACTCCGTGTTTCGGCCCGCCCGCCGGCGATCTTTGTTGCACCAAAGGCCGCGAAAAAACTAAAACGGCACTTTTTTTTTCTCCAACAATACATTCCCAGAAAAATGCTAATGTGTCACCATCTGCAGTACGTCATCAGCACACACTTTGCGCCGATGAAGAGGACAAGTAACAAGCATAGCACTACCGGTTGACGTTGATGTGATGTCGGCTAAGGGGTGAAATAAATACTTATACTTCCACTTATCCTTTATTCCGGCAGCAGTTTACCCTTTTCTGTCAGGGTGGAAAAAACCTTGTTGGTGTCAATCTCTTGAGCTGCTGGTGATCGTGAGGCCGGGAAGCCAGAGCCACAATCAAAAACGAATATGAATATGGAGAAGCTTTTGCTTTTTGCTATTCCAAAGAGGGGGGTAGGCTGGGGCAAAAATGGCACGATAAAATTCTTTTCGATACCACGACACGGACATGGACGACGAGGTCGTCTGTAGTCCACTCGAAGCAAAGAAACATTGTATTCAGCTGCCTCTTTTACGCACTGCAGGTTATGCAGTTGTTTCAGAAAGTGAAAAAGGTAGTAACAGAGGTAAATTAATATGCCATGAAAAAGGAAGTAAGTAACAACGAACGACCATGTAGTCAAGTACTTCTTGCTCTTTCCGCTTTTTGCTTCTGAGCATCGACGTTCTCTTGTCAGAGCGAGCGAGTTGTATTCGTTTGTACGCGTTCTGGTGGTCTGCTGGTACTTGTGAACGTCTTCACTGGCGCCTTAAGTACCCGCCTGAGTTAACCGGCCGCCTCGGCCACTGCGTCTGGGTTTGGGAAGGGTATGGGGTTGCCGTAGTTGAGTATAGGGTACACTGCCCGATAAAAATTTTCTACAGCACTAGGGCTCCCAGTTATGGTTTCGCCTTGCTCCTGGACCGGCCCCGTAGTAGTAGTAGTAGTAGTAGTAGTAGTAGTAGTAGGAGTAGTAGTAGTAGTAGCAATGTCGCCCGCTCTTTTGAATGGTGAGCAACAAATTTCGGGATGAATTTCGAAAGGTTCTTCCGCTTACGATCCTTAAGCGCATTGCGTAACATCAGTTGTCCATTCAGGCACTTGCGCTTCGCGTAAATTAAGATGGGAAAACAAGCCTGATGTCGTCGATTCAAACACCCGTCATCGGTGTTCTTTCATGTGCGTTGTTCTTCCTTGTCTATTATATTTGCGTTTTCATTATACACATTCGTTGGTTTTGCGAAGAGCGACGCTCCTCGTCTGCTAGCGCTACAACGAGAAATGTTCGATGATTCCGGGGTCTTAGCTTGCACGAATACCTCCCCCCGACGCTGCTGGCAAGTTTTCGCACTCAAACAAAAAAAAAATCAGATGTAAGTTATACAGCCGAGAGATTCTCCGGTCCATCGGGCCTTCTTTCCCGCCTTCCCCCCCACCTTCGTCCCGGCCTTCGCCCCGGCTTTCGCCCCGGCCTTTTCCCCCGCCTTCTTCCCGGCTTTCACCTTCTTAGCGTCTTGGTCAACTCGCTTGCGGTCATGCTGGATGAAACCGGACGCACCCGCTTCGCTGCCCTCCCAGGAGTGCGTGGTGGTTCCTCCGTTCTTCTGCAACGCGGAGGCGAACGCCCCTCCCCCCGCCAAGGGGGCTGCCGCGGTGACAGCAGCAATTTTCTTCATCATTTTGCTGCGGTTTCTTGATGTTTCTTTCGTGCTCGAACGAATGTGCTGTTTATTCTCGGTGCGCAGAAAGATTGCCTTGAAAAGGTGCTTTCTGCGGGTGGTTCTACCTCTTCGCAGTCTTTACTAAACTTCTTCCACCTGCTTCGTGAGTCAAACTCAAAACCGGCCTCCCACAAGGAGAAAAAAATTGGAACAACTGTTGAGTTGGAAATTAAAATCGATAGATTGGTATTGAAATTAAGTATTCTCTGAATCTTCAGAAACGAAATAAAGTTATATGCAAAACTGCTTCCTATGAATCACTACGCGGCTTCACACGACACTAACGCCCTTTTCGGAATGTTACAGAGCCGTCCCCATGATATCACGGTGTACAGCACGACAACACGACAACGGTTCTTCGTACGACCGCGAACTCTGAGCACGACGAAATACCTAGACGTACGAGATGTCCTGGATGCGTACCTAGACGTACGAGATGACTTCGAAACGAGTACTGCCTCTACCGGACGACCAAGTTCGAGCACGAACAATTTCTACAAAATTTCTATGGATGGGCCACGATTGAAAGAAGTACAGATCTATAAATGTAAAAATTCCCGCAGAGCCGACGAAACGTACTGCCCGAGTGTCGTGCTCAACAACTACCCTAGTACGAATGACAACGAGGACGCGCAAATCTTTTCTGGACGCGCGACACAGAAACTGAATCAACAGCGTCGAAAAACGTAGAACTTCTGCACGACCATACTAGTGCTTTCTTACGACGGAAATGGAAGGTGTTAACGAACAATCTGCTTTTTCAAAGCCAGTGACTGGAGCACGACCACGATCTGCTTCAACTTGTACAACTACCTTTTGTAGCGTTTTCCGTTCCATATTTCAGTAGAAACATGGTTTTGCTATTGTCTAGTGGTACGTCGATGAGAACATTCTATCTTTTATTTTTTTTCCAGTAGAAAATTAAAAACTGTAGCAATCGTCATACGGGACCGAACTACTAAAATTTTCAAATGTCGCTGATTTTATTTTTGTCGTGCATGGTCTCTGCATGACCACGAACTACAACTTGCAGTTCGTCCTTTCCATCTCATGGAGGTCTTCACCTCCACCTCCGCTCGTTGTTCATCCTATTGCCCCCACGACCGTAGGACGACGTGTTGTTCACATGACTTCCAAACGAACCCGCCCCAAAACTCGGCGCAGCAGCAGCGTTCGCCACAAACTGTCCGCGTTTCGGTAGCGGCCGGAGCTGTGGTCGGTGCGAAGAAGTTGTGGAGTTGTAGGAGGTCACGCTGGTGGGGTTTTGGTTTTGATATTGTGCCGGAGCTGCACCAGGCCTCGTGAACTGTCGGTAGTGGTTGTTCGCGTTAAAATTTTGTTGGTTTCTGTTGTTCATTCCATGATGCCCTGGAGGATTCAGGCCTGCGCCCGGTTTCGGCGGAGGGGGGGCTTGCGGAATCTTATTGCTCATAGCTGAACTGTATCAAATGCAAAAATGTCTGGGTCTGGGAGATTGCAAGAGTTGTCATGCATATTTTGCAATCCATAATGCCTGTAATGCATGGCCTAGCATCACAGATTCTTAGAGCGCTTCTTCATGCCTATTCCGCATGACAAATGCCATCTCCGCGGAGCGCAAAATCTACTCCCCTTACTAGTCACGCAATACAAATTTTTTTGAATCCAGAGACAGCATCACAAGTTTAGAATCTTCCAGACCCAGACACTTTTGCATTTGATAAACTGTCTCCGGGCTTTACCCTTCCCTCAATCTCCGCAATCGGGATGGGCCGCGCCTCGAAGATCTCGTCGAACAGGTCGACGTTTGTAGTCGTGTTGGCCTGTTTTGATATTACTTCATCGCTAATATCGCCGTCATCTTCCCGGTCGTAGTTTTTTCCGATGATCAGCTTCACTGCCCGGTCGATCTCATACCTCACAATCTCCCACCCGGCGCGCCTCACCGACCTGGCCGCATTGTTCGTGTTCTCTATCCTGAGGAAAATAAACGTCCCCACCCCAGAGCTGTCATGCAAATCCGCATGCCAAAAACGTTTCTCATGCGGAGCCCCAAAAGAAGCATTTTCTAATTATATTCGTATTTGGCAATTTGTGATGCTAGAATCAGCGCGGTATCCTGTATCTGTAATGCTTCTGAACTAGCTAAACAGGATCACACTACGAAGACACACTCGTCATGCGAAACAACCAAAGCTGGTGGATTTGTATAGCAGATTTCGCATCTTGACTCTGGTGTCGGGACGTTTTTCCTCAGGATATTCTCAAACGGGTCTTCTATCCACAAGACTTCCGCCACAAAGTCCTGCCGTTCCACGACGGGTAACCTTTGTCCAGTCCTGACGGAGTATCAAATGTAAAAATGTCTGGGTCTGGAAGAATGCAACTTGTGATGCTGCATTTGGATTCCAGGAAAAATCTGTATTGCATGAGTACCAAAAGGAATGCAATTTTTGCTACGCGGAGCGGGCATTTGTCATGCGGAATAGGCATCAAGAAGCTCTCAAAAAATCTGTGATGCTAGGGCATGCATCACAGACATCAGGGCTCATGCAAAACATGCATGACAAGTGTCAGAATCTTCCAGACCCAGACATTTTTACAGTTGATACGGAGAGCTTGGTCTTGCGGAGCGGCGCGGCGTTCACGTCGTCGTCGCTGGTCGTCACATCGCCGTGCAGAGAGGAGGACGCCCGCTTCAGATCGTCGTTCGTCGGCAGTTGCTGGAGCCACTCGAGAAATTGCTCGAACAGAACGTGCTCGGCCAGTTTGTTCTGCTGGGGCGGTTTCGTTTTTTTATCCTCAAATGAATTTCTTCCGTCGAGTTTCCGCCGCTTCGCGTCGTTGGATTGCAGTTGGACCTTGGCGAGAGGTTTATCCTGAGTAAAAACGTACCCACGCCAGAGTTGTAATGCAGATTTGCAAAGACAGGAAGACTTGTAATGCGCATCCCCATGAGAGCCATTTCCAATCGTGTTTTGGAATTTGTGATGCTGTGAACAGGATGAGCAGATGAATCTGTGATGCGGCTGCAATTGCTAACCTGCACTACACTGCAGAGTGCAACTTGTCATGCGTGACTCACAAAACTCCTAGGTTTGTGTTGCAAAATCCCCATCCTGACTCTGGTGTGAGTACGTTTTTACTCAGGATAAGGTTTGGTTTTTTTTGACGATTTCTTTATTTGCGACCTTTTATTGCACAGCTTCGACAGCAATTCCTTGTCCCCCCCATCCTCCTCGTCGGAGGAACTTGTAGTTACGTCCCCCTCTAGCGGTATGGACCCATCTTCGGCGCTCTCATCGTCTTCGCCATGATTCCTCAACCCGCCCAGCAGATCGATCGCTTGTGGCTTTTTCCTTTTCGGTTCTTTCCGCTCCTTCTCGACTTCACTCGTTTCTTCACCGGGTAGTAGTGCTTGGTCGCCATGATGATGATCCGAGCCTTGTTTGTTGTTCTCTCCCTTGATGAATGCATTGCAAATATGTCTGGGTCTGGAAGGTTGCCAGGTTTGTCATGCATACTGACCATCACCCATGATGACGTCTGCAATGCATGACCTAGCATTACAGATATTTAGAAGGCTTCCCGATGGTGCCTACTCCGCATGAGAAATGCCCTCTCCATGTAGCACAAACTAGTAGACCCCTAGCCCTTGTCATGCAACAGAGATTTTTTTAGAATCCAAAGACAGCATCACAAGTTGCATCCTTTCAGACCCAGACATATTTGCATTCTATATGTTGTTCTGCTGCAGCTCTTCGTAACAAAGAATGTAGTCCTTCTCGATGCAGAAAAACAGGTACATATCAAAAGGAAAAATCCCCCCTCCCCATATTGAAAACCTGTGTTTCCGAAAATTTGTGTTGCTGATTTGGGGTCACAAATCGCATGCGTCTTGCAAGACGACAAGGGCAGAAGCTTCCTCCCCATTCGGGAAGCGATTTGTCATGCTGGCTGGCTTAAAGGGGAGCCGTTTGCCATGCTGAACAACTAGACCCATAAGCCCCTACCTAGCCTGGGGATCTGGCCGCAATGCCTTCCTGCAATACAAAGCTGATTTGCATACACAAATCCAGCATCAGAAATTCCGTTTCGATATGGGGAGGGGAGATTTTTCCTTTCGATAGTACAGCAGCACCCAGGAGAAGGAATTGAGCAGGCCGTGGAAGGCCGGCGTTTTGTCCGGGACAATGGACAACCGCTTCTTCACCCAGTGCTTAACCACAATAAAGCCCCGCAACACCCAGTCCTTTTGTTTCAACAGGTCCACCATGCATTGCAAAAGATGCCGCACTCGTGCTAATTGCGTTTATGCATTGACAAATCTTTCTCTCAAGGCAAATCCGCATTACAAATTTAACTTGTAATGCTATAGTGAATTTGTAATGCAATTCATACTAGTACGAGACTTTCGCAATGCATATCCGCGATGCGGTAGTCCGCGGACCCGGACGAGCTCTTCCCGATCGAAATGTCCGCCTCGAGGTGCTCGTCAAACTCGATTTTCAACACCTATCCTGTGTAAAAACGTCCCCACCTCCCCAGAGTTGTCATGCAAATGCGCACTGACAGGAACATGTGTAACGCGCAGCTCCATGAGACGCATTTTCAGTCGTGGTGTTTTACCATTTGAAATGCTGTAAACAGGATGAGAAAGTGGCTTTCTCATGCGACTCCCCTTGCTAACCACCACTACACTGCAGATGGAAACTTGTCATGCACAACTCCCAAAACTTGGGGATTTGTGTTGCAGGGTGGGGGCGTTTTTACTTTGGATAACAACGGGATTTTCGCAAACCACACCTGGTCCACGATTCTGCACGACCCGCTGTATTTCCGAATGTCCTTCGCCAGGCGTTTCAGCAGCGTCACTTTCTCCTGTTTCACCTGCCGGTCCTTGTCGTGGATGTTATGGGGGTGTCAGGATCGAAATCGTGAAAGTTGAAATTAATAGTTTGTCATGCATAAAATGCAACGCAGAAATTGTCTCTATTGCACAGGACGCAAGAGAGGCAGACTGTAAGCCTGTTGAGGGGTAGAAACTGAGCTGCTCACGTAGCATGACAAAAGGCGTCCTCCTTAACCAAACAGCATGACAAACTGGATTTAGATTCTACCCAAATCTGTCATGCGCCACTTGGAAACTGGGCTTCGACTGGCCTCCATTTTATGCATGGCAAATTATTTCAACTTTGCCGATTTCAATCCTGACAGTTCCATAGATGTCGCTGTCAAAGTACTTCTGGTAGCAGTCCGCCGGACCCTTCGTGTCGATATGCAATACAAATTTCCCGTATATCTCATGTACAAGATGCATCACAAATTTCCCCGATTTGGAATGTTGTAAAACTTGTCATGCTATTAAACTAGGATGGAAGCCAAGTTTTGCCATGCAGAGACCGCATTTGTACTTACGTCGTGTACGGGAAATTTCCTGTGGATAGTCCAAATCGTTCCAGACCAAGGCCAAATCCACATCCGAACCAACCAGCGCCGTCTTCTGGGCGTAGGAGCCAAAGGGCCGGCACTCCACGTGGCTGTCCGGAAAAATCCGGTTGTATCCAGTGCACAAGTACTATCGCACTCGTAGTAATATTGCAGGCATGCATCACAAATCTGAAATCTCGCTCTTAACCTTAAGCAGGTAAAAAACTCCGCATTACAAAAAATTTCATCTGTATATGCTGAGCCAATTTGTCATGCCACTTTGTAAAATGAAATTATCTACCTAGTACGGTTCTTTTGCTCTGCATAGGTTGCAGTAGTCTTCGATTCGCTTGATCACGTTGTACGACGCGGTCCAGTAGTCCTCCGTTGGCTTGATTTGCTTCACGATCTGCTGCATGAACTGCAAAAGTATCGTACTAGTAGTAATTGCAATACAAACTAGCTCAGCATGACCAATGGAATTTCTCATGCTGTTTGACCTTGGGATGGAGGTTTGTAATGCATGACTGCGATTACTACGAGTACGATACTTTTGCAGTGCATATGCTGGATCTTGAGCGCGAACTTCTCCCGCAGCTTCTGCCGGTCGTTCGTTTGGAGATGGCGATCTTTATTTCCAGGACGACCGCCCCGGCCGGAGGGAATTCTGTCGTGCTGAAAGTCGCCTGTTCTATCGTCGTCATTTTGGTCGCGAGGTTGAAGACCATCTCGATCCTCCCCACCCGAGGACTGCTCGGTGTCGTCCCGTAAAAATGATCTTGCCTCGTCTATCAAAAGGAAAAATCCCTCCTCCCAACATCAAAACGGAAATCTGTAATGCGGCATTTGCCTACACAGATCACGTCTTTCATGCAGTGCGGCACTGCAGGCAAAGCCTAAGCCTTTGCGGGGGTGTTTTGGCGTAGGTGCTTAGCATGGCAGAGGCCTGCCATGTAGCCGTAACAGCATTATAAAGCGCCTCTAGAAGTCGGCGGATTCTTTTGATTTGCTCCCTTGCAAGAGAGACAGGATTTGTGGCCACAAATCAGCATCACAAATTTTTAGGATCATACCTTTTCAGTATGGAGAGGGGGGATTTTTCCTCACAATATCGTCGTCGTGCTCCTGCTCTTCATCTTCATCTCCGCCGTCTCCGTCTCCCACGTCCACCCCACCGCCGGTGCTGTTGTTGCTTTCATCTCGCATCAACAGCATTCCTGCTGTCCGTTTCAAAATTGGCGCGGGCGCCTTGCTGGCGGTTGTAGCAGTCCTCGCAAAAGGGTTTGGGTTTGGCTCGAACCTCCTACTCTTGCTCTTCGAAGTCGAAGTATGATTATTTATTGTGGACGCCATATTAGTAGTTTTCTTGCCAGACGAGGAGGAGGCGGGCTGTAAAACCGGGCTTGGTGAAGGCGGGCTCATCGATGAAATACTACAAGAACTTCTGATGCGTTTTCTGTACTACTTCTAGAAGTGGCACTATTCTTCGTGACACTGAGCGGGCGGCTGCATTGTGGAAAACTATTAATACACATCGTGCTGCGTTCATCCCCGCTATAACACGCTAGCTATCACTATCAGTAGTTTGTCTAGCAAAAGACAACGCGGTGGTCTAGTGTCTACTATGTATGTCCTGAAATAAAACAACAAAATCAGATGGCAAAGAGCAGGTCAAAGAAGTCAGGATCCGAGCCGGAGTTGGTGCAGCTACAAGAAGATAGAACTCAAGTTGTAGTCCTCCGGGTGGATTGCAATCTTCACGAAATAAAGGATCTATCTTCCGATTTCAGTTCTTGTGGTAGTCTGCCTAGATCTTGGTCGCCGTGTCACTTGTCATTCTACGTATAGTAATCTGTGATCATCATGTCGTGAACATGGAGTGTGCGAGCAACTGCTTGGTTGGTGAGTCATCTACTTCTCGGCGACTACTGTGAGCACCATAGATGAAAGTGAAACACCGCGTCACAAAGGATATAAAGGATGCCGATCCCCCAGGCCTCGCAACAGATTTTTCATCAATTTTGGTTCTTCCTCTTTTGCGAGTAGTTTCAGAAGTTCCAATCCCACGCCTGGTTTGTTTTCTTGTCCACCTACGTACGTGCGCTGTAAAAATCACCACTAAGTTCTGGTACGCGCACGATCGATAGATAATTTTTACAAGCATCACAACCTCCTCCTTCCGGCATAACTGCTCACCCGCACCACGGTTTAGGAAAACAGCGACCAGTACAAGAACTTCTCCGCGGCTTTCTATGGGTGCCAGAACCAAGCTATCAAAAGGAAAAACCCCCCCTCCCCATGTCGAAAACGAATTTTGTCTTGCTGTATATGAGTACACAAATCACACTTGTCTTGCAGTAGAGGACTGCACGCAGATCGTAAGCCTTGGTGTAGGGGCCTAGCATGGCAGGCGTCTGCCCTATAGGCCTTGCAGCATTACAAAGCGCCTGCATACCCTGGCGGAGTCTCTGAGTTTGCCCTCTTGCAAGAGGGACAGGATTTGTGGTCACAAATCAGCATCACAAATTTTTAGATACATACCTCTTCAGTATGGGGAGGGGAAATTTTTCCTTTTGATACAAGCTACTGCAGTCCCTAACGCGAACCCGACTGGCGTCATGCGCAGAAAGTGAAAAGTATCCAACAGGAAAAACCAGGCAGGTCTTCAGATTTGTTGTAATGCAAAAGTCCTCTATAATTTTTGCATTGCAAATATGCCTTGCCTGTTTTTCTCTGTGGGATAAAAAGCCGGAAACCGGTGCGCGATCACGTGGTAGTGGTTCTTGTTACCTGACAAGTGATGATGTGTTGGTTATGCAATACAGATTCTGTAGGTAAAAATATGGAACGCTAGCATTACAAGCTTCAACTTTCGAGAACCAGACAGTATATTTGCAGTGGATAAGTCTGGGAGCAGTGTGGGTTTCAACAATTCATCAGAATGCAGTTCTTCCACCGCGACGAATCCTCACAGGTGATTTTATGCATTTCATCTTCATCTGTAGTCCAGCATCGGAGATCAAACCTACCATGGAGCATGTAATTGGTTATTATCATGAAGACAATGAAAAACTTTATCAATACAGAATGGTGCGTAGGAGGTCATCTTGCACCCGCAAAGCTGCTTCACCATGTTGCCGTCCTCTGTTTCATGTTTTCAGGTTTGTGGTTTTGCTTTTGGTTCAGTTTCATTTTGAGTCTTGCAACATGATATTAAGAAAGAACAACGTTCGACGTCATGCGAGCTCGTCGAGATATGCTTATGAAATGAAAGTGCATTTCTATACCTCTCATCGTAAATCGCACTGGCTCGAAACCTATGCATTGCAAAAGTATCGTACTCGTATAAATGCATTACCTCAGCATTAGAAATAAAATTTGTAATGCGGATTTGACTTAACAAAAAGATTTGTAATGCATGATTGCAATACGAGTACGATACTTTTGCACAGCATAAAACCTGTGCCTTTATGTGACCCGTTGCACCACGGCTGCGTGTCCGATCTCCCACATGAGCACCAGTGGTAGTAGGTCTGTAAAATTATTATTGTTCACCACCAATGGTAGAAGTGGATCTGTGATCTGTCGCACAGCTGCACACCCTCCGCATCCACGTAATTTATTTATTGTGATGCAAAAAATATAACTTCTTCCTCTATCTAAAAAAAAAAAAAGCAGTACGTGTGTCCTCAAGATGGGGATCCGGTACGGGTTATCCTGAGGAAAAACGTACCCACACCAGAGTCAGGATGGGGATTTTGCAACACAAACCTAGGAGCTTTGTGAGTCACGCATGACAAGCTGTACTCTGCAGCGTAGTGCAGGTTAGCAAGTGCAGCCGCATCACAGACTCATCTGCTCATCCTGTTCACAGCATCACAGATTCCAAAACACGATTGGAAATGGCTCTCATGGGGATGCGCATCACAAGTCTTCCTGTCTTTGCAAATCTGCATTACAACTCTGGTGTGGGGACGTTTTTACACAGGATACGGGTAGAGCTGCGGGCTTTTAGGTCGGTTTACCTCGTTCTATGCATTGCAAATGTGTCTGGAGGTTTGGAAGAGTGTAAACTTGTCATGCAGGTTTTCCATGACCCATGAGGTCTGGAATGCGGAACCTAGCATGACAGACTCTGTGAGGTCTCTATCATGCCTATCCTGCGTGAGAAACTCTCTCCCAACTTGGTCGAAAGTGGACAGCTTTTGGCACTCGTGCAACACAGATTTTTGCATGATTCGGATCTAGCATGACAAGTTGCATCCATCCAGACCCAGACATATTTGCATTTCATACGTACGGCCAAAAATCAAACCACGGCATCTTCTTGGAGGCAGCTGCTCTGGAACAAAACCAGAAAGGCTATACGCTATACTGCACCACGACCACAAGGGATGAAGCTGCAGCTCCTGCTCCTCCTCTTTCTGGCCAGTCTGTAGCTGCTGGCTACCAGCCTGCGGCGTGCATCGAAGGACCGACACGCTTCTCCTCGCCCACACTGCGTGTCAAACAACTTGTATTTTCAGATTATTCAGGAAATCAAATTTTAATTGTGAACCGACGGTGAAAGACACGGAAACCATGAAGAGAAAAACCACAGAAAATCCCTCTTCTCGCTCTGGCACTGGTTTTGATGAACATCAAGGACTCTTCAGACTCGCTGCTCAGAAGATCTACTCAGACCCTCGGTTCTCAGACTCGCTCCTGCAAAAGAAGATGTGGCAAAACTACCACGCGTGTCAGACCACTGCTCTCGTCAACTTCTAAAAGAGGAAGTCAATAAGAATAAAACGAACTTAATACTATGGCAGTCACGGTCGCTGTAGCGGCATTGTGCACCCCTACGACTTGTGGCGGTTCTTGCCACGGCGCGGTAGAACTATTTCGGAGTTTGATTCCCATACTTCGAGAATTACTTCTGCCAGGGAAATGAAACAAATCCATGTAGTCGTGCGGTTGAAGTAGATGGCGCAGCTGCTAAAAGAAGCACTGCAAAAAAACTCGTGGTTTTAGTGTCGTGGTTTTATTGGTAGAGGCCGTGATAAAAAATATTAGCCCAAATTGGTGTACAAAAACAGCGAGAATCCAAACCAAAAAACAGACTCACATCAGTCGGAATCGTCCCACCGCGAAGCCTTCTTTTCCTTTATCCTATGTAAAAACGTCCCCACACCCATAGTCAAGATGGGGAATCGGCTAGACAAATCCACAAGCTCTGGCTGTTTTGCATGACAAATTTGGACTCGTAGTGTAGTGCTGTTTAAGGTAGTTCAGTTGTAGCATCACAGATCTAGTATGTCATGCTGCTTGGAGAATGACAAATTCCACAACACGACTAGAAAACGCTTCTCATGGGGCTCCGCATGAGAAACATTTTCAGCATGCAGATTTGCATTACAACTATGGTGTGGGCACATTTTTAACTACGATATCCTTCTTTCTCTCCCTGTCTCGGTTTTTCGCCCGCTCCGATCGTGGCTGTGGTTGTTCCGCTTCTCCCTCCTGTTCGTCATGGTTTATTTCTGCTCCCCTCCGGCTTTTCTTGTCCTGCTCTGTGGAGCCGCCTCGCCTTCTAGACCTGTCCCTTCTCTGGTCGGCTCCATGATCTTCTCTGCCACCATGGTCGTCACTCCCTCTCCGGCGTTGCCGGTCGCGGTTCCGGTGGTCACGCCTTTCGACGTCGTCGCCGCCTCGCTGGTGTTCGTCTTCCCCACGACCGGGGGTAGTGGATTTTCGCATGTAGTCCCGATCCTCCCGTCTGTGTTGTCCTCTCGGAGATGTAGTTGACCCCTGCTGTTGTACTACTATCCCCTGCGCCTGATGAAGATCAGCACCGTGCTGTTGATGATGCTGCTGCCCACCGGCGCCCACAGCAGGTGGTTGCACCGCTGCAACCGCGCCCATCATCTGCTGCTGCTGCTGCCATTCCATGGGGACAATGCCACCCATCTTTCCCTGCGGCGGCACCATGCCGCCACCGTAAAACTGCTGAAACGGCTGCGGCGGCGCGGCGCCGAGCAACGGCCCCACGCCGGGAATGTGGTGCGACTGCGCTTCGGGATTCGCGGTCGGCTGGGAAAAGTGCGGCTGCGGGGGCATGGGGTTGTAGCGGTAGCCGCCTCCTTTTTGTGCAGGTGCTGGTCCACCTCCACCTCCTTTGTTCATGTACGGTTGCTGTTGTTGGTACGGAAACCCGCCCGGGCCACCCATCGGCATCCCCATCGGCCCCACATTGGGTTGGTTCTGCAGCTGCAGCCCGATTTGCTCGGCCTTCAACCGTTTCGCGTCCATTTCCATCTTTTTCTCTTCCACGAACCGCTTCGGAATGCCGGAGGGTTCGCTCATGGCAGAGATGAGCAGCTCCCACAGTTCCTGGCAAAATTCCGGGGTCTGCTTGCCGAGAAAGGGGGTCAAGTTCATTTGGAACTTTTTCGGCTCAATTTTTTCGTCCGCGGTCTGCTTTTCGAAAGTTAGTTGGGAGTTCACATACCTGGGATTTTGAAAATTTCTCATGCTTGATAGATAATATATTCATTTGTCATGCATACCCGACTGCGCCACATCAAAAACCTTTGCACCGTCGCCGCAAGCAGCTTCGGATGCAGGAAATCTAGGGATAGACACATCATTTGTCATGCTTCGCAAACGCAATAGTACTACAGAGTGAAAAAATAAAGAAATGCCAATTTGCCATGCGCAAAAAAAAAAAAACCTACGAAAAAATTCGCATTGAAATGTAGTAGTAAGTACTCGATAACAATGTCGTCTTCGAATCCCATTATCTCGATGACTTTCGTCTTAATCCAGGGCTTTATGCTGTCGAAGGTAATTTTGCTCATGTCAATCTCCTTTTTATACAACTCTTCGTTGAACATGCCCTGCTTGGCCATCTGGTTCATCACCCGTTTTGTCCCGTCCGCGATGTTCATGCGCTGCGACCCGGCCCCGCGGCCGTGGAAACCGCCAGAACCCTGCATTTTGGTTCCTTTGTAGTTTGATGCTGGTGATAATTATTTTGGTACGTAACCACTTCTACTTCACTATCACTATACTGACCGCATCGAAAGATGAAGAACGGTCTTAGCTCCTCCTGCGCACACAGTACTGCTATCTAGTCAAATCCCGGCTCAACATCGGGAAGATGAAGATACTTAACTACAACGGTATGAGCTTATACAGGAAGCCTGATCATTACAAAGAGATCTTCTTCTTCTTCCCGCGTCCCGTCGCGTTCTTCGCTGTGAAAGGACAATAATTTTTAGTACGATTATATTATTTTCCCAAAGTTTCTTGAAATGAAAAAGTACAGTACTGACCTCTTCTTAATTCGCAGCGAGATAGAAAGACCACAGAGATGAAATAATTTTCGATTTATTGAAAACAAGGAAGCTATGGGAGGATCCAATCATGTGGCAGTTTTTTTTCGTTCTTCTAGCATGGTGTTTTATTCATTGTTTCTACTGTATTCTGATCTTGCGCTGCACTTGTTTCCGGCCCTGAAAAAGTGGAAACTGGTGAAAAAATTTGGTACTATTCATTGGACCACTAGCACTACAACTTGGCAGGAAAAATTCATAAAGGTAAGTCTTTCCGCGATATTAATTACCGTGAACAATGTCGCGCTCATTTTCGATTTGACCTGGAGGACCCTTGCTTTCGGGACGTCTTGTGCAGCCTACGAAGCACTACAGAATTCCATTACATTCCTTCATGGTTCGGAAAAAAAAATTCATCTTTTCTACTATCGAAAAACCCACCAGTTATGTACTTCTAGCTGGGACAGGGTTCTTGTGTCCTTATAATATTCATGCTGGAAAAAATGTACTTGCTTCAAAACCAGCTCAGTTCCCCACGTCCGCGCAACTGCCCAGGCACTGTACGTAGCTGTGGCCGTTGTTGTATGAACTCCAAAAGTTGTATCGTACTCGTATAAATGCATTACAAATTTCCTCAGCATGAGTAGACAGGAAATTTGTGATGCAGATTCACCTTAAGAAAAAGATTTGTAATGCATGATTGCAACACAAGTACGATACTGTTGCACAGGATATGTTGTGGCACTTCTCGAAGCACTCCGCCTTGCAGTAGGGACAGTCTTTGGAGGATGTCTCTTCTTGCAGGAGGGACAACAGCATGAGGGGACTTGTAGTTTCTGTCGTCTGTTTTTTGTCCTGCGGAATTATGTCCAGGAAATCCGCAACGTCGCTGTCCTCCAGGTCTGCCACGGCGTCTGCCAGTTCGGAGTCTTCTTGTTGCTCCACCTCCGCTGATGTACTAGCAGTACTACTACTACTACTACTACTACTACTACTACTACTACTACTTTTCGCGGCTCCAGCTCCCGATGCCAACGTGTTTCTTGTCGTTGTGGTGTCCAAAAACAGCACGTCCATTTCATTCGCAGCGTCGCTTTCCGCGGTGTCATTCGACATTTCGTCGTCGTTTTGCTCCTTTTCATTCACTATGCATTGCAAACACCGATCTGGGTCAAGATCTGGAGATTTGTGTTGCTGATACTCGACGCATCTTCTTCGTAGAGTACCAGCTCTGCGGCATACCAGCATGAGAAGTCTGCTAGTTTGCGAGGCTTGTTGCCGATTCATTCGTATAAGTACTTACATCGCATGACAAACTAAGCTATTCTCAGCATGACAAAAAAACTGGCTATAGTTGCATTTTAATGATGCATCACAAATACAAATCCTTGCTGTCCACCTTCTCCTTCAAATCTATGCATTACAAATCCAGACCTCCCAGGGTCAGTATTTTATGCAATTCATACTCACTGGTGACTCCGTTTCCAAATCCTTCTCGGCTTCCTCCTCGGTCACCGTTTCGGGCACGGGCTCCCCCGCCTCCGCCGTCGGCGCATCGTCGTTTGCAGGGTGTTGCTGCTCCTCCGCGGGAGCCGGGACTGCCGTAGCTTCGGACCCCGTGCTATCGTATTTAAAAACGTCCCCACCCCAGAGCAGTAGTGCAAATCTGCATGCTAAAAATGTTTCTCATGCGAAGCCCCATGAGAAGCATTACGTAGTCGCGTTTTGGGATTTTTCATGCTCCAATCAGCATGATATACCAGATCTGTGATGCTGCTTAACTACCTCAAACAGCACTACACGACGAGTCCAAATTTGTCATGCAAAACAGCCAAAATCTGTGGATTTGTCTAGCCAATTCTCCATCTTCACTATGGGGTGGGGACGTTTTTACATAGGATACGTGCCGTCGTGGGCGTTTTCCAACCGTTCCAAATCGCCGACGGACTTCATCAGCTCCTCCTGGGCTTTATCAACTGCAAATATGTCTGGGTCTGGAACAAACTTGTGATGCAAGTCAGGGAACAATACGCGCACTGTAAAGCGCTGCCCAGCATGACAAGCTTTTCCGTGGTTCTGAGTTGCGTAATCCGCATGACAAGCCACGTTTCTGCATGAAAAGCAGGAGCAGCGCTTTGCGGCCACGCAATACAGAACTCAGAGTCATGTCGAACTGGCATGACAAATCTCGCAATCTTCCAGACCCAGACATAGTTGCCTTTGATACGCTTCTTGCAGCTTCTGCGCATTCCCCTCTTTCACGGCCTTCAACGCTTTTTGCATGGTTTTGATGTTCGACGCCAGTCGGGCGATCTCGACGTGGGTCATTTCCCCCGACTGCCGGCCCTCTTCGAACTTTTTCGCCATGTCTAGGATTTTCTGCTCCAGCATCCTAGTCACCAACTCCTTTTCCGTCATCTGCTTCCCGTTCGGGTTCTGCTCCTCTGCAGTTTTCAGCCGGCGGACCACTATTCTGTGTAAAAACGTCCCCACCCCAGAGTCAAGATGGAGATCTCGCAACGCAAATCCAGAACCTTTGGGAGTCGCGCATGACAAGTTCCTCTCTGTCTTGTAGTGCAGTCTAGCAAGTGCAGCCGTGGATCACGAAGCCGTCTACTTCTCCTGTTTACAGCATCAGAAAATCCAAAACACTACTGGAAATTAATGCCTCCCTCGCATGGGGATGCGCATTACAAATCTTGCTACAATTGCAAATCTGCATGACAACTCTGGGGTGGGGATGTTTTTGCAGAGGATAATCACGAGCGGGGGCTTGGGGTGCTTTTTCTTCACGACAAAGGGTTTCTTCAGTGGCTTAGCCTCCCCTTTGTCCTCGCCAGCCGCGGCTTTGTCTCCGGGTGCAGCTTCGGTTTTGTCCTTCGGTGACGTCCTCGCGGCTTCTTCCTTCGACGAAGAAGAAGATGTCGTGGCGGTACCAGCACCGGTAGAAGTTGTACTACCTCCACTATGAAATGCAAAAGTATCGGTCTCGTAGAAATCGCATCACAAATTTGCTCAGCATTAGAAATGGAATTTGTAATGCGGCTCTACCTTATTAACAAGATTTGTAATGCAGAAATATATTTGCGATTAATACGAGTACGATACTTTTGCAATGCATATCCACTGTGCTCATCCAACCACTCGCCACACAGCTCGACGAGTGGTTTTATCAAGAAGAAAAATCCCCCCTCCCCATATCAAAGCGGAAATCTGTGATGCAGATTTATGGCCACAAATCAGCTTGGTCATGCTAGAAGGGAAAAGATGCGGACTGTGGTGCTGGTTGGCGTGGGACCACAGTCTTGCATCTTCAGCATGACAGGAGGCAGCTGCAAGTGGGAAACAGCATGACAAATTTCCTGCAAACGACGCAAGAACTGCGCCGCTTGGCCTTCTAGCATTACAAGTCGATTTGTGTACTCAAATACAGCATCACAAATTTCGTTTTCGATATGGGGAGGGGGGATTTTTCTTTTTGATAGGTTTTTCTTGTTTTTCATTTCCACGCTTCAACAACATCTTCACGAACTTCACCACCTCTAAGGTCGAGAACTCCTTGTCATTCAGAATTTTCCACTGCTCGTCAAAACTCGCTTTCCGCCGGCTCAACAGCAGTCCCATCAGCAAATTCGTCTTCTGCTCCCGCTTATGCAGTGCAAAAGTATCGTAATCGTACTCGTATAAATGCATTACAAATCTCCTCAGCGCGAGAAATGAAATTTGTAATGCGGATTGACCTCAAGTAATGCATGATTGCAATACGAGTATCAGATACTTTTGCACAGGATACCGCTCCTGGTTCAGAAGGCTGTTCCCGCGAAGTTCCATCTGTTGCGCAACCTCGCTGATCGCTGCGTCCGTCTGTTTTTTCAAAAACGCCGCATCGAGTTGACCAGAAGTTGAAGTTGCAACACCTCCGCTGCTTTGCTTTTTGCTCTTCACCAACAGGTTCTCCATCTTTTTCACGAAGGGAGACAACACTTCGGTGCTCAATTTCGAATTCTTCACGTTCCGATTGGAGGCCATCAACTTCCGAAACCCGGTCAGAACAGACTGCAGGCGGTGGAGCTCCTTGTCTGCAGTGGCGGGGGTCGCTGTCGTAGCTGTAGTACCGCCGTACTGGGGAGCAACGAAGGCATCTGCAGCGGTGCAGCAGATGAGCAGCAGAGAGGAGCAGAGCGACAGCTTCCAACGAGATGAAAAACGACTGCCACCTCCATTACCTGGGGGACGCCCGATCATCATGTCAACTACTACTGCCATCTTTTATAGGACGGGAACGTCGAAAAAACTGATCTCTCAGAAGAGATTCATCTACAGGAGGAGCGACGAGGTGATGACACTGAAGAGTTCTTGTGAAGACGAACCTGGACTATTTAACACGGTAGAACTACATTTTTTCTGATCACTGGTGATCTTGGACCTCCTGACTTGCCCCTATACTATCCATGGAATTTCTCTCTCGTCTCTTAACTGACTTCTTGTTCCACGTTGCCATTCGACGGAAAAGATGAGTCAGTTTCTGGATCCAGTTTCCCTCTTTCTGTTGCTAGGGCCTGTTGTAGTGTTGAAGCTGAACAACGTGATAACATTCGTGGGGAAACAAAGATCTACTTGTCAACCGCACAAGCAGACCAAGTCAACGAAAACATGTTGATTTCATATCTATATTTTTTCACTACATGCATAAACCGTTCGTACAACTTTCTCAAAGACCTGTGTACTAGTTTTCCTTCCATTCTCCAAGTACTATACCTCGTTCTCGCATGATATGCAAGAATTTTTTTGCATAAGCATTGAACAGTATCCATTCCATTCATCGTCATCAAACAGCGACATTTTGATTTTCGATTTATTTTGTGACTTAAAAAAGTGTAAAGGTGTAAAAAGTAAGTGAAAATAACTCTTTATTTAAATTTTCTGCAAACCAGCAACCGCATTTTTCATCCCCCCGCTGCGAATGTCGCCGTATCGGTTGTCGGCCGGCCCAACGAGGACGGTGGTCGAAGAGGACGCTGTTGTTTTTACCGCCTGCAACTCCACCTCGCTCTCGCCACCACTGAAGGGCAAAACCAAGTCGTGCTGCTGCTTGCCGAAAAGGGTCGTGCTGGTCATGATTTGCTGGGGCGGGGGTTCTTGCTGCGGAAGTCCTGCACTTGTTGCGGGAAACACTTCTGCTGGACGAGCCTGGATAGTAAGTTTGTTGTTTCATCCTCAGGTTGACTTTTTCGTATACGATTTCACCGATTCTAGACTACAATTTGACGTTGTCCTGACCTGTATGCATTTGAGTATTTCACACCCAAAATGATGATGATCTCATCGAAAAAAAAACTGCCGCATAACAGAAATTTCTTCGGCTCCTTTTTCTGCGGTAGAAGATACTTTGTTAAAGATTAAAATACCGAAGAAGAATCCTCTCCTGGTGTCGACATCAAAAGCGCGAGCGCCTCGGCGGGTAGCTTCTGGAAGTGCCCGGCCCGGCTGCCCGGGCTTGCACAACTCAAGACCTGCCCCCGAAGTCAAGAAAGCAAGGCCCGTAAGACGCGTCCTGGCCCCCGGGGTGTTTGTTTTTGCACGGCAGACGGAGCGCATTATACAAAAAAAGGCGGGCAACCTTCGCTGCGGGTCGCGTGCCACCCTGGTCGCCCGATGTCCGCCCGACCTCCCCGCGCCTGATCTGACTGGCTGCGCCTGCGGCGCAGAAGGCCCCCCCGGCTGCCGGTCGTAGCAACAAAGAATATGGCGCGGGTACTGTAGGCACCCCGGAAGCCCCCCTCTGAGGCCCCCCCTGAGGCCCCCCCCTAAGGCCCTTCCTGAGGCCCCCCCGGAGGCCCCCCCCGAGGCCCCTTTTCCGTTGCCGCGCACAGTAGCAAAGCAAGCTCCCCCGGATCGGCCAAAGAGTCGCGCGCGCGAACATTGCCCCGCGCGAACGCCTCGGCGGGTAATTTCATTCTGGAAATGCCCGGCCCGGCTGCCCGGGATTGCACAACTCAAGACCTGGCCCCGAAGTCAAGAAAATAAGGTCCGCGCAAGATGGTGCCCCGTCTTCTTCGGTTGGCTTCCAGCTGCCTTATGTTCTTATGGGTGCTCTGCTGCGTGATGCGCCATGTTTTTTGAAGAGCCAGCGCTACCCCTATCCCAGCCTTTTCGTTCCCTCCGTAGGGAGCCTAGCCCAACAGTCTTAGTGAGCATTTTGCCGTATACTCAATATCTTCTTGCAAAAGGATCAAGCTCAAGAAAGGGTCGCCCATCAGGGCGACCCGTCTTCTTGTACTATGTAAAGATATAAATACCGAAGAAAAATCCTCTCCGAGTGTCGACATGATCAAAAGCTGCTGTGTATCTCGCTGTCCACCAAGACCACCACCACCAAGGCCGTTCAGATGTTCCTGGAACAGACTGGACTGGGATGATGCACCCGTGCTGCTCGTCGCCACCCTCTCGAAAAACGCGGCAAGCACTTGGAAGTACGCGACCGGGTATCAAGTGCAAATATGTCTGGGTCTGGAAGGATGCAAACCTGTGACGCATACTCGGATCACACAAAAATCTGTCATGCTTAGACAGCAAAGGGAGCTCCTTTTCCTGTCGCCGAAAGAAGGTGTTTGTCATGCGAATTAAGCATTGGGAAACCGTCTCAAAACCTTTGATGCTAGGCCTTGCATGGCACACCTTCTGTGTCAAGCAGAGACAGCATCACAAAGCTCAGCAATCTTCCAGACCCAGACATTTTTACATGTGATACCGGGTTGGTCTCGACCACGTCGTTGTGCCCGGCTTCCAGCGGAAAATACGGCGGGTACCTAGCATGAAGAAACACCACCAGCACTCCAGAAGAGGTAGGATGTCTTTTTAATGCACAACAAAACTCTCCAAGATGAAACCACGGGTCCGATAAGCGAAAGAGAAGCGACAAACATGAAGAGGACACAAAATTCAGTTTTTTCAACACATAAGAGTTGTAGTATCAAATGCGGAAAATGTGATGGTGCCATGCCAGTAACACGACACTTTGAGTGTTTGATTGTCTTCGAAATTTTATATGCGACGTGAGCATGTTTTAGAGGTTGTGATCGAAGTTGTGGTCGGGCTACATGATCATACATAGATTTTTGTACTTCTTGTTCCAGGTATAGTCTACAAAGAGGACCAGAATTGATGTTCACCGGCGTTTTTAGGACTATCACACAGCACAAAGACAACCTTGCTAGACTTGTTTTTGATTGGGGGAAACAATACCAAGCCTCTACCCTTAGTCCCAGTGTCATGTCGAGACAGTGCGTTCGTTGTGCGACAACAAAATTAAATGTTGGTGCACTTTTACAGTGTTTCAACATGACAAAGAGACAGTCGGGTAGAGCTTTTTCTGAAAATTTGAGAAGCTCCTTGGAGGGCAACGAAGTCCCTCTAGAGCATAGTTATAGTGCTATACGTCAACTTGTCATGCAAAATTGTTGCTTTTTGCCAGGTTCTAAACTACCTTGGCTCATCTTCGCACGGTAAAGGGACTACAAGTCGATCGCACATTGTCGATTTTTTTACGTGTGGTCAAGCGAACGAAGCAAACGTTGCAAAAAATGGCCCGAGTAGTGAAGTACAGTCGTGTTTCGTTGTAGTGCCCGATCTTTCATATTTTTCCGCTTTTTTGATCACGCTCGTGTACGGTAAGGACGCTTTATTCAAAGTTCTTGACAATTATGCAAATCGATAGACAGACAGCTCTTGGCGATATTTTCTCCGTACGAAAGACGGGATGGGCCGACAGATTTTGTGATCGAGTCGTTTCCGCACGTTGCGACAGCAAAGACAAAGAACGAAGCCCGAATTCTCTTTATTTTCTGCAAATATTGACAGACGTGTTGATCGATAGTATGCATTTGCTGCCCATAGTGGCGCCAGCTCTTTTGGACGGATATTTTACTACTTCTGTGCTTCTCGCGAGACGAGTAGAGCAGTAGTAATTCCCTTTGCACGTTCATACGCTCACTGTGATGACAAAAAACGAGGGCCCGAGAGATTTTTCATTATTAAGCTAGGGAACCGGATTGATTTTTTATCGAGCTTTGCTCTTCGCTTGTGGTTGTGAACGGTCATAGTTACTACGTCGCGCTGCTCAGCTCCTTCCCTCACGTCGTTGATCTCATTTGTACGCACGCACGCACGTCAAATAAATCTAGTACAGACGAGAAGCAATTTTGGACGACCGATTTTTATTTTTTGAGGTATGTTATTGTTCCAATTTTTATCGCCGAGATATTACGGTAATATCGTGGTAGTAGTTGTTCGCACGGTCGTTCTTGCTGTTGGTCATCCCGACAGGAGCTCCTGCTGACGTGGTTCTTGTTGTACGGCATAGAAGCATAGTGCCCGACGATTTTTTGCACGGCATACCCGACTTGTTTCCTTTGCAGCTTTACCAAAGTACGGAGAGACGTACTCGGTTAATTTGCCCACGTGAAGACGCATTACAGACGTGTAAGTAGACGTTGTTACGACAGACGGAGCAGAGGGGGCGCACGACGAGGACTCGCAGGAGATGTAGTTCTACTTCTTTTGCGCATACGTAGGTAATAGAATTCGCAGGTGCCCGACGTTGCTGTATTTTGCTCTGACCGCAGACCGCACTGACTTCTGCTATACGACGCTCGCAACCGAAAATGTCTGTACTACCTAACGCCACAGAATAAGCTTGCTCAAGTCTCTATATTAGAAGAAGTTGCTGTCTCTTTTCCATGCAAGACCACAAACAGACGCGTTTTTTCTGATTCGACGCACAGCTCTCGTCTCCGATCCTTTTTTTCGATCATTTTTGCCCTTTCATGTTTTCCGCAACAACTCATACGCTACGCTACGAAATTCTATGATTACGAGGACAGATCTACGCTACGACATTGCTATCAGAGCTACGAGTTCTTGCAAAAATCTGGAGGCTGGCGCAAGACTGAATCTGTTTTGACGTACTTATTGACCTCTTTGCCTTTCACGCTACGAAGCCTTTCCTCACGCTACGAGTCCTGTTGCTTTCCTGACGAAGAAAAAACAGTTCTACGTTAACGCTACGCTACGAAGCGAAAGGACAGACGCAGTAGTACTTCTTCTACCTAGGGGCTTACTTTGTCGTCATCTCTCTCCTTGCGTCGATTCTTCAACTTGTTATCCGAGCAATAATGCCTGTAAAACAACAAGCATGTCAAGTACAGACGGTGTGGCTTTTGGATCGTGCTAGTTAATCGGAGACAGAGCTACTTTTGTGCCCGACACGGCGTCACAGACCGAAGAGAATTCTGAGTCGAAGCGACGAGAGACTGTACTGGGTGATCGCAGAACCGACAAGGCATTTTTCTTTTTCTTGGATCCGACCAGGGAGAACGAAAGTTTTGAACGTAGAAATTTGCTGAAAAATAAACGAAGATGAAGGCAAGTTGGTGCTGGGGCCAGCCGCGTCGGAAATTCTGCTTACACGGAGGAGAAACTGCAGTGGCGACGCGGGAGGAGACGGTGGTCGGCGAAAATCTGCACGAAATCAACTTCGAGTCAAAATCGACAGGAGAAAAAAAGAAAACGTGGAAAACGCCATTTTTTTTTCGATAATTACTAGATGGAAACTCAAACTGTGTGCTGGTCTCAAGGAGTTACAAGTTCTGTTCTTCAGCTCCGGTGAATAAATGCAAGACAGAGCAGTTGTACATATCAAATCAGAAAAAAATCTGCAATGATAGAGTGATATCACGAAGGGGGGGTGTAATTCCTGTCGAGTTACATTGCAAAAATTAGGTCGACGACAAACGATGCTTTTTATTCGAAGCAATAGTACTCATCTTTCACTTTGTACGAACAATATCAAAGGTACAACCTCCGGATAATTATACGGAATTTTGCTAAACTATCAGAGTTCATTGCGATATACTTCTTCCGCGTGGAGGCAGTCGTGATGCCGTCCATCAAATACCTCCGATAATATTTTCCTTGTGTTGTACGAAAGCTGCAAATGCAAGAAGCATTCTAAACCGTCTTTGCTATACGAAAAGGAAGCAAGACGAGTTTTTCTGATGTTGAGAAAATCATAGAAACCGCACACGTGACGAACGGAACCGACAGACTACGTTCATTCTTCTTTATCGCGCATACACAAATCGTCGTCTTTCATTCGGACAACATTGACCGAGGAGGTTCTAATCGACAATCTTCACTAGAACGACGAAGTTACTACGTTTAGGTAGTTACGACCAAAGCAATGAAAACCTAAACCGTATTCTTCTAGAAGTACTTCTTCGTTCGAAATCATTCGGGCACAAGAAAGCTACGACGGACGATACATAGCAGGAGTGATAGGTTAAACAAGCATGAAAAAAAACCAAACATTACCTCCTAGACTCCTCGATGCTTGTGAAGAGCTTTTGCGAATGCGCGAAGGGCACCACGGTGTCCTGTCGTCCATGAATCAGCAGCACGGGGCAGGTATGAAATGCAAAAATGTCTGGGTCTGGAAGGTTGCCAGGTTTGTCATGCATATTTCGCATGACTCAGTTTGTCTCTAATGCATGATCTAACATCACATATTTTTAGAGGCCTTCCTGATGCCTATCCCGCATGACAAATGCCCTCCCCGCGTAGCAGAAACTGGGTCTCTCTTGCTGGTCATGCAATACAGACTTTTTTAGAGTCCAAAGTTAGCATCACAAGTTCTAACCTTCCAGACCCAGACATATTTGCGATGCATAGCAGGTAAGCTGCCGGATTTTTTCCGCATTTTTGAACAAGTCAAAGCAGACGAACGTGGTGCTGGGTTTGCAGCAACCCTCCGGGTTGGGATCCAGCACCCGGATTCCGGAGAGCATCGCGGAATGGAGGATCACCCCACCACACTGCGACTTGATCTTTGCGGCCAGCTCCACGATGGGCCCCGTGCCAACCGACTGTCCGTACAGAATAATGTTTTGCGGGTCGTAGTGCAGCTCCTCCGTCAGGAACTTGTAGGCCGCGTCCGCGTATCCTGTGCAAAAGTATCGCACTCGTTCGTAGTAATCGCAACCATGCATTACAAATCTGGCTCCCAAGGCAAATCAGCATGACAAATTCCATTTGCAACTACTACTAGTACGATACTTTTGCAATTCATAACGCGTCCCCCGTCACATGGCGGAAGTGGGGGACGATATATCAAAAGGAAAAATCCCCCTCCCCATATCAAAAGGAAGTTTCTGATGCTGGATTTGCGTACACAAATCAGCTTTGTATTGCAGAGAGGCACTGCGGGCAGATCTCCAGGCTGGATCGGGGCGCATGTGTCTAGTTGTTCAGCATAGCAAACGGCTCCCCTTTAGGCCCAACAGCATGGCAAATCGCTGCCATAATGGGGCGAAAGCTCCTGCCCTTGTCTTCTTGCTAGACAAATATGATTTGTGACCTCAAATCAGCAACACAAATTTTCGAAGTCATACCTTTTCAATATGGGGAGGGGGGATTTTTCCTTTCAATACGATAGGCTTGTTGTTCTTGAGTTGTTGTGCTTCCCGCGGTATCATCTTCTTCTCCCCCGACGGTGGTGCAGCTGCTGCACCACTGCCCGGTATCCCACGAAAAAAGTGTTACAGTCACACATTTGTTGGACTTTCTGCATCACAAATTTTCTCTGTGTGGCAGTAATGCAAAGATAATAAGGGAAAATACGTAGGAAACGAGACTCGCAAGCATTTCCTGCATGACAAAGGTTGTCTGTCTTGCGGCTCCTGCAACACAATGTGTAACTGTAACACTTTTTTCTTGCATACCCTGGTCCAGCACCGCAGTGAACTGCCCTGCTTCCGCCGCCAGCTGGGTAGCGGTCGTCGCGGCTCCGCATTACAGTGAAAAACGCCCCCACCCCGAAAGTTGTGATGCGAAGTTTCCAACTGAAAACCTTTTGTCATGCATGAAAGTAGGACTATGGATCTTTCTGATGCAGAGTCTAGTCGTCGTATACAGCATCGCCTGCATGACAAGCACCGCTCTTGCTGGGATCTTTTGCAATACAAATTTTTGCTATTCACGGTTGAAATATTAAATCTGTCATGCTGATACAAGCATCAAGAGGGCGAGTGTTTTCATTGGAAAGGTTTGCAATACAAATGCTCCCAAGTTCTGGGTTGTGGGCATTTTTCCTCACAATACTCCGTCTTTCGCCTTCTCCAGCGCGATGGGACCGTAGCCGCTGTACTCCACCCCCAGCACGTCAATCTGGAGGGTTTCAGACAGGTCGTAGTAGACGGGGAGCATGAGCCCCATATCCGTTGCATTCCCGTGGCAATGGAGGAGCACGAAGTTTCTATTTCGGTCGACCTCATGATTCCCTGCCTGTTCCGTATCATCATGTTGATCCCTTACAACTCCCCCACTGCCCCTCCTTCTTGAAGAAGATGTGATTCCGTAAAAATTTCCTTTCCTTCGAAAGAGGGAGACCAGTGTCGTTTTCTTATCCGTCACAGTGTTCCGCAGCAAGTAGACCGCCACTTTTTCTTGCGCTTGCCGGTAGACGATGTGCGTCTTCAGTTCGCGGATGGTGTAGAAGAGGTAGTACCGCTGCAGTTGGTTCTTACCACTTCCGGCGGTCGCGCCATGGTCGTGATCGTCCTCCTTCGGATTCGGTCTCTTCACGATCGTGTAGCTAGGTGGGGTCGGGGGCAGAAAGGAAAACCGGTTCCGAATCTCGTCGACTTTGCACTTGTTGATGCACACGTAGCAGGTCAGAGCGCACGACGCGCTGCAGTTTGCACCCATACGAAATTCGTGTTGACAGGACCACCGAGGACTGCGCGACGTGCCAGCACGGCAAGGTCAACATCTGCCGAGCAGTGAGCTGAACGGAGCACCACAGCGGGGGCGTTGATCCGTGGGCCACGGCTGCAAGGGAGAACGGTTAATAATAGAAGATGATTGAGGCCTCGATGAACAAGATAGCTGCTGTCTGCTCCACTTCAAAATCTTGTTTCTCGTCACTGTGCTCGTGCTGCTGACGTGCAACTGCAAGAAGTCTTTCCTCATGGCTACTCGCAACACTTGTGCGGCATGATCTTCACAGCGAGCGACGTGCAAGACCTTACCACCGTGCTGCGACCAAAGCCGCAACCAGCTCCTTCTTAGCAAAAACTCCTGAGCGCCATCACAAGAAGCGACGTGTGCAGACAAGGACGGAGTGAGAACGCAGCGGCCTCTCGGCTTAACAAACTACGCAGGTGGAGATCGCATCAATATTTTGGAGGAGCCACCACTCAGAGCAGTGGTTCTCACAGCTCCAGCACATTTTTCATGTCTTCTACTCATCTTCCGCAGAAATCACGAATGTTACGAATTTGGAATCAAACATAGTGAACGATCCACACAGAAAACGAAAAACCTCTGTAGTTGTTCATAACGACACCGTTGATATTACGGATTAGTTGGAGTTGGAGAGATCAAGTCAAAGCAGGATACTTTTAAGCCACCGACCTGTATCATCAACCGATTTCCAGAAAAAAACGATTCAAAAAATAGAACCAAAAGCGGCCGTCGATATTTTGGGCTAAATGTACCGACTGTGGTGACAACGCAACTACATGATCTGAAGAAGTACTCCGAAAATAAATAAGTAAATCAATCAGCCGCTGACCGAGCGTTTTTGGAGACAACAATCAGACTTCTTTATTCCACTACGCCAAGAGAACACGACTACAACGTACGTGCGCCAACGCGCGCGCGGTGCTCCTTCACAACCAAAACGATCCGCTGGCCGCAGCAGCGAGACCGACTTGTGCTGGCAAGTAAAATCACTCCTGTCGAAAAATCCCTCCTGCAGCAAGTAGCGATATTCGTTCGATATCGGTAAAAAAGTCTTTACAACACCGTGCGAGAAGTTGTAGAACTACTAGCGCAAAAGTAGAGTTTTTGGCTAAGTAGCTCTTTCGATTCGCGCCGTGCTGCGCCATGTGAGCAGGGGCTGCTTCTTGTTCTTGCCTGGTCGTGTTGAATCAAGCACCCTCCTCTCTTCAACACCATTTAGGAGTTCTAATCGTGCAAAGAGAACAGGAAAGCAAGATAGAATTGTAATTCCGCCTGGCAATCGTAATCGAGGTCGTGTAGAAGAAGCAGCTGTGTGGACAGGGTGATAAATACAATATGGATGCTTTGGGCTTTGGGGTATTTTGTACGAGGGCGTCTCTCTGCCCCGCGACGCAGAGTCGAAACTGGAGTCACGCACTCGCAACTCCAGCAACGGCCGTAAAATGGTAGAGCGTTTGTTTTTTCAAAACTTGCAAATAAATTATTTTTTTTCAAAATTTGCATTGCAATTCATACTTCAAAACCTACATGTTTGTTTGTTCAAAATTTGAATTTCCTCTTTGTAGATGATAACGATCCACTGTCAATCTTGCAGCATATTTTCGCCTTCTTCTTCTTGCAGCATATTTTCGCCTTCTGTTGTAAGCACAGCCCATCATAAAAATCCTTCACATTCCGAATAAAAAGCAGCTCAAACAGCGATTACCACCCGTGGTCAGGATGCATACTGCTTCCGTACAAGGACTCGACAACTTTTATATTGGATATAACCGCGGCCCGCGATGCACTACAGCTGCAGCCTATCCTGAGTAAAAACGTCCCCAGCAAAGAGTTGTAATGCAGAAAAGCAGTGACAGAAAGGTTTGTAATGCGTATCCCCATGAGAGGCATTTCCAGTCGTGTTTTGGAAAAATTTGTAATGCTGTACATAGGATAAGCGTGTGTCTTTGTGATGCGTCTGTCATTGCTGGCCAGCACTACCCTGTGCAGATGGAAACTTGCCATGCAAAACTCTGAAAGCTTGGAGATTTGTGTTGCAGACTACTTACCAACTTGACTATGGGGTGGGGACATTTTCACGCAGAATACAGCCATCCGTGATGTGTAGTTTCAGGGTCGACCATGGTTTATGGCGCCGGCGGTAAGGAGGACGCTGACCGTGCCATGATTTGCTGCTGTGGCGGCGCTGCTGGCGCCCCCTCTGCTGGCGCAGCATGAGGAGTTCGAGTGCAGCAGCCACACAGCATGATCTTCTTCCACTTCGCAATGATCTCGTCGACGTTCGCTTGCACCCAACGTGCCTGCAGATTCTCTAGAATGTCTTTGTAGTCGTTCGTAGTTGCGGGAAAACCGGTGGCTTCGATTTCAGCAATCTGCTGCTGCTCCGGAGGATTGACCAGCAACTGCGCCACCTCCTGAAATCGGCGCTCCATCGCCCGCTTTTTCGCCGATCCATCCTTTAGCTCTATCAGCTTTTGTAGGGACTGTTGGTCGTGCTCCGATTCGGAGTGATACAAACAGAGCCCACCGCACGCCGCTGCAGCTAGGCCCGTCGCAGCGACGGGCAACGTAGAAGCAAACGTCGACGCCCATAAGCCGCCAGCTGCCGTGACAGTGCCGGCGACGCCCCTGAGCTGCTTGCCCGTTCGGCGGATGCATCCATTGTAGTCATTTCCCCGTTTGTCGCGAGGCGTTTGGTTCTGCTCGACGAATCTAATGTCGTCTCGGATTCCTTCCAAGAGTCCTCTCGCCTTCTCGAGGCGGTTCACCACGGCAACCATGGCCTCTGCTTCCTCATATTTCTCACGATAGTACGAGATAGACTCACCTTCTCTGATTTGCGAGCGCGCCCCGGATGGAGGAGCAGACGTCGCGCGCACCCGACGACCGGTCGGGCGGCAACAAGGTATCACGATGAAAAACCCCCTGAACCCCTACCCAAGTGGAGTTGCTCCTGCGTGAAGAAGATTTTCGTCATTACACACTCACACAAAGGTCAGTTGTATTGCAAGAAAAAAATGCGAGAGCGTTCTGTCGCGTTATGACTTTCTGGCCGATCTTAAATAATCGATACGGCTGCAGGTCAGCCTAAAAGCGAAAAAATGCGATTTGGCTAGTGCATTTTTGCGGCTGTAAAAAACAAGTCTGGCAATTTGCAGTGTGCGTTCGCGTATGGGATGGGATGGAGGTTTTTCCTCACGGTAAGAGCACCGGTGTTGGCTGCACTTGCAGGAGGTATCAAGAAAAAAAAAACCACCTCAACCCCAACCCGAAATCAGTCTCCGCTGCATGAAGTACTAGGTTTGCGTCCTTACACGGCCACAAGTCCAGTTGCATTTTTCGTCACGACCACGAGCAGCTCTCTGTCGCATCATAGTTTTTTCTTATTGGCCGATCATATCTTATCTATTGCATGCCGCTCGACCTACAAATGGAAAAATCATGTAGTGCTTTGTTCTTTTGTTCAAGACCATATATGCGCCTATACAAAAACTTGCCGACTGCGTTTTCGTTCGGGAAGGAATGGCTTTTCCTCTCGGTAGAAGAGAGATATTCTTGTTCGTCCCGACGTACCTCTCTCCCTGCAGGTGGAAGCCCCCCGCTCTGCTCCAGCAGAGGCGTGTCCCGAGTTTCGCCGGCAGGACTATGCGCGGCGAAGACACCCGGCAGGGCGGAGTTCTGTTGCAGCGCCGCAAGCTGCAGCAGAAGAGCAGTGGCGGAAGAAACGAAACGGGCGCCCGGCATTTTTTCGTTTTTGTTTTTGGTAAAAATTTACGTAAACACGATGCTCAGGGAAGTGATCGAGCGTTGATGGTCGTGGGGGTACTTACTTGCTTATTTTTATCGAGGCAAGTAGTAGATCTAGATTCAGCTATGCTAGTCGAGGTCGAGAGTAAGAAAGCTTATGAAAGATGAGTATGCACAGCGCAGCGGTGGAGCTAATTGAGTCCTTGTGGTTAACAAGAAGACGAAAAGCTTCGACCGTGGCTGCTATAACAGGTTTGTATAAGGTGGTAGTTTTTTCGTTTTATTTGCCAGAAGTAATAGTTTAGCAAAGCAGTAATTCTCGTCGACGTTCAAGAAAAAAGGCTTTGCGATTGGCAGTAGAATGGTTTTTGATGAAATTCTCAATTACAGTTTTCGGAAGTATTCATTGAGATTTGCGTCATTTGGTTTTTGCGTTGGTTGGAACCCGATCCAAAAAGCAGAACTGTTCGCCCGTCCGCAAATTGCATCTGAGGCGCTTCAAGTATAGCACCCACTGCCTGGCACACGCAAAAGGTACGTACAGCGCGGCTTTTTGGGGATTGACCTACAGCGGGCGCGCGCAGCGCGCCGCGCAAAATTTTAGCACCCTGGCAAGCGCGGAAGCGGGTGCGCAATAAATAAAACTCAGCACACACACAGCGCCAGTTGCGCCGATGATGTTCGAACACAGGTTATGAATTGCAAATTTCGATCTGGGTCTGGAAACTTTGGATCCGTCTGGGGCACTGCATGAAAAAATAAATACGGACAAACTGTCGATCTGCTAATATTTTAGGTCCCGTATAGGACTTAATATTCCACAGCGCATCAACATGCCTTTTTGCAAAGCAATCCCGATGTTTTGCTTTTCGCACGCATGGATGCAAATTAACAGATGAGCTTCGAGGTGTCACTCATATAAAACCCCAACACGCTGCACAACAAATCTTGCATAGCCTTCTAGACCCAGACAGATTTTCAGACACCGGATATAGATCCGCTTGTCCTGCCGCGATCTGCTGTGCGAAGGAAAGCACCGCGGCAGTGCCTACCATACCAGCCTACCATACCGATGTGCGTCTTCAATTCCCAGAGACGAACAGAGTGAACGTGTGCAGAGAAGAACGGAGTGAGAACGCAACGGCCTCTCGTCTTAGCAAACTACGCAGGGTATCGCAAGAAAAAACTGTTTCACTGTGAACTTGTGATGCAGAAAAAGCATCACTGAAGTATTTGTCTTGCTACACATGCAAGACAGTGGACTTTTAGCTGTGTTTTCCCTTAGGAGTCTCGCATGGCAAATTTTCTCTGTCATGCAGCACAAACTTGTGATGCAAAAGTTGCAAAAGTTGTAGAGTGGTTTTTGATGAAATTCTCAATTACAGTTTTCGGAAAAGCTTTTTATTGCGACAGAGTGGTCTTCACGGTAGTAGTTGCAATCAGATTAACTGTGGCTCAGGCTTTGATTATCTGTGATGTAGGGGGAATATCTTCACGACTAGGTGGTATAAAATAATCAGGCACTACCTGATCGGTCACATCACGGGAACAAGTACAAGAACTTCTACCATTTTTTACACATGTACATAGACGCAGTGCTTCTGCTCCTCACCGATTTTATTTTTCGCCGGTTCGAATATGATCGTCCCCGGCTTCGAATATGATCGTCTGATGTCCCCGGCTTCGAATATGATCGTCACGCCGATTTATTATTTTTTGACCGATGTTATATTCCTTCGATCATGAACGAGCTCTGCCGGCTTCTGCTTGCAGTTCTCAGCAAGGGATCGATTTTTCTAAATTTCTAATATTTTAGATCATCGAAGTAGATCCTCGCGAGCAGATCTCTTGCCAGCGTCGTACTCGCAGTTCGACTTGTTACTCGTCCTCCGCAAGAATCTACTGATCAGCCGTCGACCGAGCGTTTTTGAACAACCCTTAGAAGTCTGTCCCCGGAGTGTTGTACATCAGCGCTTTTGGCGCGGATGAAAACCACACTCCTTTATTCCACTACGCCAAGAGAATACGACGACAACGCACGTGCGCCAACGCACGAGGGTTGCTTCTTCACAACCAAAACGATCAGCTGGCCGCACCAGCGAGACCGAGTTGCGCTGGCAAGCAGTTATGGTAAAATTGGTTCTTCTTACAGATTCTGCCTGCTTCTTGGAGTCCAAGAGGCGTCTCAGCACCCGGAGGCGGAGAGCGCAAAAGCTAAGGGTGCGCAGCCCACTAGCAGCAGACCGGGGCTCGAACGAAAAAATATTTTGCTCTGAAAATTTTAAAAATTTTTGATTTCTGCGCGCCGGTTCGAGAAGGCGGCTTTGAGGTGGTTTCCAGGATGCACAACTGCGACGGCCGACTTGCGCTGCGTGTCCGGGACCAAGATGCGGCATGAACATCTCTCGCCGAGCCCGGTCCGGGGAGTCGGTTTAGGAAGAGAAAAGAAGCTACCGGCGAAGCGCTTTGGCTGCCGATCGCGTGTCGATATAGAAAACATACAAAAAGCGACCTCTGCAGGACCTTCAGAGTCTACTACAGAGCAAACGGCTCCAAAAACCAGGCCAAGAGTCGCGCCGTCGATGTCGCCGGCTGCGGGCACCGTGCTCTATAATCTAGAAAGTTTTCTCTTGTGGCGGCAGGTCAGGGATGACCAATCTCGGAAATACTCCTCCGGAATGCCATTTCGAAATGAATTCTAAAAGAAATCGACTCCGAAATGGCATTCCAATCACCCATTCCGACAGGGCATGCCGAAAAGGCATTTCGAAAAGGCATTTCGAGATGGCATTCCGAAACGGCATCTCGACGAGACACCCTCTGCAAGTCTGGGCGTCAGGTTGGTGCGCATTCTCATGCGCCAAAACAAAAAGCGTGGATCCTGAGCACTGATTTTGTGTTGCCACGCTTGAAAACCCGAACAGCACTAGCTCCAGCAGGGCCTCAACATATGGGCGCTTAAAGATCGCATCTAAAAGGCAGGACTGCGACATAAATTTGCTTGGAATATTACGCCCGTTCATCTACTGCGAAGTCCCCCAGTGCTTGCTTGATCTCCGATCTCATCCAGGATCGTCTTGTCGCGACGCGGATTTTTGAAATTTTGAAAAATTTTAGGGCAAAAAAAATATCCGTTTGAAACTGGTCTGCTGCTAGTGGGCTGCGCAGCCTTACAAAAGCCTGTTTCTTGGAGTCCAAGAGGCGTCTCAGCACCCGGAGGCGGAGAGCGCCACCAAAAGGCGTCCACCAAAATGATGTTTCTCGTCCATGGTTGTTGCAGGCTGATGACTTTGGTATGAACCTGCACACTTTCTGACAAGCCTGTTGATTGCCTGATCGCGTGCGCCGGCTCTGCAATTGATCTATATACGTATAGGTGCACATATAATACCTCTTCTTTGTTGCACGGTCATTCCTCCTCGCGAAGGAAAATAAAACAAGTACCTCCAACAACAAAATTCACACGCGATGTCGAAACCGGCTGAGCGAGGACCGGGCCCGCGCAAAATAAATCACATCGGATAGAATTCTAGTTATTGCACGGCCAGTCCGTCGCTGCGGAGATGTTGATACAGTACTATGCAAGGGCATCGATCCAAATGTCGAGATCCAGAGAAAAGAAGTTCGTCGGAGCAGCAAGGAGTCAAAGTCTCGTCAAGATAGTTTAACTAAGGCATTGGACTTGAAGTTCGAACTCGCCCTCTTGGTTTAACAGAAATCATTTCCGCGTGTGGAAAATTGAAGCGGCCGCGTTTTCTCCACCAATCAATGCGAACTTACTATGACGGTTCGCTTCTACAGGAGATCTTCATCTTCTTCACCGTTGAAATAAAACGGCACCGCTTCACTTTATCCGCGTGAAACAGGACAAACAGTTTTGCTCTATGTGTATCGCAGATCTTTCGCAGGTACTAGCAGCGCAGCAAAAACAAAAATCTCTTCTGCTGCCTCAGGTTCTTTCGTCCGGCTTGTTAGAAGTAGTGGAACACATTGCAATAGGTGTGAACAAAGCACGCGCAAGGCTTGCAGCGCAGTCTCGTTCTCGTACGAGGCTCCACACGACAAGCATTCAGTTTTCGATGACATCTTCACCAATCTTCATCTTACAGATTACGGGGTATAGATGTTTCTTTTCGCTTGTTTCTGTGGGTGGTGGTCAGCGGTCGCCTCTTCCCATGTTTCTCGATCGACAGGGGCAGAGCTTCGCCTAATTGCCCCAGGCTCACAAATACCAAGTGGCAGTGTGTCCAAGAGGCTTCTCAGCGCGAACTTTCTTGGAGTCCAAGAGGTGTCTCAGCACCCGGAGGCGGAGAGCGCAAAACGTTTCCGTGGGGGACGTCCTTCAAAAACACGGGAGTGGAAAGGATCTTCAGGGTAGTACTTTAAACCAAAAAAAATGATCATCTCTTCATTTTCTCTTCAGCATTCTTTCGGAAACATCCATGTGAGCCCTCGAGGAAGCTGCACCGGGGGGGTCGGCCCCTCTACGTCTTCGTTGTATTCGTGTTGTTGATGTTCCGAGCTATTAAAATGACTACATTTTTGTTCCGAAAAATCATGGGAGAGCTAGTGGTCGTTGCACCAACTGGTGGGTTTTCACCCTGTACCTCCTTCTCAGCATGTACTACCGCAGGGAAAAATAAAATGGAAAAATTCACTCACCAGAGCGCTTCCACCTGCACGTGCACTACGTCTAGGTGGTCTACGCGCTGTATAACTTGAACATAAACATAGACTTTCCACGATCATCTTACACCTTTCAAGGACAAAAATACGGTAAAATCTAAATTTCTTCATACACTGGTACTACTAGCGGTCATAGAAAATGAATAGCTAGTATCTGCTCGAATCTTTTTGAATGAAGGCCTACGATAGCCTAGACCGCCTCATGGTGTCGGTGCTTCAGGCAGACGTCGGGCGGTCCCGCTGAAGAAGGGGTCTCTGCTGGTGGCGGCAATCTGTTTCTGACGTTCCGCGGCCTTGTGCAGGCGCTGCAGCGAATCCACTTCCCGTGCAAATCCCTCTCTAGTCCTGAGCACATCGTCTTGCAAGATCTGTCTGTCCAGTACAGCCAGGCGTTGACGTAAGCCCTGTGTGAACGCGCCGCTGGGTTGAGCACAGGCCGCAGCACCCATGAGCACGACAGTGCCGGTTGCTCCAATGATGTGTGAACACAGGTTATGAATTTTTGCGAACATCCAGCATCTGAGTCCAGAAACTAACTTGTCATGCCAGTCTGCGAGAAGTCAGTGACGGGCACTGCATCGGAAAAATACGGACAGACTTTTGCTCTGCGTATATTATTCCACAGGGCATCAACATGCCTTTTTGCGAGGCGGGCGCGGGGATCTAGATCTTTTCGCAGCAGTAAGTACCCATGCATGAGAGTGCTTGGAGTAAACATGATCCTCCCAAACAAGCAAAACAAATCTTGCGAAATAAATCTTTTCTAGACCCAGACAGATTTTCGCACCGGAGGATACAGATCCGCTTGTCCTGCCTGCAGTTGCCGTGCGGAGGAAGCCACCAAGGCAGTCCCTGCCGTACCAGCCGCAACGCAGCAGCTCTGGACCATGTCGAGGGTTTGCTGGATTTTTTCCCGCTCTCTGTCAAGCAAAGCCCTCTCCTCCGGGTGGAACGGCTGGGCGCCGACGCCCCCTACAGACTCGTTTATGGCTTCTTTAGCCCGCTGCAGCGCACGATATTGGTCAGGGCGTGAGCCTCCGACGAGCGGACGCTCCGCAGCTGGAGCTTCCGCCCGCCGCTGCCGCTGCTGCGCGTCCCGCCGCGCACTAGCACGGGCAGCGCGAGCAACCCCACCGTTATTTGCATTCCGGGGTGTAGCAGCGGGAGTTGCACCTCCGGCAGCGTGCAACCGTACCGCAGACGCAGGCTTGAAGAAAGCCAGGTGCAGCTGCCCCAACGCCACGAGGCGGACGGACAGGTTCAAAAGACGCGACATTTTGATCACCAGTCTCGACGATTTTGCAGTACTTATACTTACTAGACGGGGGTATAATGTTGATAACAGAATAGTACTTTTTGAGTTGGAGTTTTAGCAACGCAGGAGAAGTAGCTCAAGTACAAGAACAATTCGCTATATCACGACAGTATGTAGTTGCAGGGGGTTCTTGCGGCGGGGTTGTATACCTACGCGATAAGCAAGAAGAGCTGTGATGCTGAAAGGAGCCTAGAAGAAATATTACAACTCGGCGCTATATGAAGATGTAACTAAGTGGGGGAAATACACTAGTTTGTGTTTCTACTTTGTGGGTTGGTACTGATCAATCACTTCCGTGGTCGTTTAGTTGCAAGTGGAAGTTTTTACAATCGTACAACTACTTCAGCGAAGAAGTTGATGTTCGAAAAAAAGGCTTATTTGCGATTGGTAGTAGAATGGCTTTTGATGAAATTCTAGTTTTCAAAAAAGCTGTTTGCGACACCAGAGTGGTCTTCACGGTACTAGTAGTTGCAATCAGATTCTTTGTGGCTCAGGCTTTGATTATTTGTGTAGGGGAAATATCTACTTCACGACGGACTAGGTGGTATAAAAGACACCCTAGGTGATGTAAAATAATCAGGGAACTGATATGTCGTAGCGAGGGAACAAGAATTTCTACCAGCATTTTATTCTACACATGTACACTTTCCTCACCGACTTTTTTTACACGGTCCTCGTCTTTTCTCCTCAAGCCGATTTTCTTGACCAATGTAGTCCATGGCTCCTGCTGCGTGGTACTTACTAATACTTCACTCTATGCAGGAGAACGAGCTGCCAGGTAATATTTCGACTAGAAGTCACAGAGGCTTTCACAATTTCTTGAGGATCGTGGAAACAAGGTCGACTTTTCCAAACCAAGGATCGCAATCGTGCAACCGAAAATTATCCTGAAAGACCACAAGAACAACTCGGAGCCTTTTTATTACCGACTTTATTATTTCGAGATCTGCTCCGTGTTGTTGATCATTTTTTTCCATGCAATATAAACACAGCGAACAGTAGAACAAGATCAACAGCCGTGGACACTTCTGTTGAACGCAGCTATCAATCTTCTGTAGAACTAGTAGCGCAGAAGAATTCGATTAGCACATTGCACCGCCATGTGAGCAGGGCCTGCTGCTTCTTGTTCTTGCCTGCTCGTGTAGACTACAACTACATGGCTATGGTACTAGTAAGCTCTGTCCCTTGCCACCCAAGAGGTTGGTATTGGTTTGGATCATGCCTATGCTGGTATTGGTCGCACTCCGGTGTAAATCGTGTATTTCGACGCGGCAAACTTCACGTCTCCGTTATTGACATTGAGAGGAGGAACGTCCTTGGGCGAGCCCGTCTCTTTCAGCCTAGCTACTCGCTTACGAGCTTCTCCCGCTTTCTCCTGCGCGCGCGTTTCCTCTTCCGGACTCTCGAAGGCCTCCTCCGTGCGGAGATCGATTGTGATTTTAATCAGGCTCCTCCCCGTGGGGTCCTTCGAAACCAGCTGCCGGTCGTCATAGAAGAAAATGTCCAGGGTATGAGTCAAGAGCGGCCCCCGGAACGCACGAAGGCGGAGCTTGGTTGTGCGACATTGAAAACGAGTGATCCGCCGAAATGGTCCACCTCTTTCCTGGTCATCTTCCGCAGTCGCCGCCCTTTCTTCCGCGTCTTCAAGAAAGTAGTCGGCACTGATACCCCAGACTGCTTCGGTGTCGAGGTAGCCCATAGCTGGAAAAGCGTTCGTCGGTACGGTCTGCTGCAGGTAGTCCACCGTATCTTTTTGCTTTCCCTCCAGTTTCCGATGGATGCTGTTTTGCCCTGCCTTTTTTCTGCTCTCGACAATTCGCGCCCAGAGTGTTGTTGGTTGCGACGGGCAAATTGACGGCTTCCGCGTACGCCCTCCATATAAAGCGAGAAGATCAGCGTCTTCGAAGAATTCCATTGGCCCGATTTGCGTTTGGGCCTCGTCGCGATTGATGTGCTTTTTGACCGCTCTGTACACGTCCCAATGCGTGACATCCTCCACTGCGTCGCCCCCGTCCAAACGCGCACGCAGCAACGGCTCCAGCCAAGATGCCGCTGGGGGAAGGGAATCCCACGCAGCGAGTTGAGGGTCCTGAGCCTCGGAGGCTGATACTCGTGCCTCGGCTTCGGCCAGTGCGACAAAAAAGGCATTGGAATGGGCCCGTAGGCTTGATGTGTCTATTGAGCCCCGACGGGCTGCCAAAACCGCCGGTAGAAGGACTCCGGGCTTGTACTCAAATCCTCGCTCGTACCGAACTGGATCTTCCCCTATCTGCTTGTCAACCCGCACGGGACCACCCGTCAAGTGTGCGGCAATGTTGTCCATGATCGGCCTCTTTTTGGGTAGCCCGAGTCCCCCCATCTGCGGCATAAAGATATCGAGCGTTTTCGCGAGCTTGTCAGTCGGGCTCCTGGGCAGTTTTGACAAGCGGTCAAACGCGAGCAAGACCGCCGGCAGCTTGTAATCGGGCGATTCCGGCGCGGGGGCAACCGCATTCTCGCTGCCAGCACCACCGTCTCCGTGACCAGCAGGGGCTGCGCCACCAGGCGGATCATCGCCTGCATCACCATGTTGGCCACCGCCTGCGCCAGCACGACCACGACGCCTGCCACGACCGGGACGTTCGCTCAACACGCGACGTCGCTCTAGAAGAACCTTCAGCAAAACCGCAGCGACCCGGGCTTTGTCGTCAAAATGAACGACCACGCCCCCGGCTAAGAGGAGCCTTCCGCAAAGTTTCGCGAAAATTTTGGACATGATAGATTCAACAGTGGTCAAAAGGTAACTTAAAATTTGTTTTTTCTGTCTACTTTATTCACTTTTCGATTTGCACTTGATGAAGTAGAGACGTTTCGAAACAAATCTCGATATGTGCGAACTGTCGATACTGTTGATGAAGCGAGCTAGTTTGTGTTAGTTTGTAGTTCTTTTGGAAATTATCCTCGTGTTCTTTTTTTGTTCACTGAACGGCGCAAGTAGAAGAGAGTAATTGTTTTTAATGAAGTACTTGTGGCCTGCTTCGTTTTTACATGATCGAGAGGATCTTCATTCTCTGTGAAAGTGATTACAGTGGTGGACCTAGTTCTTCTCGGGGAAAACGCGCAAACGTGTTGCGGTTGCGCGACACGTAAAAATCCGACCGATCGACAGTTCTGCTCAAGGGATCTGTTTTTCTAAATTTCTTCTTCGTTCTTCCAGGGATCTCGACATAATAATTTTACATCATCGAAGTAGATCCTCGCGAGCAGATGATCTCTTGCAAAAAATTATTTCCACGTCTTTGCTAGAGTCGTATTAAGTACTTTTTTTTTTTTAAGATGTAAGTACATAGAGTCGTATTAAGTACTCTCAGTTATTGCTCCTCCGCGGGAATCGAATGGCACGTCTTAGACGTGGTTCTACTTCTGCAACATTCTGCAAGATTCTTCTCCATTTTCTCTACAGTCTTTCCGAAACATCCATGTCCGCCCGCCAAGGAGCCGCGCCGGGGCTTCCCCTCGACGCAAATGAAGAACCTAAGTTGAAGATCACCTTCTTCTTCAGTGCTACAATTTGCTAAATTTTGGCTTTTGTTTCATCATGCTGGCCTGAACGGCCGCTGGCAAATCCTCCGACTGCAAGTATGGCGGAGGAAAAGTAGAAACCTGCGGATCAGATGTTTACTCTGTGAGATGAAATTAGAGGTCGTAGTTCCTGCTGTTGACCACTTCATTTTAATTTTGCAGAAGAGTAAAAATCGTAGATGATGAAGATGCCGCACTGTTGACATAATCACAATTACCATATAAACCTTTTTCTGCAAAATGCAAAAGTACTATTTAGTACTTTTACTTTAATATCGCATGACAAACGCTCTTGCTTTGACATATTCTTCGCTTCTATTCCACATCAACAGCTGCATCAAATTTTTCTTCTCACAGAAGCATGACCACCTCCGAGGTCCAGCCAGAAGGTGAAAAAAGTAATTGTGTCTCCTCATGGATAGCAGCAGCGAGCCGTTCAGCGTTCTCACGTATTCCAGGCCTGCTTCTTGGCTGTGGTCGGCAGAAAACAGCAGGGTCTTCTTGGTCCCCACGATGGCCACAGGGGCGAGCGACGCGATTTCCAAGGCGCAATTGTGGGCAATTTGCTCCAATTTTTCCCGTATCAAATGTAAAAATTTCTGGGTCTGGAAGATTGACATGCTAGTCTGGCATGACTCTGCACTCTGTATTGCGCGGCCACCAAGAGGTCCTCTTGCCTATCATGCAAAAGCGCAGTTTCTCATGCGAAACACGCATCACAGAAGCACGAAAAAACTTGTCATGCTTGGCGGCGCATTAAAGAGCACTTATTGTTCACGGACTTGCATCACAAGTTTCCAGACCCAGACATTTTTACATTTGATATCCCGATCCGTGTTGCTGCAGTTGAAAGACTGGGAAAAACCGTATGGAAGCGTCAGGTTTGAAATCGACAAAGTTGAAATAGTTTGTCATGCATAAAATGCAACCCACAAAATGCCTGTCTTGCAGAGTAGGCAAGGGAGGCAGATTGTAAGCCTGTTGAGGGGTAGAAATAGAGCTGCTGAAGTAGCATGACAAAAGGCGTCTTCCTTACCGAAACAGCATCACAAACTGGATTTTGGCTCTACCCAAATTTGTCATGCGCCACTTGGAGACTGGGTTACAACTGGTATCCGTTTTATGCATGACAAACTATTTCAACTTTGTCGATTTCAAACCTGACACATCCATAAACCGAGCTGGTGGCGTATAACATGCTAAGGTGGAGCTACAATTTCATCAAACGTTTACAATAAAGTCGGGACTTTGTCTTGCATGAATAAAAGCATGAGGAGTACCTATACAGAGCCTTGCGCTTTTCGCAATACAAATTTCGCAAGATTTTGAGGTGGTTTTGGAGGTCGTGCCCCGGAACTTGTCATGCGTATTTATTTTCCTGCGACGAGAGTAGGTCAGGTCACATGACGCACTTTTTGCATCACAAGAAGTAGAAGTCTACGTTTTTATTCTTCTTGTCACGCTCGACGAGATTGTAGTAACACCTGAGCAGGTGATATGCTCCGCGGTCTCACCGGTGAAATCGCGCCCGGTGTAGAGAAGCTTTGGTATGCGCAGGAAATATTTTTTCAACATCTCCCCCTTCCTAGATGCAAACTCGAACTTCTACATTTGCCCTGCGCGATCATCACGATTGCAGTGGTGGAATGGCATGATAATGATTGCATACGCAAAGTTATATGAAAATGCATGCTACCTGATGTTCATGTTGTTGAAGCCGGTTCAAGAACACGAGTTTCATTTCTTCTTCTGGTCAGAAAAAAATGTTGACAATCCCCATTCGATAGCAGTCAAGAGCGACGTATTTCCTGTGCAAAGCCGAGGCATCCGTTGAAGAGCACCTGATGTGTTGTTCGTTGTAGAAGTGTCTGTGGGGGCCTTGTTCTTCTTACTCGCTTTTGAGATAACTTTAAGGAATTTCCTACGTTTGATATTCCAGCCGATCGTCGATCAGATGCTCCCGGGACACCTTGTTTTCGGACCGAAGCGTCCGCTTGAAATCAGCACTGCCGCGGTCCTATGCAGAAGTGTAAATATGTCTACCAGGTCTGGAAGGATGTTGGAACTTGTAATGCTATCTGCGGAATCTAAAAATATCTGTGTTCTTGCATGAGCAGCAAGAGGAGTCCAGTTCTTTGCACGCGGAGAGGGCAACATTTCTCATGCGTGATAAGCATCAAGAGCAGGCCCTCAAAAAATCTGTTATGCTAGGACCTGCACCACAGACCTCACGGGTCATGCAAAATGTGCATGACAAAACCCGACTCTTCCAGGCATCCAGGGATATTTGCATTTGATAGGTCCTGTCGGAGCTAAAACGCATTCATACCGGGGAGGCGACGGAGCTGGGCGCGGCAGATCGCCTCTGGAACCGGGCTATCCTGTGCAAAAGTATCGTACTCGTATTGCAATCATGCATTACAAATCATCTTGTCAAAGCAAATCAGCATCACAAATCTTATTTTTCATGCTGGGGAAATTTGTAATGCATTTTATGCATTTATACGAGTGCGATACTTTTGCAATGCATACGGGCGCTCCTGATGCACCGGCTGCGAGTATCCTCGGTAAAAACGGGCTTAGTCAAGACGAGCACAATTTTGGAAGACAAGAAATCCAGGGCTTTATTTGGGACTCACGCATGACAAGTTCTTTGGGTATAAGTATGCAGTGTAGTCGTGCCTTCTAGAAGCGAAGTACTCCAGACGCGTCACAAATCCGCTGAGTGATCCTGATTAGCGCATGGCAGATTCTTGACCCTCCCGAACACTGCTGGAAAATGCCTCCCGCTTTCACGGAAGGCCGCATAAGAACACGTCGCGAGCATGCAAATTTGCATGACAAGTCTGGGGCAGGGACGTTTTTACTCAGGATTGAGAGACGAGAAGTGGAAGGCTCGGGAGGGAAAAGGAATTTCGGGAAAGAATTTCAGAGATTTTGAAATCACCATTGCCCGCATTTTATGCATTGCAAATGTCGAAGATCTGGGTCGGGAGGAATACTAAGAAAATTGTTGTCATGCGTGTTCCACTTCCTCTTCCAGAACAGGAGTCACTACACATCAAAAATCGTATGCATTGACGCGGCGCAAAAGTTGCCCGCATTGATTTCTTGGGCCTTGTTCTGTGGGGGCCTTGTTCTTCTTACTCGCTTTTGAGATCGCACGAGCTGGCGAAAGGCTCTCGAAATAGAAAATCTCAGAGAATCTCTATTTGAAATAGAGATTCTCTGAGGAAAATAGAAATTCTCGATAAAGAGTATAGTTTTTTTCTTCTTCTTTCTTTCTTTTTTCTTCTTTTTCTGTTTCTTACTGTTTTCCCACATGTGTTTTACTATATTTCAGCAGCTCCTCCACCAGTGGCGAAGCCGAAATAGAGACTCTCCATCCCAAATAGAGATTCTCCATCTGGGATAGAGAATCTCTATCTGGGATAGAGATTCTCTATCTGAGATGCTAGGTTGCCAGCCAGCAACCCAGGAAGCCTGGCTACCAGCCTGGCAACCCAGGCTTTGCTAGCCTGCCAGCCTGCTGGCAACCCAGGCTTTGCTAGCCTGCCAGCCTGCTGGCAACCCCGGCTTTGCTAGCCTGCCAGCCTGCTGGCACCCAGGCTTTGCTAGCCTGCCAGCCTGCTGGGACCCAGGCTTTGCTAGCCTGCCAGCCTGGCACCCCGGCTTTGCTAGCCTGCCAGCCTGGCACCCCGGCTTTGCTAGCCTGCCAGCCTGGCGCCCAGGCTTTGCTAGCCTGCCAGCCTGGCGCCCAGGCTTTGCTAGCCTGCCAGCCTGGCACCCAGGCTTCGCTAGCCTGCAAAGCCTGGGTGCTAGTCTGCCAGCCTCTCAGCCAAGGCTTCGCTAGCCTGCAAAGCCTGGGCGCAGCCCGGCCGCCTAGCGGCAGCCCGCGCGATTATCTTCGCGACGCACGCCCACACCAGCTAGGTGTGGCGCGCGATAACGTAGGGGCGCGCGGCGCTCCTCGAAAATCTTTGATGGACCCACTTAGCGGCCTCCCACCCACGGCCTTGTTCTTCTTACTCGCTTTTGAGATCGCACGAGCTGGAATTCGATAACTTTAAGGAAAAATCACGCATCTTCACAGCAACACAGCTTTAGGTAATCACGCATCACAGCTTTAGGTAATCACGCAACACAGATTTACCTACATCAGCCGCCAGCCCCATCCTTGGCTCCCGGACCGAGAGGATACATATCAAGTGCAAAAAATATGTTTGGGCCTGGAACAAACGTGTGATGCAGGCGAGTGAATAGAAAGCACACTGTCAACATGCACCGCCAAGCATGACGGATTTTTCCGTGGCTTTGTGTATTCGCGTGTTCCGCATGAGAAACGTTCCTGCATGACAAACAAGAGGACCTATTACTGGTCGCGCAATACAGAGCTCAGTGTCATGCCAGACTACCATGACAAATATCGCATTCTTCCAGAGCCAGACCTATATGCAATGCATAATACAGTCGGTGGTGCAATACCGAATATCGCAGGCGGAAAACATTTCCAGTCCCGCTCCGATACACAGCTTCGCTACGATATCCAGGAAGAAAAATTAGGTTGGTGTGTTTTTTTTTGATCATGGGTGGCAACAAGATCAAAAATTTGTCCTTGCGAAAGACAGACGAAACTCGAGGTGCATGCAAACCAGTACTACGTCATAAACACAATCACGCCATGCTTTTGTCAGTGGCACATTCACAAGTGATAATTGCTTTTCAGAGTGGTTCTACTGCAAGACGCACACAAACCTACAGAAATAAACAACACTTTTTTTCCTTTGATATGCGACTCCAATGACCGGCTTCGTGCAGAGCTGGATCGCGCGGCAAGATTCCTGCATCTCTTTTAGTATCAAAGAGAACAAGTCCAGTTGTTCCCGCACCCACTTCTCGCCGGGAGATTTGTCATGCGTGGATCACACAGCTGCACATGGAGTACATGAGTGGAAGATCATTGCTCGTCCCGCGCGTTTTGCAACGCGATGAATATCATAACTTTTTGTGGTTCAAAATGCAATGCGCGCGATCGTGTCGCATATGAGACTTACGTTACGCCGGCGGCTTGAGATGCGAGAACAAGTGAAATTCGGATCGCATAATTATCGCGTTCATCATGAAAAGCGACTTTCTCCCGACATCCTCGATGTGCGTCGGCTGGAGTGACGTCAATACCTCCAGATCGATGCCCGAGCAAAAGACCTTCGAGTCGCCCGCGGTGAGGATGATGACGAGCACTGTCCCGTCGGTGCAGAGCTTGGGAAAAACTTCCTTCAGCTCCTGAAACATGGTGATGTCCATCGCCTTATGCATTGCAAATATGTCTGGGTCTGGGCGAGTGCAACTTGTGATGCTGCATCTGGATGCTCAAAACATCTGTATTGCATGAGCATCAAGGGGAGTCAAATTTGGCTACCCGGAGAGCAGGGCATTTGTCATGCGCGCTGCGCATCGATAAGCGCTTAAAAAATGTGTGAGGCTGAGGCATGCATCACAGACATCACGCATCATGGAAAATGTGCATGACAAACTTGTCCTCTTCCAGACCCAGACATATTTGCATTTCATACGCGTTCAGCTTCTTCGGCCGGTTCAGCTCCACCTTGGCGACCCCGGTCTTTTCGTCCGTGGACACCCGGAGGGTCTTCAGCCCCTTCGCGTACTCGGGCGTGGACGAGAAAGTCATGATTCTTTTTTCCTCAGTTGTCTCCTCGGTGCTTTATAGAGGTTGTATACGAACCTATTAATAAGTACGAGCAGTAGTACCTCTCCCTGCGAAAAGTAAGAATACCCCCCTGGCAACGTTCGACGATTGTCGCTAAAAGTTCTTCGATTTTTCCTTCTTTTTGCTCCTTAAAGACTGTAAAAGTAAGTACTGTTTACCTGGAAAAATAATTCTCGTTGTACTTCAAAAATATTCAACGAGAAAGCAATGAAAAGCCTCAAGCCGATCTACTCCGGTTCTTGATGAACCAGCAAAAGGTTAGACAGGCGATTTCGCATTCGGCACAGAAGTGGTCCTGCGGCTGCACCGGCTGGATGTTGCAGTAGACTTCGTTGCGAAGTAGAAAACTTTTTTTTCAATAATTTCTGCACAAAAAACTAAATAAAACCGACTGTTTACTGGCCATGATGTTCCGTCTTTTGATAGCGATCCGAGATAGGACACCAGATCATGAGAACCACCGACAAAAAAGGGCAACAGCGGCTCCGCGCTGTGGAAATAAGTACATTGGGACCGACGAACTTCAACTTGCTTCCGGGGTCGCAAAAATCCAGCTTCGAAAAAAAAAACACGTAAACGAACATTTCTGTACCAGGAAAAGCAAAAGAAGCGAACAATCTGGGCTGTGGATCTATCATGATCCGCCATCAGAAAAAAAGACCCACTGTGCGGGGCCTCTGGAGGTACTTATATTAGCCCCCGCGCAGTTCTTTTCCATGTTGATGTAGTAGAGCGAAGGAACAATGAAATAAACCTCCTCTGGGTCGAGTGTTCGTGCTTGCTGACCGGAAATAGTACTTCTAAACAGGGTTGAACTAAAAACGAGTATCAGTGTCAGTGAATGACGTAAAAGAGAAATGATGCCTGTAGTTGCTGAGGATACCAGACCACTTGTCGAAGTAGATTTTTTGTGAGAAAGTTGTTCACACGACACAATAAACGTCAGTAGAGATTAAATCTTTACTTCTAACGCCTCCTCGGGAGAAGAGTTGGGAAGCTCAAGGAGAGAGTTTTCTCGTCTGCTCGTCGTCGTTGACCATTTCTCATGCGGAGCGTTGGAGCTGCCACCAGCCCCAACAACTTCATCTGACGCAGCGTGTCTTATGCGGCTAATCTGCTGGCTCGCTCTACCGAGATGCTTGACGAGAGAAGACTACAACATCTACTTTCGCCTACATCTACTTTCGCTAGCTACTGTGCTTTGAAAAATTTTTCTGCCTTTTCATAAAATCCGTGGTGTGGTTTCGCTTCGGAGACGAGTAATACAAGCAGCTATTGGTGCTCGTGACCGCTGCCAGCAAATAAAACTGACTGTGTTATGATGTCGTGTGATGTGGTCGGCGATAGAGACCACGGAGTCGTCGACGAGCGACCCACAGCTAAAATATAGAGACCAGATACGACATGACCAACTGGGTACAACTACTCTAGAACCGCGAGTGCAGTTCTTGTTGTGCCCTCTGAGATTATTTCCATAGATTGTTGCTAGAATTGGACGATGAAAATCTGTGTGATATTGATGACGTTGACCTATTGCGAAAATAAACCCTGCCGTGAACAACGAATTTTACATGATCTTCACAGACGCTATGTGTAGGAGCAGCAGCCTGTGAAAAGGACGAGAAATAGCCAGTAGACAAAGTAGACTGTGCCGTGAAGAAGAAGAGTAATGTGAGATGATTTATTTTCTCACTTGACATCAGCAAGCAGGAGGCTCCTGTTGTCCATCGCTCTGCCGGGGGATCATGTTCTTGGCCACAAAAACTACTACCCACCCGCACAGCTCCTCCGGATCATCGTCGAGCTTGCTCTAGCTGTGCTGGTGTGCTGCACGACCAGCGTAGTAGTCGCGGGCCGGCCCTAGGTATGATCTTACTTCCTAGCGGAGGAGCGATAGAAGTTGCACACCGACAGAAGATTGCAGTGGACGACGAACAACGTTGTACAAGCCCTGCTGCTACTTCTTCTTTTTCACGTCTGCGCCCAGTGGTGGAAATTCGTCCAGAAGTCGCGCTTGGTCTTTGCTGAAACCGCAAGCCTTGCATGTCCAATCTTCCACGGAGTTTTGCAGCGTACCTGATAAGAAGTAAAGGTTTGGTACATTTTTTTCGCATGACAGATTTCTGTCTGCGCCGATACAACTGATATCTGGTTCATCGCAAAGAATAAAAGCGTGAAGTGTGGTTTTATCCTATCTACTTCCATTTCTCTCTTTCTCTATGGTTATGCACATGACAAAAATCATCTGTACTAGAAAAAATGAACAAATCATACATCTTGGGCAGGTCCACATGGTAGCCAGTATCTGTGCCACGCCGGGGGCTGCGTCGCTCTTTGGCGCCGTCTTATTGTCTGCGGTCTTTTTTTATGCATTGCAAAAATATCTGGGTCTGGAAGATTCCGAGATTTGTCATGCAGTTTTTCCAAGCAGCCCAAAGTCTGGAGTGCGGGGTTTAGCATCACAGGTTGCGCAGCCCCTTGGTGATGCCTATTCTGCATGAGAAATGCCCTCTAAGCATGGCCAGAAGTGGGCATCTTTTGCATGTCACGCATCACAGATCTTTGTATGATCCGCAACACGCATCACAAGTTCGGATCCTTCCAGACCCAGACATTTTTACATTTGATATTTTTACGACCTTCTTCGCTGGGGCGGTGGACTTCGCCTTGTGTATCAAAGAAAAAAAGTTCGTCACGATCACTCATGCGCATTCTTGCAATACAAAATTGTTTGTCATGCGTAAAAATGCATCACAGCCAAACTTCATTAGGGATTTCCCTAGTGTTTCTGCAACACAAGGAAAGTTTGTGACGCTGAGAAAATTTGTAATGCAAAACCTGCAAGTTAGTGACTGTGACAAACTTTTTTCTCTCCATATTGTGCCGTTTCCTGATAGAAGTTTTAGAAGAAAAAATAACTGATATGTCTTTCCACACCTCTATCATCTGGAGTATAGAACTATAGAACGTTGCAAGCTGCTTCATCTACAACTTCGAAAGTCGTGCATGGAAGTAAAACAGCAGCCTCTAGAAGTGCTTAGTCATGAAGCAGAGGCTCAAGAACAAAAAATGTTGTCCAGCAAAAAGGTTGTACTCTGCGTTAGCCACGACGAAGTCTCCCATGGTCAAGCCCGGCCTGCCCTGGTTATGTCGATCTTTTCCGCCTTGCCCGTCGTTGTTGCCGCCCTGGCCCGCGATCGCAGACTTGTAACTGTTGCCGCCGTAGGACCCATCCTGGTTTTTCATCGAGGCGCCGTAGTTATACTCCTGCTGCACGCCGTTATCAAATGCAAAAATGTCTGGGTCTGGGAGATTCCGAGACTTGTCATGCAGATTTTCCATGATCCATGTCGTCTCGAATGCAGCACCTAGCATGACAGATTCTGTGAGATCCCTACCATGCCTATCCTGCATGAGAAACTCCCTGCCAACTTGGTCAAAAGTGGACAGCTTTTGCATGATCCAGAATTAGCATGACAAGTTGCAACCTTCCAGACCCAGACATTTTTACAGTTGATAGCCGTAGTATTTCTGCAACAGCTTCGCAAACGCCTCCCACTGGTCTTGCTCGGATTCCACGGAACTTATCCTGTGCAAAAGCATCGCACTCGTATTGCAATCATGCATTACAAGTCCTTTTGTTAGGGTAAATCCGCATTACAAATTTTATTTCTCACGCTGAGAAAATTTATCATGCATCTATACGAGTACGATACTTTTGCAGTTCATAGAACTGGGGTTCACGCAGTAGTTGGTCACATCGATGAACAGGTCGTATCTGATAATTGTGTATATTTTTGTGCGATTTGTGTAATGCGACATAACCACTTACTGTCTTTTCTGTCATGAACCATTTGTGCAATCAGAAGTTGTTTTACACATAGACATAGATATTTCGCATGAGAAATAGTAAAAGAAAATTGTCATATACAGTTGCATCCTGACGTCGCTGAGTGATCGCAATTCCGCGACCGAAAGTGCTGCCGCACCCCGTTTTGCTAGCTCTTGCCGCAGGAACGACTCTGTTTTTTATTGGTCGTTAATAATTTGGAAGTCAGGCTCGCAAGCATTTCCGGCACGACAGAGGTTGTCTGTGTTGCTTAGCCATGCAAACCTGTGCGTAACTCACTGTCGTTGCTGTAACACTTTTTTTCAAATTGCATTTGCAAAATAACACCAGTATGAAAATAAGTACCTTCTGCTTTGTGCCGTTCCATCTGCAGCAAGTCTTCCAGCGTTTTCCTGCCTTTCCCACTGCCTTTCAGCGCCGCGCCGCTCATGGGTTTCCCGCCCTTGCCCATGCCCGGCGGTCCACCCATCATGCCGTTCTTGCCGCCCATGATCCTGTTCCCGCCTCGCGGCGACTGCAGCTGCCCGGGGGGTGGGCCACCGACACCGCCCATCATCGGGGGTATGCCACTCGGCGGGCCGCCGGAGATCAGGTTGGGATTGTAGACCTGGTTGTGATGCTGTGCTGCGCCTGGTGGGCCTTGCATGTGATGCGACTGCGCACCCGGTCCCACTCCCGGGGGCCCATTCTGCATGAGGTTCGGACTCTGTCCCATCGGATGATGATGTTGAGATACACCATGTTGCGGGGGCGGTGGACCTCTCAAGTGCAAAAATGTCTGGGTCTGGGAGATGCCGAGATTTGTCATGCAGTTTTTTCAAGCTCCCCCACATCTGGAATGCAGGACCTAGCGTCACAGGTTCTGCAGTTCCGTGGTGATGCGTATTCTGCATGAGAAATGCCCTCTCAGCATGGCCAGAAATGGGCACCTTTTGCACCTTCTGCATCACAGATCTTTGTAGGATCCGAAACACGCATCACAAGTTCGGATCCTTCCAGACCCAGACATATTTGCATTTGATAGGACCACCGCCGCCCATCATGTGCTGCATGTGCGGTCCACCTGTGCCGATCTGCCCGGGCGGCGGGCCCATCTGGTATTGGTGCTGACCTGCGTGCTGGACCGGCGGCGGCATCTGCGGTGGCGGCAGTGCCTGCATGGGCGGCGGGGGTCCCATCGGATTACTACCGTGGGGCGGTGGGGGACCACCAGCACCTCCGTGCGGTCCGCCCGGGGGACCACCGCCCATGTTGTGCCCGATCGGGGGTGGCGGCTGCTGATACTGGTTGCGCACATGCTGGGGGCTCCAATCCGGGTTGGGGGACTGCTATCCTGTGCAAAAGTGTCGTACTCGTAGTAATCGCAGTCACGCATTACAAATCTAGCAATCAAGGCGAATCCGCATTACAAATTTACATTTGTAATGCTGAGGAAATTTGTAATGCGTTTATACGAGTACGATACTTTTGCAATGCATAACTGCTGGTTGGGCGGCTGCTGGGGAGGTTGCTGGCCGCTGGTGGGGCCACCCTGCTGCGAAGGTGGGGGCTGCCCGGAGGGGGGAGGCCTGATGTCAACGAGGTTTTTTGTGTCAAAACTCGCGGGATAAAGTAGTTCTACTTCGATTTTTCAGGTAACTACACGCATGACGGAAAACTTCCTTGACTAGTTCGTAGCGTCGTGATATGCATGATGACAAAGTTAACGTAAAACTAAAATTTCAATACATGCCCGGCTGCGGGTAGCCGTAAGGATTCGGGTTGTTATTCCAGTGCTGCGGTTGCCCATAAGGATCGTAATCGTGCTGTCCTCCATTATTATACCTGCAGATCGATAATCTTATTGCATCACAGTTTTCATTTCTCATCACATTGAGGGCAAGCAACCGAAAGTCTCTACTTCCGCCACAGAAATGAAGGTTACAACACTATCAATATTCGTATCACTGTGATCTTCATGCACAAAATCCTATTACACCACTAGCACTAGACGACTACAACTCGATAATATTATACCCTGGCTGCGGTGGTGGTGCCGTTTGTGGTTGTTGCGCATGCGGCTCTCTTGGGGACGAGGCGTCCTGGAGATTTGATGATCCTCGTTTCGATGTATACTTTTATTCAAGGTCACATCCCATGTGATGCTAGAGCTACAAGTGCAACCTCCTCTAGCATGATGACAAAAAATCAACATCTGAGTGCACTTGCAAAAGAAATATTGAAGGCATCTACGATACGATGTATTAATTATACCATTGGATGGTGTCCCTGCTGCATTCTTTGCTGCTCAACATGATGCGACGACTGCTGCGGCGCATCATGCGGCTGCTGTTGCACTGGTGCGGGTGGCTGCTGCGCCTGTTGTTGCGGCGGTGGAGCCTGTTGTTGCTGCTGCTGCTGTTGTTGCGCTGCAGCCGCCGCCGCTGCTGCCTGTTGCTGCTGCTGGAGCTGCAACTGCTGCTGTTGTTGCTGCTGTTGCTGCTGCTGCTGTTGTTGCTGCTGCTGCTGCTGTTGAGCCGCAGCGGTGGAGCTAGACACTGATTTGTCCTCCTGAATCACCGTTAGATCCTTCAGATCCTTGCCGCTGAAAACGATGTAATCGTAGATCTCGTTGCTCATCGGAACCTCGGGCTCCTTCCTGCCCTCCGTACCGAAAGAACGGACATTTTGAACCGCGATGGTACCTGGATTGATGAAATTGTTTCCTTCTCCTTCAGCTTGCTTTGCATGACAAAAAAACGCATGTGCGGCCAAGCAGCACTGCTAGTACTGAATAAATGCGGAAAATTTTTTGCATGTAAAAATACTGTGCAATAAATAACTATCTTCAAAGTAGCAGCGGAAGAAGCGAGAATTTTGAAATAAGGTCTTATACTCTCTTTTTGGTTCAGCTGAATGAGGACGCCCTCGTAGCGGATATCGTGCGTTGTAATCAGACTGATCCTGCTCCCTATGTAAGGGATGTTGGCGCTGCCACTGTCCCCCATCTTCGACAAAGGTTCTTGTGGCACAGTGGACACTCTGGTTGTTCTCAATACGCCAGACTAGTGTAGTCTATGGCGGAGAAATTATGTCCTCGCTAGGGGTTTCTGTAATGGTCCGCGATCTACTTCGGGTGATCTTCGATTCCCGAATGCTTGTCAGTATCAGGACTCGCCTGCGGATCTAGTTGTAGCTCCGACGGCCGTTCGATTTTTTCCCGCAGTTTCTCGTTTGAAGGTACTGTTCGTGCTGTCCACAGACAGTGCGGCGCAGGTAGCGGCAAGAAAAACGTGGTTGGCGATTTCTGACTGTTGTGCGGCCTGACTCAACATCTTCAGGTGAAGTAACGCTGTAGGAGGTACTTTTAGGTTTACGGCAGCAATGGAGCTTGCTGCTCCGGCGTCAAAAGACCGACCACACAGCAGATCTTCACGTGTGAGAAGTGGAAATCCTCCTCCACGCAGTCAAGATAAACGCCCAGCACTCCACCTCCACACAATTTAATAGCCGTATAGATTTTTTGCAGATGATGTAGCGATAGTAATATTATTTTCGTGTCGCAGTGGAAATATCAAACGGGTAATATGAAGATGGAGTGCGATGACTGACTTTGAGTCTTATTTCTCTTACGTTCTATTTCCCGTAGCCTTTTATGTGTCAGATGAAGTTTTATTTATCCAAAAATGTGAAGTGATCACTTATTCATCGTGTGGAAGTAGTCGCCAAAAGTCGTAGTTACAAACAAGTTTCAATTTGTTTATTTTCTGAGATACGTACAGTAAATCATACGAGGGTAGAAAAAAAGTTGAACATCAAAACCGGTTAGAGATCCTATGAACTGTCACCTACAACAGGGTAAAGCATAGCACAAAGGTGGAAAAAAGGGCACCCGAAGAGAAAAGGAGTCGCTAAGATTAAGATTTCAGGGCGGGGCGAAGATCACGAGGAATTATAGAGAGTAGGAATCAAGTTGTGGCACTAAAAAAACAGAATTGGCGAGCGGGTAAGTCTACAGCCGAGAAGTGTGCTTAATTTTGTCGTACAACTACTACAGAAGCGGGCAACATATCGAAAACAACACTAATGACTAAGTATAGACTATTGATTCCAAAACACCAGGGCAGCCTCGTCTAGTTGCTGCTGCCCGCAAAGTTAGTACTTCGGAGGTGGTTTGAATTCTATTTGAAAACAAATTTCAAACGTAGGCTCTTCTACCCCTATTGTTCTGCGCAACGCTGTATTTTTTAGCAAAGTTTTTGAATTGGATTTGGAAATAAAGCGAAAAAAAAAAATCGAACGAGTGACGAACGAAATAATTTTTTTGGGTTTTTTGATTTTTTTACAATTTTTTCAACCTAGAAGTGCTTCTTCTATATGCCCATCTTCTCTACTATCTCTGCGGATTTTACAGATTGTTTCCTATTGATATATACTTTTTTCTGGAACTGCTACTTTTACTCGTGCAAGTCTGGGGCAAGAGCCAAACTTGCGGACAACTATCGGAATAAATAGTTCACCAATATCAGGGCAGAGAGAGACGAAAATAAAGGCACTATAGAGACAACTACAGGGTGCTGTAATTCCGCTGTGAAGATTCGGTTTTTTTTGATAATGAAGTTGAGATTTTTTCTCTTGAACAATATTCGGTTTCTTCGAAAGCGGTGCGAATCTTCTTATCCTTTGCTGATTTTGAATCTTCTGTTTACGATTTCATCTCTTAGTTCCGGATCCAGTGAGGATCGCTAGGTGCTGTTTATACATGTAATTCGCTTTCGTTGGACGACGAGTCTTACACGACGACCTTGATATAAGCAGCTTATATCCGCTTTATTTTTTATTTCCAAAAAAAACCTAAACCACCTATGGACAATTGGATTGAAAAGTTTCGGGATCATCTCGAAAGATCTACATTACCGGATGATGGAGTGGATCATGATATGTTCTCCTAATTCTCGTTCGTATTTTAGGACTTGCTGGTCGCACAACTCTGCGGTTCGTGTTGATTTCTGTCTTGTACAAATAAATTCAATGCAGAAATAACACTGGTATTATCTCCGCTACTCGTTCGTTATTTCCCGTAAAATCGACATCTTCGTGCATATAATCTTTCACTAGGCTTATAGAGCAAAAACCTGAAAGCACCGACTTTCTTTCATGGGTCGCCAGCGGTAGATGGAGTTAGAGTTGTGTCTTCGTACTTCTAAATGCTCTAAAACTTCTACACCGCTTCTTCTCGCGACCACCCTCTCGTAAGACTTTATTATTTTGCTCTACTTACAACGCGGAACACAACGCGGGTTCATTCCCATCGCACTACAGAGGACACGTACTGTACCAGACAGTCGTTTTCTCTTGGGATGCTCTGATGTAACATGATGCGTGAAGCAGAGAAGGGGAAAAAAGGGTTTTAGGATTTTGCACCTGCGACATGAGCGAGGAGTGGGAAGAAGAAGTTGTGGGAACATGACCAGAAAAGGCTGCCTGTGATCTTCTTCGCCGCTAGGACGACAGACAGGCATGCGACGACGACAAAACTGTCCCCTCCTGCACAACATCGAAATCAGTCCACCACAAGATCCCTTTTGCTGCTCTTCCCGATGTATTAACTGCAAATAAAAATATGTCTGGATCTGGAAAATAATGCTGGCCTTACATTCCAGTGCAATCTGTATTGCATGACCAACAAAAGTTGCAGCCATTTTGGAGAAGCAAAAACGCAGTTTCTCATGCACACTGCGAATGGGAAAGCGTTCTGAAAAGTTGTCATGCTGGGCTCCATTCGGAAGTGTTTCCATTATCCACATTTTAGCATCACAAGTTTCCAGAGGACCCAGACATATTTGCACTTGATACGCTGCCGCTTTTCATTTCCTTCGAAGACAAGTAGCCATCCGTGACGAAGTCTGCGAGGTCGAAGAAAAAACCGGATATGGAAGCGTCAGGTTTGAAATCGTCAAAGTTGAAATAATTTGTAATGCATAAAATGCGATACAAAAAGTGACTCTATTGCAGAGGACCCACGGGAGGCAGATTATAGTCCTGGTAAGGGTCAAAAGTTGGACTGCTAACTAGCATGACAGAACGCAGCTCTTTTGCCCTAAACCGCATGACAGACTCGCTTCCAGGACCGGGAAAGTTTGTCATGCACCGACTACAAACTGTAGGTCTAACTGGTATCCGCTTTATGCATGACAAACTATTTCAACTTTGACGATTTCAAACCTGACGCATCCATACCGGAAACCGCGGACGTAATGTCGCGGGACAGATTCCCGAGGTTCTCACTGATCACACTCGCGCTGGAGCGCTGCGAGAGGTGCACTGTGTTGTCATCTTTGTCGTTGGATCCGGAGATTGTACTGTCGTTATTCGATGACGATGCTGTTACTTCTTTCTCGCTAGAGTTGACCACAGTGGCTCCTTTCCGAACCATACTGGCTGCAGCGCGACCTGCCGCGGCCGGATAATAGAAGTTGCTACCTTCCGCATCTGTCCCATCGGATGAAACCAACGCGTTTGAGCGGAACGCCAGCTCCCGTGCCGCCAGCATGTCCTCCACGGACGGGCGGCGGCTCTGCAAGGCCTCCTGTATTGCAAGGAAAAATCCCCCCTCCCCATATCAAAACGAAACTTCTGATGCTGGATTTGTGTACACGAGTCAGCTTTGTATTGCAAGAAGGCACTGCGGCCAGATCCCCAGGCTAGGCAGGGGCGTATGGGTCTAGTTGTTCAGCATGGCAAACGGCTCCCCTTTAAGCCCGACAGCATGACAAATCGCTTCCATAATGGGGCCTAAGCTTCTGCTCTTGTCGTCTTGCAAGACACGTGTGATGTGTGACCTCAAATCACCAACACAAATTTTCGAAAACATAGCTTTTCAATATGGGGAGGGGGGATTTTCCATTTTGATATCCTGCTTGTCCAACTCATACTCCTTCCTTCTGCGCTGGGCGGCGACGAGAGCTGATAGTTGTGTTTTGATAAGGTATAACAAATTCTTCTAATCCAAAACATAATCTATTAACTGCCTTAGAGTACTAGTAAGTACTAGCAACTTTGCAGGAAACGTCGGACTATGTTGTCTGTGCCAGCCACAGCACAAGCTTCGGAAACAAGAAATCTAGTACGTTGTATTTCAGCACAAGAAAATAAGTACTTGCAGTGGTTTCTTTCACGCCCTTGGGGATTTCGTTCTCGATGATAAGATATGCATTGCAAATATCCCTGGATGTCTGGGAGGATGCGAACTTGTCATGCTAAGTCTGGATCGTACAAAAATTTGTGTTGCATGACTACCAAAAGCTGTCCAGTTTTGAACAAGTTTAGAGGCAGTTTGTCATGCAGGATACGCATGATAGGGACGTCGCAGAACCTGTCATGCTAGGTCCTGCATTCCAAACCTCATGCGGCATGGAAAATATGCATGAGAAGTTTGCATTCTTCCAGACCCAGACATATTTGCATTTGATATGAGACCATTTGGGTCGTCTTGTCGCTCCATTCCTGGTTGGTCACCACCGTCCGCTCCGTTTGTTCCAGCACGGGTAAAAATGGGCTCCGCCTGCTGCTGCGCAGGAACAGGAAATAAACCCTGCTGCGAGGAAGTCGGCTGGGTGATTTTCCCATAAACAACAACATCACTCCCCTGCTCCGCAAGGACGCGCGGCCTGTCGCCAGCTGCTACAACACCCTTGACGTCCACCGCGTTCGACTCGAGATCTGCCGTCTGCTTCGTACGCCCAAACCTGATGTTCACTTCTTTTCCGGTGACGGATGAAGTTCCCGACCGGGCTGTACTCGACGTAGCTTGTTGATTTGTTTTCACCGCCTGACCCGCCTGCAGCGCCACAGCAAACGGGTCTTCGTGATCCACGAAGCCCTGTTGATTTCCTTGCTGCGCAAATGTCGCGGAAGATGTTGTTGCACCAACGGTTGTACTAGGTGCAGTACTAGCCGAAGAGGAGGCAGAGGCACCGCACCACTGTTTTTCTGCGTCGGCAAGGGAGAGCAGGGTCGGTGGGGTGCGCGGCTTCGTCTCGCTGCTAAACGCATCTTGCTGTTGTACCTATATTTCACAAGTCGCTCTTTGTGATAAAAGCGCACGCTTTACTAGTTGCGGAACAAGAACAACTACGATGAAAGATACATCATGACAGATCCATACCTCAGAGAAAACATCACATTGCTCCTCACAACAAGAAGTAAATATATAAATGTAAACCCATACTGGTACCGTCCTCACTTTCTCCGCGAACTCTGTACAAACCGTCTTCGCATCGGTTGGTGATTTCACATCCACCTCCGCGTTTTGCAGCAAAACCGACTGGCAAAGCTTCTCCAACTTCCCCTCCGATGGGTCCCACCCGGTAATCGCGCCGTAGGTTTCCTGGAGGAGGACCTTGCACAGGTTCTGGTCGAGCGAAACGACGCGGGAATGTTGATGAACCACTTTCAGCGCAAAAACAGTGGACATCAACTCTTGCAAGTTGAAAACCGCTGCAGCAGCAGAAGCTACCGCAGTGACCAGGACACGACCACGGGACTTGGATAGTAGTACTTGTTCCTCCGCGGAGCGGCAATACCGACGTTGCGGCCGTGGGACGACACGCGACATGATGAAAGCCGTTTCGAACCCCTCGGCGGTGCTGGCTCGTGTTCAACCTTTTACCCCGCACCCAAACACCGGCCAGCGGGGTGTTGCAGCTGTCGCTAACGGTCTATCATCATCTAGTGCTGCGGTCGATGCGGCGCAAAGCGGCCCCCGGAGCTGGTGGTGCACACTTTGCAACTACTACCCGGATCTACTCTAGTGAAATTTTTGAAAGGATAATGAAAAATGTGGCGCTAAATACTTATTCCTGAACAAGAGGATCCTCCCGGTTTGCAGATTTAGAGGTGAGCACAAAATTCTTGTTGAAAGGTGACTTACACTCTCTCAAGAAAGTACGTCGGCAAAAATCCTTTCCTTCCTCCCACGCAAGTACTACTACCCCTCCGTCCTGTGCACTCTCAAATACTGTTGCAGAGCTCGCTTTGTTGAATCCGCAACTCAGGAAGCTCTCTGACGCAAAAAGCGCCAAAATAAAACTACGCTGAGGGGTCGGGGTACGTACAGACCTAACTTGAAACACTTATTGAAAAAAGTCCCAACTGGAGGAAGAACATCAACCACACGACACGCAGCGGTCACGAGCGCGCGCTCTGGGGGGGGATGTAGCGTTTACGAACGTGTGGCCCCGCTGGCAGGATAACATCACCCGTTTTCCTGTTCCGGTAGTGTTCCGCTGGTCTCCACTTGTTCACATTGCTGTCATGCACCCACCGAGCAAATTCCTGCCGTTCATGTACAAGCGCATGCTCACGGAGAACATCTGGCTCACACTCGAAGTCGATGCCACATTTGACGCATCTGTATGAATCGCCGTCCCGGTGAGCTCCTACACCTGGAAACTGGGCGAGCGCAGTGCTTCGGAGAAAGTTCTTGTTTACCTGAACGATCTTTCTGGCCCGGCCAAGGAGCTCTTCAGAAGCTGCGACATTTTGTTGAAATTCCGTAGGTCGCGCTGGCGGCAGAAGATGGGCGTTTTGCGCAGTGTACAAAGTCCACGGGCTAGCAGCAGCACTGGTAGTTTCGAGTGTGATCCCCGCCTTCCGGCAAACTTGCTCGCATATCGCCGTCTTGTTGCAGCGGCACCACTCATCTTCCTCGGACCATCTTCTGTCTTGATCTGGCCCCCTGAACCAGTCAGCAAACGTGTCCCGGAGGTACTTGCGGCGGGTCGTTTCGTAGAAGATGTTTTTTCTCCTTTTTCCGTCAGCCGTCTTGCTGTCCCCCGCTGCAAAGAGTTGATGTTCCGGTCTGATCCCGCATGCCGCGATGTGGTCGCTGGCCTCGTCTAGCACGAGGGGCCTACCATCTCGTCTTGCGTTCGCGCTCAGGTAGGCCGCGAGGTGCCACTCGTGGCTGTGGGACCCGTGACCGGGCAGGAACTTGCCTAACAGCGCTGCCCGCGGTAAGTACTGGGACGGCTTTCTGGCGATGTGGGCGAAGTGGCTGGCTTTCAAGAAGGCGATGTCCGCCCGGAGAGGCGGTAGCCTCAGCCGCGCCCGCAGGTGGTGGTCACGCTGTCCGCGCTTTCGCATCGCATGTAGATTCGTGTTCATCAACATGCGCACTATTCTACCCTCCGCAGCCTCGAGTCGTCGTAGCTCGCGGTCGGAAACTCGTCGTAGCTCACAGTCGCCCTAGCGCCTCCCGCTGCTTGTCGAAACTCTTCACCGACTCCAGCGTTGCAGCGTGGAAGATGTGCTGCCCAGCATCAGTATAGGCGTAGGTCATGTCGAGCAGAGATGGGCCGCGAAAGCCGTACTCGATCAGCGTGTTTTCCTGGGTGGTGAGTCTCATCTTCGCCCTGATGACTTGGCCAACGCTGGGGCAAAAGGATTGGTTGATTTTGAGGTGGTGCCGGCGGAGCGGCATGTTCTCAAAATTCACCTCGAATTCTTTCGTGACGTTCACCTGCACCGCAAAAGCGTGGAAACCGCCCTTCGGGAGGGACGACTCGCAGACCATGAAGGAGAAGTGGTCAGCGGAGACGTTTTCGACGAAAGGCTTGGTTTCGTCGCCGTATTTCCCCTGCTTGGCTCCTTTACCCTTTTTCCCCTTTGCGTCCTCATCCATGTCGCGACCAAACGCCATCACCTCTTCGATGTTGCTCCGCTTTTCGGCCACTTGGTCAGAATTTACCGTCTTTGTTGGCGTGGTGGAGACGGTAAAGTGCTCGATCACTTCGAGAATTCGCGGTCCGGGTTGGCAGTCAACTGGTTCTCTTCAACAGTCCGGTCACTGCGTGTCGCGGAGAGTCACTGGCCACACATCTGCCCCCAATCAGAATGCGCGTGGGGTACTTGCGCACAGAATTAAGGTGGCAGTGCTTCTCTCACAGCTCACGCTCTTCTCACGCTCTTCTCAGGCCTCTTCTCATGCATCTCATAGATATCGACTACTCCCTTCACTAACAAGCACCAAAAAAAATCTTATTGAAAAAAGTCCCAACTGAAGGAAGAACATCAACCACACGACTCCAGGTGTCGTTTCGCGCTTTTTCCCGTCACCCTTTCCCCCGCGGCCACGAGAGCCTCCTGCGGTCTCGTCCTCGTTGCGATTGTCCGGGCGCTGAGGAGAGTTTCCCCGTCCCTGCACTTGGTAGTGCGGGTGGCCGCGCTGGGTCGGGCTATGGACGTCACGCTCGCTGTAGTTGTGGCTCCGGCCGCCCCTCCAGTCGTGGTCGCGGTTTGAGCTGTAGTAGTAGTTGTCGTAGCGGCTTGTGCCATGTTTGTTGCCCCCGTCATAGAAGTCGAAGCCGCGTCTACCACCGCCTTTTCCTCCGCCGCGGCCATTGCTCCGCCCCCTTCGTGCCTGTGCCGAGGACCGTCGACCTCTGTAGTTGTTGCCGCCCATAATCACTCCGCTTACTACTGCTTGGTTTCTTTGCTCACGATGCTGCTGCACTGGGACGCTCTGCGTTGACGACGCTAGCAGTGGTTCCTCTGGTTTTCGCACGCTCCTGTTGTCGGAGGGGGGGGTTGAGAGGTCGATCACCGTCGGCGCGTGGGGGCTCTTCGGGCGGAGCACTCTACTTTCGTCCTTTGCTGCCGCAATTGATGCGCGCTGGACGGGGATCTGCAATAACGAGCTAGCGTCCCGGCGCGCTGACTGCGGGAAGACCGCTGCGCTGCGCTGGAAGGGGTTATCGTTAGAGTGCCGCGGCCTGAATATCGGGATGGAGGACTCGGGCTTATCGTCTACTCCCCCGTCTACCAACGAGAACCGCGACGCCAAGGTTGATCCGCGTTTTCCTGAGGGGCTGGCTTCCGCTACACCCATCGCGATGTCGCAATGCTGTGACTGTGATTCATCTTCTGGGAGTCGCGGAAGCAATGTGGTCATGTAGCTCTACGCGCGTCGTTACTGCCGGCAGCGGTAAGTAGTGGAACGCTCCACACTCGCTCCGTCGGCTCTACCTGAAGCGCGACCACTAGCGTCGAGAGCGTGGACGGCAACGCGGCTCCGGTGAGCAAAACAGGACTCAACACAAACAAAGATATAGACCCCCCGGCCCCGCGGCTAAGTGTAAATCAATGTCCCTGCCGTCTTTAACTGTTGAAGGGATCGTGAACAATTTGGGGGCGCGGCCGTTTCTTTTTTGTCCCTTGCCGTCTTTTTTTCTTTTTGGGATCTTTTTCGGGGGGTCTTAGTACACACTAGATGGACACAACTGCCACGGCGGGGCGATGTGTCTTCAAGTCCTGGCAACGGCAGGGAGTTGTCGCTCCTCCAAGGGGCTTGTTCGTCTTCAGATACGACGGTATGATGCTCCGAGCCCGTAAAAGTCCTCTCCTTGAGGGGAAAAAATCCACTCTCTGAAGGAAGAACATCAACCACACGACTCCAGGTGCCAAACATGATCCAGAAGCGGCCTAAAGTTTTTACCTGAAGAAACAAACCGCAGCGAAAGACCTTCGTAGTACAACGTCGCAGTTTCAAGCACTTGCTGCACTGAAGATTTGTTGAAAAAAAGGGACATTTGATGAAAATCCTGCGCCACTTCTGCTCTGACCAAGTAGCCCAATAATTTCAGGTCCATTTCTCGTTGGTGTGGAGAAAGAGGATTTGCTTCTTGTACAGTTTCGTATCGTGAACCTTCATGCATGAGATGCATTGAAAATCTTGATGATGAAGTTGAAGATGATGTTGATCAGCGGTTTGTTATAATCGCGGAGGTGAAACAAAGCTTTGGGAGGGTGCCCTAGTCTCCCTTGTGAAGTGAAGTCGAAGTAAAGTTTCAGTAACCAATCTCCTCGCAAAGTAGGTAAAAAGTAGTACGCAATTCCAGACTTTTTGGGAAAAGCTCTTGCAAGTAGAGTTGTCGCATAATAATGTTGAAATCTGAATAATTGTAAATCCGATTCGAAAAAAGAAATCGAAGGGTGTTGATGATAGTTGTGAATAATTTCGCTTTTGATGAAATAAAGTAAAGTAGACAGTCTCAATCAGCAATCGAATGGCAAAATGCCTTCTTTTGTCCTAAATCAAAGCTGTTGAATCGAGATTGTATCAAGAAATTATCGCTTTTTACCTTAAGTAGAGTCCAGAGATTCATCGAGCAGCCGCAACCTGTTTGTGCGTACATAAATCCAGATTGTCCAGCCTTCGACCGAATCTCGACGTCTGCTGTTGTCGTGATAGAGATTATAGGAGGTAGTAGATACAAGCAACAGTTGTAGAAAAAGAAATTGTGGCGTTTCGCTGTCAGTAAAGATACTAAATATTATTTTTGCTACTTCTTATCAAAAATACAGGCTGATCTTCTCTATCGAAAAGTCTTGTCCTCGTAGCCTTCGTCTTTGCTACTTACGCCTGCGGTAAAAAGTTGCATCCTATTTTGAAGCATGATCTACTTCTGCGGTAGAAGAGGTACAGTAGGTGCGTGTTAAAGTAATAGTTGCTTCATGCAGAAGTGAGGACAGCTTCCTCCTGGTGCGTCTCTATATTACCCCGAGATTTTTGTGTAGTTCATCTTCCCTACACTTTTCTTATGGGTTGAAAACGTCTGCGGCCCTCGATAAGTAGATGTTCGTTGATGTTGTTCCAAAAAGAGTAAAGTATATTATCCAAATTTAGAAGTCCAAATTTACAAAAAGAAGAAGATCCTGTGACAACAACGTAAGTGGCATTTTTGACCGTGGTGACAAAAAAAAATATTGTCTTCCAAAATATTACATGGCTTGTAGTAAACGCTTCTGTGGGAAGTGATAGAAAATTTCCCACCGTAGTACATAAACTGTTCGCGATCTTCAAATAATTGAGGCATATTGAAGAAAAGTGGTACTTTTGTTGAAAAAAAAAGTGTGAGAAGAAGTGTCAGAATTTGATGAAAATAGGTTCCTTTCGTCTGGTTTCTAGCGTCTGAAGAACTAGAAATGATGATGTTGATGCTGATCCTAGCAGTTGTTGACCCAACAGCTTTTATTGGTGTGGTGCGACAGTAAGATAAACAGAACTGGTTCTTTCTCCTGCGAGTAGTTCTTTTTCGTCTTCTCGCCGTAGTTGTACTAGCTACAAATCGAATAATTTTCCTCGTTACCCCTGCTGTGAAAACTTAAATTGACGTTTGGGAAAACGTCGGTGTCTGCTCGTGCATGAAACATACAGTTTACTAATGTGTCCGTCAAATAAATCGGTTGTTTCAAAAAGAATCGCAGTGTCGTCAACTCGATAGTTTCAGTTTTCCGTATCCTCCACCTCGATTCTATCTATAGCTATAGCACATTTTTAGCGGTACTGCTGTCCCCCACCATACTGCTGGTTGTAGTAGGCTTGTGGTGGCTATGCATTGCAAATATGTCTGGGTCTGGAACAGTGCAACTTGTGATGCTGCATTTGGATGCTAAAAAAAATCTGTATTGCATGAGCAGTAAGAGAAGTCAAGTTTGGCTACATGTCATGCGGGATGCGCATCGATTATAAGCGCTCAAAAAATCTGTGATGCTAGGGCATATATAACAGACGTAATGGATCATGGAAAATGTGCATGACAAACTTGTCCTCTTCCGGACCCAGACATATTTGCACTTGATAGTGGCTGCTGGAACTGCTGTGGTGCGCCGCCCGGATATCCTGAGCAAAAACGTCCGCGCCCCATAGTCAAGTTGGGAATCTACCAATACAAATCTCCAAGCTTTGGGAGCTGTGCATGACAAGCTTCCCTCTACTGCATGGTAAGTAGTGCTGGTGGACAAGGGAAGCCGCATGAGAAAGCCATCTTCTCATCCTGTCGACAGCATTGCAAGTTGAAGTTCCAAAACACGATTATAAATGTCTCTTAATATGGAGCTGCGCATCACAAATGTTCCTGTCATTGCACATTTGCATGACAACTATGGAGTGGGGACGTTTTTACAAAGGATACCGGGGGACCCTGACCCATCTTGCCGCCGAACTGCGGGGGGCCCGCCGGGGGACCACCCTTGCCGAACTGCTGACCCATGTTGCCGCCCGGGGGACCCATGTTCGGCGGACCACCCATCGGACCACCCTGCATGCCCATCGGCGGACCGCCCTGCATCGGGGGACCCTGCATGCCGCCCGGAGGACCCTGCATGCCGCCCGGTCCCATCTGCGGAGGACCACCCATCTGCGGACCCTTGCCGCCCGGCGGACCACCGCCCATCTGCGGGTTGTATTACAGTGAAAAATGCCCCCACCACGGAATTTGCAGAAGTTTGTCATGCAAAGCTTCCAAATGAAAGCTTTTTGTCTTGCATAAAAGGATAGCAAGCGTTTGTGATGCAGAATCTGGGTGCGCAAGGACCCTTGTGCATAACAGAACCGCATGCAGCTGTTGCGCTACTTCGCAACACAAATTTGACCTATTCAGCATGCAAAATTTGTGATGCTGAGATATGCAAGACGGCGCATGTTCCTGTTCTTGGAAAGGTTTGCAATACAAATGCTGCCAAGCTGGGGGTGGGGGCATTTTTCATTGTAATAGGTTGCCACCCTTCATCATGTTCTGGTCCGGCTTGCCGCCCGGCTGTCCGAGCTGCTGGGGCTGCCCGCTCGGGGGACCACCGCTCATCCCGCTGTTTGGCTGGTAGGTCAACGCCGGGTACTGCTGCTGGCCGCCCGGTTATCGAAAAGAAAAAAGCTATACCACATAGCACATTTGTAATGCAGAGACACGTACATGAAAAATTCTGTGTTGCATAAACAATAAACACCATCATGCTACTTGCCCATGAGAGATTTCGTATTGTGTATTTGTTTTTGCATGACAAATTTATGCATTGGTGTAGCTTTTTCTACTGTCATACCGGTTGCTGCATGCCCGGATTTCCTGGATACGCGTCCTGGATAGCGGGGTTCTTATCGTGAGAAAAAAGTGTTACAGTTACACACTCTCATGCAAGACAAGCAAGACAAACAACCTCTTTCATGCAGGAAACGCTTGCCAGCGTCACTTCATTCGTGTTTTCCTTTGTAGTCTGCGCATTACAAGTTTTCTTTGCCATGCAGAGCAAATTTGTGATGCTGAAATTACAACAAATGTGTAACTGTAAGACTTTTTTCCTGTGATAGTTCTGGCCACCGGCATAGTACTGTCCGTATTGCTGGTTGATACTTGTTATGCATTGCAAAAAGTACAACTATCGCACTAGGAGTTGTACAAAAAATCGCATGACAAATAATTTCCTTAGTACAGTCAGAAACAAAATTTGTAATGAGGCTTCACCTTAAGAGCAGCGATATTTGTCATGCAAGACCACTGCGAGTAGTAAGCGCCTAAAAGTGCGCTAGGCCACCGTTTGCATTGCATAATTGTGATCTGCTTCAGGGCGTTCAAACCACCCGGGTTGCCGCGGGCCTCCACCGCCTGCTGGCTATCCACTGCAAACATGTCTGGGTTCTCTCAATTTGTGATGCGGGATGTGAAGGACAACAAGCATTTGTAGTGCATAAATGCGATTGGCCAGCTATTTGTCATGCTGTGAAACTTCTCAGTTTGTCATGCGTTCTGCAAATGAACCTGCAAAAATAAGCCTCGCAAAATTTCTGATGCTGTTATGCAGGACACGCGGCTAGTACTCTGTGATGAAAGCTTCAGCAACACAAATTTCCAGACCCAGACATATCTGCAATGCATAGTGACACGCCTCGTACAACCGGCGATCCCCCACCGTGGAATAACCGTTCTGCCGGCAGGCGCGGGCGACCTCGGTAGCCTGGTTTTCGTGGGCAGTTGTCTGCGTGACACGGACCGGGTACTGCAAGCGGGCGCGGTAGTCATCCAGTACTTCCACAATGGGTTTCAAATCCGCGGCAATCTTACGCGACATGTTGTTAAACTGGGCTTCCACCTGATAGTTGAGTATTAATTTGGGTACTTAGAATTGCGAATTTGGTTCTTGTCGATTGCGGCTGTCATTGAGAATCAAAAACTTTTCTTTGGCGAACACGCATGACAATGATATACAATACTGCAATTCGTGCATGACAAAGAGAGCAAAAAAATCTGCTATACGATGCTGTGGTCGGTGCCGACCATAATCTCCTTTTTGTCCAATCCCAAGTCGATGCACACCCTCAATCCCAAGGTGGCGGCAGCTAAGCAGGCCATGGGGACCGTGATTTCACCAGATTCTGGCAAGTCCTGTGCGTCCAATCGGAGGGACCCGTGCCACATCTGTTTTACGTTCGGGGCCTCCGCCTGCACACCAACCGCGTTAATGACGACACCTGGAAGATCGTGTTGGGAGTGGAAGTTGCACTAAAGCTTCCTCTTGAGCTGCGACTCCAAATTTCAATACTCAGGAATTGTCGTACTTCGCGATTTCTGCGTGACGAATGACCTTTTTCAAGCATGATATGACTGAGAAGTTATTATCTGTACCTAAAGCGACCGTTCGGTTTGGTCCGTCGACCGACCCGGAGATGTTCAACAACACACGTCGTTTATCCACGATAAAAATCGTTCCTGTGCGGGATTTGTGATGCTGATCGTACCAGCGGTAGAGGTGTTTGTGATGAAATTACTTTTGCTCTTCCTCCAATACAGACCTCTACACTGATGCCATTTCAGCATGACAGATCGCACAAAATCAGTAGATTTTTTATCATGGATAAGCGCCCCACCGCGGCCATTCCGTCTTCTTGTACACCGCCGGTCGTCGCCAGTTCCAGTCGGACTTCGGGTCTGTAGTGCAGTTTGTGCATGACAGATCGAATCACTAATGCGATTTCTTGCATCACAAATTTTTATTCAGCCAGTGGATGCTTGCTTTTTCTTTTTCCCTACCTACGGTACGCTGCATGACAAACACATTTCCGCTTAACACGTCAATCGCATCACAAATCACAACTTCAACATAAACATCAATAAGCAAACAAATCAAGAAATACTTCCGTCGTTGGATTTCCACGTTCCCTGCAAATCGTTGTCGCCCTTGTAATCCAACACCCACAAACTGCGGCTTCTCTCCTCGCTGAAGTAGAGCTTGATCGGGAACTCGTTCGGATCCACGACGGAAATCGTGCCAATCTGCATGTTGGAATCGCCTCGGTAGACCTTAATTTGCCCGGTAGACTGCTCGACCCACACGTTGAGCACGTTGTCATAATCGTCCATCCAGTATGCATTGCAAATATCGTCCCTGGATGTCTGAAAACTTGTGTTGCGGATACTTGCATTGCAGACTGACTGCTGGTACGGAATGTTTGCATGAAAGTTTTCGTCGTGTAGTTTTCATTCGTATTTAGCATCACAGACTGCCATATCCAGCACGACAAAAAAAACTTGCCAATCGTATTTCTGCATCACAAACCCTTGTTGTCCTTGACGTTTCGCATCACAAATCCACAGCACCCAGAAATATTTGCATTGCATATCCAGTACCCACGCAGGTTGTCCGCGATCCAGGTAGACTCGTCACGCGGCTTCGGCTTCGGCTTTGTGCGCTTGTTGCCCCCGGAACCCTTGTAGGTCTTACCGCCCCCCTTGCGACCCTTGCCGCCGGAACCACCTGATAGAAGAACATCGAGAAATATTAATTTTAATTTCATTTGTGAATCTTCCCGCATCACAAACTGAAAACTCCATCCCCCTTCCGCATTACAAAAACCTATATACGTTGCTGCTGCCACTGATCGGCGCCGTAGCCCTGATCCTTGGTCATGTTTCGTCGGTTCACGTTCTGCACGACGATCGCCTTCGCCGGTTCTGGCATCAACGTGGAGGGCAACCTGTTTTGATCATTGATTGATAACATTTCATGTGCTGGTGCATCACAATCTGCTAGTACTTAACCAGACGTGCTGCTGTTGCTCGACGCACCAAAAAAACATCTCCATGATTTCAAAAGAACTTCAATATCTTAATCAGGGCTGATCATCGTACAAAGTGGTTTTTCTTTTTCACGCACTCGACACAGTTTATGAAAGCAACTTTTTAGTACCAAATCGCGGAGATTTTTGCATCGGGCGGCAGTCGGACGCTACCCCGTTCAATCCACTGCTTGCGGCTGTAGTTCTTCACCAACGCAACCGGCTTCAACGCGCACTTACCTGGGTCACCCGGGACCAGTTGCACCCGGTAGCAGGCCACGGGGAGCTTGGGACGACCCTCCATCACATCATTGGTGTCGACTGTTGTTTGTTTTTTTATTTCCGTTTTTACGATTACATCTTCTTCCGGTAATTGTATGCCAACTACTGTGCACACGTAAATTCTTATATGGTGCCAACAACTATGCAATACAAACATTTGTCCTAACTTAATACCCTGTCGGAACGCCGCTTTCTTGTCCACCTTCAGTGCCTTGTCCGTAAACGGCATCCGCAACGAAGACCCTTCGGACGAGGCCTTATCCAGAATGTCCTCCCACGGGTTCTTCTGTCCGTTCAGAGTCGGGTCTTCTCCCTTGTATCGAAAGGAAATAAAAGTGTTACAGTTGCACACTCTCATGGAAGACCAGCAAGACAGACACCCTCTGTCATGCACGAAATGCTTGCCAGCCTCATTTCATGCGTGTAGTTTTCCCTTGTAGTTGTCTGCGCAACACAGGTTATTTGCTTTGCCATGTCGAGCAACTTTGTGATGCAGAAATTCCATATAGAAATGTGTAACTGTAACACGTTTTTCGTGCGATACCTTGTGCGCGTTGGCAAGTAACCGGTGCAGGGGACCGCACTGCTTCGACGCGACGAAGGCGAGGTTGGCGTTACGGATGGCTTTGGATTCGTGGGAGGAGACTATCCTGAGCAAAAACGTCCCCATCCCCTAGTCAAGATGGCAATGATGCTAGACTCCTGTTTAGCTTGTTCAGCAGCATCACAGATCTAAATTATTATGCTGATTGGAGCATTACAAATTCCAAAAAACGACTACAGAATGATTCTCATTGCGCTCCGCATGAGAAACATTTTGAGCGAGCAGAATTGCATGACAAACATGGGATGGGGACGTTTTTACATAGGATAGAGACGTGGAGTTCTTCCCAGATGAAGTGCAGGGAAATTTTGAACAGGTTGTACCTTTTCGCAAACCCGGACGAGGCGAACACGTTCACCAAAGTGCTGTCCAAGGCCTTGTCGCAGCCCAGGGCGTCTTGGGTGCGCCAGATGACACCGAGCACCGCGGCCTGGCAACGGATCAAGCACTCCATCCAAAGCTGTCATAGTTGTTGAAGAAGGGTTTTCAAGTTTGTGTTGCGGAAATGTCAGGAATGAAATGCATTTCTCATGCGGAATGCTACATAACAGGATCAAAAAATTGAAATTTGTCATGCGAAGCGATCAATACAGCATCGATAAAAAAACATCCATACCGCCTCAATTTCGGAGATTTCTTCCAGACAGTTCACGTGCGGGAGCAAGACATCCACATCCTGGTAGTATTTGAAAACGGGTGTCGCCATCTCACACAGTGTCAACGGTTGCCGCTGCTGGTGGAAGTGGTCAATCGCGTCGTAAAGTCCCTCCAGATCCTCATCGTTTTTGCACTCCAGCTTACCGGACTTCGGAAGACTGTTTTTTATTTGAATTTGTGGGGACGATGAAATCTTTGGTCGGAGTTCTAGTTCTTTTTCAACATGCAGAAGACCGTATGGTAAAACACTTTCTCATGCGGCTCAGCAAGAACATCGAGTTTTAACATTCTTCTATGCAGAGAAACAACTTCTATACCGTGGGTCACGGTGGCCACACATCACACTGTGCGTAATCATGTGAGGATCCCAGCAGCCGAGCTTCCAGTATGGAGCGAAGAAATTGGTGTTGAGTTTTTTTCGTGATTTGTCATGCTGAATTCGCATTTTGACAACTTCGATTTCTTTCATCTCTCATGCACAAATTATAACCAGCGATTGAATTTTGCCTTTATTTCCAGGCCGTTTGTAGCCTTGTACCATGCATGACAGACATCATCATCATCATCACACTTTCCCCTTGATTTATATTCAGAAAAAAAAACTCACGCATCAACATTTCTGCCGGCATAGGTGCAGCTTCTGGCACATCTTCGTGTACTTCTCCTGTTGATCTGCCATTTTCGCGGTAGTTGTTTTGACAAGCTGCGTTTACGGTTACTAAAAGAACCTGGCTCGTCTTCACGACAAGCTTCAATGCAATAATGCAATAGGAGTTATTTGCTCACGACCAGCTTTCAATAAGTACCAATAGAAGACACGACGGACCTCTAGAAGAAGTAGAAGTAGTACAGGAAAAACTATTTCACAATTATCTCTAATCTCGCCTAAGAAATTATCTGAAACCGAGCCGCGATGCGACTGGTTGTGTTCGAAGTTTTATTTCGTTGGATAAAGGTTCGATTATGTCTTCACCAAAATTGTGAGATTCTTCGCAGCGTAGAGAGCCTGTCCTGAATCAGTTATGAAGAAGCTCGTAGTTGTGATTATCGAAGGTGAAACAGTTTAGTCGCGTTTTGCTTTCGTCCGAGCAGGTCGTGGTGGCTTATATTTCTAAAAGACACGTCGCGGTTCTGGTTATCAAAAGAATGTCGCGTGTCGGGAAAGGTAGAGAAATGCCAAAAAAGTTGACGAACAAGATCTTCTTCTGGTTGGAAAATGGTCAATGGTACAGTTTCAGAAAAAAGACAAATCGAAGGACCTGGGGAGGAAAAATTGGGTTTGCCATGCAATAGAAAATGCAAACAAAAAATATACGGGATCGCAAGTCACAAAATGTGCGAACTGCAATGCGTTCCCTGCTCTTTGAAATGAATCTACTTTGCTGCCACTTTCAACTTTGTGCAATTCACTTTTGCGTTGTGTGCGCATCTTTGAGCAGTTCACTTTTGTTCTTTTGGTTCCTCTCTCGCACGCGGCACGGCCGCACGGATGGGCTAGTTTCAAATATGCCTGTACAAATACTCACTTTATCGCTCGCGCGGAGAAAAAGACACCATGCTACCAGCACACGGCTGCGAAATTCTAAATCAAGTGTGGCACTTCTGTAGAACTGGGTCGTGAGAGATGATCTTCATGCCCGGGCAGAGCAAATCCAAAATCGGTCGTGCTGTGTAAAATAAATCAGGAAACTATCGGTAAATCCACCCAGTACTAACTGAAGGATCTCTTGCGGTTCTTCGTGCGTTGCTGCCCATCGTGGGTCGTGTAAAATTGATAGGGATCATTTTTGTGCAGGACTAAAAATTGCTCGCATAGTACTACAACGAACCTAAAAGTACACTGATCTTTTATCGGCAAAAGATCTATCTTTGAAGAAAGCCAAATAGTGAGTCAACAGCGCCGCATGGCGCTTGTTTTCTTCGAAATCACTCTCTTGCAGTATGTACGTTCTTTCTACGAAGCGTGGCAGTGTGTTTCAATTGCGCTTTTCAGAGCGAAGCGACGTTTCATTATTTGCTCTTTTCAGGGCGAAGTTTTCGAGGCCCAGGACCATTCCTCGCTGTACTAAATCCTCGACCTTGGAGTAAGTACTGAGTAAAGAAACACCACGGATTCAGGGCGTAAGTGTTGCTGAGCATTAAAATCACCTTGATCTACCGTAATATCACCCGATGTGATTCAGAATCTCTTTCGAGTGGTCCGCGGAACTGGCAACGCGTTTCCGCTCCTATTGCAATGAAAAACGCCCCCACCCCATAATCTCCTGGCAGCATTTGTATTGCAAAGCTTTCCAATGGAAATATTCCTCCTCCTGCATGTTTCAGCATCACAAATTTTCAATGCTGAATAGCTAACATTTGCGTTGCACAAGACCCTAGCAACAGCCGGGCCTGCCATGTAAGAGTTTCTTGCTCACCTAGATGCTGCATCAGAAAGACTCATAGTTGTCCTTTCATGCAAGACAAAAAGTTTCCATTGGGAAACTTTGCATCACAAATTTTTGCAACATCCCGGGTGGGGACATTTTTCCCTTTGATAGCTCCGCGGCGTTGGTCGCTTCCAAGGCTTTGATCTGCTTGGACTCTGCTAACAAGTCGTTGAACAGGTGGCTGGCCTTTATAACGTGCTCATGTGTTACAATCTCAAATGCTACGAATAGAAGAATTCCGATTTTGTCTAGCATGAACAACACGAGAAAGCCACAGAGGGCTCCGCTTTCCGCAATACCAATTTCGCCAGATAATTCTCATGGGGTTTGGACCTCCGGAACTTGTCATGCGTAATCCTATGACGGTAGGCGAGACAATGCTCTCTTTGCATCACAAGTTTGCATTTCTATTGTAACACTAGAGATTGTAACGTTTGAGCTGGTCATAGCCTTGTCCAAGGCTTTCTCACTCGCGATGACCACCTCCTCCCGCTTTTTCTGGAACGGTATGAGGTTGCACAATTAACTCTTCCTTTGCTGTATTTGTCATGCAGAAGTGCAACTCCAGCTGTTACCCTGTAGCTGCGAGCTGTACGCTATTGCATGACAAGCTTCACCCCAGCAAAGAGCAGTCACTGCGATCGTCTCTACTGTGGGGCCTTTCCGATACAACTGCTGCACTTCTGCCGGTGTTGCAAATCATCCTGTTCCTACGTTTACAAATCCAGCGGGAAGGAGAAATTGCTGTGCATTATCATAAAATCCGAAATTGTTTCTGCGATGTCTGACAGCTCGGAGAACGCGGTGGCTTTGCTATGCTAGAAAATATTTTCTTTGCTAGAATCGACGAGGATGCTACTTTTTCAACATGTACAAGTTTCCGACATGTTGCTTACAGTCATGCACGGAGGTAGAATAACCTGCTACCTAGCACCCGCTCACACTGCACCGCGCCTGAGAAATTGCGCACCACCCCATTACAAACTTCGCTAACAATCATGTCTCCTCGATGCTACTAGCAGTACCAAAACATTTTATTTCCCACGATACTTCTGGCTCTTTCCGCTTTTCGGTGCGTTCTGCATTTGCTCGGCGATTTCTGCTTTCAGGTCGTTGAGATCGTCGTAGACCGCGGCGATTGGGAGTGGCCACGATGCGGTGGTGATTGTAAACAACAGGAGCTTGGTGAATCGACGACATGAAGTCCTCGTGCTTCTGAAACAAGTATCTGGTCGGGATGTTGCGCGCTCTGCTTCTCCGGTAGAAGTATAGCCCCCCGCTTTAACGAGCTCTCCTTCCGCATTGTGCCGGCTTCCGCTTTCTGGTCTCCGTGGCTCTTTGTAGCTGCTGCTTGCTGTGGAAACAGCACCTGGGCGCATTGTTTTGCTCTATTCTGAATGTACTATTTTAGAAAGTTTCATTTCCGGCATCTCTTTTTTAACCTGGTGCATCATCAGCGATGAGTCACGATGCTGTAAGTTCAACACCATAACATCGGTGGCAAATATCTTCTTGCACCTGATAGACACAACGTTCCCTCGGTGATTCCATCATTCGATTTTTTTCACCGACTATTTTTTTCTACAAATCGGGGCACTACAAGCATCTACGACTGTCCTCGCGATTACAAACTACGCATCCTCTAGTAGAATCAAGTCATGATCCACAGAAGACACACAGCTGGCGTAAAGCGTTCCACCTTGCCGCGCCTGCCTCGCCGCAAGTACTTCTTTCGCAGCGACTTGCAACGCCTTAAAGCGTCGAATTTTCATTTTGGCTCTCTTGAAAAGAGCCATATTTTTCGACGCAATGGCACGCACAACCACTTGCTTTTAGTTCATATGCGCAGAAAAAGTAGTGCAAGTTTTTCTTGGGTATCAATGAAGCGCGATCGTCACATGTCTCTCTTCATAATTCCACCTCCCCAAATTTCACCATGGCCACCATTCCCAGCCACACCGTCTCCCGAAAAATCCACCGAAATTCGTTGTCCGTGCCGCGCCGCATGAGAAACACCGCCTTGTGCAATAGACAAAGAACCGCGAGGAGAAAAATCGCTGTCCAGGAAATCGCTGTGCTTGCTGAGAAAACAAGCTTCAAGACCACACCGGCGAGTAAGCAGGCTCGGAGACCTTTGTCGATCGCCCGCACGTACTGCAGCATGGGGACGGTTGCGCGTGCCGGCTTCCAGTAGAGAATACCTTGGTTGGTTTTTTGGAAAAGTAGTCGAAATGGCATTTACTTTTGCGAGTCATGCAATACAATTTGGGTGCAACATGCGGCTCATGCATGACAAAAAACATTCCGGTTCCGTACCGTCCAGGACGAGCTCCGGCGTGAAGGGGTAGCTTCCGAGTTCCCGCCGCTGTATGGAGGGCGAATTGAGATTTTTGGTCTGGAATTCATGTATCTGCAACAGCGAAACGCATTTTTTTTTTTAGTCATGCACCAGGCGATGAAAGTCATGCAAAAGAAAATTTCAATGGGAATGCAATTGCTGTCATCTCGGAAACAACTCAAAATGGCGACGCACAGCTGCTACGTCGTACATGCACAATTGAGTTTAATACGCAAAAAAATCGAGCACCCTTTCATACAAGCCGCTAGTGTGGCCTATGCAGATGAAAAATCAGCAGCGGTAGTAGACGACAGGTTCTTTTCACATTTCCAGCTCGGAATGGAGTTCTCTGCATGATGACAAACTAAGCCCAGTAAAACTGTCTTCCTCTACGAAACCACAACTCAGTGATACCCCGCCATGACAAACACCAGCGAACTTGCATTTTTCTCTCCGATACCACTAGTAGGTGATACCCCGCCAGCGGCAGCACCAGCAGCACGAGGAAGGGCACCCGGAGAAGCAAGCCCCAGCAGATGCTCCACACCAGCACGGGCGCGAGTAAGGCGTCGGTCAAGTACCGGGTTCGGTGGAGCGTTTCTAGCATCTTCGCCTGCGTGTAGATGTTTTTCTCCGGTAATACCGTCGTAAGTAGTGTCACTCCTATCTGGTACGCCCCACTCATCGCCAGGGGGAGTTGTCTTCCGCGCTGCTGGTACAAGAACACCCACCCGCCACCGAGCAGGAGTAAGAGCAAAACGGCCGGGAGTTTCCGGGCGATGGAAGTCGTCATGCTGGTGCTGTCCTTTCGGGATTTGTCTTGTCGCTAGCTGGTACTACAAGAGGGATGAACCGTCATCTTTTGTGCACCTCCATGGGATCGCGCCTTCAGTACAGTCACTACGAGCGGGAAGACTTGTTGTGCTAGAACATCCTACTTCTAGGCTGCTGTAGTACACCGGAGCTGCATTGCGAATTTTGCCTGGTGAAATGTTGAAATCGCTCACTGCGCAACAGATCTGGACCGATCATCGGCTGTGATGTGGATCGACGTCAGCAGCGGGAAAAAAGCGCTGTCAAAGAGCGATATTTGAGAACTTCTCATGCGGAAGAAAGCTAAATTCTGAAGACGGTGCGTAGCTGGTCCGGTTTTCACGATCTTGGAAAGTCAAACAGAGTAGAAGATCAGTACATAACGAAAAGGAGAACGGCATGGAGGAACAATTCCAAACACGATAAAGATGAGAAAAAAACGAATTTGCTTAACCGCCTATTCCGTAGGAACAAAGAAACAAAAACGCCACGACTGAACACCCGAAGGGCCGTTGCTGCTCCTTTGCGGGCGAGAGACGGTAGAAACGAGCGACGACAGAAACGGTCACTCTTGGTTGCTGCACTTATTTTTTCGGACCGGGGGCGGCCTCTGTTCCGTAGTTACAAGAGTCGTTTGTTGATTTTTCAGGTTCTGTGCGAGTCCTCTCCACTCCACCCCTACACGGTTGTTCACAAAAGCTGGTCGTGGAGAAGCGGTGCCAGCACTAACCAGCTGCTTCTCCTTTCTGCGCCTCCTCTCTGGTCGTGCTACCAGTTGTAGCAGTGTGCGCCAGCTCGGAACCCCGCCTGCAGCAGGGGTACTGCTGCCGTGTTTCGGGGAGAAGTAAATCTCGAGCAACTCTAGTACAACATGGGGGCTGACAAGTTTAGATGAAGTCTTCTTTTCAGGTTTCTCAGATGAAATTATTTCTTTTGCCGAAAAAGGAATTAAAGTTGTGAAAAATTCTTTGAAACATAATGGTCTCTATCCGGTATATTTTCAACCACGCCGTACTAAGCGACGCTTGCATAAAAGAGAGTTCTTGTTGATGAAAAGTGGATAAAAGATTTCTCAAAAATTCAGATTACTTCGACGGAATCAAAGTCATAGGACAATTGCAAAAAAGTGTTGCAAAGTAAACTAGTTAATTGATGCATGAAAACAGAAACGAAAAAACAGTCTTTTGCTACGTGAAAACGAAATCTTTCGGATAGGCTAAATTCATACAAACAATAGTTTTTCATGGTCGTACCTCGTAAACAAAATTTGGAATAACGAAAAAAAGATAAACAATCTCCTGCACTGGCTCTTTCCCGCCATATAATTTAGCAGCCTCGCTAGATACCATTTCTCCTACGGCGGTCTGATAAGCGTTCTGAGTGGCGGTCTGCAGAGAGCGTGTTTCAGCGCTTTCAGCGCTTGCCTTTTCCCTCACTCAGCAGACACTCCGCTTCGTTGTCGGAGAGGCGTATCAAACCAAAAAGTGTAAATGGCCTCAACGGAAGGCGTTTATGCTGGTGCGGATGACAGTCAAGGCAACATCATTTTGTCCCGGTGAACCTCTCACTGCAGTTAATGCCTCTGTCATGCAAAAAGAAAACATCTGCGAAATAGACCGTCGACGTCAAGTACACTTTTTGGGTGGATAAGACTGGCGAACCCCTCGTGAAGCGGTTCGTTTTTCAGCTCAAGCTGGTCCGGCAACCGGTCCAAGGAAATTGCGCATGTATCCGTCACATCCCCGGGGACGGTCGGAGCATCCGTCGACGCAGAATCCCGAAGCGTACGAACACGCCGCTGTTCAGAGCCAACGTCAGAGAAGCCTTTCCGGCTTCTAGACTTGCACGGCAAGAGGGGCCACAGCACTCGCGAAGAGAAAGCAGGGGCTTGTGGCGTCTCCCCAGGGGGACCTTCTTCATTGGAAGGAACGGTCCGGTCGCTTGCGAGTTTCGGATTTTTTTTCTCGGCGCTGCGATGGGGGGCAAACATGCAGTCGCGGGTGCCCGCTTGTTCGACTGCCGGGAAACCGGAGGCAGCTCGATCGAAAACGGCACTGCTACCAGCATCCGACCTGTAGTAGTCGCGCATGTTGCTTGGCGGCAGCTTTTGCGTCTTTTCCATCTTCTCCTCGTTCACCTTCTCAGAAGAGCTTTGGTCGGCTGCGGATTTCTTCTTTTTCAAACTGCAAACCCGGCGACAGGAAGCTGGTAGTGCGAAGGGACAGCCTGCAATGAATAACAACCAAAGCAACATAATGAGAAGGCTCGCTGCCAAGGCGGCGAAGCACGCCACCGGGGGGTCCTGCACAGGGTGGAGAGTGCGGATTGCAACCGCATCGGACGCCGCGGCCCGTCCTGCTGTCTGGTGGATGGGCGACTGTAGGAAAGATCTCGCTGCTGCCGACATCTGTTGTGCCTGTGGTTTTGTGACTGATCCCAACATTTGATCTGACTTGGCCTCGACGTCGTATTCCCAAGTGTATAGCAGTGTGGTCGCGTCGGGGCCAGTTCTCTTGCCTTTGGTCCACTCCCACTCGTGGTCCCAGGGATCGGTGCTTAGTGACATGTGGCCGATGTTGGTCCGCTTATGCCTATAATCTGGCCCGCGGCCGAAGATGAGTACGTCAACTGACAACTTGGAGTTCTCGAACTTCTCGGGCATGTGGCGGATTGTTGTCGTATCCGGAGGCCGATCTGTGATTTGGTGGGGCCATTTTTCAGTAGTAGATCTTCACCCCCGTAGCCTACCAAGCACGCTCTGACCCGGACGGCGGGCGGCGGCCTTTCTATGAGCGATCAACCATCTGTGCTCCGTCTCTTACCTGCAGCAATACTGACGGGCGCTGCGCAAATTCACGGCCGTATTAATATAGAGGTAGTTTCGCCAGGCCTCAGGCGTGGAATGCTTGCAGCATTTTACTTTTTCGGGGCGATGTCTTAGGACCAAATAATACCCTTCTCCTGCGGCGGGCCTGGGCCCTTTCGAAAAAAGCGCGGGGAATGGAACAACTTAATTTCTACGGCTTTGCATACGCGCTCCGGCGTAATGCGGTACGGCGGCTCGCGGGTGCACGCTTGCTCAGCTGCAAACCTTTGAGACTCGAGGTCCTGTAGCATAGTAGCTGACGAGCGTAGAGGACTCAGGCCCCCACTGGAATCATATTTTCACTCTTACATGTTTCCGCGGTGCTGCCAAGGGGGCGCTCATAATTCATTACGGCACATTTTGGCACGCAGTTTGCACAAGAGCCCCAGCGGTCCCCAATAGGCTCGTGGCAAACATTTTGCAGGTTTTTCTTATCAGCGTTCACTGCGGTTTCCTGCGTCATTTGCGTTGCAGCGTGACCAAGAACTTAACAGGACCCATTCAGGGAATTTATTATTATTTCGCACTCTCTACAAGATAAATACCTTTATGGTGCATCTTCCAGTCATGCCACGACGTACTATCGAACGGCAAACCGCAATTGCCTCACCCCTTTGCAACTCGTACCTCGGTTGTGGTCGTTGAACTAAAACTAATATCGAAGTAATTACTTAAAGAACATTTGCAGCGACCGGACCCTCATTACCGGATTGGCGCCGTGGCCTGTAGCACTTGCCAGGAAAGACAACTGTCGCGCCCCTGGGCGCTGGTCGCCACGACAGCACGAGCGACCACGAGCGCCGTCGCACAGCGGCGGCACCAACCCACAGGAGCATATGTACATGCCACGCCAAATACGGCCTAAGACTGTTGACGAACCTCCCGCATCAGGAAACGGAACTAGGGCTAATGTGCTTGAATAGTCCGCCGTGTAGCTTCGCAGCAAAAGCAAGGCCCTTGCATGGACGCGCAACAGCCTGCTACACGCAGAGCGGAGTCCGCGGATACCTCATCACGAGGTAGATTGTTAGACGCCTCGCGAAATGTGAGCAAACGCGCCCCGGAATTTCCCGCCTTTTCAAGACAGGCGCCCGCCCCGGGCTGCTGCATCCTCCGGAAACGGCGCCGCTCCGTAAAACGACCTGAAAAGGCAATGCCTAGAAGAGCCCTAAATGAAGTAATGCCACATCCTTTTAGAGTGTGCGGAACTGACGTCCGAGCCTGGGCGGGGCATTGCAAGAAGCTCTAGGTTCAAAATGGGGAGAAGTTTCCGTGGCTAAGTTGCTTCAGCAGCAATGGCAATTCACCGCTCGATAACCAAGTGAGAAAAGATTTTCACTGGCCGTCTTTTCGTAGTAAACCGACACTTCTCCTGCCACCCGATCAGGCGTCGGCGCCAGCCTGACCACAGAGCCCAGGTTCATGTAATTTTTACCGCCCCCGTAATACGCGGCGGCGAACGTAAAAAAAACTGGAGGAGTTGGTAAAGCTTCTGAAGCTATTTCTGGATGTTTGTCGACTGGATATTTGTCGAGGTCGTCGAACAGTTCGCGGCGAAACTGGACCATGTCCTCTTGACCATTTATCTCGGTCCACGGCTGGTGGCCGCGAAAGTACATCAACGGCGGCGCTTTAGCACTTCCTTTCTTAGCCAAGTCTCCTTGGCTTGCCAAGGCTTCTTTTGTGAAGTACTTGACGCGTTCAAGGCCGTTATTACCTGGACCATCTGACAGGATCCCAGGGCAGCGGACACCCGCGTTCCCCTCTTTGCTTTCCATGCGTGGTTTTCCCCGATGATTCTTGAAGTATTGATGGCGGTGTCCAGGATCCGGGTCCGACCACAACAACTCGTTCGGGCAGTTCTCGTCAAACTCCATCTGCTCGGACAAGTACATATCCGGGAACACTCCGTCTACGAGCTTGTTGAATTCAGTGTCAGGCTCTTCTTTCTCGGAAGGAACGCTCAGCGTTTCTGCCCTCTCTTTGATCACACCTTCCTTCGCCGCGGTGATGGCGTGCGTTTCATCATCCACGATGGCCCTTGCGAATAGGTTCACGCGCTGTAAATCCTCGAACGACTGGCATCGCCCAGAAAAGTGCCAACCTTGGTCGTTGCTTATGTGTAACGCGACAAGTCGCGTCGACCACTACAAGGCGTGCGCTTTCGCACGCCTGCAGTGCCTTCATCATATTTGCGTTGCTACAAATGCACGAAACGCATGCAAAGCAGACATCTTTATGCGCGATAGCTTCAGCCGTTCGCTGAAGCCGCCGTGAACTCCGACAGCTTCGCCTCCGTAAATTCTGACAGCGAGCGGCAGTGTCGGGAAGAACGTGCGGGAGACAAATCGAAACGCATTTTCTTTCTCCAATTTTGTTCCGCCGATTTTCTCAAAACTGTTCCACTCGGTAGACATCGTGTTGCCTCTATCTGTTTGGCTAATTTGGTTCAGCGTCTCGTGATTTCCTCGCAGAAGCACGACGTTCCGGGGAAATTTTGACTGCAGGAACAATATCAAGAATGTCGTAAGCTAGCTTTCCAGATGAAAACACTGTTTGTCCCCCACTGTGAAACCAACCAAGCTCACACCAACGCAGATTCTGCAGCCAAAGGGCCGTGTCATGGTCCCACCCAACGAACGAGCATGGTCCAACACAAATCCTATTCACTCTCATTGGCCTGCTACCAATGCCCGCAGTGAAGCCAAAGCGGTATGGCGACTTTTCGATGTATCTCAGCTCCTCACCTTCATTGCAGGTAGCGCAGATCATGCGAGAAAGCACGCATGTCGATTGGCGGACAGCAGTCCATCTTCATCATCATCTAACAGCACGGCGGGCGGGTGCGTGCAATGGGTTGGGACCTTGTTTGACGCAACAGTAGATAAACAGTAGCATGACCAAGCGGCCGAAGCCTGCGAAAGCGAACCTGCTACCAAGAGTTTTTAAAGACCACGCCTACTTTAGTGCTGGTTCCGCGGTAAGGCATTCGGACCACTTACAGTAGCACCTACAGCAGCAAGCGAAAACATGATCAAGTGTTTGTGAGTGTACGCAACGCAGAGCTGAGACTGATTTGCACATGCTAAATCCTCACCTTCAATTATGTATTCAGGGGTGGGAGCAAACACCTCATCTCATACCAGCTATCTCCCTTGACTTGGGCCTTGTCCGCGTAATCACCGAGGAAAACGAGTTTGCCGCCGCAGTTCTGAATGCCTTTGTTGCTGATCTCCGGTAAATTCGTAATCAATCGCCACAGCTCGTCGAGGGACCCGTGTACATCACCAATAACGCGAATGCTGGGAAAGAATCGCATCCGTAGCCATACACACAACAAACAAGTCACATAAACCCAATTTCGCATCCGCCTGCAGTTTCTTTTTCTGAACTTTCCGAGAGAAAGCTTTACGATGTACTTTCTTTCTACGGACACGATTCTTTTGCCCTGCGTACTGTAGACAAACTCGCATGGGTCGTCGTGCACAGCATTCTCCCCGCACGTTTCAACTGCCAATGGAAGAAAGTTTTTCTTTCCTTCTTTTTCGTGTTCCGTGATTTTATCTCGCAAAAATTTGGTGTAGGACTTCATTATGGCGGGCACGTTCTCCCTTAGTAGTGCCACTATCGCTCCGCGATCGTAGCCTTTTGGGTCGGCTAAACGCTGGGCGAGATCAGCATCGTAGGTTGAGGCGTCTTCGCCAGATACAGCCGTGGTTACTTGCGCGCCCATCTTGAGCTCAAATGCGAGCCGATGAGGTAGTCAAATTCTTCTGGCAGTAATGAAGCGCGCTTGTGCCAAGGGGTGCAGGGGTCTAGAAGACAACTGCTGTGGGGATTGTAGCAGCGGGGCTTCACGCTTCTTCTTATTCCTCGGGGAAAATAACAATTACCCTGCTGCATTTCGTGATCTAGAGATATGAGTAAGTAACGCTTTACAAATAGTTCTAGCGGTGCGGCTTTTCCATACGTAGAAAACGCCTAGCCGTACCTTTTACAAAGACATTTGCATCTACGAAAGCGCTTTTCGGTGAGAGCCACCTACCGGTGACTTTCCCACTCGCGTCAATGTGCTGAAGCTGTAGTCCAGTCGCAGCAGCACTTAACCGACAAACAAAGAGACCACGTCGACTAGCCTCGTAGACAAAACATTGTCCTGTAGTACGACAAAACGAAAGAACCGAAACTTGGCCTCCCTCGGCAACCGAAAGAATCAAATGAAATTGCAGGGACTCCGACAGCTGCGTCTAAGAATAATACTCATCACGGACGAACAATATTCATGAACGGAAAAAAGTAGAAGGGGCAACACCGAAAAAGACCAGTGACGCAGTGACCGACTCCAGCTCGTTTTCTGCGAAGTTCTCCAAGTGCTGCGCTCTCGTACGTATTCGATTCTGTTCGCATACGCCAGCTGTATCAAACGCACAGCAAGTTGCGAGAATGCAAAAACCGAATCGCGCGGGCTCCGCTTACAGTTGAAACCAGTTCTACGAAATGCGAGAGGAATTGCAATTTGCGAGGTGCATCATAAGGATGATGCTGTCTTCTACTCCTCGCAAAGTGAATGCCTTTCATCATGCGGCACCATCGTAGACAAATTTGTCGCAGAACAGGACCACGAACCGAAGCGTGAGAGCTGCCGGAAACAGGAATGAACGCGACGCGACCGAAGCCATAATATAGTAATTCCATCTACAGGCAAACCGAAAGCAACTGGAACCCATCGCACTCTCGGACGACCACGTCAAAGTCAGATGGAAGTACCGAAGCAAAAGGGGCAGAACCGAAGAGAGAGCCTCCAACGACACCGGGAAGCATATCAATTCCTCCCGCTGGGCTATTGGTACGGAGATCACGCAAGGGTCGGACCGACTGCTTCACGGCACAGCAGAGCACCGGCTCAACTAAAAACGGAATCCGAAACGGGCGCGAGACCCCGCTGCAGAAACCGGGGCTCCTCGGTGTCTGCTCAATACGTCTGGCCTCATCAGCGAAAGCACACCCGACGACGGCTCGCCGGCCGCCGGGCGGAGAAAGTGCTGCGGGGTGTCGCCGCTGCGGCCCGGCCCTCCAGGAAGGACGAGAAGTCTCACTACCTTGTATCAGCAGAAGAGCCCCGCGCGCCGCCCCGCGACCCGGCCCTTCCAGAAGAACGGTCGGCGAGACTGTGCCGCGGGCACTGCGCGGACACCGGCCTGGGCAGGGGCGCCGTGGTGGCAGTTTCTCAGCGCGGCGCGTGTGCATTCCGTACTGGAAGCAAGCGGGCCGCGTGGAGTCGCCCCTTCTCGCAATCGCGTGCGCCCGCTGCTACCAAGGGGTCGCGGGCGGGGGCGCGACGACGGCCGCAGCCCGGGGGCGGGGGGGGGGGGGCGCGATAAAAGCGCACGCCCCTTCGCCTCCAGGCTGGCAGCCCACGCGACTCTGCACTGCCGCACCCGGCAAGCGGCTACGCATGCGCGGCCAGGCCAAAGAGTCGCGCCACGGCTTGTCCTAGGGTGAAGAACCTGTGCAACAGCCCGTGAGCAGGGCCCGGCCCCGGGCAGGTTTGCGACCGGGGCCCGGTCTACACAAGCTATTGGGCCGCGATGTGTCGAGCAGCCCCGGCAATTTCGCTGCGTCCTGCCTCAAAGCAAGGCAGTTGTCGCCGGGTACGCGCGCAGTTTTCTGCTAGCAGGCCCAGGCAACGGGGCGAGTTTGTGCTCGCTGTATGTCGCCAGTCGACCGCGCATGTGCCGCACGGCACAGTGGACGTCGTACATGAGGTGGCTCTACGGCCCGGAGACTCCGGACGTTCGGGCCAAGAACCTCCTATGCACGACCCGGGGGAGCTGAGCTTAGGGAGGCGAAATCATGCACTTCCGTGCGCTTTCGTGGCCAAGTTCTGGGCCCGAAGGGCAGAAAACCACCAGGCATTGCTACTGTTTGTTTTGAATACAATAATTCATGTGCCCCGGAGCTTCAAACTGCTGCTTCCTGTTTATGGGCCCCGGAGTTGCAGAAATCCGCGCCACCCGGCCCGAGCGTTGTCATAATTCACCCGACTGCGCCCCGCCGGGGCGTTATTTTGCAGAAACCCACGGCGAGGCGTATCGATATGCATCATGGCGCCTTAAAGGCCGCGAGGTTTTACTACTTTACCCTGCCAAAGCGCGAGGCCTTGCGACCTAGGCCGGCACGCCTGCTAGGTTCTGCGACTTTGGGACTTCGGCTGGCAAAAGCCCGAGGCCTTGCGGCGTTCTGCAACTTTGGTCGGCAGCCCCGCGACTTTATTGGCCGCAGCCCGGGAGCCAGTCGCAGGGCCGTCCGGCCGCCGAAGAGCACCGCAACCGGGGGCGTCGCTGAGGCGAGATCGTGCTCGCCCGAGTGCTAGCGCCAGAGACTGGAGCGGCTTCAGCGGCCGCGCCCGGCGGTGGGCAATCCGGGAGCACCGAACAAAGGGGCGAACGCGAATCCGCAGAGGCGCTTCCGGGGGCGGCGCGCAACACGCCCCGCGGTGACAAGCCACCGGGGCGCAACAAGTCCTGCAAACTGGATCACGGTAAGAGCCGGAGAAGCGCGCAGCAAGCGCGCTGATACGACTGCACTAATCAAAGGGCCCAAGGGCGGGAAAACGAAAACTGCTCGGGGCACAACCGAGTGCCCCCGGAGCAGCTTTCCCTACTGCCAAAACAAACAAAGCCGACAAACGAAAGGCCCTGTAGGGTCCGGGGCCGCACTTCCGCGAAGCGCAGCGCAACCGAATCGCGACAAGATGACGACGCCACAGCCTGGTAAGAAGCGACAAAGTTGTGTAGCGTGCTCTCCAAAGGAAACTGATGCAGCCGCATGCGGAGAGTAAGATCCAGCAGGGGCCCTGCCGTCAGAGGACCCCCCAAGCCGACGAAGGCCCCCTAGGCGGCGGACGTCCCTTCCGGCAAGCGGGCACCGGAGACCGGGCGCGGGCGCCGGAGACCGGGCGCGGGCACCGGAGACCGGGCGCGGGCACCGGAGACTGGGCGCGGGCGCCGGAGACCGGGCGCGGGCACCAGAGGGAGAAGCATCGCGACCCACGCTGACAGATGTGCAAACAATCGTCATCCATGCCGATATATGCGCAAACAATTGTGATGCGCGCCGGCAGATGCGCAAAAAATTGTCATACACGCGGGCAGATGCGGAAAAAATTGCAATCCGCGCTAGCAAATGCGCAAAAAGTTGCCATCTGCATTGCCACATGCGCAAAAAATTGTGATACACACGGGCAGATGCGCAAAAAATTGCAATTCACGTCGGCAAATACGCAAAAAGTTACGATCTGCGCTGGCACATGCGCAAAAAATCGCGATCTGCGCCAACAGATACGCAAAGAATTGCGATTTGCGCAGGCAAGTGCTCAAAAAGTTGTGATCCGCGCGGGCAGGTGCTCAAAAAATCGGGCTTTGTGTGGGCAAGTGCGCAAAAAATTGCGATTTCCATGCGTAAGCTTGCAAAAAGTTATGAGCTGCGCCAGCTGATGCGCAAAAAGTCGCAATCTGCGCTGACTGATGCACAAAAAGTCCCGATCTACGCCGGCAAATTGGTAGAAAATTCTGACTCGGGCGAGTAGATGCCCAGAAAATTCTAATATGCGTCAGTAGATGCCTAGAAAGCGGGCAGATGTGCAAAAAATTCCAATTTGCGCCGGGAGATGCGCAAAAAATTGCAATCTGTGCCCCGATCCACGAATGCACATCCGAGAAGAATTGCAATCCGCACCAGCAGAAACGCAAAGAATTGCAATCCGCGCTGGCAGATGCAAAAATAATCGCGATCAGCGCTAGCAGATGTGCGAAAAAATCGCAATCTCATACTGCAATGGGTGCAGGCAAATGCTGTGATCTTTTATGGAGGAAAGACGAAAAATCGGACAGATTTGCCATCTGTCTGACTGTTTGCGCAAACAGATCACAATCTGCCTGGGCAGTATATGCAAAGGCACACCCTTTTACTCTGACTGGCCCGGCTAGTAGAATGGCATACCGTCTGGCCCTGATGAAACACAGCGCCCGGAGTGCGGGGCCAAGCGCAGTCGACCCTCGACTGAAGCGACAAGACCTGAAAAGCGGCACAGAAGCCGCATGAAGGGGGGTTGGCACCCTGAACAACAAGACACACAGCAATGCCATCGCAAGTAACCCCCAAACAGCATCAGTCGCAAGTCGACTAAGCAACGACCCGCACTCCGAAGCCGTGAAAGCGTGCGCCGCGGGAGAACGGTGCGAACACCGCTCCCGGCACACATACGGTATGCCTAATCCACTCAGCCTTGCCGTACACACTGCCATGGGCAAGCGGATATAGAAAACCAAACGCCAATTGTCCGTGTACCAGAGAGATGGACACAGCTAAACCTGGGCACCACGCCACAGAGGGCGACGCCACTTTCTCCTCACTAGCAGGTGGCAGAGAGGGGAAAGACACGCATCCCCGCGACTATACGCGAAAAACGAAGTGGATATGAAAATGCATGGCGCAAACAAAGTGGAAAGGGGCTGCGACTTGCCCGTACTAGATAACCGCGCTGATAACAAACGCAGCCTCCAAATTCTGAGCACACTCACTCCAGGCACATTTGGATTTGTCGCGCACCGGGGAAAATCTGATGTGTGGCGAACCAGCTGCCCGAGAGCTGCGCCTGTCTTTCACACCGAAGAGGCCAAGCAAACTCTCAAATGCCATGGGACAGAGCAAAACAGTGGACGAGAGGCACAGAAAGCCAAACTTCCGACCATACTGGAAGAGAAAACGCGTGTCCTGGTAGCAGAAAAAACCCAAAGCAGGCGGGGCTGCAGCTGCCGGTCACTAGCACTTGCGCAGCACAGTACGAGCCTGCGTGCACTCTGAATAAAATGACAATTTCTGCAGCGCAGCACGATAGAGCGTGAGCGACCACTGCAACACAGGGTGGGAGGAGTGGGGAAGAAAAACGGACAGAGACATCTTCTGTCACCGTAAATCTCCCTGCTGCCCTGTTTCTGGAGCTGTGGCTGATTTGCAGCCACCTCCAGAAACTCATATATAGTAGCCCAAGAAGGGCAGCCACATCATAAAACACCGACCGCCAGCCACGGGGCTGGAACGAAGCACCCGCACGGTGGCCCGGCTGGGCCTATCTCCACGCGGGCCAGCAGAATCAAACTCCGGTCTCGTCCCTCGCCGTGTCATTTTATTCTGACTGGCCCGGCTAGTAGAATGGCATACCGTCTGGCCCTGATGAAACACAGCGCCCGGAGAGCGGGGCGAAGCGCAGTCGACCCTCGACTGAAGCGACAAGACCTGAAAAGCGGCACAGAAGCCGCATGAAGGGGGGTTGGCACCATCGCCACCATCGCTCTGACGACAGGAAGAGGGGGCCGACCGAGGCCCAGAAAAAGACAACCCCCACCACGCTCTTCCGGGCGGAGGAGAGATGGACCAGTAGCGACAAATCAAGACAACGCATGCGCGGGCCGCTGCCAAGCGCGAAGCGGACACGCACTGCGCACGTGCGCAACGGCGCGACTGGCGTAGCCTGCATGTGCCTCAGCACGCGCCAAAGCCAGCAAGGCATTTTTGTATGTGGCAATCGCCCTGCGCAGCAACGAGTGCGGTCACTGAGGCCACAAATGTGGCGTGTGTATCGCTGAATTCAAATTGCGGCACTATACAAATGCTTGAAAGCCCTAGCTGCTGGCAAACATGGGCCCGCAGCGAGCACAGCCGTACACCGCAGCGCGCTGCACGCGAGCTAGTACTTACATACGGCATTCATTACGAATGCCTCATCGGCGACCTATAACAATGGCCGCGACCCTGGAACTGCAAATGCCCACTGAGCCCAGCGGGAATGGCGCGCCAGCAAATGCAAGGACGCTACGCGTGCCAGCGGCAATCACCTTCGCATAGGACTTACTAAGTAATTACGCGTGACGACAACTGGCGTCGCTGTTGCAGTTACGCCTGCATCTGAACAAATGGCGACGCTTTAATGGGCGGCAACTTTCAGAAGGCAGTCACTTCCTGTGCCTGATGTCAAACAACAAACCGCCCTCAAGAGGAAGAGGCGGCGAAGCGCTGCTCCCGACGTGGGTCGGTTACAACGGCCTCGCGCCAAGGCACAAGTCCCGCCGCCCGCGTGGGGTGATCCCTACCGGGGTAGAGAACGACCGACCCACCACGGGAGCAGTGCTCGTCGCCTTTTCCTCCTGCTCTGCGCATCCCCTTAGCAAATTCTAGTTACATAGAAGTCCAAAAGCGAGGATGCCTGGTGATCGGCACAAGCCTCCTTGTCCGGGGGGGGGGGGGGGGGGCGCAGCTTAACGACCGGTCCCTACTAATACCGGGGTGGCCTGGTAGAGCAGCGCAAAGGCAGGGCAACTGCGGCGAATTGTCCTCGGTGCCAAAAGCCTCGACATCCGAGGCCAAGCCCTACACAAGCACTAGAGTGAGCCCTCGAGCTGCAGCTCGTTCCAGCTGTCTCAGGTACTGACTAGTCCCACAGCAACCTCTAGCCTGTGCCACGTGCAGACAGAATTCAGCACCGTGGCTTTTTGACACTCGACTTGATCTCGATCAGCAAGACCTTCGAAGGCCTCCATAGTGCCAACGGAGCCAAGCACGTGCCACGTAGGCCTTTCTGCTACTTTCACCGCCCTTGAGGCTCCTGGGCACCGTGAAAAAAGGTCGGCCGGAGAGCATGGCCCGCGCTGCGTACGCAGTGCCTCAACGTACACTTCCGTAGAGACGAACGCCCTGGCACCAAAGACAACGGGGTCGGGCATAGGGCACAGTTAGCAGCCCTGGGAGTGCTGGATACCAACGCGACCTCTGCCCCGTCGGGCTTGAGCGGTGCAGCTACCGCGCACCGCGCTTAGTCTACCTTGGCCAATTTTGAATCACTCGAAACGTACACAAGTCAAGCTGAGGGGCGCCAGATAGCTGTGTGCGCTGCAGTCCCGCTGTGCATGTGCGGGCCGTGTGCCGAAACTCGTGAGCCACCTGAAATGACTAGTGGCCAGCAGTGCCGCAAACTTCGCGGTCGACTGCTCCATCGTACATCACAAGCGCTGCCAAACAGCACCATACGCATGGTAGTGGCCAACGCGTACAAAACAAGCCGGGGAAAGCCGGCAGCCCGCGGCCCAACCGCCTACGGGCGGGTAAACATTCCGCAATATGCAGCTCGGGGAACCACGGCCTTAACGACCTTTGTCCCTACTGCTTAACCTACGGCGCAGCGCCTGATCAGCGCAGGCAATTCGCACTGGCATCCCAGGCAGACTTCGGCGCAGCCGTCGATCCCGCCGCCAAAGCGTGGTCGAATGGTACACAACGCGCTATGAGCAGGCCGACACGAGCCAAGACCAACTGGCTACCCTGTACTGCTCCAGTGGGCTCCCACTGGTGCTATGACGCCCTGCGAGCAGGTCGGGTCGGCACACGCCGATCGCCTGCGCAAGTTTTCTGCAGGCCCGACGGGCTTCCAAAGGTGCTACATGCACTAAGCATAAGCAGGTCCTCGGCGTGTACCGATCACCAGCGTACATACTCTAACTGCCCCTGCGGGCTTCAAACTGTGCCGCGAGCACTACAAGCAGGTCGGCACACGCCGGACAGCTGCGCACTTACCTCCACTGCCGCAACGGGCCGCCAGCGGTGCTACAAGCAGCGCAAGCAGGTCGGTACAGCCGTACACCTGCGCGCAAACTTTCAATGCCTCAACGGGCTGCCAACGGTGTTACACACACTACCAGCAGGCCAGCGCATGCTGGACGCCTGCACCCACACTGCCCTGCCGGGCTTCCAACGGTGCTACAACGCACTACCAGCAGGCCAGCACACGCTGGACGCCTGCGCTCACACTGCCTCAACGGGCTCTAAACAGTGCCAACATGCACTAGAAACAGGCCGGGGAACGCCGGACACCTGTTGCCCCACTTACCACAGTTCCCGGAGCTACAAACTACCACTACATACTGTGGAGACACATGGGAACTGCGGAGCCTGCATAGGGGGAGGACGGCTAAGCCCTACCAGGAGAAAAACGGACAGAGACATCTTCTGTCACCGTAAATCTCCCTGCTGCCCTGTTTCTGGAGCTGTGGCTGATTTGCAGCCACCTCCAGAAACTCATATATAGTAGCCCAAGAAGGGCAGCCACATCATAAAACACCGACCGCCAGCCACGGGGCTGGAACGAAGCACCCGCACGGTGGCCCGGCTGGGCCTATCTCCACGCGGGCCAGCAGAATCAAACTCCGGTCTCGTCCCTCGCCGTGTCATCAGACGGCCCTTCCGTCGCCGCACGGAGGGGCCTTGCTCGTGCGGGCACTGGAGCGCGCACCTGACTCCAGCCGCCGTCTTTTGGCCGAGGGCGTCGAGGGGGGGGGGGGGGGGGGGGGGGCGCCCCCCCCCTCCGTCCCCGTCATGGGTCTGCCGCTTCTCGTGGGCCCTCGCCCCCGCTGGCATCCGCTGGCTATGCCCGGGGGGCGCCCGATCAAAAGGCCCGCGGCGGCCGCGCATGGGACTCCGCGCAGGCCACAGGTGAGGCCCCTGGCTTCGATGCTGCGCCCCCGCGGCAGAGCGCCGACCATGCCGCCCTTTGCCCGGTCCGCAGCGGAGGAGTCCTGTCCGCATTTCCGCGAGCTCGCGCTCCGTCTGTTCGCACGGGAAGGGCGCTCGCGCTCGTGCAAACGCCCTGGGCCCATCGATATCGCTCACGACGCGCCGCGCGCCTTTCTTGTAATTTCGCTCGCCCACCATGCGCCCGCCCCGATGGAAAGGTTGCCTAGTATGCCGCCAAGCCTGTAATTCCCTCCGCCAATTGCTCATGCGAAAAACATAGACCACGCATTTGCGGGCGAAGGAGGCACAGGCTCTGCTACCGCGCCGTCTCTTTCCATCCCGTTTTCGCACTCGACGATCCTCTTGCGGAAGAAGAATCACTAAAGATAAACAGTAGAAAGTCGCATTAAGCATGCGCAACTTCACCGAATATTGTAGGCCTCGTGGCGGTCCGCTTGCCATTCATTCACTTCGACCCAGGCCATTTGTTTTGCTCTTTCACAAGACCAAAGATCGCGACAGGGCACCAGCGGCTGAAAAATCTCAGTATCTTATTCCGGTATTTTTCCTACCTAGAAGACCCGTCCCTGACCAGATGAACAAACGCCCTGGGAGTATCTATCGAAATCGAAACTACTCTGTTAGAACTGATAGAAATTACAGCTGCTCCGTCTTTATGCTGGGAACAATATACAATACCGAAGTTGAAATTTGTCTTTGCAAGACCACGCTAGTACACTTCTCCCCCGAGCTGCAGTAGTGCTTTCGTTGACCAACATCAAAAAAGCTAACAATCATGGCAGTCACCGCCGCCGCGACAATAGGACGGGCACAGACTCGGTGGAAGTTTTCAAACTGGAGCTGACTTGGCGCCACGGTAGGCAACACAGCGATGTAGCACCATCGGGGGAAAACTCGTCTTGTCATGGAAATAATTGCTACACTGTGCCTCTTTTGAATTTTCGAAAACTTATCAGGTATCATCAGGCTGTTTAGATCCGTTTCGTTTGCCAGGTTTGTGCTGAATCGGTTCCGTTATAGATTTATTTTTTGCGCTGTATGTTGTGCATTTTATGCATGATCAGCTCCAGTTTGAAGAGTTCCAAATTGACGCTTCCATAGACCACGTCGCACGAGCAGCTCGTGGTGGAGGTTATGACAAATAAAAAACGTTTCGTGTTGCGCAGCGACCGGCAAGGACAAAACTTGTGATGCAATTATCAGACATTGTTACAGCAACATGCTCGGAGAATTGGAGGTGGTGGCCGTGCTTCATCTTCTCACTTTCGCCGTGTACAATTTCGCATGGAAGCAACAAGTTTTACGTCCTTGTCGGGCTCAAGAAATGCCAAAATTTCCTTTGCATACCACCCGGCGTCGATCCGGGTACAACTGCGGGCGGAGATTACACAACCAGCCCAACCGACGCCGACCGGCACGTCCAGCGGCACCTTTTCGAGGAGCTCCCGATTCCGGTCTGCCTGCACCACACCAGCGGGGTCGACCAGATCCAACTACCACCCTCGCTTTTCCGGGTGATCGAGGGGAAGCCCAAGGCGGTTGTGGTTCGCGAACAGGGAGAGTACAAAGCTGGTGCAAAAAGCGGTACAAACCTGAAAAGTAGTTCATCATCGGCTCCCGACAAAAACCCCCGCAACGTGATTCTCATGGTTTTCCTCTCCTTCAACACCCCGGAGTTCCGCGACTGTCCCGCGACCGTCCGCTTTTCAGCAGGAGCTTCGACGGTCAACAAAAGCAGCAAATTATCGGCGAATCACGCGTTCGACGTCATTCGCATTGGTCTCCCGCTCCTGGCCCAGCTTGTGCACGCGCCGCGGCTGTTGTTGGCCCGTGAAATCTGCGACCGCACGTACTACCAGTTGTTTTCGTTCGACTCCGTGGTGTTGTTAGCGGATCTGCAGGACATTTCCCTAACGGAAAAGATGGTGGAGAAATGTAGGTGGCTCGGCGTCCGACAAATTTTTCTCGAGGAAAAGGACAATAAGTCGAAGATGGTAAACCATAATTCGGTGGGTGGATCAACTGCGGCAGCGGCTACCGTGGCGGACGGGAATAAGAACAGCGGGACTACTACATCATCATCAAATCCAACCGCAATGATTCCGTCCAACAAGCCAAGAAAAACGCTGTCGACCATCATGCTGGGGACGCAAGTGGATTTGGAGCAAGGGTCCAACTACCAGAAAGCGCTGCGGCGCGGGCACTTCACGCTGAATTTGTCTTACATCAACGTTTTGTGGAAACGGGTGTTGTCTACCTCCACCCGCTACCTCACCGCGAGCGAATTCTGGACGAAGGAGTTGTTTCAGGAGAAAAAAGCGAGTACTAAGGAGCTACAACCGAAACGGAAAGAATTACAGCGGTCATCTAAAAGTGGCCAGCAGATGAAAAAAAGCCTCGCGGAGCAGGAAACTGCGCTGGTGCTTGCTGCGCCGGGTGAAGACCACGACGAGGCAGATTTTTTCAACAAGACTCCTTTACACAAAAAAATCGCCGGGGCAACGGAAAAGCACTACGAGTCTTCGGTGTTCAACGCGTTCATCGCAAATCACGTGGTCCCAGACAACAGCCGACACATTGATCTGCATAACGAAATTCAGTGGTTTGAGAAATACGCGAAGACGATCGGCTCGTCGGAAAGAGACGGCGGTGGTCATGGTGGATTTATTTCGAGGAAGCAGCAGCATTTTCCTCCCCAGTTCGAGAAGTGGTGGGATTCGTGGCACGACCGCCATACGACGACCTTCGAAGTAGATGAAGATGCAGGTGAACGAACAACAACTGACAGAAAACCTACTTCTCGCCAGCGTGCTGCCACTGAGGAGACGGAATTCTCTGTCGCGACGTCGAGCAGCGGTGGATCGGAGGTCGGCAGTGAAACGGAAGTAGATGCGGGAGAAGAGGACGAGGAGGAGAAAAGATTTGGCCGAGGTGGTTCAGCGGAAAAAGTTAGAACTGGATCAGCCACAGCTTTCTCTCCCGCCACGAAGCGCCGCCGGTTGAACGCGGCATTTGGGGACGGACGCAATGGATATGGAGGGGAAGTAGATGATGTTAATGCCGCCGCGGAGGTGCAAAACTACGACCTTGTACAACTGGACCAAAGGCTAGCTAAACCACTGACGAAAAAGGGGAAGAAAAAGCGGCGGTACTTCGCTTCCCTGGGTAGTTACAACGCAGGTGCTGTTGCTCCAGGGAGCAGGGGCAACGGCCTCAACAATCACCTCCCAGAAACCCGGTTGAAGAACCTCTTCGAGCCGTTCGAGGCCCAGCTGCCCTATTAAAATGAAAAATGCCCCCACCCCAGAACTTGGCAACTATATCAGCATTACAAATTTTCCATGCTGAATAGCTCAATAAATTTGTGTTGCAAAGGAGCCCAACAGCAGCCGGGTCTGCCACGCAAAAAACACCTAGCGCACCTAGATTCTGCACCAGAAAGGCGTGTAGTCCTTTCATGCAACACAAAAAGCTTTCACTTGGAAACCTTGCATGAGAAAGTTTTGCAAATTCAGGGGTGGTGGCATTTTTCACTGTAATATACCCCATGTTCTCTTCTGCCGCATCACGGGCGAGCATTCGCTGCTGCCGTCCGATATCAACTGCAAAAGTGTCTAGGTCTGGAAACTTGTAATGCTGCGTTGGGAATAGTGAGCGCTGTGTGATGCACAGGCGAGCATGAGAAATATCTGCGCTTCTTTGTGTTGCGTTTTTCGCGTGACAAACTGCGTTTTTGCATGACAGGCAAAAGGATCTCTTCTTTGACACGCATCACAAGTTTTTTGGTCATGCCGGACAAGCATGACAAATCTCAAAATCTTCCAGACCCAGACACTTTTGCATTTGATATCCGACCACCAGATGCAGCCGCTGCAGGGGTTGCACATCATGTCGCCCTTTGACACGATTGACCCCAACACGCTAAGTATCCTGTGTAAAAACGTCCTCGCCCCAGAGATGCAATGCAAATCTGCATGCCAAAAAAGTTTGTCATGCGGAGCCCAATGAGAAGCATTATCTAGTCGCGTTTTGGAATTTGTGATGCTAGAATCAGCATGATCTGGTAGTTCTGTGTTGCTGCTGAACTAGCTGAAGAGGATCGCACTATAAGGGCAAAGTTGTCATGCTAAACAACCAAAGCTGGTGGATTTGTTTAGCAGATTTCCCATCTTGACTACGGGGCGGGGACGTTTTCCCACAGGATACTAAGACTCTCCGGCGCGTCAATGATTAGCGACCTGAAACTCTCCGACGTGTATCAATTGCGAATACGTCCGTGTGTCTCGCAGTGTGCAAACTTGTGATGCGGAGTCTCGAATGGAGAACAGTCTGTCTTGCAGAATCAGCAGGAGGTATGTGCTTTTTGTCTTCCGAAGAGAGCTCTTGTCATGCAGGCTTGGCATGAAGGAGCCTCTGCGGATCTTGTCATGCTCGGCTTGCATGCCAGAACTTCTCGCAGGTCTAAGAAATGCAAGACAAACTTCTGCACTCTTCCAGCGCCAGCCGCAGACATATTTGCAGTGGATAACGTGCTCATTTGCCGGGACAGCAGCACGTCCAGCTACGCGCAGGCGGTCGCACTGCACATCCAGACGGCGACGGTCTTCTGGCTGGAGCAGTGTCTGCTAAAACGAAAATGTTTTTCCGTGAACGCCGACAAAAGGAGGTTTGCCGTCCACGGCTTCGCGAAGGCGCACGTGGCGTGGCGCAAGCGGTACCTGGAGGGCTTCGTCTTTCTGCTCGAAGACCACCTGATGGAAAAGGAGTCGGATAAACTGCGGATGCAGTACATGATTTGGCACGGCGGGGGCAACTGCACGACGTACCCCGACGACCCGGGCATCACGCACGTGGTGGTCCACCCAACCGCGCCACCCTTCGTGCGCCGGCGAGTAGGGAGTCGGTACACTATGAACTGCAAAAGAATCGTACTCGTATAAATGCATTACAAATTTCCTCAGCATGAGAAATAAAATTTGTAATGCGGATTTACCTTAACAAAAGGATTTGGAATGCATGATTGCAATACGAGTGCGATACTTTTGCACAGGATATACTCTACCGGTGACGAAGACGAGGACGTGAGTTTCGTTTCCACCATGTGGGTATCAAATGCAAATGTGTCTGGGTATGGAAGCTTGTGATGCTAAAATGTGGATGATGGAAACAGTTTCGAATGCAACTTTGCATGACAACTTTATTCAAGAACGCTTTCTCATAGGCAATCCGCATGAGAAACTGCGTGCTTGCATGTACAAACGACGCTGCGACTTTTGTTGGTTATGCAATACAGATTGCCTAGGTATGGAAAGCGAGCATTAAAAGTTCCAATCTTCCAGACCCAGACGTTTTTGCATTTGATAGTGGGTCGAGGACTGCTTCTACCAGGAAGGGTACCTGCCGGAAATCAAAGCGTTGAACGTGCGGACAGAACTGGATTTCAAGATGGAGCAGCAGCACGGGGTGCTTTTACCAGATCCGGGGAAGAACGATATCCAGCCTATCATGAACGAGGACGGGTCGACCGCGTTCTTTGGAGGGTCTCTCCCACCAGGTGCAGCTGTTCCAACCAAACCGATCTTTTTGCAGAAAAATTCCACAGCGAGTATCTTCGGAGACCCTTCCAACGGCGGTGCACCAGGGCAGCTGCTTCAGCAGCAGCACGGGGGCGGGGCAGCAAATAATGCGACAGGCCTTTTCAGCGCTGGTGGTTTATTTCCCGCCGGGAGTGGCGCTAGCAACTCAGCAATGTTTGGCGCAAGTCGTAGTTCTTCTGATCAAAATTATCTGCAACAAAACACCACTATGACAAACCTTTTCAACGCGAACTTGCACCAACACAACGCCCCGTCCACCCCGGCGAACTCGGTGGTCAGCTCCGGGAGTCAGGAGCAGCGGGAATTTCCGAAGTCGGGGTACCTGATATCATTTGGAAAAACGTCCCCACTCCAGAGTTGTCATGCAGATTTGCAATGACAGGAACATTTGTAATGCGCATCGCCAGGAGAGGCATTTCTAGTCGTGTTTTAGCATTTGTAATGCTATAAACAGGATAAGCAGCTGGATTTCTGATGCGGCTGGCCTTGCTAACCTGAACTACACTCCGGACGGCAACTTGTGATGCGTGACCCCCAAAAGTTCTCGGTTTATGTAGTAAAGTCCCCATCTTGACTCTGGGGTGGGGATGTTTTTACTCAGGATACGTGAAACTCGAGAAATCCGCACTGGATCCGAATATCAGCCACTGTTTCGAAAACAAGCTGCTCGCCATCAGCAGCGACGGCACGAAGGTGGGCGACCAGCGCATGAAAAAGGTCGGCACCACGGCGCTGAAACGCGGCGGGGCGCTCTGTTTTGGGGACGAGGTGTACAAGCGGGAAAAGGAAATCGACTACTTCGTTTTGGATCACGGGGTGAAATTGAGCGAGGCGTTCCCCCATTTGAAACGCCGGGAGGAGCTGCGGACGGACCGGGTGGTCTCGTTGATTTGGGTGGCGTTTTCGGCTATCAAATGCAAAAATGTCTGGGTCTGGAACAAAGCAACTTGTCATGCTAAATCTGAATCATGTAAAGATCTGTGTTGCATCATTACCAAAAGCTGTCGACTTTTGACCTAATCGAGAGGCAGTTTCTCATGCAGAATAGGCATGATAGATCTCTCACAGAATCTGTCATGCTATGTCCTACATACCAGACCTCATGGGTCATGGAAAGCCTGCATGACAAGTCTGGCACTCTTCCAGACCCAGACATTTTCACATTTGATATCGACCCGGCAGGGGCGCCTGATGATTCCCGTGATAAACAAATGGTACCCGATGTGGAATCCTTGTCGGGTATGCATTGCAAAAATGTCTGCGTCTGCAAACATGGAACTTGTAATGCTAGTCCTGCATTCCACCTGTAAGATCTGTATTGCATGAACTCATTTGTCATATAAAAGTGCAGCTTGTCATGCGAAATGCGCATCACAAAGTGGTAGTTCGGCAAGCTTGTCATGCTTGGCTGCCTTGTGAAGTATAATTTCAGTCGTGCACAGTTCAGCATTAGAAGTTTCCAGACCCAGACATGTTTGCGTTTGATATCTGGAGCGGTTCTGCAACTCACTCCTGAACAACCCGGACGTGCACACGGAGGCGGACCCCCGGGTTATCAAGTGCAAAAATGTCTGGGTCCGGAAGAATGCATGTTTGTCATGCTTGTCTGGCATGACTCTTGAATCTGTCATGCACGTTACCCAAGCGCTCCATTTTTCTGTCATGCAGAAACGCTGTTTGTCATGCAGAATAGGCAACACCTAGAAGGAGCTCGGAAGCTTGTCATGCTGGGCCGGCACTTGTGGCCTCATCATAATACGCCACCCAGCATCACAAGTTTCCAGACCCAGACATTTTTGCATTTGATACGGGTTTTCACCCTCCACTTCTTCGGCCTGAACCGGAAATCCGACCCGGAGGCGGCCTATCTGAAGGTCCTGGCGCACGAACTTGGGGTATGCATTGCAAAAGTATCGAGTCCTAGTATAAATGGCAATGCAAATAATTCTCCTAGAAGAAGAAGAAGCGCAATTTGTAATGCTGATTTGCCCTATGCCATTTAGATCTGCCATGCGCAACTGCGATCAGTACGAGTGTGACACTTTTGCACAGCATACGGGGCGAAATCCGACAACAAGTGGCAGGAGGTGAGCCACATCGTGGTGGGCAAGGACGTACTGGAGCGGTGTAACGGCTTCAAAATGAAAATTCCGGAGAAACTAGCCGTCGCGTTCAACAGTGGGGTGCGGATCGGGCACAAAGACCCGGAACTCTCGAACGTGAACAAGGACTCGGGAAAGTTCTGGAAGTATTTGGAGAAACTGGATGTCGGTGACGCGAAGGAATACTCCCAGCTGGTGCAACAGCAAACGCAAGGGTATTTATCACTTGCGGGCGGTAGTTGTAAGAACGGGGGAGCTGCTGCAGCGTCCTCTTCTTCAAATAAAACCCAAACCGGGAATCCCGCCGCCGCAGTCACCGACTCGCAATATCTGCAGAGTCTGAACACGCAACAGAAGAATAACGAGGAACGAATGCAGGAGTCTTTTTCCGTGCTGGACCAAAGTACTATGGCGTTTTTTCCGAAAACGCAAAAGATTCCCGACGGTAGCAACAAAGAAGGGCAAAACCACGATCCGTCGCAAGTGGACCAGCTTCCGGTAGTGGCGGCGAGTACGAGTGCACTAGTAGCCGGATCAGCAGCAGCAAAGGAGAACTCCTTGCCCGCGTCTGGCATTACAAATAGTGCGCCCAGTTACAACTCTCTGATTCTCGACGCGAAGGACAAACCTTCGGCCGATTTTCTGTTCGTAGAAAAGATCTTTGAGTACCTCCAGCGCGGCAAGCCGGTGGTGGGTTTTGGCTGGCTGTGCGACGTGTACGCCGGGGCGAAGTTCAAATCGCCAAAAGAGTACGAAGTCTTTCACACCCTAGACGACGTGGACGAGGAGACCAAAAACGTGAAAATTCTCGAGTACAACCCGCACGAGAAGCAGTGGTACCTGGTGTTGAAACCAAAAGAACAAAATCGGGACAACTGGTGGCCCCTCAGCATGACAGTCCGGTATCAACTGCAAAAATGCCTGAGTCTGGAAACTTGTAATGCTGCGCTGGGAAAAATAGTGGATGCTCTGTGATCATGCACAGGCAAGCATGAGAAATATCTGCGCTTCTTTGTGTTGCGTTTTTCGCATGAGAAAGTGCGTTTTTGCATGACAGGCAAAAGGGTCTCTTCTTGGACACGCGTCACAAACTTTTTGGTCATGCCAGACAAGCATGACAAATCTCGCAATCTTCCATTCACGACACTATTTGCATTTGATATCCGGAGCCTCGCGGCCAGTCGGAGTCACGCGAGTAGGAAGTTGCAGCAGATGAACAATGGAAAGAACAAGACTTATCCTGAGTAAAAACGTCTGTACCCCATAGTCAAGGTGGGAACTTTGCAACACAAGTCCAGCACAGTTTTGGGAGTCACGCATGACAAATTTTCTATAGGACTAGAAATGCCTCTCATGCGGATGCGCATGACAAGCGTTCCTGCAATTGCAAACCTGCATGACATTTTTGCTCAGCATATGACTCCCAGCAATGCTAGCGACAATGCGCGCTTGCAAATGCACTCGCGGACGCGGTCGCAGTTTGTGGGGCAGGCGTTCAAGATTTCCCCGACGGCCGTGTTGCGGTACTACAACGATCAGAGACTGGATCTGCTGCAGTTTCTCTCACAGGATCTGAAAACGGTGATTGTGCAGGACGACGACCGGGAATTGATTCGCGAAAACGGCTATCAAATGTAAAAATGTCTGAGTCTGGAAGATTCTGACACTTGTCATGCACGTTTTGCATGAGCCCTGATGCCTGTGATGCATGCCCTAGCAATACAGACTTTCTGAGGGCCTCTTGATGCCTATTCCGCATGACAGATGCCTTCTCAGCGTAGCAAAAATTGCATTCCCTTTGGTACTCATGCAATACAGATTTTTTTGGAATCCAAACGCAGCATCACAAGTTGCATTCTTCCAGACCCAGACATTTTTACATTTGATAACGGCAAGAAAATCCTCCACCTCGCCAGTGCGGACTACGATGACCCGGAAACCCTGCTCAAGCTCTATAACTTGCTCAGGTGTTACAATCTCAAGCGTTACACTAGAATATAGAAATCTGTGATGCAGGAAGTGCATGATCTGCCGTAGTCTCATCGGTTTGCGCATGACAAGCTTGGGCACCCAAAACGACCCCATTGATATGTGGCGAAATTTGTATTGCGAAGGGCGCAACGCTACGTACGTTCCTCATGCTCTTCATGCAAGGCAAAATCCAGACTCTATTGTAAACGTTTGAGATTGTAACGTTTGAGAACTCCATAAGCTCTGGCCCGAGTGCGAGCCGGTCGTGAACATCACCACGCAACAGGCAATATCCAGTGCAAAAGTATCTGATACTCGTATTGCAGTCATGCATTACAAATCTTTTTCTTGAGGTAAATGCGCATTACAAATTTTGTTTCTCATGCTGAGGAAATTTGTCATGCGATTTCTACTAGTATCTGATACTTTTGCAGTTCATAGGGAAAACAGTTGCAGCAGTACTGCGAACGAAACGTAGAACAGGCGAAACACATTCCGCGGGGAGTATATGGATGTGTCAGAGTTGAAATCGACAAAGTTGAAATAATTTGTCATGCATAAAATGGATGCCAGTTGGAACCCAGTTTCCAAGTGGCGCATGACAAATTTCGGTGGTCCCTAAATCCAGTGTGTCATGCTGTTTAGGCAAAGAAGAGCGATTTTCTCATGCTACTTTAGCAGCTCGAGTTGTAACCCCAAACAGGCTTACAATCGGCCTCACTTGCCTGCTCTGCAACACGAGTGCCTCGGGTCATGCATTTTATGCATGACAAATTATTTCAACTTTGTCGATTTCAAACCTGACACATCCATATAGTAGTGGACTTGAAGTGGCTCATGGAGTGCGACAAGCAGAAGCGAATTTTGCCAATCGACCATTTTTTGCTGTTTCAAAAATCCGAGGAAGAATCCTACCGGGACGGGCTGAAGTCGATGCAGATCAATGACGAGCCCATCCGGTACACGCAGGAAGAAGACCAGGTGGACGTCATCTGGTACCAGGAACCCTTATTCAAGCCGGAAGACGACGATGATCTCACCGCTGAGGAGCTTCGCCGGGAACGCGCACGAAAATGGCACGCGGAGGGGGTGGCGTGGAAGGAGAAGCGGTTGAAGGAGCTGAAGTAGGGGAGTGTTGATGAACATGGCAGCAGTTCGTGTTATTTGGTAAGAATTTTGGGAATGAGACCTTGTGCAAGACGAAGATTCATGTCGATCACGACCAGTTATTGTGCACCCAGAATTTCAATGTGTTGCGGCTTCATGATAACAAATTGCCAGGCTAGAACGTTGTTGCGCTATTTTCTTCCCTTTCCATATGCGAAATGCGGGCGGAGGCGGTGTTGGCGCGGGTGAAGCCACTAGCTCCACATCGGGGGCGATGCGGAACAAAAAGTGAGAGTCCAGGATGAAAAGGAACGCGAAGAATGAGGTAGTGACAATCAAGATTGGTCGTTGCACTTGAAGTTCACAAACAAACGCTCTCGTACTGCAGAGAAAAACCAACCTGGAACATCATGCTGCAGATGGACCAAAATGAAGTTGGAAGAACAATAAAACAATTTCGCTGCGCCTAATCTCTCTGATGGTCACAAACAGGAAGTGCTACAAACCGTTTCCCTCGGATACCGTGGGTGGTTGCTATCTAAATTGATATATGTTCTTTATTCTTCCTTATTTTAGTACAAGAGCCTGAGCACTGGTTCCTAGTCTCGAGCGAAGGAGGTATTTGCACGGCCGAGCGGCGCGTGAGCGTGGGGCATTACTTTGAGAAAAAGGAAACTCAGGAGACCGAGGAGAAGCCGTGAGCTTTTCAGAGTGACTGAGTGCTTGTACCTAGACGAAAGGTGCGTATTGCGGTGAGAGCGATATGGCAAGAACTTGCTGTAGTAATGAACCTGGAGAACTCTGCCACTGTAAGATGGTCTGCATCTACCGGGGGCACACGCGCGGCCCCCGTGTGCAGGATGGGCCCTGCGCCGGCTGCCTCCGCGCGCGGTTGGTCGCCGACCTGTTCAGCTTCCAAAATTTTTCGGGCAACGAATGACGGAAGTGGCGCCGGCGCATTTCGTCGCCCAAAGCTGTAGGCACTTTGATCGCGTTGCGGGTTCCTGCTCACGCCGCCCGCCGGCGGCGCCACTGCGCGGCCTCGGGGTCTGCCCGGGCGCAGCGAAGCGGCAGAGGCCCGCCGGCGTACTAGTCGGCTCGCCCGTGCGTGCGGTGCACCATCGGCGCAGCAGACCCGTCCTGCGGCCGGGGCCTTGGACAGGGGCGGCGGAAGCTCCAGCGCGGCGCGGCTCCGTGTTTCTTTTCTTTGTGGGCGCGCCGTCGTTCTGGCGCGGTGCGCACGCGATTGCCGCGGCTATCCGCATAGCCGCCTATCGCTTTCTCACCCAGGACAGCCGCCACCGTCCCGGGCCTCTGTGGCGCTCAGGCTGCGTGCATTTCCTAGAAGAGTCTTGTGCTAAATTATTTCCCAGAAGCGTGAAGCCCTTCAGCTATGGCGCCCCGGTGCCAGTTTCTTATCAGCAACTGTTCGTCGGCGACATTCTTTCGTGCATTGAAGCGCCTGCATCGTGGTCTCGTTGGCAAGCTTAGCGGCTTCTCGTTTTGCTATCTGAGTTGAAAGATTCTTGAACTCCCGGTATCACGACCCGCTTTTGAGGGTCGCAGATCCGGGAATGCTGGCGCCTCGGGCGGCTTGTCGTGGATTACAGGACTTGTATAAAAAGAATATTGCACACTGCTGGCGCTAAGTAATTGCTCACCCACGCATGAAAGGTTACCAGATGAAGACAAAGCTCATGCTGCATCTGATTAAAAAACATTTTGAGAAGTTATACGGGTGAATAAGAATACTTAACAACAAAATCTTCGACTTCAGGTCTCCACCGGGGCCGGCCCATCCTCGTTACCTACCCACTCAACATCGCTACTTACGAACGAATCGATGCGCTGGCCCCCCCCGGTTGGCGCTTGCCGCAAGCGCTGGAGGTTGCAGTTGCAGGGGGTGGGTCGCTCGACAATTGGAGGGAAAAGCTGATAGCGCAGGAAGCGTACGGGGCCTCGCTTATCCGTCGAGGTGATTTCCGTCCATGCGGTTCGGGCGAAGAAGTTACGAGCATCGGGAATTCCATCGAATTTGAGGAGATCTACTTTGACGTTCATTCAACACTGGGACCAGGGGCAGATGTTGCCGGAAGCACGCTGATGTGAGTAGCGCGGCGGAGGAAGCAAGAACGGTTGATTTTCGAATTTCTGAACAACAAGAAGTAAGATGAAGAACGTGGATAGGTGTGCGTTTCCGAAATGTATGATAAAGCGGTAGGTGGAAAAGGAGAGGGCAGGTATAATAGGGTTTGTTCGACGCAAAAACAAGTCGTGGTTACACATTTATAGGCTGTTCAGATCATGAAGGGAGCAAGGTGCTAGTAGCCCCTCGGAGTGCATTGACTTGCATGTGCCCTTGCAACAAGGACTGGACGAAATAAATCAGGTACTATCTCCGAACTCCACCCCTCCGCCAAGAAAGAGCAGGGATTTTTTGCGCCGGTGAGTGCAGGTTGAAATGAAGTTTTCACTACGGGAACTCGTTAAAAATGTCGTAGAAGTTTCTCGTCCGATCTACACTTTTGCGATTGCAGATTCTTTGAACAAGGGTGTTTTAACAAAGACTGCCGAGGATGGCAAGAATGAATTCGATAACTCTGTAATACTGATATCGAGAATTTGGCGTTGCGACTGGTTTATCATGCGCAAAAGTATCGTGCTCGTATTCGTATAAATTGTAACCGTGCTTGGCGTTTTTACGCGCGTATTGTTGTATCCGTACCTCGACCCGCATGACAAATTTTATTTTTCATACCAATACGAATGCGGTGCTTTTGCAATGCATATTGTACTCAAGAGAAGAAGTATTGGTTTTGCCCAGGCAGCTGGATTAAATGTAAATACTGGTTGCTCCGCACGGGGATTTATGCGATTCTGTTTTTTTACTCCGATGTTGTTGAGACGGAGGCAAAGAAAACGAACCACTTGTCCAGAAATTCTTTGAGCCGAGCTTGTAAAATTGACCTACACCAAAAAGTAGTGCTGTTGCAACAATTTTATTAATACTCGCAGTGCCTGTGCCACCCGCCGCACGAAAACGAGGAATAGCGCCCTCCTTGGGATCGTGTTCTGATACGCTGCGCTCCAAAGCGGTCTTTGTTTCGGTGGGCGTGCAAGTCGCGTTTGGCCCCGACCAGACGGGAAACCACCTTCGAAGGACCAGAAAACGGCGGTCGCCCATCTGGCCCGGGCCACACGGGCCATTTTTTCGAGGAAGCGGACTTTTCCATCCATCTGGCCCGGGCCCGATGGGTGGCCACCGCTACAGGGCCAAAAAATTCTTGGGCCACCGCTGGCTATCTATCTGGCCCGGGCCAGACGGGGCTTTTTTTCGAGGAAGCGGACTTTTTCACCCATCTGGCCCGGGCCAGATGGGTGCCTACCGCTACAGGGCCAAAAAATTATTGGGCCACCGCGGGCTGCCCATCTGGCCCGGGCCAGACGGGTCATTTTTTCGAGGAAGCGGCCTTTTTCACCCATCTGGCCCGGGCCAGATGGGTGGCCACCGCTACAGGGCCAAAAAATTCTTGGGCCACCGCTGGCTACCCATCTGGCCCGGGCCAGACGGGTCATTTTTTCGAGAAAGCGGACTTTTTCACCCATCTGGCCCGGGCCAGATGGGTGGCCACCGCTACAGGGCCAAAAAATTCTTGGGCCACCGCTGGCTACCCATCTGGCCCGGGCCAGACGGGTCATTTTTTCGAGAAAGCGGACTTTTTCACCCATCTGGCCCGGGCCAGATGGGTGGCCACCGCTACAGGGCCAAAAAATTCTTGGGCCACCGCTGGCTACCCATCTGGCCCGGGCCAGACGGGTCATTTTTTCGAGAAAGCGGACTTTTTCACCCATCTGGCCCGGGCCAGATGGGTGGCCACCGCTACAGGGCCAAAAAATTCTTGGGCCACCGCTGGCTACCCATCTGGCCCGGGCCAGACGGGTCATTTTTTCGAGAAAGCGGACTTTTTCACCCATCTGGCCCGGGCCAGATGGGTGGCCACCGCTACAGGGCCAAAAAATTCTTGGGCCACCGCTGGCTACCCATCTGGCCCGGGCCAGACGGGTCATTTTTTCGAGAAAGCGGACTTTTTCACCCATCTGGCCCGGGCCAGATGGGTGGCCACCGCTACAGGGCCAAAAAATTCTTGGGCCACCGCTGGCTACCCATCTGGCCCGGGCCAGACGGGTCATTTTTTCGAGAAAGCGGACTTTTTCACCCATCTGGCCCGGGCCAGATGGGTGGCCACCGCTACAGGGCCAAAAAATTCTTGGGCCACCGCTGGCTACCCATCTGGCCCGGGCCAGACGGGTCATTTTTTCGAGAAAGCGGACTTTTTCACCCATCTGGCCCGGGCCAGATGGGTGGCCACCGCTACAGGGCCAAAAAATTCTTGGGCCACCGCTGGCTACCCATCTGGCCCGGGCCAGACGGGTCATTTTTTCGAGAAAGCGGACTTTTTCACCCATCTGGCCCGGGCCAGATGGGTGGCCACCGCTACAGGGCCAAAAAATTCTTGGGCCACCGCTGGCTACCCATCTGGCCCGGGCCAGACGGGTCATTTTTTCGAGAAAGCGGACTTTTTCACCCATCTGGCCCGGGCCAGATGGGTGGCCACCGCTACAGGGCCAAAAAATTCTTGGGCCACCGCTGGCTACCCATCTGGCCCGGGCCAGACGGGTCATTTTTTCGAGAAAGCGGACTTTTTCACCCATCTGGCCCGGGCCAGATGGGTGGCCACCGCTACAGGGCCAAAAAATTCTTGGGCCACCGCTGGCTACCCATCTGGCCCGGGCCAGACGGGTCATTTTTTCGAGAAAGCGGACTTTTTCACCCATCTGGCCCGGGCCAGATGGGTGGCCACCGCTACAGGGCCAAAAAATTCTTGGGCCACCGCTGGCTACCCATCTGGCCCGGGCCAGACGGGTCATTTTTTCGAGAAAGCGGACTTTTTCACCCATCTGGCCCGGGCCAGATGGGTGGCCACCGCTACAGGGCCAAAAAATTCTTGGGCCACCGCTGGCTACCCATCTGGCCCGGGCCAGACGGGTCATTTTTTCGAGAAAGCGGACTTTTTCACCCATCTGGCCCGGGCCAGATGGGTGGCCACCGCTACAGGGCCAAAAAATTCTTGGGCCACCGCTGGCTACCCATCTGGCCCGGGCCAGACGGGTCATTTTTTCGAGAAAGCGGACTTTTTCACCCATCTGGCCCGGGCCAGATGGGTGGCCACCGCTACAGGGCCAAAAAATTCTTGGGCCACCGCTGGCTACCCATCTGGCCCGGGCCAGACGGGTCATTTTTTCGAGAAAGCGGACTTTTTCACCCATCTGGCCCGGGCCAGATGGGTGGCCACCGCTACAGGGCCAAAAAATTCTTGGGCCACCGCTGGCTACCCATCTGGCCCGGGCCAGACGGGTCATTTTTTCGAGAAAGCGGACTTTTTCACCCATCTGGCCCGGGCCAGATGGGTGGCCACCGCTACAGGGCCAAAAAATTCTTGGGCCACCGCTGGCTACCCATCTGGCCCGGGCCAGACGGGTCATTTTTTCGAGAAAGCGGACTTTTTCACCCATCTGGCCCGGGCCAGATGGGTGGCCACCGCTACAGGGCCAAAAAATTCTTGGGCCACCGCTGGCTACCCATCTGGCCCGGGCCAGACGGGTCATTTTTTCGAGAAAGCGGACTTTTTCACCCATCTGGCCCGGGCCAGATGGGTGGCCACCGCTACAGGGCCAAAAAATTCTTGGGCCACCGCTGGCTACCCATCTGGCCCGGGCCAGACGGGTCATTTTTTCGAGAAAGCGGACTTTTTCACCCATCTGGCCCGGGCCAGATGGGTGGCCACCGCTACAGGGCCAAAAAATTCTTGGGCCACCGCTGGCTACCCATCTGGCCCGGGCCAGACGGGTCATTTTTTCGAGAAAGCGGACTTTTTCACCCATCTGGCCCGGGCCAGATGGGTGGCCACCGCTACAGGGCCAAAAAATTCTTGGGCCACCGCTGGCTACCCATCTGGCCCGGGCCAGACGGGTCATTTTTTCGAGAAAGCGGACTTTTTCACCCATCTGGCCCGGGCCAGATGGGTGGCCACCGCTACAGGGCCAAAAAATTCTTGGGCCACCGCTGGCTACCCATCTGGCCCGGGCCAGACGGGTCATTTTTTCGAGAAAGCGGACTTTTTCACCCATCTGGCCCGGGCCAGATGGGTGGCCACCGCTACAGGGCCAAAAAATTCTTGGGCCACCGCTGGCTACCCATCTGGCCCGGGCCAGACGGGTCATTTTTTCGAGAAAGCGGACTTTTTCACCCATCTGGCCCGGGCCAGATGGGTGGCCACCGCTACAGGGCCAAAAAATTCTTGGGCCACCGCTGGCTACCCATCTGGCCCGGGCCAGACGGGTCATTTTTTCGAGAAAGCGGACTTTTTCACCCATCTGGCCCGGGCCAGATGGGTGGCCACCGCTACAGGGCCAAAAAATTCTTGGGCCACCGCTGGCTACCCATCTGGCCCGGGCCAGACGGGTCATTTTTTCGAGAAAGCGGACTTTTTCACCCATCTGGCCCGGGCCAGATGGGTGGCCACCGCTACAGGGCCAAAAAATTCTTGGGCCACCGCTGGCTACCCATCTGGCCCGGGCCAGACGGGTCATTTTTTCGAGAAAGCGGACTTTTTCACCCATCTGGCCCGGGCCAGATGGGTGGCCACCGCTACAGGGCCAAAAAATTCTTGGGCCACCGCTGGCTACCCATCTGGCCCGGGCCAGACGGGTCATTTTTTCGAGAAAGCGGACTTTTTCACCCATCTGGCCCGGGCCAGATGGGTGGCCACCGCTACAGGGCCAAAAAATTCTTGGGCCACCGCTGGCTACCCATCTGGCCCGGGCCAGACGGGTCATTTTTTCGAGAAAGCGGACTTTTTCACCCATCTGGCCCGGGCCAGATGGGTGGCCACCGCTACAGGGCCAAAAAATTCTTGGGCCACCGCTGGCTACCCATCTGGCCCGGGCCAGACGGGTCATTTTTTCGAGAAAGCGGACTTTTTCACCCATCTGGCCCGGGCCAGATGGGTGGCCACCGCTACAGGGCCAAAAAATTCTTGGGCCACCGCTGGCTACCCATCTGGCCCGGGCCAGACGGGTCATTTTTTCGAGAAAGCGGACTTTTTCACCCATCTGGCCCGGGCCAGATGGGTGGCCACCGCTACAGGGCCAAAAAATTCTTGGGCCACCGCTGGCTACCCATCTGGCCCGGGCCAGACGGGTCATTTTTTCGAGAAAGCGGACTTTTTCACCCATCTGGCCCGGGCCAGATGGGTGGCCACCGCTACAGGGCCAAAAAATTCTTGGGCCACCGCTGGCTACCCATCTGGCCCGGGCCAGACGGGTCATTTTTTCGAGAAAGCGGACTTTTTCACCCATCTGGCCCGGGCCAGATGGGTGGCCACCGCTACAGGGCCAAAAAATTCTTGGGCCACCGCTGGCTACCCATCTGGCCCGGGCCAGACGGGTCATTTTTTCGAGAAAGCGGACTTTTTCACCCATCTGGCCCGGGCCAGATGGGTGGCCACCGCTACAGGGCCAAAAAATTCTTGGGCCACCGCTGGCTACCCATCTGGCCCGGGCCAGACGGGTCATTTTTTCGAGAAAGCGGACTTTTTCACCCATCTGGCCCGGGCCAGATGGGTGGCCACCGCTACAGGGCCAAAAAATTCTTGGGCCACCGCTGGCTACCCATCTGGCCCGGGCCAGACGGGTCATTTTTTCGAGAAAGCGGACTTTTTCACCCATCTGGCCCGGGCCAGATGGGTGGCCACCGCTACAGGGCCAAAAAATTCTTGGGCCACCGCTGGCTACCCATCTGGCCCGGGCCAGACGGGTCATTTTTTCGAGAAAGCGGACTTTTTCACCCATCTGGCCCGGGCCAGATGGGTGGCCACCGCTACAGGGCCAAAAAATTCTTGGGCCACCGCTGGCTACCCATCTGGCCCGGGCCAGACGGGTCATTTTTTCGAGAAAGCGGACTTTTTCACCCATCTGGCCCGGGCCAGATGGGTGGCCACCGCTACAGGGCCAAAAAATTCTTGGGCCACCGCTGGCTACCCATCTGGCCCGGGCCAGACGGGTCATTTTTTCGAGAAAGCGGACTTTTTCACCCATCTGGCCCGGGCCAGATGGGTGGCCACCGCTACAGGGCCAAAAAATTCTTGGGCCACCGCTGGCTACCCATCTGGCCCGGGCCAGACGGGTCATTTTTTCGAGAAAGCGGACTTTTTCACCCATCTGGCCCGGGCCAGATGGGTGGCCACCGCTACAGGGCCAAAAAATTCTTGGGCCACCGCTGGCTACCCATCTGGCCCGGGCCAGACGGGTCATTTTTTCGAGAAAGCGGACTTTTTCACCCATCTGGCCCGGGCCAGATGGGTGGCCACCGCTACAGGGCCAAAAAATTCTTGGGCCACCGCTGGCTACCCATCTGGCCCGGGCCAGACGGGTCATTTTTTCGAGAAAGCGGACTTTTTCACCCATCTGGCCCGGGCCAGATGGGTGGCCACCGCTACAGGGCCAAAAAATTCTTGGGCCACCGCTGGCTACCCATCTGGCCCGGGCCAGACGGGTCATTTTTTCGAGAAAGCGGACTTTTTCACCCATCTGGCCCGGGCCAGATGGGTGGCCACCGCTACAGGGCCAAAAAATTCTTGGGCCACCGCTGGCTACCCATCTGGCCCGGGCCAGACGGGTCATTTTTTCGAGAAAGCGGACTTTTTCACCCATCTGGCCCGGGCCAGATGGGTGGCCACCGCTACAGGGCCAAAAAATTCTTGGGCCACCGCTGGCTACCCATCTGGCCCGGGCCAGACGGGTCATTTTTTCGAGAAAGCGGACTTTTTCACCCATCTGGCCCGGGCCAGATGGGTGGCCACCGCTACAGGGCCAAAAAATTCTTGGGCCACCGCTGGCTACCCATCTGGCCCGGGCCAGACGGGTCATTTTTTCGAGAAAGCGGACTTTTTCACCCATCTGGCCCGGGCCAGATGGGTGGCCACCGCTACAGGGCCAAAAAATTCTTGGGCCACCGCTGGCTACCCATCTGGCCCGGGCCAGACGGGTCATTTTTTCGAGAAAGCGGACTTTTTCACCCATCTGGCCCGGGCCAGATGGGTGGCCACCGCTACAGGGCCAAAAAATTCTTGGGCCACCGCTGGCTACCCATCTGGCCCGGGCCAGACGGCCAGTTGGGTGGCCACCGCTACAGGGCCAAAAAATTCTTGGGCCACCGCTGGCTACGCATCTGGCCCGGGTCATTTTTCCCGGGCCAAAGAACAACTGCCGTTTTTCATTTGGTTTTAGCGGATGCATGATTTGTATTTGTAAAAATTGTAATGCGAAGATCTACACCACCATCAGAATCAAAATGCTCATGCACGTTAATACTTTTTTGCACTGCATAGCTGGTTTCTGGACCGTGCGACATTTGGAATGCAGCGCTGACGAAATCGGAGCGCGCCTTCATGCCTATCAATGGAAAATATCTCTGAGGGTCTGGAAGACCGCACGGTTTGTCATGCTCCGCTAGCGTGACAATTAAGTCTGTCATGCACTTCAACCAAGCTCGCCTTTGCTTTGTCATGCAGAGATGCCGTTTGTCATGTTGGAGGAGTAACTCAGATGAAACATGTCATGCGTGGCCGCCAAGAACTCAAGAGTGTTTATGATAGTCGAACCAGCATGACAAGTTCCCAGACCCCGAGATCATATTTGCGTATGCATACGGCCGGGATTGATGCGAAATGCGGAGAAGAAGAACATCCTCTCGTGCTCGTGCTGTTGCCTGGGCGGTGGCGGATCCTTCGGCCGCTGGGCCCTGCGGAAGATGGGTGCCATGCAGATGCGCGCGGTGCCGGCGGAGGAAGGAAAACGAAAGACCTGGGACTACGCTATGTAAAAACTTATCCTCACCCCAGAGTCACGCTGGCGATGCTGCTTCTACGCAAATCAACAAGTTTTGGCTGCTCGACGCATGACAAATTTGGGCTCGTAGAAGAGTAGTCCTGGTTTAGGTAGCGAAACTCCATCACAGATCGACTCTCTTATGCAGCTTTGCATGACAACTCTGGGGATGTGGGGACTTTTTCGCACAGGATACGGACGACGGCCTGGAGGCGCTGTTTACCAGTTACTGTCGGGGTCACGAAGGCGGTGACGAACGGGCGTTATGCTGTGCAAAAACGTCCCCACCCCCGAGTTGTCATGCAAGTCTGCATGCTGGAAATGTTTTTCATGCGGAGCCTCATGGGAAGCATTTTCTAGACGTGTTTTGGAATTTGTAATGCTCCAATCAGCATGATATACAAGATCTGTGATGGTGCTGATATAGCCCAAACAGCACTACAATACGAGTCGACATTTGTCATGCAAAACAGCCAAAGCTTCAGCTTGTGGATTTGTCTAGCCGAGTGCCCATCTTGACTATGGGTGGGGACGTTTTTATTCAGGATAGGTGTGGGACGTGGTTTATCAAGACCCCTTTCTGGTCACGCTAATGCTGGACGCGCACATCCCCGGTACCCATTCGCCGCAAACCTGGACGATAGACATGCGTATCGAAAAGAAAAATCCCCCCTCCCCATATCAAAACGAAAGTGCGAGTAGAAGGGTTTTGGCTTAAGCACTGCCAAGTGCGAGTAGAAGGGTTTTGGCTTAAGCACTTAGCATGAAAAACGTCCGCGCTGTAGGCCCAACAGCATGACAAACCGTCTGCGCAATGCGGCGGAGCCTCCGCGGTTGCCTTCCTGCAAGACAGACACGATTTGTGACCGCAAACCAGCATCACAAATTTCCAAAGATATACGTTTTCGGTATGGGGAGGGGAGATTTTTCCTTTCAATAATGCGCAGGGGAAACTCCAAGCGGTGGAGCTACGATCCCGCGGAAATTACCGCGCCCTGTTTCCTATCCTTTGCAAAAGAAAAGTAAAATGCCGTACTGCTCTTGCAAGGAGGCATGACAAATCCGATTTCTAAAGCAGGATTAGCATGACAAATATTTCCTTCGTTATGGCTGAGGCTGAGCGAAGTTTTGATGCAATTCAGACTTGTGTGCGATCATTCAGAATCAGATTCACTTCTTTATCTTTTGCAATGCACAGTGCATCTACATGGGAGAAAAGGAGGAGACGCCGATCCAGCGCGTTCTCGCGATAGTCTGTGACCGGGCCGCCACTCTGGGAGCAGGGGGCGGATGCGGTGGTGGCAGCGCAGGTCGTATGCAAGAAAAAAACTGTGTAAGTGTAACTTTGTCTTGCAGATGTTGCAATACAGTTACACTTGTCATGCCGGATATGCATCAGAGGCTATTTTAATACGTGTTTTCGCGTAGTAGCTACGCATGACAGGTTTTTTGTCATGTAAAACAAATCTGTGATGCTGTTCCTACAAAAAAGTTACACTTACACAGTTTGTTTCTTGGATAGGTCGTTGCGGGAGAGGCGTGAAAGGGAGATGAGATAAACTTTCTGAAAACCTAAAACTAACAATTTTCTAGTTCTATGTTTTATACCGAAAACTGAAAAACTTCGCAACATTTTTCTGTTTCATGGAGTCCTGCTATCAACGAACTGCGAGAAGCGAACTACATACTTACTCTGTCAGTTAGGCTTTTGCTACTTTTTTTTTCGAGGCAACGGCAAGCTCGAGAGTAGAATTTTATAGGACTGAGCCAAAGGTGCTTCACCTTCAGCCGAGGAGTGTTTTTCTTCAACTACCGCTAAAAACATCGTGAGAAGTAGGAAATAAAACCTTCTAACGAAGACCAAGAACCCATTGAAAACAACAACAACAGTCACTCTTGGCGTCTGTTCTTGGGAGGTGGTTTGATGACGGAATGGTATAAAGTTAATTTTTTCCACCAACAGCAGGGGGTGCAAAAGTGTCGCTCTGTGAAGAGCCAGGCTGTGTTCATGAAGATCGATGCAACTACCCTGGAGACGCTGGTGCGCGACTCGTACACTGCGGCGTCAACGGCCAGCAAATCGTCTGTTTGTTTCTTCCAGTCCCTCGAAGTCGTGGGAAACAAGAAGTACAAGGTTGTTTTTGTTGGTGTCTGTGCACGGCGAAAAAAAAAGAACGACTTACACCGACCTTTTTCAGAGGCCTGTGACACCTTTAAATATACAAAACAAGCAGTAGGACTCCTGTAACTTGTGGAGTATTGAAGAGATTTAACAACCATATCTGCTCGATAAAAAATTCAGTTCTCACGTCAACAAGACCCTTTTCTCTCTCAACCATGTCTCGTCGTTCTCGTTCGTTCTCGAAGAAGATTATAGCGGGAGCTGCCGCTCTGGCCATATTAACAGGCGCCTCGAACAGTCACGCGAAACCGGCAGTCAAAAGAGATGAAGTAGAATCTCCGGGACCACAACATGCCGGGGAGATCACGACGAGCAAGTTTCTGCCGATCGTAACGGATCCCACCGGGGCAACGAAGTTGATTGTCGAACAGGACTTCACCTACCCGCTGAAGCAGATGCATGAGCTGATGAAGAAAACTTCGGACGCTCTTTTTTCCTTTGACTTCATTCCCCTGTCCTTCCGTCCCTTGTACCGCTCGGAACTGAACAACTTGTCGTTGTCCACGACGACCGCGGACGGCCCGCAGTGCACCGCGGACGACTTGGCGATTTGGTCGAAGGGCACGGGCAAGACGAACTTCAAGAGCTACATGACCACGTGCGGGAAGCAGTGCTGGGGAGCGGAGGCTTGCGTGGCCACCTGCGTGGACAAGGAGGAGCACTACTCGCATATCAAAATGAAAAATCCCCCCTCCCCACATCAAAACGAAATTTCTTATGCTGGATTTGCGTACACAAATCAGATTTGTCTTGCAGTAGAGGACTGCAGGCCCATATCGTGCCAATGTAGAGAGGTTCTGGCCTAGGCACTTAGCATGAGGAACGTCTATGCTATAGGCGCAACAGCATTACAAACCGCCTGCAGTATGGGGCAAAGCCTAGGCCGTTGCTTCTTGCAAGACAGACAAGATCTCTGGTCACAAATCAGCATCACAAATTCCCTGATTGGTGTCTTTTCGATATGGGGAGGGGGGTTTTTCCTTACGATATCGCAACCCTGCGCGACCTGCTTCGGGCAGCTGGGACAGTGCTCGCGCGACCACTGCATGCTCCAGTGCATGAACGGATATGCACTGCAAGTATGTCTATGTCTGGAAAGTTGGAACTTGTAATGCTAGCTTTCCATAATTCCTGGGAGATCTGTGTTGCATGACCAACAAATAAGTCGCAACCATTTTTGCGATGCGAAAACGCAGTTTCTCATGCAAACTGCCCGTGAGAAAGCGCTATGGAAACTTGTCATGCTGGGATGCTGCATTCGGATGTCTTTCCAGCATCCACATTTTAGCATCACAAGTTTCCAGAGGACCCAGACGTATTTGCGATGCATAACGGAAATACCCCGGCGTGCGCCGCCTGTGAGCGGAAGTACTGCGTGCAACCGTTCTCGGAATGCACGGGAATATCCTGTGCAAAAGTATCGTACTCGTATTAATTGCAATCATGCATTACAAATTTTTTACTTAAGGTACCTCAGCATTACAAATTTTACTTCTCATGCTGAGGAAATTTGTAATGCATTTATACGAGTGCGGTACTTTTGCAATTCATAGGGAATCGCGGTCGATGACATCCCGAAGGAAATGTATTTGTTCAGATGTATTTCAAGTTCAGCAAACTTGGATTTCTGTGTGTGTTGATGCACAGATAGTTCGTCATGCCGAATAAAGATGAAACAAAAACCCTATCGCAGGTTTCTCCATGACCATCTTTCGTCCAAGACGGGTGGCGAACAGGCAGCCGGTCTTGGCGCGGAGATGGAGAAGAAAACGGGCCCGAAGGCGACGGACAAGAAAGAACCGGCGACGGAGCAGTGGATCTAGGAAACGTCGGTCTGCAACGGATTTTGGGAGGAAACAAAAGTCGAACTGATAGTACTGTCAGTTTTAATTCTCGTGTCCAACTTTGATTGCCTGTAGGGGGGACACATCGAGTTCCCAGCTGATATTTTTGGTATATCAACGTGTATAGAAAAATCAAGCCGAAGTTTTGCTTTTCACGAGTACGATACGAAGATGCCGTTGGATAGATTCTGACTCCTGCCATTTTTCACGAGTACTTAATACGGTAATGCACTGAATGGAAGGAGAAGGAACTCCGAAAATGAACCCAGCAAGCACCATACCGCCGTAAAGAGGTTGATTCTTTCTGAAACTAAGACCCCCTGCTCGACCTTGTGTGAAATGAAACCGTGTACGAAAAGAGACTTGGGTCGCGGAGGTCGAAAAGAAGTGCCGCCTTCTTTGTCTCACGAGTATTACAGCAAGGGACCTGAAACTGATTCATGTCTTGTATATTTCGCGTTCTACATAGGGAATGCACAAAGTCCTCTCGTCGTCCGCGCTGCTACATGCAGTCGGGCGACTGTGTTGTAAGCCGGTTCTTATTTTTCCCTGAGGTTCCATCTTGACAATGGATGGATGAAATACTTAGTGAAGGCTCTATGTTGTAAAAGCTGAAGTTCTCATTTGTGAACCGGGTGACATTTTCCATTGAGGAGCGAAGCCCTAGGCAATTTGACTCCACCATTTTCGGGAGGTGCAAGTGATTAAGTGAATGTTTAGAAAACAGTCGTGATTCAAATGTGAAGTATTATTTTCGGTTGATCTGAATTTGTTTTGGTACGACGGTATCAATTGACTTTAAAGCGAGCGATTTTTTTTCTACTGCGAGAGCAAGCGATAAGACCACATCAAAAGAAGGTCTAGAGCTGGAAATGCGAGTAGATAAACAGATGAAACCACTACAATCATTGTATCGAGTGAAGAAGGCGGAGAAGTCCAGACAGAGTGAGATCAGAGGGATAATATGGGAATATTGAGTTGCATAAGTTTTTCCGATTTTTTTGTACATCTACAACGTGCCTTCTAACAGCTCCCCTTTTTTGATCACCACCGCGAGCCCGCATTCCCTCGCGGAGCTGCGGCTCGTTTCTACGAATTTCAATTTTCGCGCGCGATAAGTTCTTGCGCTTCATTTTTGTGTGATTCAATGTGAATACTTTTGAATAAATTTTCCATCTGTGTAGTTGTTTTCCCCGATATTGTATTACTTTTTTGCCTTCCCCGAGCAGGAGGGGAACTACAAACATTCAGCCTGCGACACCGGAGTTCATGATGTGACGAGGTTCGTTCCTGCCGGTTGTGCGTCCGTACGTAGCGCAGTTGAGACGACCGCAGCGAGCTAGCTGCTTTCGGTGGCGGGAAGCAGTGTTTCAGTATCCGATCGGGCAGTTCCTACCAGCACACGCCGCATGACAAACCTTCTCTAATGAAGCACTTTACTCCTGCACAAAGTTATAACCCGGACGAGAGGACCAGGACTGAGCAGACGGGAAGGCGAACAGATCTATTTTCGCGACCACCAGTATCCCGTGGTGCATGAGCCTGCTTCGGTTGTGCGCCGTGTGTTGCGGCGGGGAGAAAGACCAGGCAACTTCGTCAGGCGGACCCGTCGTGTTTGGGACGGGCAATAATACTTCTAGCAATGGGACGAACGGTATGAGAGTGCACAACTCCCCCTCCTTCTTATTTCTCATGCAAGATTCCAAATCCACCCTTTGCCTGTTAGCACTGTTTGCATGACAGATTCCAGAATCCAAAATAGCACTGCAATCCTCTAGAAATTTGTCATGCAGAAGCTGCATCTTTGCCAGCGCTTGTGTTGCTGTTCATGCAAAACAAGTGAGTGTGAGGGGGAGGGGGAGTGGTGCACTCTCATAAACGGCACATCGACAAGGAATCTCCGGGCGAGTTTCTCCCCGCAAGCAGAGGGAGAAGCTCTGTCGCCGGCGGAGCAGGTACTTCTAAGGGTTTTGTTTAGTTTGTATTCGTGCAAGAGAAAAAAGAATTGCAATGTAAAGTTGTCCATGACAAAGTTGGAAAACTACATCTTCTACCAGATATCCCGTGGTACTGACGACGACCTCGACTTTGGGAGCGACCACGATACAGACAACCCCTTTCACTATGACAACATCAATTCCAGTGGGGGAAAAAGGAGTTCCAGAATATCCTTCGGCCTCGGGAACGTGGTCGAATACGAAATCGAATCCGAAAATGAAAATGCGGGAAGTCCAGACACCAGTCCGGACAGTGGCGGCCAAAATAGATCGTCGTTTAACAATGGATATCAACTGTAAAAATGTCTGGGTCTGGAAGATTCTGACACTTGTCACGCACGTTTTGCATGAGCCATGATGTCTGTGATCCATACCCTAGCAATACAGATTTTTTGAGGGCTTCTCGATGCCTATTTCGCATGACAAATACCTTCTCAGCGTAGCAAAAATTGCATTCCCTTTGGTACTCATGCAATACAGATTTTTTTGGAATCCAAACGCAGCATCACAAGTTGCATTCTTCCACACCCACACACTTTTACATTTGATAATGGAAGTAGCAATTCTTTTGCTCTCGACCCCGCAGAAGACTCCCCGGTTTTGTTGTCCAGCAACAGCGAGCCTGAGTCAGATGACGGCGCGGATAGGTTGGTGGCGAAGGACTGGGTATTTGTGTATGATCAGGATGATGTTTGTCGTACAAGAACTGTTTATGTTTTGTTATGTACAACTATGGACACAGTCAACACGGATGGAAGTGCAATGGTTGCGATGCATGCGGTACGGGTTCGGAATACTCGAATTCGCAAAAGAACGTCGATACGGACTCTTTGGTGCAAAAAATAATTGCACCAAATAAAAATCCTCAGGTCGAAATGCAGAAGCGCGCGATGGCAGAGCGGATGGGCCGAAATAAGCCGGAGGGGGAACAAGGTCCAGATGGTGAAAAACCAAAAAAGCAAAAACTCCGATTTTTCAAGCGAAGACAGGATTCCATAGTGCTCCCCCCGGCGCCGGAGAAAGGCTGCTTGAGGAAAAGTAGTGCCTACTCTGCGGATATGGAGTCTCCGGACGGGCTGGCGCAGATGTACGGAATAACCCCCAATTTAGATTACGTCTGAATATTTAGAGAGTGACATGATGATCCTGCGCCACAGGAATCCTTTTCAGTACGAGAGAAAAGAGTTTTTCAAAAGAAATAAATCGCCGCTGGACAGTCCTCGTTCGCCTGTTTTAGCGCTTCGTTCACTTCTATACTCCATAACTCCTTCCCCATCCCCCTCCCCGCGCGATTTAGGATCCCTGCCAGTTACGGACGGTGCCTGCTCGGCTTGCTGTTTGTTTGCCCCACTCAATTACTTATTTTAGTAAGTTTACTACCTGCGAAGCGACCCCATACCCCTACTAGCTCGTTCCTTAGTAGTTCTGTGAGACTCGTATTTGGTCGTAGTCATAGAAAGCTCACGTAGTCCTGCGCAGAGCACACGCGACCCTACTGTGTTTTGCCTCGTGTATCAAAAAATAAAAGAACGACCTTTTCGATAATTTATTGATTCCTTTGTGGTGAACAGCCAAACAAGCCAGAGCCATGCGCAAGACCGGCAAGCATTAACATGTTAACAACCGAAATCACAGCGAGACGTGGTTCTTGTGAGGCATATGACCCACGGAGGATTGTTGAGATTTATGAGCTTATCGTGATCTTCCTGAAAGAAGTTTAAGTAACTTAGTCCTTCCTAGCAGCCGTGCTTGCGACACTAGCGACAGCAGGAGTTTTTTGAACGCCAGAGCAGCGACACGAAAGAACCGCTCTGAGTATAAGGAGAGCTTTTAGAATACCTAATAACTAGTACGCGAAATTTTTCACCGGTCTAGCTGTTGACTATCCACTACAACACAGGCAAGTATAGGACGGCTTCAGGTGAACTTGTTTCTTTTTAGTTAGGTGATGATAGGTCGAAGATCGAGTAGGAAAAGCAAGAAGATTATGATATACAACAATACTCGTGTGTCCGTCGATGCAAGTCGTGCAACTCACGTTGTAATATTTCATTTTTTGATACGAGTATGTGTGGACCGTGGTCGCCCCTGAGATACTTGCTCATCTTCGTGGACAGCAAAAAATACATACAGGCTTCTTTACTTGTTTGTTTCTTCTGCCTAACTTGCAGTAGTTTAATACGCATCTTCACTGCAGCTCCTCCGCGCATTTTGAAATAGGTACTAAATCTAACGATCAAAGAACCTCAGAAAGTAGAGGTTCTGACTGTCAGTACGACGACGTCCACCCAATACGCAAATAACAAGTCAAAAAAGTAAAATATACGAAGTACGACAAATAAGCTTTTTCAACGTCATCTCTGGGCTGTGGCGACGAGGAGTCCACCTTGGCTTGGCGGAATGCCAAAGGGGTTCTTGTACTTTTGGGAACTACAACAACTCGTCCTTCAGGTGGGGTTCTTGGTGTTCCGCTACAAACGAATCGTCGTCGTCTGGCGAAGTGCATTTTCGTCTTGATACCTCCCTTCGCAGAAGTACTAGATCATCGAAAGACATCAAATTCTCACAAGGAGCGTGTGCTGACTTTGCCTGTTGCGAGCCAGGCTTTGAAGGTGAGAGAGGACTTTATTTTCCGCTGCGCTAAGTTATAGTTGAAGTTCCGGTCGTCGTTTGGCGCCAACTCGATCGATGTCGAATCGCTTTCTGAAGAACTACAGTAGTATGGCAGATAGTTCTACTTCCCAATCTCTCTGTCTGCTTTTACTTTCATAACATTTTCTTGAAGTAGTTTTGAGTTTTCAGGTTTTTTTGTACATGAACGAAGTCAATGAGTGCCTGTTGAACTTTTTCATGGGGAGGAGGTTCTTGAGCATCTAGATGGGCAGTGATGAAAAATAGAACTACAGAATTTGAATTCATTTCTGCTCACTCTTCTTCTACGCGGCCAGATCAGAGAGTGTGAAGAAGGTAATACAGGTAGTAGAGCCCTTATAATGTGGCTTGATTTCAAGAACATCAATCACTTTCACTTCTGTAGCATAAGGATAAGCCAGAAAGGAGGCCGCGGCAAGTAAAAAGTTTATTTGTAGTAGAAGAAAAGATGGCAAACTCTTCCCCCGGGCGGTCCGGGGAAAATAATCACAATTCGAAAAACAACTCCGCCTTCCAGCTTGCCATATCAACTGCAAAAATGTCTGGGTCTGGAAGATTGCCAGGTTTGTCATGCATATTTTGCATGGCTTATGATGCCTGTAGTGCATGACATAGCAGCACAGATTTTTGGAAGGCTTCCTGATGCCTATTCCGCATGACAGATGCCGTCTCCGCGTAGCACAATCTGGGCTCCCCTTGCTGGTCATGCAATGCAGATTTTTTTAGAATCCAAAAACAGCATGACAAGTTGGGATCCTTCCAGACCCAGACATATCTGCAATGCATATGCCCGGTCGCTCTTCAATAGTACCAGGAACAACACTTCGGGTGGCGGCATGTCCGGATCGAGATCTGGCTCCCCCCCTCGCGGTATGACAGTGCACAACTCACCCTCCCCGTCATTTGCATAGCATGAACGGCAATACAAGCATAAGCAAGAGTGCCGGTTTTGCATGACAAATTTGTACTGGATTGTAGTGCTACTTAGGCTACTAGAACGTGTAATGCAAACAGTGCCAAGAGGCAAAGGGTGAATTGGGTATTTTGCATGACAAATGAGGGGGAGGGGGAGTTGTGCACTCTCATACGCGGCCACGGGAACAGCTCGGGAGGGAGTTCTGTTTTCACGCCAGGGAAAAATGACGTGTTCCGCAACCAAATCAACTTCGAGAATCAGGAGAACATCATGCAGGCGGGTGCTTCTGGTACCAACCAGCAATTGAACACGATGAACTCTATGGGTGGAATTGCGAACCAGCAGCAGGGCGGATCATCCTCGAGCAGCAGTTCTTCCGGCGCGGTTTTACCGTCTCACGCGGCAGGTCGAGGAGGTCAAGATAGTGCCAACAACAGCAATTCTTCCGCTTTCTACAAGCCGGAGAAGCACCGCGCGGAGAACAAGGAGAGCTTAGTGAAGAAGGAAGTGTCTTTCGCGTTTGCGCTGGTGAAAACCTTCAACCCGGCGGACGGACACACGATTATGCAATGCAAAAGTATCGCACTCGTAGTAATCACAATCATGCGTTACAAATCTCTATCGCAAGGTAAAACAGCATGACAAATCCGACGCGTCATGCAGCTGAGCGAATTTGTAATGCAAGAATTACTACTACTAGTACGATGGTACTTTTGCAATGCATAACGATTGATGAAGAGCAGTTTGACATCGATCCGTTGCCGTATGACAGTGCGCAATTCCCTCTCCCCCTCATTTGTCATGCAAAATATGCCAACTCCAAATGCTGCCTCGTGGCACCGTTTGCGTGACAGATTCTGGAAGTAGCGTAAACAGCACTGTACTACGCGCATGAAGAACTTGTCATGCGCAGGCTCCATGTGCGCTGGTGTCTCTATTGCTGCTTATGCAATACAAATGAGGGGGAGGGGGAGTTGTACACTGTCATATGCCGCCAGACTCCGCGGAACGGAAGGAGAAGTATTAAATGCAAAAATGTCTGGGTCTGGAAGATTGGAACTTGTGATGCTACTTTTAGATTCCATAAAAATCTGTATTGCATGACCAGCAAGAGGAGTCTAGTTTGTGCTACGCGGGGAGGGCGTTTGTCATGCGGAGGAGGCATCAGGAAGCCCCCTCAAAATCTGTGATGCGCGGTCGTGCATTACAGACATCCTGGGTCATGCAAAACATGCATGACAAATCTCAGAATCTTCCAGACCCAGATATTTTTACATTTCATAAGAAGGAACGGAAAACAAGAAGAGGCACGGGCGGGTCCGCATTGTATGGGAAAAACAGGGACATCAACTCTGTCTTCAACCACGAAGACGATGATTCAGATGAGTTCCCCGCGATCTCCGATGCCTTCATGACAAAGGCAAAATCGCCCGTGAAACGCCTCCCTAGTCGGATCCGGAGGGACAGCATCGGCAACCTCGCGGCCTTTTTCGACCCGATGAGCGAGGAGAGCGAGGACCTTATCAACTGTAAAAATGTCTGGGTCTGGAAACTTGTGATGCTGGGTGGCGTCTCATGATGAGGCTACAGATGCTGGCTCAGCATGACAAGTTTCTGAGCTCTTAGGTGTTGCCTATTCTGCATGACAAACTGCGCTTCTGCATCACAGAAAAGCGGAGCTCTTGGGTAATGTGCATGACAGATTTAAGAGTCATGCCAGACAAGCATGACAAACCTTGCATTCTTCCAGACCCAGACATTTTTACAGTTGATAGACCTGACGGGGGCCTTGAACCAGGCGAATTTGGAGCTGCAGAACCAACACTTATGGATTGCAAAAATGTCTGGGTCTGGAAAGTTGGAACTTGTAATGCTGGCCTTGCATTCCTGTGAAATCTGTATTGCATGACCAAGAACAGTGGTAGCCTCTCATGTCGTACAAAAACGTAGTTTCTCATGCGGAGTTCGTATGAGAAGGCGTGCTGCAACCTTGTCATGCTTTCCGGCATAAGGAAGTGACTTCCTTGTGCACATTTTAGCATCACAAATTTCCAGACCCAGACATATTTGCATTTGATAACACTTTTCGGGCACTGATGTGTCGAATAACGTGGAAAAAAGGCGCGTTTCGGTCATCAGCGACAACAGTGACGACGTTTTCGCGGTGGGCGAGGAAGAGGCGAGGAGAAGCAGCGCGGCATCGGGGATGCAGGGTATAGGGAACGAATAGAACTTCTTGTTTCAACTACCCTTGCGATGTGGTCTCATTTGCATGATGACGTTTTGCAGCTAGCAACTTCCTACTGTGTTTGATGTTCGTGTCTTCTTCACTGAAGACAAATAATTTTGAATGAGATAGAGATTCCGATATTGACACAAAACTATCAGGGACTAACGCGAACATTAACCAGCAAGAGCGGAATTCGGACTCTTTGTTCGGGGAAAACGAGCCGGACAAAATCGACCACATTCCGGAAGAGCCGGAGAAGGACGAAGACTCGTTTTTCAGCGGGTTAAACACCGAATTGTCCTCTATTCGGCAGGTCACCGGTACGAACGACTTCAACCAGCCTAACATCACCTTCCAACAGTCGAACTCCTCGCAGCATTCCATGCACAACCGCGCGCGGATCCTGACCCCGAACTCCCAACTGGGGACCCCGCGGAGCATCGACGGCAGCTCCAAACGACGACGGGTGAACAACCAGGGTAGCATATCGTATGTGAAAACTTGCCCACACCATAATCACGATGGGAAATCTGCTAGACAAATCAACCAGCTTTGGTTGCTGCGCATGACAAGTTTGGCTGTGCAGTGTAATCCCGTTGAGCTAGCTCCAGCAGCATGACAGATCTAGCGAATCGTGCTGATTCGAGCGTCACAAATTCCGAAGCACAGCTAGAGAATGCGTCTCATGTATGACGCTCCGCATGAGAAACATTTTGACCATGCAGATTTGCATGACAGCTATCGGGTGGGGACGTTTCTACATAGGATACAGCAGGGACATCACGGGGCAGGTGAAGTCTATGGCGGATTTGATCGAGGACATGGATCCGGGACAGAAAAATCTGAGCGACCACTTCGACGCTGTGGCGGTATCTGAGTGTTTTATGTGCCGCTCGACGAGCACCTGATGTGAGTTATCATTCATCTAAATGCAGCACAAACAAGCTGCTCGTGTTCGTCCGCAGGCATAGGTCGCATGTTGTCATGTATGTTTTTTTGATTTTGTGTTTTTACTTTATCAAATCTAAGGAAAGTCGTTTTTTATCAGGTTCAGCAATCCGAGGAGGAGATCCGGCGTAAGTCTGTGATCAAGACCGAGGGCCGGGACCTGCTCGACGACGTTTCTTCCGTCGGTGACGACGAGGAGTGCGACACGCCTTCTTTCGGGAATTTTAAGTCTCCGAACAATAACCAGGAAAATAATAACCAGAAAACAAATCGGCACTCCTCCCGGTCCCGCGGGCGGACGTTCTCCTCAATTCCGGACGATTTGAAAAACCGAAACAGCAACATGCTCGCGGGAAATGGCTTGAAATTGGATTCAGAGAAAGCCCGGGATTCGCAATTTTCCAGTTCGGGTTGGGACAGCTCGGATATGAATGTTAACCGGCGGTCCTCTGTCTACTCGCCGAATCAGGCGGATCCTTTCAACTTCCAACCCGCGCCGGCACACTCGGTATGCATTGCAAATATGTCTGGGTCTGGAAGGTTGAAACTTGTGATGCGCATTTCAGAACACAGAAAAATCTCTCATGTATAGGCAGCCAAAGTTGCTCACTTTCTGTCACCAAAGTCAGGGATTTGTCATGCGGATTCGGCATTGCGAACGCTTCTCGAAACCTGTGATGCTAGAGCTTCCATGCCAGACCTTCTGTGTCATGCAAAAGCAGCATGATTCTTCCAGACCCAGACATTTTTGCATTTGATACTCGGTGTACGGAAACAATAACTCACCCGCGGCCCGATCGGACCGCGGCGAGTTGTCGCAATCGGACCGGAATTATGAATTGCAAATATAATTTCTGGGCCTGGAAGGATGCAAGGTTTGTCATGCTTGTCTGGCATGACTGAAAAGTTTGTGATGCGTGTCCAAGAAGAAACCCTTTTGCTTGTCATGCAAGATCGCAGTTTCTCATGCGGAAAGTGCACCACTAAGCAACGCAGATATAATTTCTCCTGCTGTGCTGTGCATTACAGAGCATTCGCTATTCGAAAACCAGCATGAGAAGTTTCCAGACCCAGGTTTTTTGTATTGCATAGGAATAACCGGCATAATACTTCGCGTCACAGCAACAGTCTGAACAACAGCAAACTGGACATCGACCTCCCGCCCGAGAAAAACAGTATCAAAGTCAGCAGAGAAGTGAAAAACGCGCTGGCAAACCGGCCGATCACCATCATTCCGCCAGACCAGTTGGCTGCGGCGCGGAACAGTATGGACTCGAATTTGTCTGGTAGGAATAATAATGCTGTGCAGCCGTTGATGAATGTAGAGAACAACAACCGCAGGGCGTCGCGCGCAAGCAACGAGGAGTGGGACCCGCGGAGACGGTCCTATCAAAAGGAAAAATCCCCCCTCCCCATATCGAAAACGAAATTTGTGATGCTGTATTTGAGTACACAAATCAGGTTTGTATTGCAGAGAGGCATTGCGGCCAGATCCCCAGGCTAGGTAGGGGCGCATGGTTCTAGTTGTGCAGCATGGCAAACGGCTCCCCTTTAGGCCTCACAGCATGACAAATCGCTTCCATAATGGGGCGGAAGTTTCTGCCCTTGTCTTCTTGCAAGACAAATGCGATCTGTGACCTCAAATCAGCAACACAAATTTCCGGAAACGTACCTGTTCGATATGGGGAGGGGGGATTTTTCTCTTTGATAGGTCCGCTTCTTTCATGATTGGCGACGTTTCCGCTTTGAATCAGACAGGAACGAATAGTAACAATCGAGAAAACTCCGGCTCTCGGATGAACAACAGCCAGCTGAATCGGTCCAACCTTCTCTCTCCTCGGGCGAACGAGCAGATTGGTGGCGCCACTTCCAGTCGAAGCCGGGTGGGAATGTGGAAGTCGCCGATCCAGCAGAACCCGAATCGGTCGCTGTGGGGGATTAGTTTTGAAGAATTTAAGGAGAGGATCGGGGTGTCCGATGCGGACTTAGAGAAACACATTATTGACGCGATCGAGCGGTATAAAATGCCATTAGACGAATATGGGAGTGTCAGGATCGAAATCAACAAAATCGAAAAACTTGTGATGCATAAAATCGATACCAGTTGGAGCCTCAGTTTCCAAGCGGCGCATGACAAATTTTAGGAGCACCAAAATCCAGTCTGTCATGCTGTTTGGGCAAAGGAGACTGCTCTTGTGATGCTACTCTGGCAGCAGATCGCCTTCCCCTAAACAGGCTTGCAATCGGGTTCATTTGCTTGCTCCCCAACACAGGCCATGCGTGCTCTACATTTTATGCATTACAAATTTTTATTCGATTTTGTCGATTTCGATCCTGACACTCCCATAACGAAATCGCGAAAGGAGCAGCGGTTGGGGGTGCTGGTGGATCTGCAGGAGGGGGAGGAGCAGCAGCTTCAAGTGCAACAGCAGGAGCAAGTAACTCATCATCATCTTCTTCTTCATCCGCAGCAGCAGCAGCGGCGTCCGAGCTAACGTCTCTCCACCTGGACGCAAAGAAACGCGCGGTGGGATTGTTGCCGGCTTACCCGCCCCTGTCGGTGCTGCAACAGCTGAACGATTGGCAGATCAAATCGGAGGATTTGCCCGTGGTGCGGAAGTTGCTAGCGGCGAATAATTCTGCTACCGCGAGTGGTGTGGAGAAGGAGCAACATGAGCAGTTTGTGGAGCAACTACGGCAAATCGCTTTTCTCGCGATAGAAAAAGTATCCACTGCAAATATGTCTGGGTCTAGAAGAGTGCGAGATTTGTCATGCTAGTCTGGCATGAATCTGAGCTCTGTATTGCGTGGCCAGGAACATCTCCTCTTGCCTGTCATGCGAAAGCGCAGTTTCTCATGCGGACTGCACAACACAGAGCAACCAGAAAACCTGTTATGCTTGGCGGCGCATCACAGTGCGCTTGTTATTCACCGACAGGCATCACAAGTTCCAAGACCCAGACACATTTGCAATGCATAAAAAGGGGTGATGGACAATGCGAAGCAGCACTACGACGAGAAGTTGCGGGTTTTTTACGAAAAGGAATTTTCGAGTTTGGAAAAAGAGATCGGGGAAAAGAAGGAGAAGGTGGAGAAACTAGCTGTGCATAAGGAAAAACTCGCGAAATTATTGCAGCAGAAGAACAACATTGAACAGACTTCGAAAGCGGAAAAGGCGCGGAACGATAGACGGAGGGAAGAAGTGAAAAATCAGAAAGAGTACGGGAAACAGGTATAGAATTTTCGAAGGATTTTTGATGTCGCATGGAAAATAGATGATCTGCATGATAAAAGCTTTTTCTCAGCTCTTATACGTGTTTTACTCTCGTTCTTCGTGTCGTGGATCGGATGAAATTGCTTCATTTTTACTCTTGTGAAAATCAGCTCGAAATCCGGATCGCGGCGGCCCGTGCGCAAGTGAACCAGAGGCGACAAAACGTGAATCACCAGCTCGAACAGCACTCGCTCATGACCGGAGCTGCTAGTGGGAACAACAACACAACTAATCTGAACCTCACGTCCCAAACCACGCTCACCAACGTCCTCCACCCGAATGCGCCGCAGCCAACCGAACAGGACCTGAAAGCGGCAAAAAAGGCGATTCAGATCCTACAAAAGGAGAATGAATCGCTGAAAAAACAGAACGAGCGGAAAAAACTCTCCCGCGACCTTTCGAAGTGGAAGAAGGGGTTAGGCAAGGATGTCGGGAACAAAAATCCGGACAAACTCTTTCTGTACCGAGACAGCGGCTTGGGGCACGAGCTGACGTTTACCGAAGGGTCGCTGCGCTGGAGTTTCACGCCGAGGGTGTCCGAGTTCTGCCCGTTGCGGTTGAACAACGACCATCCAAACGCGAAAAATCTGGCGAAAGACATGTACAATGCCTGTTGGGTGAAGTCGCGCGGGACTATTTTAGCGGCGGCGGTTTCGCCCAGAAAAAACGCCCCGAGTTCGCCTACTTCCGGCACAACTACCGATGGGCAATCCTGGCTGGTGATCTTCGGGCACATATCAAAATGAAAAATCGACCCTCCCCATAGCAAAAAAGGGATTTGTGTAGCATGATTTGTGATCACAAAAGACGTTGTCATGCTAGAAGGGAAGAGATGGACCGACTGTAGTACTGGCTGGCGTTGGAAAACCTTGCATCTTCAACATGACAGGACGCAACTGGAAGCGGAGAACAGCATGACAGATTACCTGCAAGCGAGGGGGGCGCAGCTGCGTCTCTTGGCCTTCTAGCAAAACAACTCGACTTGTGTATGCAAATACAGCATCACAAATTTACGTGTCGATATGGGGAAGGGGCATTTTTCCTCTCAATAGCACAGACTCGCCCAGATCGACCGGTTTTTGAAAGACCTGGGTGGGATATTACAATGAAAAATGCCCCCACCCCAGCACTTGGCAGCATTTGTATTGCAAACCTTTCCAATGGAAACATTTCCCGTCTTGCATATATCAGCATCACAAATGTGCCACTCTGAATAGCTCAAATCTGTGTTGTAAAGGAGCCCAAGAGCAGGCAGATGTGTTGTGCAGCAGATGCCTTGCGTGCCTAGATTCTGCATCAGAGAGGCTCATAGTCCTTTCATGCAAGACAAAAAGCTTTCATTTGGAAACTTTGCATGAGAAACTTTTGCACGGGTTTGGGGGCAGTTTTCACTGTAATTCGGGATTACGGGCGTCACGTTTGAGGACCACGAGTCGTTTCTGATTTTCCACGTCATGGTGACCCCCAGCATCGAAGTCAACCCCTACGGCTTTTCTGAGGTTTACCCTACCCCCGGGAGCACGAAGCGCGCGTACTGGATGTTTGATTTGCGGTTGCCGCGGTCGTATCAACTGCAAAAATAAATGCCTGGGTCTGGAAGAGTGTAAACTTGTCATGCAGGTTTTACATAACCCATGAGGTCCGGCATGCGGGATCTAGCATGACAGACTCTACTGCGAGGTCTCTGTCATGCCTCGACTGCATGAGAAACTCGAAACTCCCTCCCAACTTGGTCGAAAGTGGACAGCTTTCGGCACTCATGCAACACAAATTTTTGCATGATTCCGATTTAGCATGACAAGTTGCAATCTTCCAGACCCAGACCTATTTGCAGTCCATAAGTCGGAACTCATAAGGTTCGCCGCACACATCCACGACGTGGACTGGATCTCGAAGTTGCAGTGCACCGCAAAACCGACGCCGGGGGTGGATCAGAAGATGGTGCAGACGGCGATTGACGATTGTCTGGTATAGAACAAGTTAGAGCTGATAGTACAACTAGTAGTGTGTTTGTTCTGCGTTTTTTCATCTTCATGAATATGCAGGACTGGAGTTTGTCATGCGGATACTATCATTCTGTTTCTGCGAAGATAAACTTTTTAAATTCTATCAGGACGAGATCAAGTCGGACACGTCTGCCGCCGCCCGCGCCAGCCGGTCCGCCCCGGGGGCGATTCGCAGCTTTTTGCAGAGCATCTACAAGCAGGTAAAGGAGAAAATGCTGCGGGACTTGAAACACTCGCACCCACAAGAACACCAGGCGTACCTGCGTCACAAAAATTCCTTCTTCGGCCAGCCCGTCGCTGGGATGCAGCTGCAGGAGCACCCGCAGGCGGGTGCTACTTCGCTGACCAGCATGGCCACGAACGTTGGGTATAACGGCGGCGGAAGTAGTGGCGTGGGGTCGATGAACTACAGTAGGGGTGGCATGACCGGGACGTCGAGCCATGCTGGGAATTTCGGTACGGGCGATTTTTACGCACAAAGCTCTCGGTCGCACATGGGAGGTTCCATGCAGGGTAGAGGAGTAAGCGGCACAAGTTCATCTTTTTCCCGAGCCGGACATCATCATCCAAATGCATCCTCCTCCCGTGCCCACCCGTATTCCCGCCCAGATCGATCGCAGATCTCGTCGCCGGAGAGGTCGGTGTTGCAGATGCTGATGCCAACCAGTGCGGAGAAGCAAGAGAGGGAACGACATCAGCAGCCATTGGTGCATTAGGGAGGAAGGTTTGGTTGTTTGGAGAAGCTACTTACTTCTTCTCGAGTTCTTCTTGTATTGCAAAATTTTAAAATTGATATGATCCTCGGGATTGCGACGACATCTTTGTACTGCTAGCGCTAGCGGTAGCAGCGGGGAACAGAATCGTTTCTGACGTAGTCAAAACCTATTACACGACGTAGCGAAGTAGAAAGTTACCTTTTATACCAATTTCAGTGAACAAAAAGTGTGTGAAGTTTTCCTCTGGGTGCAGCAGCAGCAGCGGCAGCAGCAGCATCTTCCAGAGAGAAGACGCTTTATGGTGGGACTCAAGAAAAATTTTCGTAAGTTTATCAGACGTCTAGCACAAAAATCGAAAAAAAGATGAGAACAAAGCACGATTAAGTGGTTCAGCTCGTCGATCGCTCACGAAGCGAATTAGCTTATTCCTCTAGAATAATATATCCTCAGAACAAGACAGGGCGACAAGCTTGCGCTTGTCATTGCGATACTCGCGCTTGTCACCGCGATATTACTTGTAACCTCGCCTGCAGTTGTATAATCCCGGGCGCCACCACGGGTATAATTCAGGTCGCGAGAGGGAGCAAGAACGCGTAGGTATTTGGAGATTGTTGTGAAAAACCTGTACTCATTCGACAAACATCAACGACACATCGATAAAGAGGAAACAAAAAGACGGTGAAGCCTATTTTTGACATCTACCGCACTTGAGCGCCATCTTTTGTTCTCACTAGTACTGTTCTTGTAGGTGCCCGGCGCGTGCGGCTTCCAGCTGGGCTGGTAGCGTGCACTTACGACATATTGGTTCATCGCACGGCGACCTTTTTGGTTCCTTTGGTTGGTCAAAGATGAAGGTCACTTTTTACCAGGATCCCCGATTTCGAAGAGCATTGTTCGTTATACAAAAGTGAACACGCTTCTTTTTGTCTCGATCTGCGTTCAACCTCAACCTGTCTTCCCACTTTTCTTGAGTAAAAAGTTTCCGGATTGTTGTTCTCATCGTGCATTATATTGAAATCATCCCCCCCACTCCCTTCTAGAGCAAGTAGAAGTACAAAACCATGGCAGTGCTGTGACATTCTTTCCTCGCCTCTCCCCCACACCATGACAAACTCCGTTTCCCCTACTTCGGAAGTAGACCCGTCCAAGATGGCAACGGCCCCAGAGACGGATGCCGATAATGCAGAGCCGAAGTCTATCCCCGCCTCCGCTATTCTTGGATCTGTCGCCAACAGCCCCGAATGGCTTTTGGCGGAGGAAATCCCAAAAATGCTGGACGAATACGAGAAGCTGTGGCAGGAGGAAGACCCGGAGGACGATTGCTTCAAATCCAAGTACAAAGCACGGGAGAAACTGGAGCCGATACTGCTGAAAGCGGAGCAATTCTTGTACAATAAAGAGGTGATCGAACAGGAGATTAAGGACGAAAACGACAAATCCGGCTTATCGAAACTGGACAAAGAAGTTCAAGCCGTCCAGAAAAAGCTGGAAGAGAACAAATTCGATGGAAGTGACGGCGAAAACATCACTATCGCGACGAACACGGGTTTGAAACCCGAGGAGACGCTGCGGTTGCGGTTGCGGGAGCAAGTGGCGGATTTGTATTTGATTCTGGGGAAAAACTACTACTTTTGCGAGGAAGTCCCGGCGGGGGAAGCGCGGCTGTCAAGGGCTCTGTACGAGTACTTGGCATTGGACGACAGAGCGGGGGTGTTGGTCAGGATACAAGACTGTCTGAACCAATTGGGAATGGTCTGGGTACACAGAGGGAACCACGCAAAGGCGCTGCAGTTTCTGAGGAGGGCACAGGTAGTTTATCAATAGTGTTTTTGTCGTGCATAAGTATGCAGCTGGTTATTTTGATGTGGATGTTGTTGACCCGAGTATTGGAACTCCGGACTCAAGTTGGTTGAATTTCACATAAATGTGCCACTGGTTTTTGATTCTTCTACAACTAATCAAATTTATCAGGTCCTCTATCACCGGCGTCCGAAAGAGCTCCTTTTAAAGAAAAAGTTAGACAAGCAAGCCGAAAACTACTACACGTTGACGCAGTTTTACTTAGCCCAAGCTTACGGCGCGGTGCAGAACGCAAATCTGTCGGCGAAATACTGCGCGGAGACGCTGTGCAGGCAATTGGAGTACAACACAACGACTAGTACCTCCACCTCTTCCACGGACGGCAAAGTGAATGAAAGTGCCGAGGACACAACTACGGCCGAAAACACTTCTAACAGTATCAAGCAGAAAGACCCCTTCGACATCCGCGACTGGGCGAGGAATTGCGTCGGGCTGTCCGACTATTTTAGTAATAAGTGCATGTTCTGGACGGCGGAGTACGTTCTCTACGCGGCGTTAATCCTCTTAACCGACGGCATTGCCGGAAAAATACCGGAAATTTCCACGGAATCCTTATCCACGGAATCCCTATCCGAACCCGAGGAGCTACTGGCGGAGTTGAAGAAAAACCTCGGGCAGATTTACAGCTCGCGATTGACGTTTTCGAAAACCTGCGCGGAGTTGGACACAGAGGAGCAGGTGGTGCAAGCTTTGCACGATTTCGAGAAACAGGAGGAGGAGGAAAGAAAGGAGATGCTGGAGAAGTTGTTCAAATCTGACAATGTGGAATCGGAGAAGTTGGATTTCAAACAAATCTTCTGGAACGAGAAGATACCAAGACGGATGGATGACGCGACCATCTGCTACGATGAGAAATTTCCGGCGGTCGTCGCGATCAAAGACGCGGAGACGGAAGACGGGATGATGGCAGTGGAAAAGCTCCTGGCGGAAAAAGAGGTATAGGCTTTGTTGCGTTCTTTGTGTGCATGAGAAAGGGCTTTTGTCATGCGTGAAAAATTTTCCTCCATCTATGATCAAAACTCGTCTTTTATCAGGCCTTCTGGACCGGCAACGGGGTTCTCGATCTGGCAAACGGGAAGTACAAAGTCCAGCTGGCGGTCTACTTCGGTCCGGCCTTGCACAAAAGGATAGAGCAGAAAATCAAGAGTATGAACAAAGAATTTTTCCAGGCGCGAATCGACGGCGTAGCTTCTACTGCTGGAGCTGCTGCGGGGGAATCCTCTTCTAGCACCACGACATCCTGGAACACAAAGCCATTCAAAATTCCCACTTCCCTCGCCCTCGCCACCGGACCGCAATACATCCAGTCGAAGGAGCTGTTTAAAATCGGGAACCATTTTTTCGCCCAATCCTTGAAGTTCTTCGAACTCGACGGGTACTGCACGGACCACGTGAAACTGTTGCAGGAAATTTCCACTTTGTACAGGCATTTAGCCTACTTCGAAAACGACTACGCACGGAAATCCGCGATGTACGTCCGACGGCAGAAGATGCTGCAACCCTTACTCGACCAGTTGTCAAAGCAGCATTTCCGGTCCTACTGGCGGCAACTCTGCTTCGAGTGCGGGGAGATTTCGCATGATGTCGCGGAAGTCCATTTGTTCGAGTTCACGAACAAGTCGAAGCCGAATTTGGAGCAGCAACACGAGCCGATCTCGGACGAGAAAAAGTTAAAACTGGCCCAGAAAGCGAACAAGTCTATCCTCCAGTCCCGGCAGCTGTTTCAACAATTCAGCGACACGTACGAGAAAGACGAGCGGTGCGACATCAAGGAATTGTCAGACGATGACGCGAAGGCTTTCGCGCACAGCAAAATCAACGCGGCGAGGATGGCAAGTAAGTTCGTCGGTCTGGACAAAAAGTCGCACATTGAGATGCTAAAAACGGCGATCGACGAGTACGAGTTCATAAAAAGGTGGTTGGACGGTTGTAAGAACAAGGACCACCTGGTGACGAACGTCTTGCCGAACGAGAGCCATTTATCCTGAGTAAAAACATCCCCACACCAGAGTCAAGATGGGGATTTTGCAACACAAACCTAGAACTTTTGGGGGTCACGCATCACAAGTTGCAGTCCGTAGTGTAGTGGAGGTTCGCAAGGCCAGCTGCGTCAGAAATCCATCTGCTCATCCTATTTACAGCATTACAAGTTCCAAAACACGAATAAAAATGCCTCTCCTGGCGATGCGCATTACAAATGTTCCTGTCATTGCAAATCTGCATGACAGCGCTGGCGTGGGGACGTTTTTACTCAGGATACCATTTGGTGCGGGAAATGTGCTTGCTACTTCCCGCGCGTTTGGAAAAGGTGCTGCATGCGCCGGGGTGAGTAGACGAGAAGTGGTGGTTGAGGTGTGCTCTTTGTCGTCGCGGTTTGATGTTGTGTGAGTTGTAGTTTCTGTTTATTTTCCAAGAACTACGCTCCGCATCTTCATCACAAAGAAATGACACACTGCCGCGGTGTTTATTTTTTATCGAATAGCTGTAGTTTTTAGTTTTACCAATCTTTCAAAAATGAAAATCACACGGAATCATACGAAGCAACAGTAAGATACAGGATACAAACGGATTTGGACTTTCTTCATCGTGTTTACGTAAAATGGAGGTACAGGAGGCTTATACATCAAGAAGAGTGGTTGTGGTTTTGGTCTTGCTGCCGCACGTGAATAGCCTAGATAAAAGTTCAGACACGCTGTGAAGAAAATCATGGTCGCGGCACGACGCGTTTTGATAGTCAACCCTCATCGAACAAAGTGTTCGTCAAACTCATGCTTTTTTTCAGTAGTACCAGACAAAGTTTCTTTAGAAGCCCGCTTTATTTCTCTTTCTCCATCTAAGTACTGGAAGATCCAGAGATCCGATCTATCGTGTGTTTAGTCGCAAAGCGCAACTATCAGGATGCAGTTCATCTGGGTGAAGGAACGATCTCAAAAAAAGAAAAACGCAAATGTCGTACACAAGAATCCAGTCACTCCAAAATCAATAGCAAAAAGCTTTTCACTATCTCCCAAGGGCTTAATTTCCACCACCTAGACCCTCAGAAGCAAGATTTTTTCCGTAAACCTGTTTTGTGAATCTTTTCCTTTTCAAAGAAGTTTTTCATTTTCTGTGCTTCCAATAATTCGAACTTCGATTTCCAATTTCAGCCCACGAAATGAAACCCGCATAGTATTTTGCGGCAGTAGAAGAAATAGAGTTCTTGTTGTGTAGCTGCCAAAGCAGTAGCTAGTAGTTTTTTTAGTTTCACCCGATAAGACGTAAATTTCATCTAGATACAACTTTTTCAAAATTTGAATTCGATAGTAAAACAAAATGAAGATCACAGTCAAGACATTGAACAAGGGCGCCGGGGGAGCGGGAAAGCGTATAATTGACATGTTTTTCATCTTTTTGCTGTAGTAGAGTTGCGATTCATGCATGACAATGTTCTGTCCTCTTACCCTCTCAGCATGACAAACAAAAAAAACAGCGGACGGCAACTTCGAAATCGACATTGAGCCGACGGATACGATTCTGCAAGTCAAGCAAAAGATCGAAACGGTGAAAAGCGACTACGAGGCCGCGGGACAGAAACTGATCTGCGCAGGTATGAGTATGACAGTTTGGTTTCTTGTTAAAAATCAAAATACTCAGTTTGTATGCATGACAAAAATCCTTTCCCTTCCGTATCTGTACAAGACAAACTTTAGTACGTACGTGTAGATGAAGATCGTGAATTATGGAAAACGGTTAAAATCCTCTTCTATCAGGCCGAATATTGCAGAATGACAAGACCGTGGCGGATTCCTCGCTCAAAGAAGGCGACTTTCTCGTGTATAAAATGCAAAAGTGTCTGGGTCTGGAAGCTTGTGATGCAAATCTACGAATTGTGGGCGCACTACAATATGCACCCGAGCATGACCACAAGTTTTTGCGCTGCTGTGTCTTTCGTTTTTCGCATGACAAACGGCGTTTTTGCATGACAGGCAAGAGGCCCTTTTTCTGCTCATGCATCACAGATTCAAGACTCATGCCAGACAAGCATGACAAACCTGCATGCTTCCAGACCCAGACATATTTGCATGTGATATCGTGGTTATCCCCGCAAAAAAGCCGGCGGCCGAAGCGCCAGCCGCCCCAGCGGCCGCGGCACCAGCAGCACCGGCAGCTGGAGAGACACCAGCGGCTGGTGGTGCGCCAGCGGCACCAAGCGCACCAGTAGCTCCGGGAATCGCGGCGGCACCGGTATAGTAATGTGGAATGAGTTTATTTTTGCTGAACTTTTACTGCACCAAAATTTGTGAAGATGCTGATCAAGCGAAAGAGTCTGTATTTGAATTTGTATTGCTATAATTCGCTTCACTATCACTATCACAGGTTTCCTCCAACCGGGAGGCCGAAGCCGCCATTACCCAGCTGCAAGAAATGGGTTTTCCCCGGGACCAGTGCGAAGCGGCGCTCCGAGCGGCGTTTGGCAATCCGGATCGAGCGGTGGAATACTTGATGACAGTATTGTGCGGAAAAATGTCCCCTCCCCATATCAAAAAGAAAATTTGTCATGGTGATTTGTGACCACAAATCAGACTTGTCTTGCGTACGAGGCAAAGGGCGCTGATGTGTCGCATTGTGCAGCCAGTCTGTCATGCGATTTCGCCTATGTCAAGCTTGTTTCTCATGCGCAGCTGCTAGCCGGATGCGTACAACATTGGCAGCTGAGAATATGTCTATAAGCTGTTGCTGCAATACAAAGGTCACTTGTGTACACAAATCCGGCAACACAAATTGTCTTTTGAGTATGGGGTGGAAGCTTTTTTCGCTTTGATAGACGGGCATCCCGGCCAACCTACAAGAGCAGGCCTCCGGCGCGCCACCCGCGGCGGTGCAACCGGCGGGCGCGGGGCCCCCGGGCACGCAGCCGGCGGGTGCGGCGCCGGCCGCTCCAGCACCCGCAGCGTCGGGCGGTGAGGGCTTCCAGGGCATGGCTTTTCCGGCGATGGGCGGGGCTGCGGCGCCACCAGCGGGCGGCGCGGCTGGGGGAGCAGCGGCACCTGCAGCCGGGGGAGCAGGTAGTATATTTTTTTGATAGCTTATTTACTTAGGGTAGTTCTATCAACAATAGACCTTTTGCAGTCTTGCATACAAGCAAATCTACTAGAGCCGGTTTGATGTGGTCATGCAGAATCACTATCACCAAAAATTCACCCACTAAAAATCCAGCCGCCATCCCCGGCGCGGAGGGTGGTCAGATGGCGGAGTTGCAAGCCGCTATTGCGCAGAACCCCGCGATGTTGCAGCAAGTCCTGGCCCAGATCGGGCAAACCAACCCGGAATTGCTCGCTATGCTGCAGTATGCAATGCAAATATGTCTGGGTCTCCTGGAGGGTTGCAACTTGTGATACTGTCTCTGCGTTCTAGTAAAATCTGTCTTGCATGACCAGCAAAAGGAGTCCAGTTTGTGCTACATGGAGACGGCATTTCTGATGCGGAATAGGCATCAGGAAGCTAGCACATGAAAAATCTGTGATGCTACTAGGTTATGCATTACAGGCGTGATGGGTCATGTAAATTTTGCATGACAGACAAGTCTTGCATTCCTCCAGACCCAGACACTTTTGCATTCCATATGCAGCAGAACCCACAGGCGTTGATGCAAATCCTGGCCGGCGGAATGGGCGGCGAGGGAATGGAGGGAGAGGATGATCCGATGGGTGGCTTGCCGGGCGGCGGCGCAGCGGCACCGGGAGCGGGAGGAGGAGCACCGGGAGGACAGAGTACAGATTTGATGTTCTGTGTTTTGGATTTTAGTAAAAAAAAATCCTGTGCAAAGATTTATAAATCTGTGTTGCTGGCTCTGCAATCTGAACTTGATTTGTGATGCAAAAACCACTATACAGTCCAAATCGAGCTTTCCGAGCAGGACCGGGCGGCCGTCGAGAGGTTAGAACAGTTGGGCTTCCCCCGAGCGGCGGTTGTGCAAGCTTACATGGCGGCAGAGAAAAACGAGGAACTCGCTGCGAATTTGTTGTTTGATATGGGCGACGATTTTTAAGGATAGGGAGATGCATCATTCGTGATAGCACATCGTCAACATGCAGGATCCTTTTCCCCTTTGCTACTAGATGCGAAACAGTACAATTGAGAAATCTCCGAAAAGAACAAGCTAAAGTTTGCTAGTACAACAACGTCAACCCGATTGAAGAAGTGCAACAGTTTGCTTCAGATCATTTGATCAAACATGTGGTTCTTGTTGGGAAGTTGAAAAACAATGTATAGCGTTTTTTGGAAGATGAAGCAGGAGTATTATGCTCCGGGGGGATGAGTAAAAGTCCTTCACGACCTCACGACGGAAGCTTTTCTTCACACGTGAAAACCATGATGTTGCATCCAATCATTCTCATTCTTGATCATGCAGTACACGGTGCACAAGCAGAAAAGCAGTTCTCCGGGAGCGAGCGCATTTCCGTGACTGCTCAAGTTCGCGAAGATGACGAGTGTAGCGAAGTAGACATCACACATTAATGAGCGTGAGCGAATTCAGAAGATGAAGTGCCGCAGGAAGATCCATGGAGAGACAGATGAGCGAAGGACCGCGAATCTTCACTTCTCCAGCAAGAGTTAGCTGTCGAGATCATCATCTGTTCAACTTATCTATCATGATTAGGGGCACTATTACTAGATAAGCATGGTCGGCGGGGTTCTGCGCTTCCTTTGCATTGTGTTGGCGTAGTTGCTCTGCCCTCTGAATTCAGGACCAGCGACGTCGAGTCGGGGGCCGCGCATCTGAATGAACGCAGAGCAGCGCCGGCAACGAGTTTAAGGGATTCCGGGCGGGCCCGCAATTGGTGAAGAATTTTCTGGCAGTGTGTAAAGTCGTGAAGAAGGGCGCCCGGCACTAGTTGCGCGCGCGTGTGAGTTCCTGACTAAGATACGTTCTACAGCCGCCAGCCAACAGGCCCTGCACTTCCTTGCCGCCTTGTTCTGCTCCCGTTACTCCTACCCCCAGGACCGGCCCCGCGGCGCTTCTCTCACCGGCCCCGCAAGGTTGGGCCGCCTCCTTTGGCCCCGCCCGCCTGCGACCCGCCCCGCCTGCTGCGCCCGTCTGGCGCCCCGCATTCGGCGGCTGCGGCTCCTACCGCGCGCGGACTATCTTCCGCGCCAGCCAGGCAGCCTTTTCTCGGGAGGCGCGGCCCTCGGCCCCGGGCGGTCTAGCGCTTGGGCCCGGGCGGGCGTTGCGTGTCGGGAGGCTTCGCTGCATCCACTGGCCTCCCGGGGGCCCTGCTGCGTGCCTGTTCGGCGGCGCGCCGCCTCGGATTACCTACGGCGCCGCCCCTGCAGCGGGGCCAGCCGGTTTCGCTGCCTTGTGCCCTTGTCAGCTACTGACCATCAGTCGCGGTCATGGCCGTGCGCGGCTGGTGGGGGGCTATCAAGGTCCTTCACGATGAAAGTCATGTTGTATCCGCTCTGATTCTTGATCATGCGGCACACGGTGCAGAAAAGCAGGCTCTCGGGACCGAGCGCATTTCCGTGACTGCTCAGGTTCGCGATGACGACGAGCGTAGCGAAGTGGACATCACACACTGATGGGCGTGAGCGAATTTAGAAGATGAAGTCCCGCAGGAAAAGATCCATGGAGAGATAGATGAGCGAAGGACCGCGAGTCTTCACTTCTCCAGCAAGATTTAGCTACCAATAGTATCTACTGGATTTATCATATCTAAGGGCACTAGTACTACATAAGTATGGTTGGCGGGGTCGTCGTGTTGTGCTGAAAAATCAAAATGACGACGTGGACGGCGCGGACTCGGACAAGAGCGGGGCACGGGTGTCCGCGTCCCCCGCAGGCCCGGACCTCCGCCGCCCGCCCCCCGTCGCGTTGGTTCAATAGTACTGGCCGATTGGGCGGGGGCATCGCCCCGGCTCTCCGACCGCCAGGCGCAGCGAGCTGGTTCGTGGATTGCTTTCTGTGGAAAGCCGGCGGAGTGCGCGGAATATGAAGCGACCAAGGCGCGGCGTCGGCGCTTCGCGGTTTGCTAGGATGAAGAAGCGACCCCCCTGCTGTGGTACTACAGGGCATTCGCCGCGTTTTCGCGATGTGCTGTCGGTACTCGCCACGTCTTCGCAGTTGTCGCCGCCTTTTTTGGCGGCCCGCCCCGCCTGGCGCATCCGCCTACCGCCTCGCGCTGGGCGGCTGTCGCTTTGGTGGCCGGGGCGCCCGGTCCTACACTACTTATTGCGCGCTAGCGCTTCGGGATGTTTTCCGCGCGCGTCGGCTTCTTCTTTCGAGGCCAGGCATCCGGCCCCGGGCGGCCGGGTGCTTGGACGCGGGCGGGCGTTGCTTTTCGGGAGGCTTGGTTGCGTCCGTTGGTCTGCGTAGGCCTGGTTGCCTGCTGGTGCGGGCGCGCGCCGTCGCGGATTACCTGTACTGCGCGGTCCTTGTTGCTGCGCCAACGGGTTTCGTCGGGTGGCGCCTTGGCGGCTATTGATTACTGACCGCGGCCGATGGCCATGCGCGGCCGGCAGATGGACAGCTTGTTGTAAACCCTGCGCAGCGGAGCTTTTGGTCATAGAAGAGTGTTTGGCCCGAGAAAGGTTCGTGTCTTTGGCGTGTGCCGTCGTTCATGTTCACGAACTTGTTGGAGAGTGGAGCTACCGACAACTGCTCTTCATGTCGGCCTACCGTAGAGTGATGATTGACGGCGAGTACTCTGGACGTGGGTATAGGTGAAGCGCAGCAAAGTTTGTAATTATGGTGAGCGAGTTCCGAAGATTAAGTCCCGCAGGAGGATCCAGAGAGGTAGATGAGAGAAGGACAGAATCTTCATACCTCCAGTAACAAGATTTAGCTGCTTCATCTTTTTATCATATCTAATGGCGCTGGTGCTTTCAGAGTTCGCGTTTCGTTATATCAGGTTGGGTGGCCTGCGCCTGGTTGCCCTCCTGTTTGATAAAAAAAACGCCAAAAAATTTGACGCATGTGACCAGGACAGCCGCGGAGCCCGGGCGATGATACGTCGGCAATACGAGGAGTTGACGGAAAACGACCCGCCACTCCCGAGCTCTGCAGAAAGAAGCGAGCGCCAGCCCCACGGACGCGCCCGGGCCACCTATATCCTGCGCGGCTTCGCGCCAATCGCGTGGCGCTGTTTCGGAGCGGCGGGAAGCATGGCGCGCGCTATTTCCCGCAGAATCTCGCAGGCGCGCCGGACTGGCGCCGCATTTCCCTGCGGCGGCCGGGGCGCCCCCTTCAGCCTGCCGCCGGCGCGCAGACTAATTAATTTTCCACGCCGGCCGGCCACGGCTTTTGCTCCCGACTTCCTGCCCTCTGCCCCGGATGGCAGGCTGGCCGAACGCTTGGGCGCGGGCGGGCGGGAGTCGCGGGCCGGGAGGGTTGTTTGAATCAATCGTCGGGCCTGCCCCGGGCCTGGCTGCTTACCTGCGTGGGCGCGCGCCGCCTCGGATAGCGGGTGTACAGCGCTGCCTCTGCTGCTGGGCCGGCCGGGTTTGTTTCACCGGCTTGCGCCTTCCGTGGCTGTTGAATGACTATTAACCGCGGCCCCTGTTCCCGCGCGGCTATTGGGCAGCTTGTTGTAAAGCGTGCACAGTGGTTATGGTTTGATCATGGAGTAGAAGGAGAAGGACTTCAAGGTCGTAATATGTCTTTTTTCCTCTACCTTTTACCAACGTTTTTTTTCATTTTTAAGTACAGGTAATGGCTCATTATACCTCACTTTCTTCTTTTCTCTGTCCACTAGTCCGTCCAGCTCTATCTATCTATCTATCTATCTATCTATCTATCTATCTCTCACTGGGTGTCTCTTGAGTTTCTCTCCAAAAAACTGTTGTACCGCCGCACCAACGTGTGCGAGCATACCAAACGGTAATATTCTGATCTGATTGTCCTCGGTATGTCTGTGTGGTTGTCCTTGTTCATGAATTCGTTGGACGATAGCGGAGCTACAACCGACAACTGATCTTTATGTTGATCCACCGTAGACGTAGAGTGATGAACGACGGCGCGCACTCTTGCGATGGGCAAAAGCGCATCAAAGTCAGTAGTAATCTTTTCAGCCTGGTGGGCGTCCGAACTCCTTGGGCTCTTCGTTCTGAAAATTAATGCGTCACTGGTCTTCGCAATCAAGGAGCCTCAAGCACATGAAGTTTCTGAAACGCGAGCGCTGCAGTTTCTTGTGCATTCGATTTGTTTTTCGTGCTAAATTACGTTCAAGTGTCGTGCGCATACGCCAGTCGTTTTCAATTTTCGTCCTGTCGTTCCCACTCGTCCTTCTTTCTTCAAGCTTGCTGCTAGATGACTATCGTTGTCCCGTTGACATTACCTTTAATTTTAGTTTTACTTGTTGGTCGGCAGAAACATAGCAATCGGAAAATATCGCAGGAATTGTGGTGAAAGTGAAACAGTTACACTTACAACTCACTATCGGAGTAGCGGCCTCCTAGTACTACACCCAGATTGTAATTTTTATTGTTCTTTATTCTTTGTTCCTCTTCCTTTGCAGGTCCAGATCCAGAGTATTGTTTTTAGTTAGTAGCACACCGCCGCAAGCATCATGAGAGATCAGACGAACCGGCATAGTTGTACCTCTCGCGGATGGCTAGCCCTAGGTGCAGCTACAAGAACCTGCTTCATCTTGAGCAGTGGCAGTACGCAGGAAAACAACCCGAGTCTCCTGTTCGTCGCGGGTATTCAGGCCAAAATCTCCTCGGCCCGACAAGCTGGAAGCCCACTGTCCCTGGGGTCAAATGATCGCGGAAATAGGGCGAAGACAGCAAAGAAGGCAAGACAAGCAGGCGTCAAGCTCCCGGTCGTCGCCATCAAGGAGGAAGACGGAGATTCATCGTTTGCAGACGAAAGAACCAAACTAAACGATCAGCTCCCGCTGCTAAAGAAAACTGCTGCAAAACCGGTTACGAGCACGAATCTGCTGTCGACCTCCCGGGCGAAGCAAGTTAGTACCGGTAACCATCAAGCGGACGGACTTGCAGCTGCGTCTTTCCTTGACGCAGGAGAAGAGCATGGCGCCGCGAAGAAAAAATCGGTCTCCGCTTCGCTTCTGAAAAAACTACCCTCTGCCACTACAACTTCCGGGGGTCGTGATTATGCTGCGCAGGCAAAGCATCCAGAAGGAGCGGAAGATTTCATTGACGCAATCGCGAACAACCCTCCTGTTGTGAATGACGATTCTGAAGATCCTGCCGAGGACGAGCAGCCAGCGCTGACCCCGTCCTCTTCTCACCTCGAACTTGTTACTACGAAAAAAACCAATTTTCAAAACGCGAACGTCTTCTCGCAATTCCAGCAAAAGGAAGGAAACTGGGAAGACAAGGCGATCAAGGGTCCGGAGCAGGATTTAACCGCCGCGGATACGACCGAGTGCAGCGACCCGCAAGTCGGGGTTATCTACACCGGACAGATCCTGGTTCAAACGGGCATCACCGGGGGGACGCAGAACGGGAAAGTCGAAGCAGATGACAAATTCCCGCAGCCGAACAATCCCAACGACTGGAAAACCTGGGCGGACCCCAACGGACCAATCGCAAAGCACGCCGCGAAGAAGTGCTCGATGTTGTGTAAGTCGCTACCGCAGGAATTCGCCCCTTCCTCTGGAACCTGCGTCGCTTACACCGTCTGGTTCAACGGGGCTTTTGACCGAAACACCCCCTGGATGTGCCGCTTGTGGTCCTCGATCAGTAAGAAGCAGACGATCCAGCCCGGACCCGAAACGACGAAGAAAATTGAAGATGGGGACAAGTTTGGGAACGGCTGGGCGCGGAAAGAGGCGGGGGATTTGGCCTGGATCAGCGGCCCGGGCTGTCCGCAAACCATGACGGGTGCGGCGAACAGCTGGTTGGATTTCTCCAATTGCGAAGATTCCAAACAGGGCGCACAAACTATCAGAATGAAAAATGCCCCCACCCCCGAACTTGAAAGCATTTGCATTGCAAACCTTTCCAAATGAAACATTCGCCCTCTTGCACCTATCAGCATCACAGGCTTCCAATCGTGAATAGCGAAAATTTGTATTGCAAAAGACCCCAGCAAGAGCGGCGCTTGTCATGCAAGCGATGCGGTACACGCCTAGACTCTGCATCAGAAAGATTCATACTCCTTTCATGCATGACAAAAAGGTTTCATTTGGAAACTTCGCATCACAAATTTTTGCAATTTGAGGGGTGGGGGGCACTTTTCACTGTAATACAAACGAAGGGACTCGGGAAGGACTGGGTGGTTGGGGACAGCCCGCTCTGGTTTATAACCCGCTCAGGTGTTGCAATCTCAAATCGGCTACCATAGAATCTGGAATCTGTGTTGCAAAATGCGCAACATCTGGCCTACTCCGACAGGAGCGCGCATGACAAGTTTCGGAGTTGTTCCAAACCGCATCAGAAGCTGGCGAACTTTGTATTGCGAAAGGCCCAAGTCTCTGTATGGTACTCATGCTGTTCATGCAAGACAAATTTCAGAATCTATTGTAAGGCTAACAATGTTTAAGATTGTAACACCTGAGCAAGCCATATGGTTCGAGGAAATCGTCTACACCCCGGAAATCGTGAACCCCGTGGACCAAGCAACCGGCGACGTTGGCTGGGGCTACACGGTTTGCTGGGGGTTGTGCCGGTTGTACGATTTCTGTGAGTCGTTCTCCGTCGGGTGGCAGAACGGGCTACCGGGGCCGGCCTGCTGGCTGCGGAAGGCCGACCCCAATGGAATTGAGCAGGACTGGAAGGACAGCACCAACATTCACAGCGGGAAATTGGAATGTATCCCGCAACCGTGGACGGAGCCTCCGCCTGTCCCCGCTCCGTTGCCTGCTCCAACGCCGGTCCCAGCACCGATGCCGAGTCAACCAATCACGACGCCGTTGCCGATCATCCTCCCGCCGGAAGAGCCAGCGCCGTGTCGCATCTGGTTGCTGTTGATCGGTGCGGGGCTGTTCATGCTGTGCTGCGCTTCGGCGACCGCGGCCACGGTGGTGAAGGAGAATGAGTTGCTGAAGTACAACAGCCATGCAATGCAAATATCCCTGGATGTCTGGAAGGTTGCAACGTGTGATGCTGTCTCTGGATGCTAAAAAAATCTGTATTGCGTGACCAGCAAGAGGAGCCCAGTTTGTGTACTAACGCGGGGAGGGCATTTGTCATGCGGAATAGGCATCAAGAAGCTTTCGAAAAGTCTGTGATGCTAGGTCATCCATTACAGACATCATGGGCTATGGACAACATGCATGACAAACCTAGCAATCTAGTTCCAGACCCAGACATATTTGCAATGCATAACAGCTTCAGCGAGACGAATGTGAAAGTGGATGTGGAAACCGAGGAATGGGAGCAGAATTGGGAAGAAAATTCTAATGCGTACGGAGTGAAGACGAAAGCAGGGAAAGCCGCTTTGGAAAAACGCAGGGCGAATAAAACCTCCAAAGACCGAGATTTATCGGCGAGCAGCAACGCCACTTCCGAAACGTCGAAGGCAGCGAAGAATTCGCTCGCGAAAAGGAAAATGAAAAAGAAGGAAAAAGAAGATGACACTGGTATCACGACCGAAACGTCTCTTGAAGCTGTTACGGGGGATGATGACACGACAGAGCAGGAGTTAACTGACTCTGAAACCGCGAGTTCCGCGATACTGAAAACAGCCACTGCGAAGAAAAAAGCGAAGCCGAAGGGGAATGCGGTACTCGACGCGGAAACGGAAAAAGCCGCAACGGATTTGGCTGCAAATCTGAAGTTGACGAATGGATACGCCGTGAGACTCGCGAAGGCCATGGTAGATCCGGATCTCGCTGGGAAGCCGTTGCCAAAGCCGAAGAAGAAGGTGGATCGAGAGGCGATGCTCGCGGCGAATATCGACGTGGACAAAGGGGACATGGCACAGATGATGAATTTGATCTCTGCGGTATCCCAAGGAAAAACGTCCCCATCCCAGAGTTGTCATGCAGATCTGCATGCTGAAGATGTTCTGTTTCTCATGCGGAGCCCCATGAGAAGCGCTTTCGAGTCGTGCTGCGGAATTTGTCATGCTTCAATCAGCATAATGTGTTAACAGATCTGTGATGCTGGTGAACCACCTAAATCGAGGATTACACTACGAGCCCAGGAGATGAGGACTTGTCATGCGCAGCAACCAAAGCGTGTTGATTTGTCTAGCAGATTTCCCATCTTGACTATGAAATGGGGACGTTTTTCCTCAGGATATGCGACGGCTGGTAAAAGGGATTTGTCCGCGGTTCCGGGTGTTGGTGCGGTGTCAGGTCGAGATCCGGGGGAGAGGGCGGAAGCTTTGTCTCTACAGTCCGGACAAGCGAAGAAACTTCTGGATGCCGATGTCTCCGACTTGGATTCCACCCCGTCTGAACCTACGACTGGGGAGAGAGCGAAGTCGGCTAAGTTGCGGAAAAAGAAATCGAAGAAAGACAGTGTGAAAAGAGAATCGAATTTGAACAAGGAGACAAAAACCGACAGTGAAAAAGCCGACTCCGACTTCCAGGGCGGCCCGGCGACTGCGGGGAAAAAGAAGAGAAAAACGGAACAGAATTTGGACAAAGAGGCCGGTGTCACTACGGAAAGCAATGCGTCAAGCGGGGAAAAAGCCACGAAGGCGAGTCTGAAAAAGAAGAAATCCTCGGTGAAAAAGAAATTGGATTCCCAGAAATCCTTGAAAGGGGCGCGGGAATCGGATGCACCGGGCGAAACCGCTGGGACAACTGCTGCTTTACAAACTGCTGTTGCGCCGGGGGGGAAAGTTTTGCAAGTCAGCGCGGATCTCGATACGGAAAGCGAGCTCGAGCCCGGGGAGAAAGCGAAGCAAGCTAGCCTGCGGGGTAGTAAGAAGGAAAAAAAGAAGAAACTCGAAACGGAAAAGGAGTTGACTACCGACCAAGACACTGAACAAGGTGAGACTGCGAACAAAGCGAGTCTTAGGTCCAGTAAGAAAGAGAAGAAAAAGAAGCTCGAAACGGAGAGGGATTTAACTACAGATCAAGACACTGAACAAGGTGAGACTGCGAAGAAAGCGAGCCTGCGCTCCTCGAAGAAAGAGAAGAAGAAAGCGCTCGACGCAGAGAAAAATCTCACTGCGGAGTCTGAGCCCGAAGCAGGGGAGTCCGCGACGAAACTTTCCTTGAAGCAGGGGAAAAAATCGAAGAAGGACGCATCTCTTCGGACGAGCAAGGATTTGGCCGCTGGTGTTTTACCGGATGGGGATTTAGAAATTGCGGGAACAGGAGCTTCCTTGCAGAAGAAAAAGTCATCTTCCCGAAAGGAAAAATCCTTAAAAGCAGAAACCGTATGCATTGCAAATCTGTCTTGGTCTGGAAACTTGTGATGCAAGTCAGTGAACAATAAGTGAAGTGTAATGCGCAGCCAAGCATGACAAGTGTTTTCGTGCTTCTGTGCTGCGCATTCCGCATGAGAGCCTGCGTTTTTGCATGACAGGCGAGAGAGGCTGTTCCGATGGCCTCACGCAATACAGAGTGCAGAGTCATGCCAGACTAGCATGACAAATGTTGCAATCTTCCAGACCCAGACATGTTTGCAGTTGATAAACGGAACTTGACACGGATTTTGAGATCACCGAGGCCTTTCGAATCCTGAAGAAAGCGGGGTTGGAAAAGGCTTACGCAAGAAAACTCGCGGCGACCATTGCGGACAAGGATCTAAACGCGGAGCAAGTTCTATGGGAGTGCACAACCCCCCCTCCCCCTCATTTGTGATGCAGAATGCCTAATTTACACCCTGCCTCTGGGCTCATCTGTTAGCATGACAAGTTCTGGCAGCCCAAATGGCACTACACTTCTGTCCAAATTTGTCATGCAAAACCTGTATTCTTGCTGACGCCTGTATTGCTGTTCATGCAATACAAATGAGGGGGAGTGGGAGTTGTGCACATTCATAAGCTCCTACCCCGCCGAATGATCTGGACGCGCAGAAACTGGAAGAGCTCGGCTTTGGTCTCGGTGAGTCGGTCGGAAAACTCCGATTGGCGGTGGCCAAGACGAAACAGAAGCAACAAGCCCTGAAAGCGGAAAAATCATTGCAAAAAGAGCAGAGGCCGTCCGCCGCGGAATCGGCGCAATCCATGTCTTTACGGACTTCCCGGACTGTATGGAAGTGTCAGGATCGAAATCGTCAGAGTTGAAATAATTTGTGATGCATAAAATGCAGCCCACAAAGTGCCTGTCTTGCAGAGTAGGCAAGAGAGGCAGCTTGTAAGCCTGTTGAGGGGTAGAAACTAAGCAGCTAAAGGAGCATGACAAAAGGCGTCTTCCTTACCCAAACAGCATGACAAACTGGATTTCGGTTCTGCCTAGATTTGTCATGCGCCACTTGGAAACTGGGTTACAACTTTCATCCATTTTATGCATGGCAAACTATTTCAACTTTGACGATTTCAAACCTGACACATCCATAGACTGTGAAGAAACAAAAATTGGCCACCGATCAGATCATCACTGCTGCACCGGAACGGAACGAAGTTATGGATTGCAAAAATGTCTGGGTCCGGAAGAATGCAATCTTGTGATGCTGCATTTGGATTCCTAAAAAATCTGTATTGCATAAGCAGCAAAGGAAATGCAATTTTGGCCGCGCGGAGAGGGCATTTATCATGCGGAATAGGCATCGCAGACAGAGCCCTCAAAAAGTCTGTGATACTAGGGCATGCATCACAGACATCATGGCCCATGCAAAACGTGCATGACAAGTCTCAGAAATTTCCAGACCCAGACATTTTTGCAATTGATAGAAGTGGAGAATGTGCTAGTCGAAGCGGGGATCGGGAAGAAATACGCGAAAAAATTGGCCAGGAAGTTAAACGATCCAGATTTGGATGCCGTGCCAGTACCCGCAGACGAGAAGGATTTGTCTGTCCTTCAATCACTCGGTTTGTTCGGAGAGAAGGAATCTTCCATGGAAAAGATGCGTCTTTGGGCAGCAGCAGCGGCGAAAGCGAAAAAGAAAAAGAAGCCAATGGAGTTTGGAACGGATACTATTTCTGTCGATTTTGCGGTGGCGGAAAAAGCTCTTTTAAAACTCGGATTGGAAAAAATGCAAGCGAAGAAACTCGCGGAAAAAATCGCCAGTCCGGATTTAAACGCCGAAGAAACCTTAAGTGACACACTGGATGAAAAGTCACTGAAACTGTTGCAAACGTTAGGTTTCGGCGGGAGTGAGAAAATCACCCAGACAGCCCAGTGGATTCAAAAAGAAGCGATAAACAACAAGAGGGAAGAGACTTGTTTGACCACCATGACATTAGACGCAGGGATTTCCGAGAAAGCTCTTCTCTCTGCCGGGATGACTGCGAAATTTGCGAAGAAGCTCGCGAAGCAACTCGGCGATCCGAATTTAACGGCGGAGGAAACGCTTGCAGAGCCGGACAATGAGAAGGATTTGCAGATTTTGAAGCACATGGGGATTTTTGGCGACACAGAAAAAGTTGGGACCATGCGGGGGTACTTGCACCAGAAACTGGAGCAGAAATACGGGGTGGATGAGAATGGAAACTTGAACATCACGGCAGATATCACGATCGATTTTGGAACTTCTGAGGAGGCGTTTGTGCAGCAAGGCTTTTCGAAAAAGACCGCGAAGAAACTGGCGAAGAGAGTGGTGGAAAAAGATGTCGATGAAACCGAAGCCTCGCTAAGAGAAGACATGGACGAAAAGGATTTGGAGCTGATGGAGCAACTGTACGGGCCCGGATTTTTCGATAACAACCCGACGGAACTGAACGAGCAAATGGAAGGTTTTGTGAAGCGGCAGGTGTTGATGAAGCAGAAACGAATCTCCATTGATTTATCGACCATGAAGTACGCCGATGTGGACTTCGGCAATGCAGAGGAAATTTTCGTGTTGAAAGGGTTTGAGCCCCTGATGGCGAAGAAGGTCGCGAAGGCGGTGGTGAAAAACGATAAGGAGGGACTTGCGGAGTTGATTGAAAATGGTGATTCGGGCGAATTAGCTATCAAAATGAAAAATCCCCCCACCCCATACTCAAACTTGAAAGTTGTGATGCAGATTTGTGGCCACAAATCAGCTTTGTCATGCTAGAAGGGAAAAGATGCGGACTGTAGTGCTGGTTGGCGTGGGAAAGCCTTGCATCTTCAGCATGACATGGGGCAGCTGGAAGTGAGAAACTGCATGACAAATTGCCTGCAAATGAGGCCACAGCTGCGTCTCTTGGCCTTCTAGCATTACAAGTCGATTTGTGTACTCAAATACAGCATCACAAATTTCGTTTTCGATATGGGGAGGGGGGATTTTTCATTCTGATATTAGCGGCCGCGGATGTACCGGGTCAGAAGGAATTGTTGGCGGCTCTAGCCGGGACAGGAGATTTGAAATCCGATGTTGCGATGGACAATCTGATATGGATTGCAAATATGTCTGGGTCTGCAAACTTGTAATGCTGAGTTGTGAATAGTGAATGGTCTGTAATGCATAGCCAAGCATGAGAAATATTTCCGGGGCTTAGTGTTGCGTTTTCCGCATGACAAACTGCGTCCTTGCATGACAAGCAAATGGGTCTCTTCTTGGACACGCATCACAGACTTTTCAGTCATGCCAGGCAAGCGTGACAAACCTTGCACCCTTCCAGACCCAGACATTTTTGCATTTGATATCTGAAAGATATGTTGGAGGAGGAAATCGACAACAACAAAGAGAAATACGCAATGCCGGAGAAGCCGATTCTTCGCAGCAGGGCGTCCTCGAAGAAGAAGAGATCTCCTTCGGAGATTCTGGTTGATCCTGCTAGTACTGGAGCTCTACTACTACCTCCTGACGCAGAACTTGCTGGCGTGAATATGAAAGCAGGTGGATTTTTACCACAGAGAAAGCCGAAGAAAGAGCCGCCCAGTGCCTTTATGCAGTCCTGTTGCTGCTGCTTTCTCGGAAGTAGCGGTCAAGACGACGAGGGTGCAGACGATTTGTATAATGCGCCGGCAGTTCAAGTTCAAGGAGGAGGAGGTGAATCTGTTCAGCCGATTGGCATCGCGAAGCCGATCCACCTCAAGATTGAGGAAGCGGCGACAGATTCGGAGCAAGGAAGAATCGCCACCGATGAAATCCGATGATATTGACTACTCGGAGCAGTTGCAGTATGATGGTCAACAAGCATTACAAGCCGAAAGAAGCGTCCTTACCCCCGAAATCATGCAGCAGGAAGCGGAACAAGCCATGGTAGCGGCCGGGTTTGAGAAAGCGGTCGCGGTCAAAGTGGCCCAGAAGATGGCTGCGAAGGGAGAGAATCCGGAAGGGGAACTGGATGAAGAAACCCGAATGTGTGCGATCAACGCGGGAATACTGACGACGGAGCAAGTGGGCGATAGTCCCATATCAAATGCAAATATGTCGGGGTCTGGGAAACTGCGAGATTTGTCATTCTAGTCTGGCATAACTCTGAACTTTGTATTGCGTGGCCGCAAAGACAAAGAGCCCCACTTGCCTGTCATGCAAAAACGCAGTTTCTCATGCGGAGTACGCAACTCAGAACCACGGAAAAACTTGTCATGCTTTGCAGCGCATTACAGTTTGCTCACTGTTCCCTTCCTCGCATCACAAATTTCCAGACCCAGACATATTTGCAATCCATATCCCATGACGATGCGAGATTTAACCTCGAAGTTGATGGAGGTACAGAGTCAGTGTTTTATCCAATCCCTATCCCCAACCAGCTTTGTGAACTACGCGAATGAGCGGGATAATCTCTATTACAGTAAAAAATACCCCCACCCCCGAACTTAGGAGCATTTGTATTGCAAACCTTTCCAAATGAAACATTCGCCCTCTTGCATCTATCAGCATCACAGGTTTCCAATTGTGAATAGCAAAAATTTGTATTGCAAAAGACCCCAGCAAGAGCGCCGCTTGTCATGCAAGCGATGCGATACACGCGTAGACTCTGCATCAGAAAGATTCATACTCCTTTCATGCATGACAAAAAGTTTTCATTTGGAAACTTCGCATCACAAACTCTTGCAATTTCAGGGGTGGGGGCACTTTTCACTGTGATAATCTCGGTGGGTTGTCCATGCTTCAATCCGCGGCCATGACGTCTTTGAAGTCGGGCATCATGTCCGGCGCGGTGCCTATGGGAGTGTCAGGATCGAAATCGTCAGAGTTGAAATAATTTGTGATGCATAACACGGATACCAGTTGGCGCCTATTTTTCAAGTGGCGCATGACAAATTTCGGTAGAACTGAAATCCAGTTTGTAATGCTGTTTGGGTAAGGAGGACGCCTTTTGTCATGCTACTTGAGCAGCTCAATTTCTACCCCGCAACAGGCTTACAATCTGCATCCCTTGCGTCCTCTGCAAAAGAGGCAACTTTTGCGTTGCATTTTATGCATCACAAACTATTTCAACTGTGACGATTTCGATCCTGACGCTTCCATAGTGCCGATATCAGATCTGACGTCGACGGGGTTTACGAATTTTGACCCTGCGATGATGGAGGAACTGGGCCTGGACAAAAAGGAGGCCGCGAAGAAAAGGATAAAAGACGCGGCGATGAAACAGGTGTGAGTTCTTTTTCTAGGTATTCACAAAGTTACAAGAATTATGATCCAAATTTTTGCCTCAATACACGTGCACTGCTCAAACCAGAATCTAAATCTCCCCTCACATTTTTGCATAAGTATTGCATAAAGCATTTTATCTTCCTGTAAACTCGCATCACGATATCCTCGTGCAATCATATTTGAGACCCCTAGTTTCATCTACTACCCAGATAAAGCAACGTAGCACACGAATTTTTCTCAATTTTCCTTTCACAACGACCTTAGAAAGAATACATTTCAACACAACTACGTGCAGAATTTGCCCCCCCCATTTTGGTAACGTTATCATGCCAACGAAAAAGAAGCAGTTTCAGTCGACAAGGCTGCGGAAGAAAAGGCGTGACTGTGACGGCATGGCGCTGTTCTAGTTCTACGGTCTTTATTCTCACTCTCGCTTTCGTGATCGTCGTGCCTCATCGTTGTACAAATCACAGTAGAACTGTTTTTAGTTGTCCAGAAGATTTCTCGGTCATTGGAGCCGATTTGTTGGTCCCCATCGTTCGCGTTTCTGGTATAAAAAAGGTTTTTCCAGCATGATCGTTCACATGATCTTCGTCGTTTTTTTTTTCGTCCGTTGTGTTTGTGGTCGTTGGTTTATCATCAGTTTTCTTCCGTAAGTTAGTACCCTGTTGCTTCACCTGATATTCTACTTCAATAGAGAAGCCAGGACCTTTCCAAAGAGTGAAAGTGCATAAAAGCGAATACAGTAGAGCAAGAACCCAGCTCAGCACATAGGTCAAAAATCGAGCAGCTGATGAAGTAGGTTTTTATCTTCAGCTGGAGCTTCGCCGCCATAAAATCTCACTCGATTTCAACTCTTCGTAAAACACAATGGGAAATAGCTTTCGACCGACAGGCGGGCTGTTTCTTGCAGCCGGTGGAGCAGCAGGGTTTTTTAGCAGTCCAGCATCGGCGTACCTATTCAACAGCGAGCTACAACTATTTTCGCAACCTGGCCGTCAGAAGAACAAGAAGACTATGCCCTTTGTTCCAAGAAATCCGTATGCAGACGTGAAGCCAACGCAGCCCGACTCTACTTCCTACCTGCAGCTATTACAGGCGCCAGAACTTCTACCGCCGATAAACACAACAAGTATTCTTCTTGCCGAAGAAGCCGTGTTTGAGCCAGGGAAAATAGATTTCGAAATCGGTTCGACGCAAAAGTGCAGAAACAATAATTCCACCTTCTGCGGCAGCCCGCTGGACCCAGCCAATCAGCCGTTGGTGGGAAAATTTGGATTAATGCGCCATGCATCCGCAGACCAGAAGAACGGGCGGAAAGGACAGGAAATATTTGTACCAGTTGATGTACAACTAGACGTGCAAACCAACGAGGGAATTACAACGACGCCGACCACATTGGGAGGAACAAATGTGGGCGGAGGTGGACCCGGATTCGGTGTGCCGGTGCCCCCGGAAAAGACGACTCCTTTGGACGACACGAGTAAAACGGAACAAGAAGCTCCTGCGACGAGGGCAGCTACCGGGCCGGGTGCAGAGGTGTTAGTACTGGGAGGGAGGCACACAATGGATTCGGCACCGGTGCAGTATTCGATCCTGGAAGGGCCGTGCTGCTGAGATGTTGAAAATTGCTCGATAGACTGAAGATTTGTTGATGTGGTTGGTTCTTACTGGTTTTGCCGAACACGACGACTACAGGTCGCACAAAAGTACTGACGCATGATATCCTCGTGCGAGTTCAATATAATCGTACAGCCGCCGAAGGAGCCGACGTCCGTCGGTAAAAGATTAGTTACGATTTTACCAAATGAGCAAGCGCATTTTCGCTGCAATTGTATGTAGTGAGGTCACCGAACGGTTCTAACCAGGGAGTTTTCTTGACATATACCCTGAAAAACGACCGGCAGTTTTCAAGCGGTCGGAAGCGTTTTTTGACAAAAAAAAATTTCAATTATCAAGCGGCCCTGGCTGTGTCGGCACCGAATCGCCAGCGGATTCTATCGATCGCCGCTTGGTAAAACGACGCAGAGAAGCCAGCAAAAGGGGCGCCCTTCTGAGGCGCCCACCGCCTTAGTTTCTGGCGGTCTGGGGCGCCCAAAAAGGAGCGCGAAAAAAACGCGCCCAAAATCAGAACAGCGAAACAGCATGGCACGGCCACGGTTCCGGAGCATTTTGGGCGGCCGCGAAAGCGGCCGCGTTGTCGCCGGTTTCAGAGCCTGGGAAGGTTTGCAAAAAGCGCCGGCTAGAAAAATAAAAACGCAAAAAAGCAAAAGCGCGCCAGACGCGCCAAGCCAATCCGCATGCTATGGGCCCGATTTTTCTTCGCTTTTTGGGCGCCCCCCGTGGCACCCGGATCGGCCCTATAGCATGGGGGCTGGCTTTCGGAAAGGACTATCGGGAATTTGCCAAAATTTGCGACGTTTACCAAGCGGCCGCCATACCGTGCGGCCTAACGTTACTCGCGGCGGTATGGCGAGGCCAGAAAAAGCAAAGCCGCGGCCAAGGCGACGGCCGGCAAGAAAACGCCCACGACCTCACTACCCCCGCCCCGGCGGCTATATTTGGTAGTACTCCTGTTTGTACTATCGACAACAAGACATGTAGTTTTTGACGCCGTACAACTGGAGTATCCCTTCGGCTTACGGTTTCAGTTTTACTCCAGTAGATATTGCATCTTCAGCATCAGGAGCTACAACTGAAATTGAACGTTTATTGCCCTGCTGTTTACTTTACTTTATACTGTAAAATCACAAGAGCAAGACGAGTCAGCAGTTTTACTAAGCTTTGCACTCGTCGATCGGTGCTGTGTTTGGCTTGTTGAGCCGTCCTTCGATGTACTATCGAAGATATTTCATCCGGTGAACCAAGAACAGCCCAGGTTGAGGCTTCTTCGTTCGTGCGCCCCCTGGAGCTGTCTATAATATTGAAGCGCTTTCATTGTAAGGGAAAGTGTGTCCTCGGTTGTCGTGCAAATCGGATAATTTGCGCTACGTTTAAGTACTGATTTTTCATTTCTTGGCTGCAATCGTCTGCGTCAACGAGGTACTATGATCGGTATCTGTCGTCCACTGCAATCGCATTTAGGCGCAAGAAGTGCAAAGCTATCGTGCGAAAACTTTCGGTTGCTGCCGCGCTTCGTGTTTTCGTGCGCTTCGTGTTTTCGTGCAATTTTCGAAAAATTAATTTCGGTTGCTTCCACGCCTCGTGTCTTCGTGTGATTTCCGGTTCGTCCACACTGCATCGTGTAAATTAGGTCAGATCAGGTGTTTGACACCCTAAAAGCGAACCGATTGAATTATCCCAACCACGACCACAGGTTTGCTCTTTCGCATGTCAACTCCCGAATTCGCAGACACACAGAAATCACCCCTAAAAATTTGCGCATAGAAATTAGGTAACTATAGTACAACCCCACCACCTAAGTAGAGAAATACAAGAGCAGGCGTCTGCCAAGAGCCCTACAATCCGTGATCATGCTGCTATGAAGTTGCGACTCAAAATCCAGTGAACATTCCCCGATGCGCTACTCCTGAGGGCGGGGCAGCTCTGCGCGAAAGCCGCGGGTTTCGGTGATACGTTCGCTATGGATCATTTCTTGACGGCAAGAGTTGGACCACGAAGATGTCGCCTGCAGTAGGAACAAGTACAGCAAGAACACCCATGCTGTCTGGAAAAATGAAGCGGGAGAATAAACCTCTCGCCCCTGCTTTGGGGAATATTCCGGGGCGACCGCTATGGGGGGCAAGACCTCCTCCGAGGTGGAGTACAACTGCAGCGGCGGTTTCGTCGATAATAGCAACAGAGATTCATCTTTTAACGAGCCAGAGCGTCTTTTTCCAGCCTGTTGCCGCTCTGCTTCAGCTGAAAGGGAACAGCAAGCGTGCAAGTGCAGCTTCTTCACGAATAAAACCGTTGCTGGCGAATCGGAAAGAAAGAGTGGAACAGTTGGAACTGCGGCTGGAACAGGAAGAGAAGGAGAACAAGAGCAGACCCAGTCCAGATAGTAAAAGCCCGCGGAAGGAGAAAGGACAAGGAGTTGTACCAACTGGCAGTTCATCTTCATCCGAACAGGAACCAGGGACAACAAAGGCCGACGTAGTGGACAAAAAGTCATCAATATTAGAAAGCACAAGAACAACTACACAGCAGGATGCCCCAGAAGGATTGCCGCCAATAGCGAAACGTTCCGTAAGTCTGCTTCAGAGCAGGCGAAAGCCTCCGAGTGATTTTTCGAGAAATAAGCACGAAGAAGACCACTACCCTGTGCAGGAGCAGAAAGTAGACACCAATAATAATGCCATGGAAAATATTAACACAAAATGCGACGAGGTGGAACCACAAGACGACGACAACGATGACGATATTTCTTTTGGTAAAGAGGACGTTTCTCTTCTTGAAAAGCGACGGGCTGCGAGACGAGCAAACGACGGTGCGTTAGCAATGGAGGAATTGTCTTTCCCGCCAACCACTTCTTTCTTCCAAATCGGTGAGGTGAAGCGGGGATCGAAGAGCCGGCTGAAGGTTCCTGCAAAGGACAAGCGTGCTGTTGCTGACCAAAATGAAGATGCGTTGAACAATGCCGATTCATCTTCCCGTACTACAGTGACTTCCGGTTCGATTTTAGAAATTTTGAACAAGAAGAAGAGAAGAATAACAGTAACCACTACACGTCTTGCGGAGAGCAGTACGCGCGAAGGTCGCATTTTAGCAGCAGCAAAAGAAGGAACCTCCAAAAAAGCAGCGCTAGCGTCGACCAACGCGCCCGTTCCCGCTCGAAACCAGCCCAACCAGAGCAACGACGTAGTCTTTTCTTTCGAAGGAGGAGGAGGACCACCGTCCGGAAATGATGTGAAAACGCCGTCGATTTTATCCGCGAGCAGTAAAAGAACTTCGGTTGAAGATAAAAATTCCGCGACGTGGTCGTCCGGGGAGCGAAGTACTTCTATATCCGCGAATAAAGCTACTGGTCGTACTCGTAGACGTAGTACTCCGAGCACGACCTCAGAAGATGAGAATGCGCACCAGCCGGGGTCAGGAGCCAGCTCTCCTGGACGATATCAAGATGATGTTGTATCAGAAGACGGAGTATGAAATGCAAAAATGTCTGGGTCTGGAAGATTGCGAGATTTGTCATGCCAGTCTGGCATGCCTCTACACTCTGTATTGCGTGGCCACCAAGAGGTCCTCTTGCCTGTCATGCAAAAGCGCAGTTTCTCATGCGAAATGCGCATCACAGAATCACGAAAAAACTTGTCATGCTTGGCGGCGCATTACAGAGCACTTATTGTTCACGGACTTGCATCACAAGTTTCCAGACCCAGACATTTTTACAATCCATACGGAGCCTATGCCTATCCAGAACCACCTCCCCCGAAAATTTCCTCTATCATGTTCGCCGCCCCGCCAGTTACGGAAGAGGAGCAGCACCAACCTGCATCATCTTCATCTTCACCAGGGTATGGTATTCATGAAAGCGACAGCCCAAAAATCAAGATAAACATCAACATCCCAACGTCAGATGGGAAGAACACCGAGGACACAAGTAATACAAATACTCTTCCGTCGGCCTCCGTGCCCCTCGAAGTAGAGGCTCCTGGAACATCAAGCAACGGCACGGACGCTTCGCTGGCGCCAGACGGGGCGTCCGATGGCAGCAGCAGCAGCGGCAGTTCCGAACTCATGGATGATGATATCAAGTACACAACTCTCCCTCCCCCTCATTTGTCATGCAAAACCCCAAATCCAGTCGCTGCCCTGTGGCTCTGTTTGCATGACAAATTCCGGAAGCCCAAACAGTACTACATCAGGTACATAAATTTGTCATGCGTAGGCTCCACGTGTGCTGGTGTTTGTATTGCTGTTCATGCCATACAAATGAGGGGGAGGGGGACTTGTGCACTGTTATAGATGAAGAAGATTCCTCCATCCTCGGGATCATCAAGCGCCTCACCACCGGGTATCAGAAGGAAAAATCCCCCCTCCCCATATCGAAAAGGTATGTTTCCAAAAATTTGCGTTGCGGATTTGAGGTCACAAATCACCTCTGTCTTGCACGAAGGCAAACCCAAAGAATACGCCGCCTTATGGAGGCGATTTGTAATGCTGTTTCACCTACATGGCAGGCCTCTCTTATGCCAAGCGCCTACAACAAAACACCCCTACGCAGGCTCCTGAGGCTTTGCCTGTAGTGCCTCGCTGCAAGACAGGGCTGATTTGTGTACTCAAATACAGCATCACAAATTTCGTTTTCGATATGGGGAGGGGGAATTTTTCTTCTTGATACCGGGCAAATCATCGCCATCATTGCCGCCGCGAGTTTCCTGTTACTAGTTCTCGCGCTCTGCTGCTACCTGAAGTGCTGCCGGATATGAAATGCAAATATGTCTGGGTCTGGATGAGTGCAATGTTTGTCATGCATATTTTCCATGAGTCATGATGTCTGTGATGCATGCCTAGCATCACAGATTCTGCGGGGGCCTTCTGATGCTCCTACGACCGCATGAGAAATGCCCTCTTTGCGTAGCAACAACTGGGCCTCTTTTCCTATTCATGCAATACAGATTTTATGTAGAAAATCCTGAGGCAGCATCACAAGTTGCACCCTTCCAGACTCAGACATTTTTGCATTTGATACCGGAAGAAGAGCGACAACAAATCGGTCAAGCTGGTAAAAACGCCGAGCGGGAATTTTATCGTGGATGAGTCGGGGCTGGATCAGGGAGATACAGAAGGACACCGCGCATCGGGAGTTAATACAGGCAATAAACCTGCTACACGAAAATCCGGGGATCCAGACGAGGGCACAGCACTCCCCCACGACGGGAAACACCATAAACATCCGAAAGGTAGTACCCCGCAACAGCAGCACCTAGTCGGCGGGCAACATCAAGCGGGTAGTACTCCTATGAAGGGCGCGGGAAAGCATATCCAGGGCTCTTTGCCGCCTCTAGCCCATGGAGGTTCTTCGCAGCTCTCCAACCCACAAAGCCTACTGCAGGGGATGCTTCATGGTGCCCAGGGAGCGGAAGTTGTTGCGGTCGCTGCCCCAGCAGGGTTGGCGCAACCGTCGAATGAAATTTACCATGGGCAATCGCCCTCGCAAAACGCGTTTCTGATGGGCACGGGTGCGGCGCCGGGGCCGGTGAGCAAATTCGGCAGAGCCATGTCGAGGGAACTCAAGTACGGCTTGGACCACGCGAAGGACATACCGAAGATATCAAGAGGAAAAATCCCCCCTCCCCATATCGAACAGGAAATTTGTGATGCTGGATTTGCTTCCCCAAATCGGCCTGTGTTCCTAGAAGGCCAAGGGACGCACTTGCGGCCTTAATTGCAGGCAATTTGTCATGCTGTTTCCCACTTCCAGTTGCCTCCTGTCATGCTGAAGATGCAAGGCCTTCTTACGCCAGCAAGCACTACAGTCTGCGTCTTTTCCCTTCTAGCATGACAACATCTTTTGTGGTCACAAATCAGCATCACAAATTTCCTGTTTGAATATGGGGAGGGGGGATTTTTCCTTTCGATAGAAGAGCCAAGAAATAAACGAGGACGATTATGCGAAAAAGATCGCGTTGAACCGCCAGTATCAAATGTAAAAATGTCTGGGTCTGGAAGAATCCAACTTGTCATGCTGATTTTGGATTCTAAAAAAATCTGTATTGCATGAGCAGCAAAGAGAGTCCGAATTTTGCAGCACGGAAAGAGCATTTGCCATGCGGAATAGGCATCAGGAAGCCCCCTAAAAATCTGTGATGCTAGGGGATGCATCACAGACTTGAGGAGTCATGCAAAATATGCATGACAAACCCGGCAATCTTCCAGACCCAGACATTTTTACATTTGATAGCCAGAAGTACTTCGCAAATCTCACGCACGACTCACGGTTTAATTTAGAAGAGAACCAAACAGCAGAAGAAAAAATCGCGATTTTAAACGCGTACTACGCCGAAACGGACCTCGGTTCCGGCGTCTCCGACACGAGCGCAGAACAGTCAGAGGACGCTCTAACTGCACCAGCGAACAAGCAGGGGCATAAGAAGAAAAAAGCGATGAAAAATATCGCAGCTACAGGACCGGGAAGCAAGAGAAAGAAGATTTTCAAGGACGTGGGGGAAATTGTAACCGCTTTGGAGGTGAAGTGGCGGGATCTGGTGGATTTGGAAAAGCGGAAATTGCTCGCGTACATGATCAACGACCCGACACTTCCCGGGACTCTGGAAATCCCCGCGGAATTATATCGTAAGGAAAGATCCCCCCTCCTCATATTGAAATGGTACGTTCTCCAAAATTTGCGTTGCTGATTTGAGGTCACAAATCACATCTGTCTTGCAAGAAGAGAAGGGCAGAAACTTCCGCCCCATTATGAAGCCGGTTTGTCATGCTGTTGGGCCTACAGGGCAGCCGTTTGCCATGCTGAACAACTAGACCCATACGCCCCGACCTACCCTGGGGATCAGGCCGCAATGCCTCCCTGCAATACAAAGCTGATTTGTGTACACAAATCCAGCATCAGAAATTCTGTTTTGATATGGGGAGGGGGGATTTTTCCTCACAATAAATTATTCGACCGGCTGGTCGAAGTACCGTTCGCCTTGCCGACGCTCGGAGAGGTGCGGCATGTGGTCAAGGAGTGGAAAAGGGTATTAAGTTTATATTCCAAAATCCGCATCACAAGTTTGCTACGCATGACACTGAAAATCTATCTGTCATGCGGCGTTCCTAAGGGAAAACACAGCTAGAAATCCATTGTCGTGCATCTGTAGCATGACACACACTTCTGCGATCCATTTTCTGCATCACAAGTTCACAATCACAGCGAAATCATAAATCAATCTGAAACTACCCCACTACAGATCGGTGTGAAGAAGGCCGAGAAGCGGGAATCGACCGGGAGTCCGGAGACGTATTTTCATTTGAAGCAGAAAAAAACCCACTCCGACAATTCCGGTGACGGATCAGACTCCTCCGATTCCGATGTGTCCGACTCAGATTATTCCGAAGAGGACCCGGAAAACGCAACCCCAAAATCCCACTACAAGAACCGCATAAAATCGAAGTCTTTGCAGTTTAAGTACAAAAGAGCGGTGATCGACTCCGGATTCACGCCGGTCTTCGAGTCGGATTTGCGGATTGCTTTGTCCTTCGGAATATGAACTGCAAATATGTCAGGGTCTGGAAAAGTGGAATCTGTATTGTGTGTCTTGCACTCCTGTAAAATCTGTATTGCATGACCGACAAAGGCGCGAACTTGTTGTCATGCAAAAACGCAGTTTCTCATGCGCACTGCACATGAGGAAGCGTCCTGAAAATTTGTCATGCTTGGCTGCACTCAGGAGTATGCTCAGTCATCGCCACTTAGCATCACAAGCTTCCAGACCCAGACATATTTGCAATTCATACGGAAAAATCACGGACTTCATCGTGAAGCCGGAAAATGTGATCGACGTGTCTTTACTAAAATGCTACGGCATTGATCTAAACTCCGATCGCCTCGGCGCGGTGATTGTGTGGGCGCGGCGAAGGCGGAAGGAGCTGCGGGACGTGGAAAGAGGATTGTTAGACGCGGAGTTGGTGGATGGGTTCGATTTGGTGAACCAAGTGGAACAACTCTACCCAACGGAACCGGATCAGCAGGAGATGGTGTGGAAAAAGTGCGTTTTGGAAAAAACGCTCGGGCAGCAGGAAACCGCGGACATTTTGATCCACATGTCGCCGTTTTCGGAGGAGTATAGCAAGGAACTCGCGCATAAACTCTGTGTGGAGGAAAACCCGGCGAATTATGAGTTGGAAAAGCGAGTGAAAGCGCAGGTGATCCACAAATCGCAACAAGCATTATCGGCGAACAAGACGACGTTTGAATTAGATAACAAGCACGAGCACCACCACACGTTCGTCGACCCGTTAGCGCAGGACACACTAGCGCCGCCAAACGAGGAAGAGGCCGAGAAATTGCACGCTTTAGGGTTCGCACCCCGGGAAAATCTGAAGCGCATGAAGGGGTGGACTCACGCGCTGTACTTGCTATGCATTGCAAAAGTATCGTACTAGTAGAAACTGCATGACAAATTTGCTCAAGAACAAAAATGCAATTTGTAATGCTGTTTTCCCTTAGAAAGTAGATCTGTCATGCATGACTGCAATTAGTACGAGTACGATGCTTTTGCACTTGATACTTGCAAGCGAAAATCGACTGGATCACGCAGCAAAGGAGCAAAAAACTCGGAACGCAGCTGTCGCAGGGATAGTTTTATTTCTGAGCTGTCGTGTCAGGTTCAGTCGAAATTATTTTGATTTCTTTTTAGTAGAGTAGATAGAGTTTATTCAGTTTTACTGAAGTTTTAGCTTCCATTTTTCAACAACCCATGTAGTAAGTACTTACACACTGTAGTTTTTGAAGAATTCTTATTCTACTGGAGAGGCAGAGGACGTCATTGGAAGCAGCTTCGCATTCATTCAATCCACGATCCGTGATTGGTTTATTGTCAAGTACTGCTTGTTCTGAAACTCCGTCCAGGAAAAGTGTTCTTACGACTGCTACTTTGTAAAATTTCTACAGGACTTTAGGTCCTTTTTCACCTTTTTTTAGAAAGTGCTTGCTGCAGTAGATTTTTAGCAATGTGAGGATGCAAATAAAATTTTCTGTGCTAGAGGCAAGTCGATGAGGAGCATAGCTTTACCACAGTACTCAAATAACTACAAAGGTGGGCATTTCAGCTTCAAGACGAAACTCACTCTGCATCATGGCAAGTGAGGTTTGAGAATTTAGACTCTATTTCCCCTTTCCCTTTCCGTTTCCCCTCCTCATTTTGAAAAGAAAACGCAAACCACCTGCCCAGAACGGCACGCATTTTTGCGCGAGCAGGTGGTTACACCCGCGAGCGTGGAGTTGTTTTTCACGACCTGTGTTCATCAACAAGCGCCTCCGACAAGACAAGAACGAAGCAAGGGTCCTTGTCAGTAAGAAAATTTTCCGTCATTAAGAAAATTTCAACAATCGTTCACGGTGAGAATCTACCTACCGATGGCCACATCGCGACTATCTCGGAAATAAGAACATCAGCGGCAAGTAGGCACGCTCTCATTTGGGTCACCTCCGTGAAAAGTAAGTACGTCACAGGACATGTTTACAGAAAGATCCAATTTTTTCATCCGTCCGATGCAACTACAAGGTCTTGTCTCTCTAGTTGTTCCGACTTAAGCAGATTTCATCTCCAAGCTACATTCAGACCGCGCATTTTCGTGGAACTTCGTTTTATTACATTTTCAGCTCAATCCTCTTTCGATGAATGTAGACCGATCGCTAGTGCCAAACACGATCCTTCAAATACTCACGATATCGCACTACAATCCATAGATTTTTTGAAACGCAACGTAAAGTTGTTGTACGTTTTTTTGAATGTTGTTGTCTACACAACTTGATTGTTGTCAGCCTACATGATTTTTTAGGAAAAATCTAACATGTCTACTGCCTGGAGGTTTTATTCCTGTTGACACGCTACTACTGAAAGCGACTTTGCCAACATGCAGTCGGCGTCGACACGAATGCACTTCGACTCGGTTGTCGCATCACCTTGCGTGACCGAGCTGGAGCTGCTTTCCCCCTGCTCCCCAAGCTTCTCCTCCTCATCAACAGCCCCGCATAGTAAACGGAGAAAAGACCACCACTATCCATCAGCCAGACGGCCTACCTGTGGATTTGCCACCAGAATGACCTGCCTCGGCCTATTCCTGACGACCTCCACAACCACAGATCAACTGCTCTTTGTCTCCGGAAATAACTCCGCTACTTCTTCCAGCAGCAACAAAGCGACCCCCTCACCGCCAAAAGTCGGCGTCAGGCGGCAAGCCCGGTCTATCAAAGGGAAAAATGCTTCCTCCCCATATCAAAACGAAACTTCTGATGCTGGATTTGTGTACACAAATCCGAGCTGTCTTGCTGGAGAGCACTGCAGGCCAATACTAAGGGCGGGGAGAAGGGTGTTGGCTTAGGCACTTAGCATGAAAAACGTCCGCGCTGTAGGCACAACAGCATGACAAATCGTCTGCACAATGTGGCGGTTGTCTGTGGAGTTGCCTTCTTGCACGACAGACGCGATTTGTGACCACAAATCAGCATCACAAATTTCCGAAAGTGTACCTTTTTGGTATGGAGAGGGGGGATTTTTCCTTTCAATACGGTCTCCCCAGTCGTTTGTTGTGGAAGTCACGGCGCAAAAATTGGACGATGATGACAAATATCAAATGCAAATATGTCTAGGTCTGGAAGGATGCAAGACTTGTCATGCATGTTTTCTATGCCCCATGAGGCTTGGAATGCAGGACCTAGCATGGCAGGTTCTGCGACGTCTGTGCCACGGCTATCCTGCATGACAAACTGCTTCTATCTAAACTTGTTCAAAAGTGTACAGCTCTTGGTAGTCATGCAACAAAAATTTTTGTACGATCGAGACGTAGCATGGCAAGTTCGCGTCCTCCCAGAACCAGACATATTTGCAATGCATAACAAGTCGTCCTCTAGTGAGGAAACTAGTGCAGAGGCAGCTGCTCTGGCTGCGAGAAATACTAAACGGGCAGCTTGGCGGGCGAAAAGTAGGGGGAAAAAGCAAGACAGTGCAGAGACGGACGAGGATAATGACAGAGTGGTGCAACACGACGTCATCCCGGAGATGGACAAAGATTACGCGGAGAATATCCTGAGCAAAAACGTTCCCACCCCATAGTCAAGACGGGGACTTAGCAACACAAACCTGGAAGTTTTGGGAGTCACGCATGACAAGTTGCACCCCGTAGTGTAGTGCAGCTTAGCAAGGACAGTCGCATTACAAATCCATCTCCTCGTGCTGTTTACAGCATTACGAATTGATTCCAAAGCACGATAGAAAATGGCCCTCATGTTTGGGATGCGCATTACAAATGTTTCTGCAATTGCAAATCTGCATGACAGCTCTGGTGTGGGGACGTTTTTACTCAGGATAGAAAAGCACGGCACCGACCCAGAGTCCGCGATACGAGCGGCGACGGACAATTTAGTCGAATCTTCCGAGCTCGCATACCAGAAGCAGCAAAACAAGAAGAAGCAAGTATTACAATGAAAAACGCCCCCACCCCTCAATTGCCAGCATTTGTACTGCAAACCTTTGCAATAGAAACATTTCCCGTCTTGCATATCTCAGCAGCACAAATTTTCCATGCTGAATAGCTCGAATTTCAATTTGTGTTGCGAAGGGGCCCAACAGCAGCCGGATCTGTTATGCAAAAGGCACCTTGCGCACCTAGATTCTGCATCAGAAAGGCTCGCAATCCTTTCATGCAAGACAAAAAGCTTTGATTTGGAAACTTTGCATGACAAACTTTTATTCGGGGTTGGGAGCATTTTTCACTGCAATAGCAAGAGAAAAAAATGCAGTCGGAGAACGAGAGAACGAGGCTACCGGTGTTGCTAGGAACGGGGAAAAAATTATTCGAGTGCAAGATCTATGCATTGCAAAAGTATCGTACTATCTAGTAGTAAATGCAATACAAATTTCCTCAGCTGCATGAGAAACAAAATTTGTAATGCGGATCTACGTATCACAAAAAGATTTCGATTTGTAATGCATGACTGCAATTACTACGAGTGCGATACAACTTTTGCGCAGGATAAAATCCCGCCGCCAATCGGCGACGATATGGAGCGGATTTACTCCCTAGCGAAGGCGAAACTCGCGGTGTTGGAGCATGTCTGTGTGAAGCTACCGGATACAAAGGAAGACGCGGACAAAATCCACTCTGTTGACTCCGAGTACGATCTGTGTTTCGAAAGGGGGGAAGCTTTGCTTCGGCCAAGAGCAGCGCTTCTGAATCCAAACGTCGGACACACACCGCAGCACACGAAGCAGCAGCAGGAGTTAATACCCTCGGATCAGATAGTTTTGGCCAGGGATAACAAGAAGGAGGATCATGAGAACAGTAGTAGTGCAACATCTTCTTCCAACACCCCACATGATACTACTATTCTGTCCCTGAGAAAGCGGATGTGGCTGATAAGATCCCTAATCGAGGGGAAAGATTACGAGCAGGAGGATGTGGACAAGAAGTTGCAGAAGGTGAGAACGGAAATGGACGAAATGAGCAGGGAACAGGGGATTATTACAACTCCGGATGACGAGCAACTGGCGAATAGGAATACCGATGCCGTCACAGCACAAAACAGTAGAAACGCGACTGATAGAAATTCTGCACCGGATTCTCCTTCGTCCGCCTCCTCCGAGAACTCCAATGTGATGGTCACGGCTAAGGAGTTCTCAAATGTTACATCATTCTCAACTGTTACACGAATTTGTGACGCAAAAACAGAAAGAGGGAAAGTGGCAAGCTTGCAAGTTCTGACCCTATGCCGTTCCAGCACCTGCGGAGGCTTGCCTCCAAAGCTACGCTGGACAATGGCAATGTCGGTGCGGTTGTTTTAGCATCACAAATTTGGCACATCAGATTCTGATGCTGTTTAGCAGTTCGAAAATTTGTCATGCGAAGCAGCGTGATCGTTTGGCAGCTCATGGTCATTCTGCATGGCAAATCATGTAAGAACAGTTGAGAACGTAAAAACATTTGAGAACGCCATAGCGGCAGCGTACCAGCCGAAGCAAGCGAGCTCTTTGATTTATCAGGAAGAAACGGGGTACTACGTCCCGAAGCCGGAGAAGCCGCCCAAATACCCAGCTGAATACGGGAAAAAGCGGAAAACGGATTTTGTACCCGACATTGCGGTAGCGATTCACTTTCTCAACGGGAAAAAGAAAATCACCTGCGAATGCGCACGGCCGACGGAGGAGACAATAAGGTTTTTATCCTGAGTAAAAACGTCCCCACACCAGAGTCAAGATGGGAGATCGGCTAGACAAATCAACCAGCTGTGTTTGTTTCGCATGACAAGTTTCGTCCCCTCGTAGCGTTGTCCTGTTTAGGTAGTTCAGCAGCATCACAGATCTAGACTATCATCTTGATTCTAGCATCACAAATTCCACGACGCGACTAGAAAACGCTTTTCATGGGGCTCCGCATGAGTAACATTTTGAGCTTGCGGATTGGCATGACAACTCTGGGGTGGGGACGTTTCTGCTCAGGATAGTTTTTGGTGGATGTCGACACAGTCACCGGCCTGGGGGAAAAAAAATTGTTGCTCGCGAAGGCCGTCTCGCCGGACAGGATCGTCTCTCCCGCGTGCTGCAGCTTCAAGGGAAAACCCGCGCCAGAGGTCTGTGGACAATTTTGTAATGCTGTTCTTGGACGACGAACATCAAGTCGATCATTAGTACGATTTGTATTCGCTATTCAATGAGATCATGATAAACAACAAAATCAAAAACGTCAATCAGGACCTCCTCTGGCCATTGCTGCACTCCCAGGATTTCTGCTCTCGCTACCAGCCGCAGCAATACAAGCAACTTTCCGGCATCACAGATTCCGAACTCTACACAAGATCCTGGTGGACGACAGAGTTTTGCCTCGGTATGTATTGCAAATATGTGTCTGGAAGGTTGCAACTTGTAATGCTGTCTTTGGATTCTAAAAACATCTGTGATGCTGATGTTGCATGAACAGCAAGAGAAGTTGATTTTGTGCTACGCGGAGACGGCATTTGTCATGCAGTATAGGCATCGGGATTCAGGAAGCCGAAGCCCTGAAAAAGTCTGTGATGCTAGAGCATGCATCCACAGACATCATGGGTCATGCAAAATGTGCATGACAAGTCTGGCACTCATTTTCCAGACCCTTACATATTTGCAATGCATACTCGGGGCAATCACCCAGTTCCACGTGACAAAGTCCGGGCAGGCGCACGGGTCCAGGATAGGCTTGGGTTACTTGAAGCCGGCGGATTTGATATGCAATGCAAAAGTATCGTACTGCAGTTATGCATCACAAATCCAGATGTTACGCATTACAATTTCCATTTCTGGTGCTGAGGAAATTTGTATTGCAATCACTACTAGCACGATGCTTTGGCAGTTCACATTTGACGATGACAAACAACGCGCTGTTGCATATCAGAAGGAAAAATCCCCCCTCCCCATATCGAAACGGAGATCTGTGATGCAGATTTGTGGTCACAAATCAGCTTTGCCGTGCTAGAAGGGAAAAGATGCGGACTGTAGTGCCGATTGGCGTGGGAAAGCCTTGCATCTTCAGCATGACAGGAGGCAGCTGGAAGGGGGAAACAGCATGACAAATCGCCTGCAAAGAAGGCCACAACTGCGGCTCTTGGCCTTCTAGCATGACAAGTCGATTTGTGTACTGAAATACAGCATCACAAATTGCGTTTTCGATATGGGGAGGGGGGATTTTTCCTGTAGATATTGCAAACTGTGGAGGGCGGGACGTGCTCGAGTCAATTTCAAGTTTTCACGGTATAGAACACCAGATTGTTCGGAACGGTTTTTGTATCGCGTAAAAATGATCCCGCTTCCTGAAGTGCATGTTGTGAATGCGCGTGCTGGATGACAAAATTGATTGGAAATGAAAACAGCTTTCCGCCAAGTGGCTGGAGCAGCAAGTCCCAGTGGGTGGACACGCCTCGCGTGTCACTTCATCTTTTCCACAGGAAACATGATGGCTGAGCTTTGGAAATGCCGCAACACCAGGACCAGAAGCAGGCCACAGCGCCTTCGTTCTGTGCGTTGTCGTTCAGATGGCCGGACGCTGTGTCGTGGGCCCGCTCTTCGAACAGTGGCCGGGCCGCCTCCTTGACCGGGGCTCGACGAGGCCCTTCGCCCGGAAGAGGAGGCCCGGCAAGGGGGGTGGTCGGGGGGGTGCATTTTTGCCCCCTTCGGAAACCCCTTTCGGGTACCCCTTCCGGGTACTCCTTCGGTAGCCTATGCCGACCCCCTAATCTCCATTGGAAACTGCCGATTTTGCGTGCCCCAAAATGGTAGCCCAGAGGCAGCCCAAGCGGACCCCCCTACCCCCCCCCTTCGGCACCCCCCCCGGAAACACTTGACTGCTGGTGCGTCCGCCTCCTCAATATCCGGCGGGCCGGAGAGGGGAGATGAGAAGATATCTGGGCGCGTCCGGAATTGAATGTGGGAGAGGGGGCGCGGCTTCCCGCAGCAGAGGGCCGCAGGCCGGTGCAAGTCCAACAAAGTGCTGTGGTTTTATTGGAAAAAAGGGATGGCCGGATGGCGGACCGTAGCACCGAAGTGTGGCGCCAACATCTACATGGCCAACGGGAAAAAAAGCCGTAGCGACACCCCCAAAAGCCAGAATATTTTTGCCCCCCCAAAATGCGCGCTTGCAAAAATGATGATATTTGCCGACTTTTCCGCCCTAACAACAAATCAGCTTTCCGCTAAGTGGCTGGAGCAGCAAGTCCCGGTCAATGATGACGACTCCGCAGACGAGCATCTTCGCGGTTACGGCGGCACCTTCAACCCGTTGCACGTGGAGGGGTTTGAAGGTCGTCTGGTGCAGAACGAGGCGGACAAGAACGTATCAAATGTAAAAATGGCTGGGTCTGGAAGAGTTGGAACTTGTGATGCAAACTCTGGAACAGACAAAAATTTGTGTTGCATGAGCGCCAGAAGCTGCCCACTTCAACTTCTTGGTACGCAAGTAGCAAGTTTCTCATGCGGGACAGGCATCATGAGGCGTGCTCAAAACCTGTGATGCTTTTGCCTGCATCAGACACCATTTGCGTGATCCGAAATATGCATGACAAGTCTCGGAATCTTCCAGACCCAGACACTTTTGCATTTCATAGAACGTCTACGGCTGCAACGAATACAAGCAGAAAGTAGAACCCGGGTCCATCATGGTCGTCAAAAGAGGTAACTTATCAAATGCAAATATGTCTGGGTGGTCTGGAAGAGTGCGCGATTTGTCATGGAGCTTTTCCATGACGCATGAGGTCTGGAATGCAGGGCCTAGCATGACAGATTCTGTGCGATCTCTATCATGCGTAGCCTGCATGAGAGACCCCCTCCCGACGTGGTCAAAACCGGGCGACTTTTGGGAATCATGCAACACAGAGTTTTGCATGATTCGGATTTAGCATGACAAAATGTATTCTTCCAGACCCGGACATTTTTGCACTGGATATAGCTGCTGGTTCCACGAGAAAGCGCTCCGGGCGCAGAACGCAGGGGCGAGGGGAGTCATCATCGCGTATTACCGTGAAAAATGCCCCCACGACCCCGAAAGTTTGAATAATTTGTGATGCGACCATTGTTCCAAATGAAAACTTTTTGCCATGCATGAAAGGACTGCGAATCTTTCTGATTCGAAGTCTAGTCGTATAGTCAGCATCGCTTGCATGACAAGCGCCGCTCTTGCTGGGGTCTCTTGCAATACAGATTTTTGCTATATTCGCGATGGGAAATCTGCGATGCTGATACATGCAAGAGGGCGAGTGTTTCCATTGCAAAGTTTCGCAATACAAATGCTCCCAAGTAGTAGTTCTGGGGTGGGGGCATTTTTCTTCACAATATCGCGAACGACGATCGACCCATGGCGGATATCATGGAGGTTTATTAGCGTACACAGATAAAGCTTTTTTGATCTATGAAGTCACTCTAGCATGAGAAATAAATGCTCTGATGCATGGTCCGCATGAGAAATAATTGAAGTTCCCAAATAAAAACATGGTTCCACATCCTCTAGGGCGTCGACACGCTCCCGGCCCCCCACATCATGTCCGTGCTGGTTAACCAGCAGCTGGGGAAGAAGTTACTGGAAATATGCAGTGCAAATATGTCTAGACGTCTGGAAGGATGCAAGCTTTGTCATGCTTGTCTGGCATGACCGAAGATCTTGTGATGCGTGTTCAAGAAAGAGACCCTGTTGCCTGTCGTGCAAAGACGCAGTTTGTCATACGGAAAGCGCAACACTAAGCCGCGAAAATATTTCTCATGCTTGGCTGTGCATTACAGAGCATTCACCGTTCGCAAGCCAGCATTACAAGTTTCCAGACCCAGACGTCATATTTGCATTTGATAGGAAAACGCGAAGGGGAGCCCGTTCGTCAAAGTGAAAAAACACGTGGATGACGAGGTGCAAACGAAATCGCTGACGACCTTTGTCACGCTGTACTGCAGTTCTGAATGGGACCAACCGGTGTGTCCGAAGGGCACAACTGTTGAAATTTTCATGGACGACACGTGGAAGCGAGGGGTGGTGGAGAAGGAGCTGCCGGATTTGAACCACCTGCTGATTGTCCACGGAAAGCAGGCGGCGGTCGAGAAAGTACTTATAGTTATACTGCGGTTTTCGTAGTCTTTGTCTTGGTCTTGTACAACTAGGCTTCGCATTATAATCTTCACTGATTTATAATTCATGCCTGTATAATAGCGGTACTGTATAATCTATGCGCAACATTCTGTCGATGACAAAGTCTATCATCTTGATCTCATCGTCATCTCTTCTGAAAATCAAAGATCGTCCACCGCAACTCCGTGCATCGACTTCCGGATTTCATGCCCTGCACGCCCTCCCCAGTCTATCAAAAGGAAAAATCCCTCCTCCCCATATCGAAAACGGAATTTGTGATGCTGTATTTGAGTACACAAATCGACTTGTAATGCTAGAAGGCCAAGAGACGCAGCTGTGGCCTCGTTTGCAGGTAATTTGTCATGCTGTTTCCCACTTCCAGCTGCCCCCTGTCATGCTGAAGATGCAAGGCTTTCCCACGCCAACCAGTACTACAGTGCGCATCTTTTCCGTTCTAGCACGACAAAGCTGATTTGTGACCACAAATCTGCATCGCAAATCTCTAGTTTGAGTATGGGGTGGGGGGATTTTTCTTTTTGATACAGTCCGCGTCGAGTTCGTGGAGGAGCCCAAAAACTGCCAGTCCAACATTAAAGTTCACGTTGCGATATGCAAGGAAAAAACTATGTAAGTGTAAGTCTGTGACGCAAAAGATGCAACACAGCTACGCTTGTCATGCTCCGCATGCAGGATAAGCTCATTTCCTACGTGTTTATTCCCCGTCCTATCTGCGCATGACAAGTTTTTCCTGTCATAGCAGACAAACTTGTGATGCTGTTTTGGCAAAAGACCTACACTAGTAACACAGTTTTTTTCTTGGATACGCGAGTCTCTGCGGCCACAACAGTCTGCTCCCGCAGCAGAAGACCAAAACGGAGAAAATCCGCTGCGGCTTACCTGACACGAGTAACCAGCTGGTGCACTATTTGAACCGGGTCGGGAGGAGGTTGAGCGATCCCGAGGACGGCGGGGAGAAGAAAACGAGGGAGGAGTTATAGGGGCGGGATGGAGGAAGAGAGGGCTGGTTTGATGAAATCACGTGGCTGTTGGTGCGACATGATTTAGATTTTTTCACAGCTATTTAGAGCTACAATTACCAGCGACGAAAAGAAACGCATGCTTGAAGTCAGTACTTTTTCTCCCAACTGCCGTATCCCGGCGTAAGAATAAAAAGCAGAAGAGTCTTCTGTCAAGCGAGGGCTACGATTCGATGCTAAGTAAACTTCGTCCCAGGCACACATCCTGTACATAGACTCTTTGGGGTCCAGATTGGATTGAGCGTTGTCACAAAGCGAATTTCGAAGAAAGAAAAAAGGTATAGTACAAATGAATGCGATTGAACAAAGACACACGATTGACCTTCGGGCACCACTCTCGATCGTGAACAAAGTTGGCGTGTTGATTGCGAAATGCGGACCAGAATGTTCGCTCTTGCGGGGGAGAGGGTGAAGCGGGCACCGTAAGAGGAAGACATCTGGTTGATGCTGTCGGAACTTATTCCCAGCGGGCGTTCATCTCGCTGAAAAAAAAAACAAGAGGCGCCGGCATTTTCGGCGCGCGGCGCAATGGGATCGCGCCGACAATTAGCCGGAGAGTGGCGCCGCCGGCGGGGGGAATCGCCCGCGGGCCGCTGATTCCGGTGAGGAACTACCCGCGCCAAAGCGGGGCGCTGTTCTTCACGTGGGGCAATGGAGCTGCATCGCGCGGGGGCAAAGAGGCCCGCGGGCGTCTAAGTAGTCACGCCAAGAGCAGCGCCCGCCAGCGCTTCAAAATCCCGCCGAAGCTGTTCGGGGCGTGGCGCAGAGTTTGGCGGGCCGGCCGCGGCATCGCGCGCAGCCAGCGGCTGCGCGCGCCCGGCCGGCCGCGGTGCGGCCGGGGCTAAACCGTTCAAAGAGGGTGTCCACGTTTCTCGCCTGCTGCGGGACTCTGAGCCCCGCAGCAGGTGAGAAACGTGAGAACACCCAAAACCAGAGTAGGAGCAGCGGGAAGATTGGCAGGGCCCGCAGCAGAAGCCCGGCAAACAGAAGAAGCAGGGGTAGAAGCGGGCCGAAGCGCGCAGCTGATGCCGTTGCGGGGTGCCCTGCCTTCTTCAAGGGCGAGAAGCCCACGCACTCGCGACCTTCCAGACCTGGCGCGCCTGGGCGGGCTGATACGTCGGGCGAGCAATGGATCACGCGGCCGGGAGATGCGTGGGGCCTTGGGGTTTTGCAATCTCCGGGCCTTACGCGGCCGCAGGCTTGCGCGTGGTTGGAAATTGGTCAGCGGAGGTGGGCACTATTGCGAAGGGCGCTCCATTTCGGAAGACCCAATCGAAGCCCTCGGGCGTTTGGACATGGAGCAGGGCGGCGCGTATGGCCAGGCTGCCGGCTTTCCCAGTAAAGCCGTGAACGAGCAGGCGGCTTCAAGGGGCATAGGCCAAGGCTTGGCGGTAGCGGATTTTTCGGAGGTGGCGGGGCGCCTGGCGCACAGGCGCAGCAGAACAGGAATAGGAACGCGCCAACGTACGGCGCCGCCGCCCTTCGGCGTCAAGCAGCGCAGGCAAATGCCTGAAGCCGTGCCGCCGGCGCCGCGCCCAGACAGGTGCCCCCGCTCGGCCGCCGCGGGGGCCGGCGTGCTCCTTTGGCGGGCCCCGCCGGCCCATTTTCCGGGCCGTCGAGCCCCATACGCTAGCGCGGGAAGTTCGACGGCGTCGGGCGGCCCTACCTGTGGCCCTTTGTTGCCCAAGTGCGGAGCCGCGTCCCGCGCTTCTGGTGCAGGCTTGGGCGCATGATGCTGATAGAAGACGACGACGAGGCTCAGGGGACGACGGCGCGAACTATTCCGATCTAGAACAGGCCCAGGGGGCAGGCTCGCCGCCATTTTCTTGCGGCCGGCGGGCTGCCCAGTGCCCGCGGGCCGCTGCTGCAGCCGGCCGCGTCCGCTGCGTGCGCGCGCCCGGCCGGGGCGCCTCCCGCCACCCGCGCTGGGGCTGGCGGAGGAGCCGGACGGCCGGGGGTCTGGTGTCTGTGTGGCCCATCGAGGGCGCCGGCGAATGCCGCGAAGGCCCCGGCGCGGCAGTCTGTGCCGTGCACGCAGTGTGTGCCCTGCATCGGGGGCACTCGCCGCGCCGTCCGGTACGTACCTGTGGCTGGCCTGGCGCCGTGTATCTACGCCGCCTTCCTTCTCGGTCATCGTGGCCTGTTTTTCTGGTTCCCGGCACTGGATCCACGTGGCCTCTTGAGACAAACGTAACTCAATCATGCCGATTGCAGCTATGCAAAATTAGCGATGGCTCTTCTACTTGTTTTGTTCGTTGAGGGCCGCGCACTGATATGTGAGGAAAGACAAGAGAGGACTCCGTGTAGCAGTTGGTGCGATTGGGATTGAGAGACGGTCTTGCGCTCAGCTGTTACCCGTTGTGTGTTGGCCCGTACTGGTACTTCTGACTACGGAAATCGTTTATGTGAATTTTAACCTCCGTCCGTGGGTGCTCCCAGTCTATCTTCTCTTCATCTTCATCACGATTTCCATCTAGACACCAAGATGGACTCCCTCACCGTCGCCACGCAGCACGTGATTTCCCAGAGACAGGAGGAGCTCTGGGCGGACGCCAAGATCGACGGACGCGCAGTGTTTTCGAAAAGGGAAAGCTACAAGCTGCACAAACCCAGACTGGTCTCCTTGCAACAGGACATTGCGAGAATCTTGCTGCTTGTCCGCGCGAGTTTGAGCCATGAATTTGTTGTTAATACGAGAACTTCCACGAAGAACTCCTGCACCAGCAGCAGCAGCACAACCTCCGGTGAATGTGATGCGGACCTCCGGCTGCGAATTGCAGATGAAGCAGCGCCTCCTGTCTCCGAAAACATCTTTTCCCGTTTTTTTGGCGGTGACATTGGGGTCTTAACCCACGTCGCGAACCATTTAGCCGGCGTTGGCCTAGTGCTGGGGTTTTTCCAGAAGTGCTACGAACTCGTTTTGCGGCGAAAGAACCAGAAAAATGATCATGGTGAGCAGCTGGAAGCTTCTGGATCAGAAGGGAAAAATTCAAAAACTCCTGAGGCAGCGCCAGAAAATAGTACACATCGAATTTCATCCAAGAAGATCAACCTGATCCTCCGCAAACGCCCGCTGCTCAGCGAATCAGAGATACAGCAGAACGAGTGGTCGGTTGTCTCCAAATTCGAGCAGGACGCTCTGCACGTGTGTGAGGGGAGAGTTGCGTACAACAACCGCAGGCTGCAACTGCATTTGTCGCATCACTACGGCGACAAGGTTCTCTGCGACGAGGAGAAGCTGCTCTCGGCGGACTGCGTGCGGAATAGCTTGGAAAAATTGAGCGAGTTTTGCAGTTGCGCAAGACCACCATCCCCAGGCGGTAGAGCCGCTATATCTTCCTCTTACGTCGAGGGGAAAAGTTGTGATGCAAGTTCCGCTAATATGAAGAGCTCAGCCTCATCCTCAACCACCTACCTCTGCTACGGGCAGACCGGTTCCGGGAAAACGTTTACGATGAAGGAGCTTGTGCACGACGTGTTTGGAAAAATGCAAGAACTGAGGGAGGACAGAAACCAGGATAACAAGGATCACGTTGTTGACAGCCCGACAGTACGAAATCCGAATCTAAAATGCCGGATGCAGTGTTTCGAGGTCTTGCATAAGCAAAATACGGTTTTTGACCTACTTTCGCAACGGAAAAAAGTGAAAATCTTGGAGGACGAATTTCGCAAAGTGCACGTAAAGGCGAAGTGGGAGGAGATCGACCTTTGTCTTCATGCGGGAATGAATGCATCAGAAGGATCAAGATCAACCTCTTCCTGGCAACACGTATTCGACATCGCGTTGCAAGAACGGCTCTCCGAAGCGACAGAGAGGAACGCAAATTCTTCCCGGAGTCACGCTTTTTTCGTGTTTGAGTTCTACTACGAGGTAGATGGTGAGGAAGATGCTGATGCTTCTAGTGGTGCTAATGCTAACGCAACTACAGCAGAAGTTTTTTCTACTTCTGAAAATAAAACTTCCAAGCCGACGTGCGCATACGATGAAATGACCCGCCCGGGCGAACCGCTAGAAGATGAACCTGCTAAGGTAAAACTCCCACCTAGAAGAAGAATAACCCACACGGTTCGGATTATTGATTTAGCGGGGTCGGAAAGGAATTTCGAAACGCAGCAAATGACGGCGGAGCAGCACAGGCATTCCGCGATGATCAATTCGAGTTTGATGACATTGAAGACCTGCATGCGGCTTCTAGCGGCGGAGCAAACAGGTTCCGCTTCTTCTACTAGTGGCGGAGCAGCAAAAATGAAAAAACAGATCACAACGAAAATCAAAATCCCCTTCCGCGAGTCGAGGCTGACGCATTTGCTGCAGGATTGTTTTCAACAGGAGGAGCAGGAGAACATCAAGAAAAATTATCCCCTGGCAGAACAAGTAGACAGTGTTGATGTTGAGCAGGTCAAAAACAGAAGCACGCACTGCAGTACGAGCAACTCCCTGATTATCATCGCCTGCATTTCCCCCTCCGCGAGAGACGCGGTGCATTCCCGGAACACTTTGTCCCACGTTTGTGAGATGGTTTACGGGGAAAATTGCTGCCCGGAAACGGTTTTAGACCTTCCCATCACTCTCTCGGGCCACGATCGGAAGAGGGTGGAAGACTGGTCGGAAGAGGATGTGCAGAACTGGCTCGGCTCGGTGGCCAGTGGAAGGTTTGTATCAAAAGGAAAAATCCCCCTCCCCATATTGAAAAGCAAATCTGTGATGCTGGATTTGTGTACACAAATCAGATTGTCTTGTTGGAGTGGAGGACTGCAGGCCCATTTATCTCATGCCAATGTAGAAAGAGAGGTTTTGGCCTACGCACTTAGCATGAGGAACGTCTATACTGTAGGCCCAACAGCATTACAGACCGCCTGCATAATGGGGCGGAGCCTATGCCGTTGCTTTCTTGCAAGACAGACGCGATTTGTGGCCACAAATCAGCAGCGCAATTTCTCTGAAGCGTGCCTTTTCGATATGGGGGGGGTTTTTCCGTGCGATAGTTTGCGCGGATCGTTTTGCCGGATGGGTTCAAGGATGGGAAGGGGTTGGTGAAGTTGTGTTGCGGAACTGCAGCAAGTAAAACTTCTGCTAGGCCAGGATTTTCAACAGCAAATAACAGAGTGATGGACGAGCAGCAGCAACAGCAAACTTCTGATGCAGAAGTTTCAGCATCAGGATCAGGAACAACTAGTTCTTCCTCTAGCTCCGGCACAACATCTTCTGCAACCGCCGCTGGTGGCACGGGGGATGGTAGTGCAACTACTAATACGACTTCTCCGGCTGCTGGTGTGGAACGAGATGAGCAAGTAGAAATGGAAAATCAATCGTTTCAATTTTACCAGATTTTCGAGACGGACCAGTTGCGTAAAGCGCGAGTCACGGAGGAAGGTGCGAGCTGGAACATCGCGGGCCCGGAGCAGGTCACGATGATCATGGAACTGTTTCGGAATTTGGTTTATCAAATGCAAATATGTCTGGGTCTAGAAGGTTGGAACTTGTACTGCTAGCTTTCCATACCTAGCCCTAGGAAATCTGTATTGCATAACCAACAAAATTCGCAGCCTCTTTTGTACATGCAAACACGCAGCTTCTCATGCGGATTGCCTATGAGAAAGCGTTGTGGAAAGTTGTTATGCTAGATTGCATTCGAAACTGTTTCTATCATCCACGTTTTAGCATCACAAGTTTCCAGACCCAGACATTTTTGCATTTCATATGGTTTTGGCTGAGGTGAAAGCGAACACGGATGATTTTTAGAAAAGACCACACAACGATATAACCCACTCAGGTGTTACAATCTCAAACGTTACAATAGAATCTGAGATTTGTCTTGCATGATGAGCATGACAGACTCGCAGAGCGTTCCACTTTCTGCAATACAAACTTCGCCAGATTGTAGTGGGGTTTGGGGCTCCGGAACTTGTCATGCGCAATGCGATGAGAGTTGGCTAGATCATGCACTCTTGCATCACAGATTTCCATATTCTATGGTAACCGATTTGAGATTGTAACACCTGAGCGGGTTATAAACGACGGACCGACAAGCTGCTCCTGCTGTGTGCGATTTCGTTATTCGCTCATAGGACGCTGAACTACCTGAACGGATCATGCAGATCGAAGATCACTCAATGGGGGTTAATCTTCATGAAACAAAATAAACTAAAAAAAAGAAAAATATTCTGTCGCATTTTCGTTGCAAGGTCTTGCGCAGTCTGTCGCACGCATGTAGTAGAAATAAAGGTTGCCCGGCCACGGCCTAAGTTAGAGGATCCTTCCTGTGGATCCGTAACGCGTCGAGAAAAGAATATGCTGATGATAGAGATCGTGATCAAAACCCAGATCCGGATTTCCTGAAGATCATGAGACGAAGGAAAAAATAAACGAGTGATCGACAGTAAGTATCGACCGGAAGTAATCAGTGTATTTTATGTCCACGAGCAGGAACTACAGGATCATCCGAAAGCAGGAGCAGATATAGATCTTGATGAGATCCTGATCCACCAGTCTGTCGGAATTGAACAAATACATCGATCGTGGTTCTTCCTTCAAAATACGGTCCTTCTCGTACTAAGGCAAACGTTGCTCACGTTCAATCGCTAGCACAACCGCTCGAATTTTTGAATTAGACCCTCAGGAAGATGATGTTTCTTGTTCGGAGCTAGCGTAGTACCGATATTAGCCAACAATTCACATGCAAAGAGCTTTCTTTTTTTTTCTGCCACGTGCTGTCGACCATATTTATTACTCGAGCCTAAGCGATAGACTTCTACTTTCGAAATAGAAGTACTACACATTGCTTCTTGTCACTTCTAAGAAACAACGATAGAAGTAGCACACTAGAAAAAATGCGCGTGCTCTTCCCCGGCGAGAGCGCCGGACAACAAGAACCCCAGCAAGGCTCAGCCCCTTTCACCTCCATACGACCAGCGACTACATCTTCCAGCTCTACTTCCTGCATTACCGCGATTATAGCAGAGAAAACGAAAAACGACCAGTCGAACCCCTGTTCCCCCTACCGACCCCGGCCGGGCGACGACTGCTTAGGAATTGTTCTGTCGAAACGCGGCGAGGTATTCAAACTCGACATTGGGTCGATTTCCCCAGCGGAGTTGTCCGAAACGGCGTTCAACGGGGCGACGAAGAGGAACAAACCGAGCCTGGAAATCGGGGACACGATTTTCTGCCATGTGGAAACCGTGCTGGACGGGGTTGCAAATGTATAGAGTTAGTTTTTTTTTGCTCTTCTCAGACAGGTTCAGATTCAGATTCATGGAGCGGCCCCGTGCTGGAACCCTTCAGGTTGTCATGCGTGGTCACTGGTATTGCATAATGCATTCCGCCGTGATTTCATCCTCATCTGGTTTGCTTGTTCCTTCTTCCCGTGCAATTATACAAATCTTCGAATCGCAAATCGAATGGCAAATTTTGTGAAACAGGTCTCCTGCACCGACGACGGTGGGAAGTCTTTCGTGACAAAGGAAACCCTGTACGGGGCGTTGCAGCACGGCTACATAATCGACCACTTCCCGGTTGCGGAGTTTTCGGAAAGAACAGACAAAACAAAAACACACAAGGTGGATGCTCTGCTCGATTCATCCACGAGTAATAAGGCCATTGCGCAGCAGCAGCAGCAGCAGCGAAAAAACCTCTTCCCCCGGATTTTTCGGAAACTGGAGAAGTCGTTCGTGTTCGAAGTGGCCGTCGGAATGAACAATCGGGTGTACATTAGGTCCAACAGCTCGCTGCAAGACACGTTTTTCCTCGGAAAACTTCTGGAAAAAATCGGCTGCGAGGGGTTGACAGATGCGCAGGTGGAGGTGGTGTTGCGACGAGTCGCGACCGAGCACGGGGTGCTGGCTGGGAAGTTGACAGGAGCTGCACAGGTGCAAAATTCCGTGTTTGGAAAGAAGAAGAACAATGCGTCGAATAACAATGCTGAGAACAACAACATTTCTCTCGTCGAAGTCGGCGGTGGCTGAGAATTACAAGCGATTCATTTTTCTTTTGAACGAACAGAATTGCGACCTGATTTGTAGTCCGAATCGATGAAGAACGGAAATAGGAGATGACAAAAATCTTATTCTTCCGAGCCGTGGGATATTTTTATTTGATCCTTTACACTTGTGGTAGGGGCAGTGCTTGTCACTCCTGCAGCCACATCAGCGTGTTCGAGGAAAAAATGCTTAAAGGAAAAATCTGTAGTACGAGGCTCGAGCTGGAGCTTCTTCAAAAATAATCCACCTGAGCGTCTGGTGGCTTTTAAGCTGGAGAATTCATGATTTTGAGAGGTAAGATAGAAGAAGATGCAGAATTGATAATATTCTGCTGAGGGCGAGGAGTAGTTTCTTGTTTTCTGTCGTCTTGTTTTTACAGCGCTTGTTACAGCCGCTGTCCGAACAAGATGTTGCCCCCTCGTTCTGCTTGTTTCGTTTCTTCTTTTCTACTTTTGCTGGTGGTAACGCCCTCGTGGTTCCACCTGTGCCTCTATCAACTGTAAAAATGTCTGGGTCTGGAAGATTTTGAGATTTGTCATGCTTGTCTGACATGACTCAAGAATCTGTAATGCATGGGCACGGAGCGGTCCTCTTTTCTGTCATGCAAACACGCAGTTTGCCATGCGGAACACGCAACACATAGGAGCCCAAAAAATTTGTCATGCTTGGCTCCGTATTGCAGTGGAAATCTCGGGCACTTTTAGCATCACAAGTTTCCAGACCCAGACATTTTTACATTTGATAGCCTCGCTGTTGAACCATCAGGGGACGAAGCGTCTGTGGACTATAGCAAGGCTGCTTATCAAACGTAAAAATGTCTGGGTCTGGAAGATTGCCCGGCTTGTCATGCACATTTTGCATGACTCCTGATGTCTGTGATGCATGCCCCAGCATCACAGATTTTGTGAGGGCTTCCTGATGCCTATACCGCATGACAAATGCTCTTTCCGTGTAGCAAAACTTGGACTCTCTTTGCTGCTCATGCAATACAGATTTTTTTAGAATCCAAAATCAGCATGACAAGTTGGATTCTTCCAGACCCAGACATTTTTACAGTTGATACTGCTGCTGCTGCAAAAACTTCGTTGGAGAAGAAGGACCACGATACTGACAGTGCGACCAGTGCAACTTCTGTGGGTGAAACCAGCGGCAAGACAAGTTCCGCGAGCGCCAAAATCGTCGATGCAGAAGAGGCGAAAAACGCGATCTCAAAAATCGAAGAAGGGACCACGAAAAGTGTAGGAGTTGCCCCGAAGGCTACTTCTTCTACAGCAAGTTCAACACCTTCAAAAGCAGACACGACCGATGCGGGTGCTGCAGATGTGCTGGGGAAGAAACCTGAAACCTCAGATGGCGCCACCGTGGACATCAAAACTGCGGCACAAAAAGCGGATACTGGTGTGGCTGTGGACAGTTCCGCGGCAAAAACTTCTACCGAGGCGGCGGGTCGTCCGGCTGCACCGGCGTCAGCTGCTCCTGTTGCAATAAAACCAGACCAGCAAGTGCTTGCAGCAGCAACGGAGGACCCCGCAGCTACAAAACCGGCACCGCTTGATCAAGCCGACACAACAACTGCTGCGCCAACGGCCAAGGTACTAGTCACGTCGCCAACAGCTGCACCAGATACAGTCAGTGCCACCGCGGATCCTGCTGTGGTCCCAACAGCGAAGCTCGAAAGCGTGGCTGGTGCTGTTGCAGTTACAACAAAGACGACCTCCGCTGCAGGTGAAACTACAACAACCGATGGCACTTCTTCGGCGACACCTGCGCCGGCATCAACCGCCCCCCCTCCAGCCGAACAAACTACTGCGACCCCCGCTGGAGAGACTACAGCCGCGGGTGCAGCTGCTGCGTCTGCTGCACCAGCAGCACCTGCAGCAACATCGGCCGGAGCTGTTACAGGGCAAGAAACCGCGGCAACTTCTCCCGCTTCTGCACCAGTTGTGAGCAGCACGACGGCGCCGGCAGCCGCGGTGGGTGAGACGAAGCCAACGACTGTAACGGTTGCCCCTGAGGACGCAACCGGGGCTGCATCTGGGACCGCCACTCCAGTTGCAGCAGGCACTCTACTTCCTGGTGTCACAGCTGCAACTGCCGCAGTTCCGACGGAGACAGCTGTTGCCAGTGCCGCACCGGCAGCAGTAATTCCAGCTGCAGCCACGCAACCACCCGCCCCGCCCGTCGCGTCCGCAACGCAAACCCCGCCGACTGAAATCGCATTGGCGACCTCCAGAGACGAGGGGAAAAGCACAGCCGGCGGAACGGTGTTGAAGCAAGTTGCGCCCCGGGCTGGTGCAGCTCCGCCGGCACAAACGCCAATGCCTCCGGCGAAAACAGTGTCGGAAGTAGTGCAAGAAACTCCTTCTATCCGCATCCCCTTAGAACACTCCGATATTTCCCCACACGGTGCGTGTAAGAAGCTGATCCAAGACCTGTCTTGCGGCGCGGAAACCGTGGACGCGGGGGGGGCAGCTTCTCCACCGAGCACGACGTTCCGCAGAAAGGCCATCTGCATTCGGGAAAAGATGATCGAGGTGTCGCTTCACAACAAGAACCCCGTGGAAGAGTTGGAAATCAGTAAGCAATGCTTAGCGGAGGTCGAGTCCTTTTTCCTCGAAGCGGGGGAGAAGCCGTTGCAAACCCTTCCCGAGATCTATCGTGAGGAAAAATTCCCCCTCTCCATACCAAAAAGGGATACTTCTGAAAATTTGCGATGCTGATTTGTGGCCACAAATCGTCTCTGTATTGCAAGAAGGCGAATCCAGAGGCATCGCCGTGTTTTGCACGCAATTTGTAATGCTGCATGGCCTACAGAGTAGACATTTGCCATGCTACGCGTCTACGTCAAAACCGTTCTGCTTAGGCTTGGCATGGGCCTGCAGTCCCCTACTGCAAGACAGACCTGCTTTGTGTACGCAGATCCAGCGTCAGAAACTTCCTTGTGATATGGGGAGGGGGGATGTTTCCTTTTGATAAAATCGCCGCTGCCTGTTCCTCCGTTACGTGTGATTTGCAGGGCCAGGCGGCCAAGGGGGAGGAGCGGTTTTTCTGTCTGATGCAAAGCTACAAGCACCAAAAATCTTCGGCTGCTACCACGATCTCTGCGGGCCAAGTGGTATCCTCGCACTTGAGCAAGACCTGCCGCGACAAACTGTACGTATCAAGAAGAAAAATCCCCCCTCCCGACATCAAAAGGGTAAGCTGTGATGCAGATTTGTGCTCACAAATCAGCTTTGTCATGCTAGAAGGGAAAAGATGTAGACACTGTAGTGCTGGGTGGTGTGGGAAGGCCTTGCATCTTCAGCATGACAGGAGGCAGCTGGAAGTGGGAAACAGCATGAGAAATTGCCTGCAAGCGAGGCCACAGCTGCGGCTCTTGGCCTTCTAGCAAAACAAGTCGACTTGTGTACTCAAATTTGCAGCATCACAAATTGCGTTTTCGATATTGGGATGGGGGATAATTCTTCATTTTGATAGTAAGCTTATCACGTTCTGTCGCACCGCAACAAAGAGATGTGTACGGAGGTGGTTTCGAAGTGCGACTCTGGCTTACAACAGCACTGCACGGCGCAGAAAATTTTGAACGGGAAAAAAGAAGTGACGGCGAATGGGATGAAGACAGTCAATTGGGTATCCTAAATTGAAAAATGTCCCCAACCCGGAGTCAAGATGGAGAAATCCGCTAGACAAATCCGCCAGCTTTGGGTGTTGCGCATGACAAGTTTTGAAACTCGTAGCGTAAAAAGCCTGTTTAGCTCGCTCAGCAGCATCACAGATCTAGCCTGTCATGCTGATTGGAGTATTGCAAATTCCAAAACACGACGAGAAAGCGCTTGTTATGGGGCTCTGTGCATGAGAAACATTTTGATCATGCAGGTTTGCATGGCAACTATTGGGTGGGGACGCATTATTTACACAGCATATTGGGTCGCATGGCCCTTGCAGAAGGAGTGTTTGCGCAACCAGGGCACCAATCTGGAAAGTAGCTGCCGGGCGGCTCTGTTTCGGGCGGAAATCGGGGTTGCCATCAGTCGATACAACAACGCGAAACTGGGGTCCTCTGGAGGTGGGGGTGGGCGGTTTTATAGCGCCGGGGAACTACGCCCAGAAGATGGTACTAGCACGAATGAAGGCGAGAGTGGCCGTGTCGGAGATGAAACAGGAACAACAGCATCGTCTGCAGCGAAGAGTAGTGCGGAGAGCGCAGCTGCTTCGCAGAAACGGCGGTATAATGTCGATAAAAACGTATTTTGATGTACTCGTCCCGTGCCGTAATCGTAAGCTTATTTTTTCCGCCGGTACGCAGTCATGTTGGTGTTGTTCCATGCGCCTTCGGTCAAAAATACATACAAACTAGAAATAAACCAAACGTACAATTTTTATCACAGGCTGGATTCGTCCACCACCACCGCTCCTGGTATCTCCAACGCCACATCAAAAGCAACAACGGCTGCTTCCCCAACAACTTCTGCCTCCCCGGATTCGCTCGACTTTTACCCGCTGCTCAGAACCCGCTGCGAGCAGGATGTGCAGAAGCACTGCCTTTCGTGGGCGAACAAATTGAAGTGCTTGGAGGTTTTGGCCAATAACGACGAGCGGAAACTGATCCGACCGCAGATCGTCTACCCAGGAGGCGGGGGCGGCGGGGTGAATAAAGATGGAACGACGTCGAAAATAAACATGACCACTACGTCCAACGCGCTCGGGTGGCAGGGGTTTGGCACCGCGATGAAGCCGTCGACCTCGACGAAAACTACATCAAGTGGCAATAATTTGAGGAAAACAAAAACATCCGCATTTTCGACCACGGCAGATGTTGTTGAACACGACCAGAAAAGAACCACTTCTTCCTCGGGAAAGAACCATCGTGCGCTGGCTGTTGAACAAAATGATGAGAAACAAAAAGCAGAAAATCCTCTCCCAGAACAAAAGCAAAATAGTACAAAAAAATTCCTGAACCACACCGGCGCTATCTCGCCCTTCAAGTTTATGACGGATAGTATCAAAAACAGCACGAGCGCCGCTTTGGCCGCGCTGAGAAAGTCCGGGCTGCAGCAATCCAAAGCAGTCAGCGCTTTACCCTCTGCGGGGCTACGGCAGGATTTAGCGTTGACCACGGTTTGTCGTGCGCAGGTCAAGCAGACGATCAGGCAGAAGTACAGGGATATCCGCCTTAGTCCGGAACTAGCGAAGAACTGTGTCGGCGATATTGACCTTTTGTGCAAGACTGAGAAGCAGAAGATGTTGCAAACCGATTTACCCTCTGGGCAGGTGCTGCATTGCTTGCGAAGAAGGTACTACGAGATCCAACAACAGGACTGCGTGGATTCGTTTCGACTCTTTATGCAGACGTTTCAGCTGGACTGGGCGGCGGACAGCGTGACGAAGAAGGCCTGCAATGCGGACCGGCAATTGTTCTGCCAAAACGTGAAGACGAGCTTGGTGCATGTGTGTTTACAGGAACACATCGACGAGTTGGATGTCGAATGTCAGAAGCAAGAGTTCATGGTTTCCAGCTTCGCGCAACTCGATGTGAACAGATTCAACCCGTATTTGAGCCGGATGTGCCTGCTAGATTTGGACAAACACTGCCCGCTGGACAGCTTGGGAGGTAGATACCTAGAATGGACCGAATTTTGTAATGGCGTCCGTCCTCTCATATACTTGGAACTTGATTTTTCGCGGAACAGCACTAGTACAAAGAACAGAAAAATTGCGCTTCTGTTGCATCTATCAGTATGACAAAGTTTTTAGAAAATAAAACTGCAGGCAGCGACATCCGTGCCATCACTTGTCTGCGGAAAGTCCCGAAGCACCAGCTGCACACTAGCTGCGAGATCGCGCTGAAGAACAACGCGCTTCGCACGAACCAGGATTTCCGGTTGAAATTTGGGGTAACCAATAACTGTATCCTGTGCAAAAGTATCGTACTCGTATTGCAATCATGCATCACAGATCTTTCTCTTAAGGTAAATCCGCATTACAAATTTTATTTCTTATGATCATGCTGAGGAAATTTGTAATGCATTTATTTATACGAGTACGATATTTTTGCAGTTCATAAACTGTGAGGAAGAAATCCAGAATAAGTGCCAAAAAGAAGCGTCTCTCGCCAAGCCGGAAGGGAAGGTCCTGCAGTGTTTAATCGAGAAGCTGGACAAGAACGAGCTGACCGTCGCTCATTCGATGGGCGAATTGGTGAACCCGAATTCCATCCAGCGCACCAAGCAGTTGTGTAAGCAAGAGGTGGAAGAGTTGGCGAAGCAGTTTGGGCAGAACATCCAGAGTGCGAAACAGATCAACCTGGCCTGCGCGGAGGACATTGAAAAGTTTTGTAAAAATGTCGAGCCCGGTATGGCAGTGCACAACTCCCCCTCCCCCTCATTTGTATAGCATGAACGGCAATACAAGCATCAGCAAGAGTGCCGGCGTTGCATGACAAATTCACACGACTGGAGTGTAGTGCTACTTGGGCTACCAGAACTTGTTACGCAAACAGTGCCATGAGGCAGCGACAGGATTCGGGGTTTTGCATGACAAATGAGGGGCGGGAGTGGGAGTTGTGTACTTTCATACCCGGTTTCGGCCAAATCCATGACTGCTTGGTCGATAATCTGACCCGGGTCAGCAAGGAGTGTGCCGCGAAAGAGATGGCGCTGCAGAACGTTTTAGCTGGTGGGAAGGCGGGCGGGGCGGGAGGAGCAAATGCTGCTGCTGTCATTTTGCCGCCGAGTTTGGAGTATGCAATGCAAAAGCATCGTACTCGTATAAATGCATGACAAATTTCCTCAGCATGAGGAATAAAATTTGTCATGCGGATTTACCTTAAGAGAAAAATTTGTAATGCAGGACTGCGATTACTACGAGTACGATACTTTTGCACAGGATATGGAAAAGTGCTGTGAGAACGACATCGGCAGGCTATCAAAAGGAACAATCCCCCCTCCCCATATCAAAACGTTGAAATTTCTGATGCTAGATTTGGATACACAAATCAAATTTGTGTTGCAGTAGAGGACCACTGCACGCAGATCGCAAGTCTAAATCGCGAGCTTTTGGTGTAGGTGACTAGCATGGTAGTCGGCTGCCCTCTAGGCCTTACAGCATTACAAACCGCCTGGATAAAAACTTGGCGGGCAGCTGCCTGGACTTGCTTTCTTGCAAGACAGACACGACTTGTGGCCACAGATCTGCATCGCAAAGTTTCAGACGGGTGGGGAGGGGGCATTTTTCCTTGCAATACAGGCACTGCGGGAATTTCTCCAACCGGGTGAATAGCAACGTGGAAAACAAGGGAAAACTTTCCATCAACGCAGAGGAAAAGTTAACTTGTTTGATCAGTAAACAGCACGCCATGAACTTCAATTACAAGTGCCGGGAATGCGTGCAGAGGCACGTGAAAAGGCAAAACAAGGACTACAGGTTAAACCCAGGGCTGAAGAAGGAATGCGCGCCCATCATCGACGAACTGTGCAAAAAGGAAAAGGAAGAGCAGAAGAAGCACGCCGGCGGCGGGCTCGTGATCCAGTTATGCATTGCAAATATGTCCGGGTCTGGAAAGAATGGGATTTGTGATGCTAACTGTCGACGATAGAAAAACCTGTATTGCACGAGCAGCAAAAGCAGGTGCTTGAATTTTCGCCACCCGGAGAGGGCATTTCTCATGCAGAATAGGCATTAGCAATGCTTTGCGCGAACTGTGATGCCACAGCATGCATCACAGGCATCTTGGGTCATGTACAATTGTGCATGACAAACTCCACTTTATCATCTTCCAGACCCAGACACATTTGCAGTTGAGTCCAGTGTCTGATTGACAACCGCAACCGGCTCCAAGCCATATGACAAGGAAAAATCACCCCTTCCCATATTGAAAACGTGTCCTTCCGAAAATTTGTGATGCAGATTTGTGACCACAAATCCTGTCTGTCTTGCCAGCAGGCAAATCCAGAGAGTCCGCGGCGATATGCAGGCGGTTTGTAATGCTGCAAGGCCCACAGGGCAGACGTCTGCCATGCTAGGCCCCTACACCAAAAGGCCTCCCCCTATGCTTGCGATCTGCGTGCAGTGCTTTCCTGCAAGACAGATGTGATTTGTGTACACAAATCCCGCATCACAGATTTCCGTTTTGATATGGGGAGGGCGGATTTTTCATTTTGATAAGCCAATCCGGGCTGTTTGAAGGCGGTCCAGCTGAAAATCCGGCAGCGAGCGGACGACTACCGGGTGGCGCCGTTTTTCCACACGGTATCAAATGCAAAGATGTCTGGGTCTGGAAGATTGCCAAGCTTGTCATGCATATTTTGAATGACCCATGATGTCTGTGACGCATGCCCTAGTATCACAGATTTTTAGAGGACTTTCTGATGCCTGTACCGCATGAGAAATGCCCTCTCCGCGTAGCACAAACTGGAGTCCTCTTGCTGGTCATGCAATACAAATTTCTTTAGAATCCAGCGACAGCATTACAAGTTTAGAATCTTCCAGACCCAGACCACATTTTTGCATTTGATACACGGCGTGCGAGGACGATCTAAACCGGTTTTGTTTCGACGTGAAGCCTATCAAATGTAAAAATGTCTGGGTCTGGAAGGGTTGGAACTTGTGATGCAAACTCTGGAACACACAAAAATTTGTGTTGCATGCGCGCCAAAAGCTGTCCATTTCTTGGCACGCAAGTAGGAAGTTTCTCATGCGGGACAGGCATCATGAGGCGTGCTCAAAACCTGTGATGCTTTTGCCTGCATCAGACGCCATTCGGGTGATCCGAAATATGCATGACAAATCTCGCAATCTTCCAGACCCAGACACTTTTACATTTGATAAAGCCCGGGGGCGGGAAGGTGCACAAGTGCTTGAATGCCCATTTATCGGAGCTGTCTCCCGCGTGCAAACACTTGGATATGCATTGCAAGAGCATCGTACTTCTAGTATAAATTGCATGACAAATTGGCTTAGCACTACAAATGAAATTTGTAATGCGTATTGGCCTTAAGAAAAAGATTTGTAATGCATACGCGCATCAATTAGTACGAGTGCGATGCTTTTGCGCTGCATACTGGAATTCCGCCAGCAAATGCAAACCGACCCGAGCAACGACCCGCAGATCAGACTCTACTGTTATCAAAAGGAGAAATCCCCCCTTTCCCATATCGAAGCCGAAACTTGTGATGCTGTATTTGAGTACACAAATCGACTTGTATTGCTAGAAGGCCGAGAGACGCCGTTGCGGCCTTAATTCCAGGCGATTTGTCATGCTGTTTTCCATTTCCAGTTGCCTCCTGTCATGCTGAAGATGCAAGGCTTATCTACGTTACCCAGCGCTATGGTCTGCATCTCTTCTCTTGTAGCATGACAACATGACTTGTGGTCACAAATCGCGCTACACAAATCTCTGCTCCATTATGGGGAGGGGGGATTTTTCATTTTGATAACTGTATCGGGATGTTTTCCGATGCGACCAAGCCCTGCTTCCAGGCGAAAAAGAACAACGCGCTGTTTTCTTGCTTGGACAAGCATCGTGACAACGCGGAGTTGATCACGCCGAATTGCGCAAAAGCGGTGAAAGGGATCGGAGAGAAAAAAGCGAAGTCGATCCTGTACAACAAACCCATCGGGGAGCGGTGCGCGGCGACGTTAGCGCGATTTATCGAAAAGGAGAAGTGCGAGCCGGGGACCTTGCCCTTCAACAGCTTGCCTTCGGGGTACAGGCCAGTGCAACGACAAGCTACAAGTGGTGGTCCAACTGCGCCGCTTGTGAAAACGGTTTCCGCAGATGCAAGTCGCATGCCGTTGAGGAGAACGAGTGTTGCAGCTTTTTTTCAAGAAAATGAGCGAAGACTGGACGAGGTGAAAACAGGTCCGGCGTCTCCCCTCCCGAACCCGAAAGCGGTTACGAAAGCTATCAAGTGTAAAAATGTCTGGGTCTGGAAGAATGAAAGTCTGTCATGCTTGTCTGGCATGATTCGAGAATCTGTGTTGCATAGGCACGAAAAGGCCCTCTTACCTGTCATGCAAAAACGCAGTTTGCCATGCGGAATACGTAAGACATGGCAGCCAAAAAATTTGTGATGCATAGCTGCGTATTGCAGTCCGGCTATCATCCACTTTTTGCATCACAAGTTTCCAGACCCAGACACTTTTGCAGTTGATAAAAGCCTTTGCGAAACAGTTGGCGAATACGATCAACGAGCAGGTTATCAACTGTAAAAGTGTCTGTGTCTGGAAGAGTCATGCTGCTTTTGCATGACACAGAAGGTCTGGCATGGAAGCTCTAGCATTACAGGTTTCGAGAACCTTCCGCAATGCCGAATCCGCATGACAAGTCCCCTATTTTGCTGACAAAAAGTGGGAGCTTTTGCTACGTATGCATGAGAGACTTTTCCGTATTCTGAAATACGCATTACAAGTCGCATTCTTCCAGACCCAGACATTTTTGCATTTGATACAGGTGGCGAAACGGATGGACCAGAAGAAGCCGGGCTCTGGATTGAAATGTCTGGTCGACAACATGAACTTAATCGAAGACAGGAGTTGCAAGCTGATGGTGTTGCGGCAAGCGCAGATGCACGTGCGGAACCCGTTCTTGTTCCGGCCCGGGTTCCGGGAAGCGTGCGAGCCCATCGCGGACAAGAGTTGCGCGGGGGCTCCGGGAGGTTTGACGAAGAACGGGTTGGTTGTCCCGCCGTATAAACCGATGTTGTTGAGTATCCTGTGCAAAAGTATCGTACTCGAAGTAACCGCAGTCATGCATTACAAACCTCCTTCTCAACCTAAATCCGCATTACAAATTGCATTGCATTTTTCGTGCTGAGAGAATTCGTCATGCGATTTCTACTAGCCTACGATGCTTTTGCATTTCATATTGAGAGCGCTGCTAGGGCAAGCAGAAGATGTTGACACGGAGTCTGAAGTAGATGTTGAGCAGCAGCAGCAACTCGGATTAGTTCTACTTCCTTGGGCAGATGAATATGAAGAAGCATTCACTCTGCCTCTCGCATCCGCAGAAGAACTGATTTCAGCACAGGCGGATTTTTCCGCAGGAGCAGAAGAAATTCTTTTAGAAGAGACTGAAAAGTTCCTCACGACGACGCCAAGAGCCCTCGAGGAGCAGTACCTGGCCGACCACTACAGCGAGGATTTTCTTCTCCTTGAGCCTTCTGACGAGCAGGACCAGAACTCGTTGCAGATCCAGGTTGATGTAGATTATGCCGATGAAAAAGAAAATTATTCCCAAATTGCCCTCGACCCGTACACCCGCCAGCTTGCCACCCAGCGGTGGTACTCCCAGGCCATCGCGAAGGAGAACGTGAAGTGCCTCCTCGACATGCTGCCCTCGAAATCGCCGGACAACAGCAGAATGACGCCATCGTGTGCCAAGGAGCTGCAGTCCTTCTCGATCTTGACCTCCACCGACATCCGGCTCCATCCCCAGTTGGAAAGGCGCTGCGGGGTCGAAATTGCCAAGTTTTGCGGGCATTTGAAGCCGGGGAACAGTCGGATTCTGGTGTGCCTGAAGGCGGAAATGGAGGCGACGGCGCCCCCCGGCGTCGGGTTCAGCAAGATGTGCCAAGTTTCCGTCTCCCGTGTCGCATTGTCCAAATCCGCGATCGAAACCTACACGAAGTTCCACCTGAATTCCGGCATCACCGCGAAGACCTTGCAGTATCGTATTTAAAAGCGTCCCCGCCCCAGAGTTGTAATGCAGATCTGCATGCTCAGAATTTTTCTCATGCGGAGCCCCATGAGCAGCATTTTGCAGTCGTTTTTTGCAACTTGTCATGCTCCAATCTGCATCATATACTAGATCTGTGATGCTGCAGCTGAGCTAGCTCAAACAGAACTACACTACGAGTCCAGATTAATATTTACATTGCTCGACTTCCGGGTTCTGGTAACGCATACCCCTGGCGACAGGTGACCTTGACAGGCGACCTCGACAGGCGACCTCGACAGGTGACCTCGACAGGTGACCTCAACAGGTGACCTCGACAGGTGACCTCGACAGGTGACCTCGACAGGTGACCTCGACAGGGGACCTTGACAGGTGACCGCGACAGGTGACCGCGACAGGTGAACGCCCTGCCTTCCCCCACCAGTGCTTCGCGCACTAAGCCACTATGCGCGCGCCTGGTGTGAGGCGAGGGGCGGACGCTGTCCGCCCCGATGCCGAACACCCTTCCCCCACTAGTGCTTCGCGCACTGAGCCACCATGCGCGCGCCTGGTGTGAGGCGAGGGGCGGACGCTGTCCGCCCCGATGCCGAACACCCTTCCCCCACTAGCGCCACTAGGGACGGGCACAAGGCCCCAGCGTGGGGACCCTGTCCCCACGCTCGGGTGGGCCTTGTTTGTCATGCAAAACAACCAAAACTTGTGGACTTGTCTAGCCGATAGCCGATCTTAACTATGGTGTGGGGACGTTTTTACACAGGATATGCAGCGTTTGGGGTTTATCAAACAAGGCCAGTTTTCCTTCCTCACTCTCAGAGGGCCGGTCGCTCTCCTGGCGTTGTTGTCGATGATTTTCTCCTTTGGGACGGTGTTGTACTACTTTTATCGGAGATATGGGAGTGTCAGAACCGAAAATGACAAAGTCGAAAAATTTGTGATGCGCCAAATCGGTGCCAGTTGGGCCCTCAGTTTGTAGTCGGCGCATGACAATTTCTTTCTGTCCTGGAAGCGAATCTGTCACGCGGTTGAGGGCAAAGCAGATCCCTTCTGTCATGCTAGTCAGCACCAGCAGGCAGCCCAAGAACTCTTGACCCTCACGAGGTGGACTAAAATCCGCCTCTCTTCTTGCTGCATCCTCTGCAAGAATAGCGTCGCTTTTCGCGTCGCATTTTAGTACGCATGACAGATTATTTCGACTTCGTCGAGTTCGATCCTGACGCTTCCAGAAGAGAAGGAAGACAGCGGGATACACGAGCTACGTGCCTGATAATCTGATATTAAATGCAAATATGTCGGGGTCTGCAAGATTGCCAGGTTTGTCATGCATATTTCGCATCATGACCCATGACACCTGTGAGGCATGCCCCAGCATCACAGATTTTTAGAGGGCTTCTTGGTGCTATTATGCATGAGAAATGCCCTCCCCGCGTGGCACAAACTGGCATGCTCTTGCTGGTCATGCAACGCAAACTTTTTTAGAATCCAAAGACAGCATTAGAAGTTGCAACCTTCCAGACATGCAGGGATATTTGCAATGCATATCTGAACATTGGCACCATGAACGCGGGAGTTGCAGTATGTTGAGTAAAAACGTCCCCCCCCCCAGAGTTGTCATGCAAATCGGCATGCCAAAAAAGTTCCTCATGCGGAGCGCCATGAGAGGCATTTTCTAGTCGTGCTTTGGAAGTTGCTTGTGATGCTATGATCAGCATGATATGCTAGATCTGTGATGCTGCTGAACCACCTAGACAGGATTACACTACCGGGGCAAACTTGTCATGCGAAACAACCAAAGCTGGCTGATTTGTCTAGCAGATTCCCCATTTTGACTTTGGTGTGGGGACGTTTTTTTTCAGGATATGCAGCCGGGATGCAAGAGCACGAGGATGCAGAAGTCGGATCTGCTTCCAGCAGCAGCTCTGGTGGCTCGGGCGTGACGAGATCTGGGTTTGAAAAGAACTACCAAGATGCAGAGGTGGTCAAGATCCCTCCAACGACGGGGAATAGCAAAGCATCTTCTCCGATGAAGGTGAAGCCAGAGCATGAGAAGAAGAACGTGAGTGGAAATAGACCGCCAGCACCAACATCGAAGCCACCAGGGAAAATGAACAAGGCGGCGGAGTGAGATTGAGATTTGTGTTGCGAGATTGAGGAGTCGGTGGAACCACACCGGCAGATTTGTGTTGCGAGATTGAGGAGTCGGTGGAACCACACCGGCTGATTTGTGTTGCGAGATTGAGGAGTCGGTGGAACCACACCAGCAGCTACGGGAATTAAAAGCAGTGGACCACTGCTTTGGATTTATTTTGCGCTAGGTGTCGGAAGGCAATGTTGCGTTGAGGACAAGTTTAAGTACTTACTTGTTGAAAAAGTGATAGATTGATAGATACAACCGCCGCGGCGTCCATTATTGACACCGCGATCGAAGGACTGCACTGCAAAAGCGATGCAGTTTGTTCCCAAGAAATGGTTCTTTTTTCTCTACTACCCGTGGAAAAAAATTGTAAAAGCCCGTGGGATTGATTATGAAATTGTAAATTCGTTCGATCCTGTTCGTGGAAGAAAAGTGTAATTCTGTAGTCGGTCGCGGAAATAAAAAAATGGAATTCCCGTGGTTCTGATGTTTGGCGAAAATAGATCAACTTCGAGATTCACAGTCACAACGCACTGCTTCGAGATCTGCAACGGCCGAAAATTTAAAAGGCTAGGATCATAATTATATATAATTTCACTTCAAGATCAGCAACGACAGGAGACTGAGGCAGCAAACACAGCAACACTACAGAGGATCAATGGGCGCGTGTGGGTGCGGCAGCGGCGGTCCACATACAATTTCACGGTGCAAGATGAAGACGGAGCAGTAACATTCCGTGTGCAAAATTTCTATTTCTGCGAAAACCGAGACTACATAGTTTCTCTGCGACGCTGATCGTGCGTATGCTTACCTGGATCGTTCTCTCGGGTTTTGCATGATGGGTTCGTGAGGTCGGTTTGTTATTTTCGGTGAAATTCCGATTGGAATTTTGCTTCCCGCCTCGCATGCCCACGCTGTGATGCGCCCCTGCTGGCTTTGACTCCTGATCGTGGTATTTTATTCTTTCGAGGCTCTGCTGTGGTTGGGATCTCAAAAAAAAATGTAGTTTTGATTTTTCATACTCCGGGGCGGCTGGGTAGTTTCCGCAGCGCACTGCTTCGAGATCTGCAACGGCCGAAAATAGAAGGCTAAGATCATAATTTCACTTCAAGATGATCATGATCCCGCATGTAAACTGATGGAGACTTCTATCGGTCAAGCTAGCGCACTACAACTTGGCACAAGAAAGTTGTAGCATTTTAATATGCCGACCTCTAACCTTCAAAGTGGCAACCAGGAAGCATCAAACTTTCATCACAGGAGCTTTCATCTTTTCCGGGTTTATTTATCCTCCAAAACAACTAAAACGCTGAAAACATACACAAGCACCGATTTTTTACCCTGATTTTCCAAATAGAACAACTCCCCAATGTAGCTGATTTTACAAGTAGAACAAGTCCTACAATGAAATACGAAAAACAAAGCGAAGCCTGTGTTTGGTAAAGAGACGATCTTGATTTGCATTTGTCATTGAAAAATTTTGACTTTCGCTTCGAACGAAAAAGGTTTTTCTCCGCGGCATCCTGCTCTAAGGCCGTAGCTTTAGCGTTTGTTAGTCACGAAGGAAATCAATTTCATAACAAGTACGGTCTCGTCCTCTTCTACATTTCTTACTGCCTTTGTAAAAGAGAAATAGCAGCAGTATAGAATTAGAGTACAACCTTTGTGGTCGGTGCCGACCGTTCATCACAATTGAGTAGTGGTCAACATCCACGGATCTAAATTCTGTGTATTGTCGGAAAAAAAATGGCCCGCAGCTTCTTTCGTCGCGTCCTTGCAGCTTCCGCCAGTGGAGGTTGCGTGTCTGTCTACAACTTTCACGCGGCGCTGCTGGGAGGACAAGGAACTTCTGAAACGATTCCAAGTACTAGTTACTTTTCGCCGGTTCTGGCCGCCTCGCCAGGATCGTGGCCCGGAAGCAGCAGCGATCCCGAATTGCGTACGTCTCGTCATAGATCCACGTCGTCGCGCGCCTCGTCGGCGTCTCGTCATGAACAAGGGAAAAGGGCGCCGTCTCGTCCTAGATCCACGTCGCGCGTGGGACCACGCGGAGAAGGTGAGAACGCGGTTGGAGGTGGACCGATTACGCTTTCCACAGTCGTCGCGCAATACCCTTTGCCACACACAACTCTTCCATCATGCGACGGCCTGTTTGGCGGGAAAGAGGAAATAAACACAGCTGGAGGCTGTACTACACCGATTCCGATTTCCATCAGCGACAGCCTGTCCGGGGGGAAAGATGGAACAAATGCGGCTCGCAAACCGATTCCTATTTCCATCAGCGAGGCCGTGTCTCGCCCTTGCGGCAAGGTTAGCCGGATTGAAGCGATCCACAGACGACTTGGCGACTGGGCTAAAAAAGGCCGCGTTGAGGACGCAGAAAGCCTCTTCAACAGCATGCAAGCCGTAGGCCTGTGGCCGCATGTCGACGCTTACTTCGCGCTCATGAGCGCTTACGCAAAACGTGGCGACGCTGAAGGCGCAGAGCGTGTTCTGGAAAGGATGGAGCTCGCAGGCCTGAGCCCGATCCGCGTTAGCAGCAGCGACCAACAGATCTTCCAAGGGCATAACTTACAGCGCCGCGATCAGATCTACAGCGCCGTCCTAGACGCATACACGAAAAATGGCAACGCTGAAGGCGCAGAGAGGGTCCGGCAAAAGTTGGCCGCTTTTTATGCCACCGCGATACAGTACTCACGCGAAAAAGGACAGCCCTGCACGCTGCCAGGGCTCGCCAGCGTGCTGCAGCGCGCAGGCTTCCGCCCGGACGTTACCAGCTACAACGCCCTGATTGGCGCGTACGCCGAGCGAGGCGACGCCGTGGGCGCTGGGAGCACTTTTGAAAGGATGAAGAGCGCAGGCGTGGCGCCGGATATCGCCACGTACAACACTCTCTTGCAAGCGCACGTAAGAAAAGCGCGCACATCGATTGGCGATACGGACGCCCGCAAGGGCATTAGGGAGGTCTTGGACTTGATATCTGCGGACGAAAACGTGGAGAAAGACGAACACACCCAGAGTTTGATAAGTGACTACTATCGGGTCTGTACGCGGCACGTGAAAACTCTTGAAATCCCTTCAGAGGCACACGACCCCGCCCCGGCGACTGTTCAGCCTTAATTAGTTTTGCCAAATTAAGTATTTTGTATTTTGTTGTTTTTTTTTAAGTACATTGTTTTTTCAAAAGGTATGCATGTAGGGATTGCATTAGTTTTGATTTTATCAAATTGCCGTTCTTAGATAAAAATGCGACCTACTTGTATGATTTTGAGACCGGTACGTGCTGAGGCCCAGATTTTTAAACACGATGGCACGGTGAAGGTTAGATTTTTAGCGTCGGGCATACCCTCGGGGAAAACAGGGGGCCCCCGCCCTCCCGCCTCTCGCCCGCTCGGTAGCCTCCCCACAGGGGGGCCCCCGTCCCCGGCTCCCGCCCTCCGTCCCGCCCGCAGGGGGGGCCCCGCCTCCGTCTTTCACTGCCCACTTACAGGGGGCCCCCGCCTCCTTGATCGCCCCCCCGCACAACCTTTCGCCCGCTGGGCATCGCGGGGCGCCGACCGCTGGCACCGCGCCTGCAGGGGGGCCTCTGCCTCCTTCTTTCACTCCCCGCGTCCCTGCAGGGGGGCCCCCGTCCCCGGCTCCCGCCCCCCCCGCCCGCAGGGGGCATCCCGCCTACAGGGGGCCCCCGCTTCCTTCTTTCACCGCTCACGCGCAGGGGGCCGACGCCTCCTTGCCCGTCCCCCCTCGCACCCTTTCGCCCGTTGGGGGTCCGCCTGCAGGGAGGCCCCCCTGGCTCCCGCCCTTCCGGCCGCTGGGTACCGCTCGTGCAGGGGGGCCCCCGCCTCCTTGCTTGCGCGCAGGAGGCCCCCCCGCCTCCTGCGGGCTGCCGGCCGAAAGCGGCCTCCTGCCCTCCCGCGGGGGGCCCCCGCGGCTCTTCTTGCCCACAAGGGGGCCCCGCCTCCCTGCCGCCCCCGCCCGAAGGGGGCCCCCACTTCCGCCGTATCAGGTCCGGAACGGGCCTCCACCTTCTTAGTTACCTGCCTGAAAGGGGAAAGTTTGGGGGGGCCCATTGTCCTGTTCGTTTGGATTTCCTGTTCGGTTGGATGGTTGCTGCCTTGCTGGCCGACTCCGCCCGTTTTTCGCCGCGGGCACGCAAGGGGCCGCCCACTTGCGGCGCGCCCGGCTTTCGGGCCCCGCCCGCATGGGTGGTTGGGGGGGGAGTGTTGTGGGCTGCCCGCTGGTCCGCTATCGCGAAGGGGTGGTGGAACTGCAACTATTGTGCCCGCGGGCCTCAACACGGACCTAACCAGTGCGGGGCTTGTGTGTGTTGGGCACAGCTATTGCGCCCGCGGGCCTCACCACGGACCTAACCACTGCGCTGCCTGCTTCTGTTGGGCGGCTGGCCGGTCCCCTCGTTGGTGACTGTTCTGGAAGTGGTCCGCTCGTCCTCCCGGGGGGCCGCAACCGCACTGGGCGGGGCGCCCGCGCGCGGCGCCGACGGGCGTGAAAGCGTGCCCAGCAGTAGTGTTGTTGCGCGGGTTGAAGGGAAAGAGAGGGGCGTTGGCAATATTGTATTGCGAAGGCGGGCTGGGTGATTGGTTGTCAATGCGGCAGTTGTCAAGTTGGTTTGGTTGGTTGTCAATACGCCAGAGCGACAGCTCTCACTCGGGGCCGCGCGTTGTCGCTCTGGCGTATCGTTGTCTTTCTGGCCGGCGTATTGACAACCAACCACGACAGTATGTATATGGCGCACAGTGACAACCACAAGAACCCGAGAGACATTCCGCGCGACAGGCAAAGACCAGCAGTGCGGTGGGGAATACTGCCCGCATGCGCCGCCACACGCACTACGCGCGCGGGAAAATATTGACTGCAGACGCTGGCGCCACCATGTGCCAGGGCACGCAGTGCGCTGAGCAGTCGGCGCCGTGCTGTTAGGACGTGCGGACTCCGACCCGCGTCGGCGAGGGCAGCCAAGGTAAAAGTAGACACGCGCGCGGGCGATAAGCGGAAACACTGCCCACATGTGCCGCGGTGCGGGTCGCGATTCCCAAACGTTGCGGTCGCGACCGACAAACCACGGAAACCGACTCCGGTCGGAAGCCGGCGCGTGCCGCCGCGATTCGAGATAAAGTCGCAGCGCTTGTTCCGATTTGTGTCACGGCGAGACACATCGTGAAAAAAAGGCCGCGCCGTCGTGATTCGGCTGCGCGACTCGTGCGAAATATCGTGGAAAATCAGGACAAAGCAACTCCGCAAACAGGGCCCGTAGCACCGCGATTCGCGACGCAATTGTTAGGCTTTTGCACTATTTTTTGCACGGTGCAAAAACTCGTGCAAAAGAGGTCCTACCACCGCGATCAGCATAGAAAACAAAGCAACTTTTGCACGATTTTCACCAGTTTCGCGACAAATCCCGGGCTTCGGGAAATCCCGGGATTCCGGAAAGACGTGAGTAAAAGACAAAAGCAAAAACCCGAAGACTTGGAAGGGCCAACCCGCATGGTATGGCGCGCGTAGGCTACTGAAATCCTTATAGTTTCGCAGTGTAACAAAAGCCGTTCCACGAGGGCACCGCGCCCGGGTATATACGCAAGGTTTGACCCCAATCACGATGGTAGTGCAAATAATTCTGGGCCTCAGCGCGTACCGTTCTGATGATTTTTTACAAAATTATAGAAAGAATTGCGTGCATATGCATTGAAAAATGATATCAACATATCAAAAATAAAGAAATTTTTTTGGAACGGGAATCAGTGCAAACGTGGAGATATCTAGTAACAAAGGACTGGAACATGTGAGAGGCTGACACCCAGGACGACCAGGTCATCCAGGGCCGTAGGCTTTGAGCGTGATTCTGGGTCTTGATACTCAAAGCAATATTTTAAAACTTGGCTCGGTAGAAGTATCATCGGCAAAGACATGTGGTAGCTTCCGAGGAAGCAAGATGAGACTGAGAGTACAAAAAAGTTGTAGAACTACTTGAGTCGGCGTTGTGCTATACAGATCGTACAGCACAGCTATCGAATCGCTCACAACCGAACGAACACTACTAGCACGAAAAACACGAAAGACCGATGCTAAGGGAACCATTCAGACGCATTACAGATATTTCGTTATCATTCAGAAGGGAGAAGCTGCAGTGATTATTTGAATCGCAGACCTCGATGCAAGAGAAGCAAGGGGATAAAACGCGATTTTGAGATGTTGTGATAGTTTTGCAATTATTGTTTTGGAAAAATTCGAGTAAGGAAAAAAAACGACCAGGCTTGAAAAATAGAAAATCACGAAGACTTTTCCACTTTTCAAAACTCAGTGCTGACAGGACTTAAGAGCACCAGCAGCCACAGCTAGAAAGCTGTGCAAGTTTTCCCTGTTTTCGCATTACAAATTCAGTGTCCTACATCGTGGCTGTGTGTCAACAAAAGATCTTGCGTCCTGTTTTCTGGAGTGTGAAATCAATAATGTACGTTTGCAGTAAGCATCGTCTTCATCGGGATGAGTTGTGTCGTTTTTCTGTTTCCAAAGTGTCTTTCGCATCCACTTTGGACAGTGCCACTCGCTCTTCCTGCGTTTTGGTGCCCATCATGCGCGATTTTCTTCCTTCCAATGTTGTACTGAAGGTACTTAGCAGCTTCAACATCTTGCATTTGAAACACGATCCTGAAATGCGAAAATTGCACGACTCACAGAATAGATCATGGGTCCGACAAGATGAACGCGTTGCCCTTGAAAAAGTCCGATATGGGGATCGGATCCAAAGAAGAGGAAGATCAAGATCTAAAATCAATGCGATCTGCTTCTTGTCAAGGAGAGGATCACGCGACCAAGGTTCTTGTGAAAATGTTCTGGTCCCAAATCCTGGGCTGGCATGTTGACTACCAAGTACTATAGTTGGTTTCAACTAGAAATCACAAAGAAGTAGTAAGTAGATCATCTTGATGTAGAACAACACGAATTATCTCGATGCGACCATTTTGATGTTTCAATTTCCCTACTGCAGGCGACTTTCGAGTTTTTTTTGGGTGATTTCGATCGTCATAATCGTAATCCATAAGATCTTCTTCAAAGTGATAGGTACTGCTCTCATTATTACTTAGACATGTTTAAAAGTGCTGGTCTTGCTTGATGCGTTATCAGTCAGCACACGGCTCGCTTTTATCCTGATTTTCATCTTTCATGTCACGACAACCACAACCTGTACTAGTAGTTACAATTCGTTTAACGACAACATCGTAATTTTTCTTTTCAAATTGACGACCGCCTGATCATCTTCTTTCCCAGCCCAAAGCCATGATCAACGACGAAACGAATTGGCACATTCTCAACCAGGGGTTCTGCAGTTTCAAGGTGAAACTGAAGCAGCCGCCAGACACCTTTTGCCGCAACGAATACAATGTCACCGGGTTGTGCAACCGGGTCAGCTGCCCCCTGGCGAATTCAGAGTATTTTATTTGATTCGCGGGGTGTATAATTGTAAGGGAAAATCTTCCCTCCCCATATCGAACTGGAAATCTGTGATGCGGGATTTGTGTACACAAGTCGACTTGTATTGCTAGAAGGCCAAGAGAAGCAGTTGTGGCCTGAATTGCAGGACATTTGTCATGCTGTTTCCCAATCATGCCAGTTGCCTCCTGTCGTGCTGAGGTTGCAAGGCCTTCCCACGCCAGCCAGCAAAAATCATCACAACAGGTATGCCACGGTGATCGAGAAGGAGGGTCTTTGTTTATGAAATGCAAAAGCATCGTACTAGTATAAATCGCATGACAAATCTCCTCAGCATGAGAAATAGAATTTGTAATGCGGATTTACATTGAGAAAGAAATCTGTAATGCATGACTGCGATTACTACGAGTACGATACTTTTGCACAGGATATTGTTACCTGTACATCAAAACCGTGGAGCGAGCACACATATGGATTGTAAAAATGTCTGGCTCTGGAAGGTTGGAACTTGTCATGCTAAATCTGAATCATGCAAAAAACTGCGTTGCATGATTTGCAACTGCTGTCCACTTTTGACCAAGTTGAGAGGCACTTTCTCATGCAGGATAGGCATGATAGTGATCTCACCGAATCTGTCATGCTAGGTCCTCCATTACAGATTATATGGGTCATGGCAAACCTGCATGACAAGTTCCAGACCCAGACACTTTTACACTTGATAACACACGCCGAAGAAGATGTGGGAGAAGATAGAGCTATCATTTGTAAAAACGTCCCCACCCCAGAGTTGTCATGCTAATCTGCATGCTGAAAAGATTTCTCATGCAGAGCCCCATGAGAGGCATTTGCCAGTCGTGTTTTGGAATTTGCCATGCTTCATTCGGCATGGTATGCTAGATCTGTGATGCTGCTGCACTAGCAAAACAGGACTATACTACGAGGCCAAACTTGTTATGCATACTTCCCAAAACTTGGAAATTTGTGTTGCACATTTACCAACTTGACTATGGGGTGGGGACGTTTTTCCGCAGGATAAGAGCTGTCCAAAAATTTCATGCAGGCTTTGGCGCAAATAGACGAACAGCTGCTGCACTGGGCGGATCACAAGGTAGAAAAAAGAATTTATAGGTTCTTCGTGTAAAAAAGCACTGCACGACGACAAGCACCAGCATCTTTGGTGCGCGTTGTTATTTCCCAATATCATTGTTCACCACCTGGACCTGCATGACCACAACTTGCCCGCGGCGAGAAGATTGAAAAGAACTTTTCATTTCCAGATCTTGTTACACCAACTAGAAGCATTAATGCATTTTTAATTCAGATCAAAACTTTACACCAAAAGCAAAACCAAAACCACAACAACAGAAAAACCGGTGTAAGCAGCGGCTGACGAAGCTGCGACAGGTTTTGCTGCGACAAAGGAAAGCTGCGTTGGAGCCGAAAATGACCACCATGGTTGGGATCAAACAGAAGACCGAGAAGCGCGAGGCGGTCCGGGAGGAAAAAGCGGAGAAGGCGGCAAAGGTTGAGATGTCGATCGAAAAAGAGCTGTTGGAGCGTCTGAAACTCGGGACCTACGGTGATTTGTACCAAACAAAGAAGCAGAAAGAGAAAAGCTCCGCATCAAATAAAGCGGGAGAGAAGGAGCTGAACAGCGATATCCTGCGTAAAAACGTCGTCCCCACGCCGACCCCAGGGCTTAAGATGAAAATTCTGCAACACAGATCGATGCACAAGTTTTAGTGGGAGTCACGCATGACAAGTTTGCTTTCTCTGGACTGTAATGCGGCTGAGCTGCAAGGACAGCCGCATCACAAAGCCATGGTCCTGGCATAAGTATCCTGTTTGCACCATCTTCACAAACTCCATAACACAGTCGAAAATACCCCTCCTGGGCGGGACGCGCATTACAAGTTCTTTTCCTGTGATTGCAAATGATCTGCATGACTAGTACAACTCTGGGGCGGTGCAGCTGGGGACGTTTTTACTCAGGATAAGCGAGGAAGAACAGTCAAACGAGATGGAGCTCGAGTACGAGGACAGTGAGGGGGAGAGGCTGATGGAACTGGAAGACGGGGACGAGGAAGTAGATGAGCGGGATTTTATTACAATGAAAAATGCCCCCACCCCCGAACTTGGGAGCATTTGTATTGCAAACCTTTCCAAATGAAACATTCTCCCTCTTGCATCTATCAGCATCACAGGTTTTCAATCGTGAATAGCAAAAAAATTTGTATTGCAAAAGACCCCAGCATAAGCGGCGCTTGTCATGCAAGCGATGCGATACTCGCCAACATTCTGCATCAGAAAGATTCATACTCCTTTCATGCATGACAAAAAGTTTTCATTTGGAAACTTCGCATCACAAATTTTTGTAATTTTGGGGTGGGGGGCACTTTTCACTGTAATAGATTTAGCCTACATCGCAGATCTGAACGACAGCGACGACGACGGAATACCCGATGAAGATTTATCGGATTTGTCCTCTGATGAAGAGGATGAACAAGCTGCTGGTGAGACGAGAAACAAAAACTCAGACGACGACATGTCTGACGACGACGAGGCCTCCTCCAATTCCCCCGACGCGAAGGTCCAAAGGAGAGAAGACGCTTCCGTCGGTAGCTCCTCGCGGAGAAGTACGGATGTGGGCGATATCGAGGACCTGATGGGCAGCGGGGGCCGAGGGGGAAGTAGTAGTAGTGCAGCGGAGCGATTACGCAAGAAGAACCTGAAGAAGAAAAAGAAGAAAAATGATGTGGCGGGGGGTCGTGAAAAGGAACAACAGCAGCCGGAAATCGAGTACGAAATGGAGGACGAGGAAAATGTGTCGCAAGTTGTCCGGCAAAAAGCGCTCGTCAGGAGGAGATGATGAGAAGGATGCTCTTTACAAGAACTTTGTGATGAAATTACAACACAATAAATGTGACGAGCAGGACCACGTCGACACTGCGATTATGGTCGAGAGGACCTCCACGCTATCACGAGGAACATCAGGAAACGATACCCTTAAGCTGCACTTCCTAGCGCAAGAATTGATGTCGCAAACAACGCATATTGCAAAACGAAAGCATAGGACTTACCGCTGCTTATCCTTGTTCCTGAGGAACGCGGCACAGCAGATTCATTGTGTTGATCAGTAAATATCGTGAATTTTGTTCAGCCACTGTTTCATGGACGGAAAGGGAAGCGTTCCTGTCTTCGTGTTGTGTACGAATCTATCATTACGCGAGTGCGCGAGGACGCTCTGAGCGATGTGAGTAAGTAGATGTGTCGTGAACAAACAAGGAGAGAGAAATGGACGTCGAGACAGGACGGAGCGGCGTACAAAATTCAACGCCCCTTGTCCCGTCAACGTCCGAAGATCAACAGGACACATGATTGGAAAATGTGTCATGTTGTCCCGCTATGTACTATTAGATGGCAGGCTGCACGCGGCCGTCAGCGGCGATCGCAGGCGCCGAAAAAAAGACAAACAAGCTGCGCTGCCTAGCCCAGCGGTGAGAGGAAAAATCGTTTCCGCATCATGTATTGTTGACCTTGCTCGTCCAGCAGCCCGCCGCGCCGCCCATGATGACGAGTGTGAGGGACGATTCAGCTGCCGTGTCTGTAAGTTTCGGCTCAGAGATGAGACGGCTATACTTAATGTGTCGAGGTGGAACAAGGAGAGAAACAACTATGGTAATGGTTTCTGTTGAGAGCAGTAGGTTTCGTCTCGGACTTGATAGTGCTAAGATAGAAGTCATCAACATCTGGGTGGGAAGGAGAACTACATCACGGGCCGCATTTTTGTGTGTGTGCGCACTATAATTTTTAAGCCTTTTCAGCAGGAGCAGGAACCCAAAATAAACAAGAAGCTATCGCTTCGGTGACACTTGGCTGCGCCCTCCGACAGCACCTCGATCCCCTCGCCGCCATGCCGACCGACGACACGAAGGCCCTGCTTGCGGGGAAGTCCAACGAGCATGAGCAGGCTGCGGGCATGAAACCACGACGGTGCACGGACATCCTCTGTCTACTTGTCTTCTTCGGTTTCCTTGGGGGCTTGATCTACATTTTGCAGTACGCGATTGCGTATGGATTGCAACTATGTGCTGGTCATCTGGAAGATGAGTGCAAGACTTGTCATGCAGATTTTCCATGACCAATGAGGTCTGGAATGCGGGACCTAGCATGACAGATTCTGTGAGATGATCTCTATCATCTTCCCTGTCCAGCATGAGAAAATCCTTGCAAGTTGGTCAAAAGTGGGAGACTTATGGTAATCATGCAACACAGATTTTTTCACAGAGGAGGCTTAGCATGACAATTTACACTCTTCCAGACCCAGACATATTTGCATTTGATATTGCGAACGGGGACGTCAGAAGATTGAGCCACGGGTTTAACTTCAAGGGGAAGTTGTGCGGGGTAGAGATTCATAGCTTGCTTCATAATTTTTGTCATGCATCAGCTTCACAACTACACATGTCCTTACGCAAGAAACTACATGATCTGGGCTGCATGAAAAATCAAATACTTATCAATTATCAAAAACCGCACCGACCACATTCTTTATATTCAGGTCGACCCCGGTTACGAGGACCGTCCTTACCTTTATTTCTGCCCCTCCGGCGTCCCCATCCCGGGGACAGATCCGCCTATACCTAGTTCCCTGGATCTCCTCCACCCCATCTGCGTCAACTCTTGTCCCGTGTCTGGGTCCCAATCCTTCTTGTGCTACGGTGGGGCGACGGTGAAAGAGGGGGATGCGACGAACAACGAAGGGGACTACACGAAAACCATCACCTACGACTTTGTCCGCACCGATGCGTATGAGTCGTACGAGTTCATGCATCGGTACTGCATCCTACGCAATACAAACTTATTCTTGTTCCCCGCACAACGTGTACAAAATGCATCACAAATCTCGCCGATTTGTCATTCTACCCTGGGATCGAGCCTAAGTTTTGTCATGCAGAGACCGCATTTGTACTATGTGTAGTACGGGAATAAATTTCCTGTGGATACATCCCGAAGGCGGACGCACTGGCGAAGCAAGTGATGATATCGCAAGAAAAAAGTGTTACAGTTACACACTGTGTGTCAGGCATAGCAAGACAGACAAGCTCTGTCATGTTGGATATGCATGGAAGCCTTGTTTCCTACGTGTTTTCCCGTATGATTTCTGCAATGCACGTTTTCTCTCTCATGCAGAGAAACTTGTGTTGCTAAATTGACGACAAATGTGCAACTGTAATACTTTTTTCGTGTGATAGATGACTAGCATCGGAGACGGCGTGTAAGCGTTGCAAATATGTCTGGACGTCTAGAAAGTTGGAACTTGTGATGCGGATTATGGAATAGGCAAAAATAAGAATTTGTATTTTTGCATCAACGCCGATAAAAGCTTCCTACTTCGTGCCATTCACGCAAATAGGATGGAATTTCTCACGCAGGATCATAGGTACCAGCAGGCCTGCGCAAATTAACCTGTAATGCTTTTGCGTGCATCTGCATTAGTACAGTGACCTTTTGCATATAGTAATCCAAGAGATGCTTGACAAACACGGGCATTCTACTTCCGGACCCAGACGTATTTGCCTTTGACACTCTGGTTCCGCAAGCGATGATGAAAGTCGGAACCTTGCGGGCGGGGTACCCGGCGTTAGCTCTCTCCACCGCAATCGCTTTTGCCTTGGGGTACCTCTACCTCTTCCTGCTCCGGGAGTTCGCGAAAGCACTTGTCTACACCTGTATGCTCGTCTATGGAACTGTCAGGATCGAAATCGTCAAAGTTGAAATAATTTGCCATGCATAAAATGGATGCCAGGTGGAACCCAGTTTCCAATTGGCGCATGACGAATGTCGGTGGTCCCTAAATCCAGTTTGTCATGCAGTTTAGGCAAAGAAGGGCGATTTTCTCAAGCTACTTCAGCAGCTCGAGCTGTAACCCCAAACAGGCTTACAATCGGCCTCACTTGCCTGCTCTGCAACACACGTTCCTCAGGTCATGCGTTTTATGCATTACAGGTTGTGTAGTGGTTTCGGTCGGTTTAGTATTACAAATTATTTCAACTTTGACGATTTCAAGCCTGACGCTTCCATATCGTCTTGATCATGGGATCGGCGGTTTCCGGGGGGTATCTGCTCTCCGTCGCAGACGCGGGTGGCGTGGGGGAGGGGACCGGGGACGGACCAACCTGCTACGTCGTCGGGGTTTCCCTGTTGGTGATGTCGGTGATATTTTTGGGTTTGTTCGCCGTCAAGAGAAAGGCTTTGGCCACAGGAATTGCCTGCGTCGAGGGCGCCTGCGAGGCGATATTCAGCATGCCGTCTCTACTACTGCAACCGGCCTTCGAGATTGTGACAAAGATAGTCGTGCTAGGAGGAATGTATAGATACTATTCTACTTTTCATGGAGGCTCTTGTGTTGCAATCATAAGTACGCCAAGTAGAATACCACGCAAGCATGAAATCCAAACTTCGAAAACTACAAAACCCAGGCTGTACGGCTTTATGTGGGTGATGTCGACGGGCGATGTGAAGAGTTCCAGCGCGACATATCACAACGAAAAATGCCCCCACCCCCGAAGTTGGGAGCATTTGTATTGCAAACCTTTCTAAGTGAAACATTCACGATTCACCCTCTTGCATCTACCAGCATCACAGGTTCGTTCTCAATCGTGAAAAGCAAAAATTTGTCTTGCAAAAGACCCCAGCAAGAGTGGCGCTGGTCATGCAAGCGATGCTGTATAAGTACAACTAGTAGACTGTGCATCAGAAAGATTCATAGTCCTTTAATGCATGACAAAAGATTTTGATTTGGAAACTTCGCATCACAAATTTTGGCAACTTTGGGGGTGGGGGCATTTGTCACTGTAATACGACAATAGGTGGCGTGAGAGTACACGGGCTGTCGAGGACATTCGACTATATGCATTTTGCAAATACAACGTTTGTCTGGATGTCGAGGTTTGGGGTGCAGCTTTCGCGTGACCCAGAAGGTCTGGCATGCACGCCCTAGCATGATCTTCACAGGCTTTCTTGAGAAGAAGGCCTCTTAATGCGCGATCCGCATGGCAAAGCCCTTCTTTCGGTGGCCAGAATTGCGCAAGTTTTGGCTACTTCTTCCACGCATGACAGATTTTTGTGTGATGTGAAATGCGCGTCACAACTTGTTCCAGTCATCCAGGGGTACTTATTTGCAGTGGATAGACTACACAGACGAGCAACTCGCGTTTCTCGGCTACTGGCTCTTCGGGATTTTCTGGATCACCGAACTGTTCTATGGGCGTGGACAATTCCCCCTCCCCCTCGTTTGTATAGCATGAGCGGCAACATAAGCAGTGGCAGCTATGTGGCTTCCGCATGACAAACCTCCTGCGCCACATGGATTGTAGTACTGCTTGAGGTCGTTTCAAAATTTCTCATGCAGACACTGCCTAGAGGCAAGAGGTAGACTCGTCGTTTTTTTGCATTACAAATGAGGGGGAAGGGGAGTTGTGCACTCTGATATGTTCACAGCGCTGGGGCAGTTCGTGGTCAGCTACTGCGTGGTGCTGTGGTACAAACATTTTCTGTTTTTGCTTTGCATAAAGCGCATGACAGAATTGCTTTTTTTTATGCGGCAGCAACAGCAGCAGTCGTTGTGCATGACAAGAAAAACACCGCACTCATTGAAATCTATCTTCTCCACCCAGGTATTTCTCGGACAAGGACTCGAACGGGAGAAAACGCGGCCCCCCGTTCCCACTCTTCAAGGGCGTGTTTGTCGGTATTTTTTTCCACCTCGGCACACTGGCGATGGGGGCGTTCTGCATAGCAATGCTGCGGGTAGTCAGAATAGTGCTACAGTACGTCGCAAAACAGGCGAAGCAAGGTACAGTCTTTTTTTTGAAATGGGTTGAACATGAAGTAGTTTGATGTTGGTATGCCAGTACTTTATTTCCAGTAGATGAAATATGATAAGATGGTCCCCTAGATGTACATGTAGATGTAGATGAAAGCGACTTTATTGTGCACCGAGTGGACGTGAAAAAGCGCACGTAAAAGAACGAAAAAGCAAGAGCAGCGCACACGTACATGCACATCTGAAATCAGCCGACAATGCCGTTCTGGAGATAATCGCAAAGCTGCTTTTGTGCTGCGTGATGTGCTTCGAGCGGTTTGGTTTACCAAATGTAAAAATGTCTGGTTCTGGAAGATTGCCAGGTTTGTCATGCACATTTTGCATGACTCCTGATCTCTGTGATGCATGCCCTAGCATCACAGGTTTTGTGAGGGCTTTCTGATGCCTCTACCGCATGACAAATGCTCTTTCCGTGTAGCAAAACTTGGACTCTCTTTGCTGCTCATGCAATACAGATTTTTTTAGAATCCAAAATCAGCATGACAAATTGGATTCTTCCAGACCCAGACATTTTTACAGTTGATATGTTTCCTTCCTGAACAATACCGCCTACATGGACGTGGCATTGAGAAGTAGCAACTTTTGTGCCGCTGCGAAGTATCCTGTGCAAAAGTATCGCACTCGTATTGCAATCACGCATGACAAATCTTTTTCTTAAGGTAAATCCGCATTTACAAATTTTATTTCTCATGCTGAGGAAATTTGTCATGCATTTATGCGAGTGCGATACTTTTGCAGTGCATACGAAGAACGCCTTCACGATGATCACCAGCGAAATCGCAACGATTGCGCTCCTGAACGGGGCGTGTGCGGTGTTTCAGGTGCCATAGACTACTTTGACTACTTTGTCATGCGGCTTTCCCAATATTAAGCAGAGACGTCGCGTGTAGCTCCCTTGAAGATCCTGCGCTAGGTAGTACTTACTTCAACGACGGAACAAAGACTGAAACAGAAATTAATACCACCCCCGCCCCGCAGGTCGTCGGCGCGGCTCTGATATCCGGCTTCGGTGGGTTCCTCACCTTCCTCATGGTTACCGAGCTGGACACGTTCACGTACAACGAGTCGGCGTACTACATTGCCTATGGATTGCAAAAATGTCTGGGTCTGGAAGAATGCAGGAGTTTGTCATGCAGATTTTGCATGACCCATGAGGTCTGTGATGCATGCCCTAGCATCAGAGATTTTGCGAGGGCTCTCTGATGCTCATACCGCATGAGAAATGCCCTCTCCGCGTAGCACAAAATACACCTCTTTCGCTGTTCATGCAATACAGATTTTATGTAGAGTCCAGTGGTAGCATCACAAGTACTAGCATCCTTCCAGACCCAGACATTTTTGCAGTTGATATTGCCGACCCGGTGTTCATCTCCATCGCCGCGGGTGTGATTTGCTTGGTAATCTATCAAAGTGAAAAATCCCCCCACCCCATACTCAAACTAGAAATTTGTGATGCAGATTTGTGGTCAGAAATCAAATTTGTCATGCTAGAAGAGAAAAGATGCGGACTGTAGTGCTGGCTGGCGTGGGAAAGCCTTGCATCTTCAGCATGACAGGGGGCAGCTGGAAGTGGGAAACAGCATGACAAATTGCCTGCAACCGAGGCCACAGGTGCGTCTCCTGGCCTTCTAGCATTAAATACACCATCACAAATTTCGTTTTCGATATGGGGAGGGCAGATTTTCCCTTTTGATATAATCGCGATGGCGTTTATGGTGATATTCGACCAAATATCCTGAGGAAAAACGGCCCTTCACCAGAGTTGTCATGCAAATGCGCAATGACAGGAATCGATTTGTAATGCGCAGCTCCATGAGAGGAATTTCCAATCGTGTTTTGAAGTTTGTAATGCTGAAAACAGGATTAGCATGTGAAAATGGCTTTCTCATGCGCCTTCTCTTGCCAATCAGCACTACGCGGTAGGGGAAAACTTGTGACGCACAGCTCCCAAAACCTGGAGACTTGTTTTGCTAGATTCCCAACTTGACTATGGGGTGGCGACGTTTTTGCTTAGGATACCAAACCGCGGACACCATGCTGTACTGCTTCGTTTACGAAAAAAAGAGCGGCTCCTCCAGGTACGCACCCGAATCTCTCGCCACGCTGATTTCCAGCAGCTGACGGGCAGGTCGGAGTGATCATTTGATGGTGACTGTACACGACTTGACGCTAAAGGGCTCGCGCGTGCGAGTTGTGCGATGTTGAAAGAGGATCAAAACAGAGATTAAGAAAGATCATTCTGCGCAGTCTGATTCTCTGAAAACAAAAAAATGAACTAAAGCAAATTTCGGGCGCGAAGCTTTAAAAAATGCCGCGGACCAACAGTTCGAAAGATTCTAGGGCGCGTCGCAGCTGCTAGCGCTACGACCCCCAAGACGGTGGCCTGTCAGTGTTCCCCTCTCCGGAGGCTACTTTTTGTTTTTCCTCCCCACAGAACAGCCCGCTGCGCTCATGTTGTTGAGCTCCGCGCGTGATAGTGGCAGCCACAGATGACATATGCGGCGCCATTTCTAAACAGCAAGGAGAAAAGGCGAAGCGGGCGCGCGGGCGGCCAGGAGCGTGGTGCGGTGCAATTCGGAGCCAAAGCGCAAGAGCCACGCCGGCGCGCCTCTTGTAGCTTGTCGCCCGCGTCTGCACCCCGGCAAGCAGGGCGCACGCTCTGGGGCTGCCGGAAAGGGGCGCGCCCCCCCTGCAGTGTTTCGGCCCACTTTTGCCGAGGGCGGGCCCGTCTGGTTTGTGGGTCAGCGCCCTTGGGCCCGCCCCGTGTTGCCCATTGAAAGGGCGGCGAGGAGATTTGTTGCGACCCATTTTCGCCGGGTCGCCTGGTCCGCCCGGCGCCGCGGGGGCCCCGCTCCTAGAGTTCCAGGCCTGTGCCCGGCCGCACCGTGGAACTGCTTGGGCCCGCGCCCGAGGGCCTTCATAGCGTGCCAGGAACAGCGCCCGGGGTTCCACATGCGGCGGCCTTTGGGGCTGCCGTGGTGCGGCTGGGCCTTTGGGCCGTTCGCCGGGTGTCTAGGCGGAATGAAGCGCCGCAGGCCACTAGCCCTTCCCGAAGAAAGCTCGCCCAAAAAGAGGCGGGCGCGGGCACGGGCCAAGGGGGTGCCGGGAGAGGTTGCGAGGGAGGATGGCCGGCGGCACGCCAGCAGGCAGCAAGGCGGGCGAGGGGGCCCCGCGCCTTTTTTCGACCGCCCCCCCGCCCCGGCTGCACGCAAGCGCGCCCGCCCCCGGCCTCCGCGGCCGTGTTCCTTCCTTGGGCCTTCGGCCGAAGGCCCGCACTGAGTGACTTCTGGCGCAATGCCTCGTCCTCCCGCAGTGGCGGCTGGCCGGGTGGTTGCCAGGACGTGAAGGCGCGTGGCCTTTTCAACGGCAGAGGCCGCTGCGTGAGTTCCCGCACAGATTGAACGGGCTCACTCGCGCGGGCGAGGTACGGGAGACCGCAAGGCTAATGCTGCAGAAGGGGGGGGCAAAAAATTTGGACCGCGTAAGCATGGACTTCTACCAGGATTTTTTTCGAGGGAGAGCTGGCGCGGTTGTCCAATATCCCGGACGAATGTCCTCGGCCGGGCAGGATCAGCCAAACGAAAACAATCCCGCACGGGCCGCAAGCTTGCCGGGCCCATACAAAGGACGGAAAGCGCGGGCGCTGATTGAAGGCGGTGCAAATGCGACGGAGCGCAGGGCCATCGGCCGCCCGCGCGCCCGGCGCCCCGGGGCCTTCGGCAATTCCCACCCACCGCCGCCAGGCTTTGCCCCGTTTCAATTCCGCAATTAACGCCGACGCGCCCGCAGCGCCTTGCCCGTGTTCCCAATACGGGAAGACGGAAGGCCCTCAGCCTCGACAAGGTGAGGGCGCGGTCGCGGCGGCGCTTTGAAGCGCCGCGGCAGAGAGGAAGCAAAGGCAAACCAAATGCCCGGCCATCGTCGTCGACGCCACCGACGACATTGGCAGAGACAACTGGGGCTACGCGGCCGCTTCGACCGGCCGGGCGGGCGGGGCAAAGCACGAGACAGAGAGACGCGCGAGTCCCGGCCGGGTCAGGTGGGAGGCGGGCCACTGCGCGGGCATGATAGATTGCGCTTGTGGGATAAAGTTGGCGCCTGGCCGGCGCACTCACAGCGCCTTGGTGGCGTTGTGAGTGCGCCCCCGCACCAAAGACATCGCCGCCGCCCGTCGCGCGTGAGAGGGTGTGGCGCTGGGGTGGCTACCGCCTGCCGCCGCTTGCATGCTTGCCATTTTTATCTTCGGCGCGGGCCCGCCCCATTTTACCGGTGCGCCTTAAGCGGCGCCCGTCTGATGCCGCCGTTCGTGGGGCGCGGCGCGCGCGTGCTTGGCGCTTGGGGCCGGGCCCGGCGCCTGCTCCTGCCGCCGCGCGCTGGCTAGTCTTTTTGCCTGCTCAAAGCGCTCCCCTGTAGTCGTGTGATATAGAGCAGCGCGGCTCTAGTAGGTACAGTTGCTCTTGCTCAACAAGGTTGCCCATGTTCTCTGATGAACAGGCACAGTTTGGGTCTTGTTCGTTTCAAGAGGAAGTTGTCAGAAGCAATGCCGAGTACAAACTGGAAGTATGTACTGAGAGAGCCCTTTGTTATATCAATCAAGTTCTTTCAGCACATACGATGTGGAACCCAAATTCAGCATAAGAAATAGTGGTGTAGCTAATATTCAGCGAGAGATGTTGAGAGCTTCGGGCGTCTGTCCTGAGTGTCAAGAACTGCAACCCGGGAAAGCAAGTAAGATCGAGCGTGACACTGAGAGCGAAGTGGTCGATTGGCCATTGCGCGTTTGTCGATATTGCTTCTTCATCTCCTCTTCTGATTGGCGGCACCGTCTTCATAAACAAACATCGAACAGCCTCCATAGTCCAAAGAAAGATTCTTATATTGCCCCACAGTAGATGTAGAAGTTATTACCCATACCCATACCATAGAGATAGACACAGCGACAGTTACCCACCGTGTTGATTTGATGTAAGAAAGTATGATTCGATTGAAGTTGCCAGAGGACCCAGACTGGTGAATGACTCGGAAATGATATTGAGCATTTCCGGTCGCACACTTTTTTAGAGAGCCGCGAGAGCACACCTAACAAGCTTACCTGTCCTTTCGTCGCTACGCATCACTCTGTAACTTTCAAGAAGTTTTATTTCTGTTTGTAATTATATGGTCGACGATGTGAGGCCGACTTCGGATGTTGGTCGGAAATCCGAAGATGCGACCGTCTCGGTGTTTTCATTTTTCGCACTCGCTCACCTCGCCTCGTTTCGTTCTCTTCTGACGTAAAAATTATGTCATACTTTTTGGTCGACGTGCTTCTGTTCAAATTCACGTCCACGTGCTCTACTTGAGTATCAACCGCATTACATATCCTTTTCCACAATGACAAACAACAAAGCGATAGACTTGGACGTTGTCCTAACCGCTCCAAGTCGTAGTCGTGACACTGTAGAAATAAAAGACAAAACTGCTAGTACGCCAGGAGAGGAGCAACTACATAGTTGTGGCCAACAAGAACTTCTATGTGGAGATGATGATCTTGTCGAAAAGGAGGATCTGACAAAGCAAAAAAATGAAGCCAGTAAGAAACCTTCTTGCGGAATAGAACAAGCGAGACGGTCCTCCAGTTCAAAATCGGCGGCACAGCACCAACAGCCACTCGCCAGTGGGCCGCTGAATGTCTTGCAGAGGGAGCTGATCTTCACGACCAGCAAAGGCGCCACCTTGTCGGAAGACGAGTCGGACGCGGGAGAAGCGATCGTAGGGAACGAATTTTTCACTTCCGACCCGCATATACAGTTCCAGTCCGACAAGACGAGAAAGAAAGAGCTACTTGTTTATCCAAGTAAAAAAAGTGGTGAAACGACAAGTAGTGCAGCTCTTCCTCTTTCAAGAACACCAGATTCTGTTGCAAGGCAGCAACATCGCACGACTTCTACCCCGTCCTCCTCCGTATCGTCCCGCCTTGGTCCGCGTTTACCGCACCACCAGTTTTCCTCCGTCTTCTCTGCCGCGCACGGAGGGAGCGTCTTTCCAACGGAGGACGAGAGTGTAGTTTTCAGCGACGATCAACAGAGAAGAGGGCGAGGAGCAGAAGTAGATCATACAGCGGCCGATCTCTTGTTCTCTCCCGACACCACCTCCCCGTCAGGTGGTGCATCCTCCAATTGGGTCGACCTTTCTCGAGATGTGAGCAGCAACTACACAGCGCAAGGATTGGACGAGCAGGACGAGGTCTCGACTTGCACCAGTACCCAGATCGGACTCGGCCGCACTCGAGAACATCCTGAACGGACAAGAATAAATCCTGAAGAACTAGATTTATTGCATCAGCGGAACGATTCCCAACGACCTGCTAGCACCACCGGCGCGTCTTCAAGAAAGAATAGAAATTCATCATTCGTCTCTACTAGTACTTCCAAACCATCTACAAGTAGTGGTCCTCGGAGGACTGCTTCGCCTACCCAACCCGTCCACCCACAACTACCCACCACCTCGCCCCTACCACCCAACCCGTTTGATAATAGGAGCAGTGGCGTGGTGTTTGACGCGAATTTTTCTTATACCGACACCAACAACACCTCCACCCCTCCCCGTCCGCCAGAACAGGAGCATAATTCTAGTAGTGGCTCAGCCTCGACTAGTCTCTACGCCAAGCTCGAGCAACTGGAGCAGTACTGCCGCGACCTGCTCGCCATATCAAATGCAAATATGTCTCGGCCTGGAAGGTTGGAGCTTGTGATGCTAACCCTGGACTCTAAAAGAATCTGTATTGCATGACCAGCAAGACGAGTCTACTTTGTGCTACGCGGGGAGGGCATTCGTCATGCGGCTTAGGCATCAGGAAGCCCTCTTCTAAAAATCTGTGATGCTAGGTCGTGCATTACAGACATCCTGGGTCATGCAAAATATGCATAACAAACCCGGCAACATTCCAGACCGCGACACTTTTGCAATTCATACGCCAGCATGACGAACCCTACCGACATGATGAACAACCCTGCGGCGCAAATATGCTGAGTAAAAACGTCCCCGCGCCATAGTTGTCATGCACTTCTGCATGCCAAAAACGTTTCTCATGCGGACCCCTCAGAGAAGCATTCTCTGTTCGTGTTTTGGAATCTGTGATGCTAGAATCACGATGCTATGCTAGATCTGTGATGCTTCTGAACTAGTCAAACAGGATGACACTACGAGGACAAACTTGTCATGCCAAACAACCAAAGCTGGTTGATTTGTCTAGCAGATTTCCCCTCTTGTTGACTCTGGTGTGGGGACGTTTTTAATCAGGATAGCAAAACAGTACTTCCGCGCTCGCGCAACCGACGCAGCAGGAGCAGGCGCAGTTTCTCGCGTTAACCGCGAACCACTCTGTGGACTTGATCGTCACGAAAATTCGCTCGATCTTGCAGAACTCCGCCACAATACGACAGGCGCTGTACTACCGGTTGTTGCGGATAACGCAGTACCTGGCGTGGAAGTTATGCATTGCAAAAGTATAATCGCGCTAGTAGTAATTGCATTACAAATTACCTCAGCATGACAAATGGAATTCGTCATGCTGTTTTACATTGGGATGGAGATCTGTAATGCATAAATGCAATCACTACGAGTACGATATTTTTGCACAGGATAGAAGTTCCCGACCTACAACGCGCTCCAGAACCTCCTCCACGAAGTCCTTCAGTCCAAATCCATCATCGTATGGGAGTGCACAACTCCCCCTTCCCCTCGTTTGTATGGCATGAACAGCAATACAAACACAAACACAGGTGGAGCCAATGCGTGAGAAATTTGTGTGCCTAATGTAGTACTGTTTGGGCAGTTTCCGGAATTTGCCATGCATAATAGTGACGCAAGGAAGCAACTGGATTTGGGATTTTGCATGAGAAATGAGAACGAGGGGGAGTTGTGCACTGTCATACATCGGCAAGCAAACCACGACGGTGTACATGCTCGGGAAGAAGTTCCCGTCAACCGATGACAAAACTTTCCGCGCGGAGTGGTGCCGGAAATTTCTGTTCACTTACAGGAAGAACTTCCGGCCTTTACTGCAGATGCCGAACGACAGCTCCACCGCGAACATCACGTCCGACCAGGGCTGGGGCTGCTACATCCGCACGTTCCAGATGATGCTGGCACAGTGCTACTCCCAGCTGTTTTTCCCCTCCGCGAGTGATCTGGCCCTGCAGGAGCAGATGGCGAGCGTGGATCAACATGGCAGCCGGCAGAAACAGAACACGGACCCGGAGGAGAGGGAGTTCGTGAAAGAGCTGTTCGTGGACAACGAAAAAGCGCTGTTTTCGGTGCACAACTTCTGTCGGGTGGGGTTGCAGAAATTCAACCGAAAACCCGGAACCTGGTTCGGGCCCTTTTCCGCGGCAAAAACCATCGAAGTGATCTACGACGAGATACATTATCAAATGCAAAAATCCCTGGATGTCTGGAACAAAGCAACTTCTCATGCTAAATCTGGATCATGTAAAAATCTGTGTTGCGTGATCACCAAAAGCTGTCCACTTTTGACCTAATAGAGAGGCAGTTTCTCATGCAGGATAGGCATGGTAGAACTCTCACAGAATCTGTCATGCTGTGTCCTACGTACCAGACCTCACGGGCCATGGAAAACCTGCGTGACAGGTCTGGCATTCTTCGAGACCCAGACACTTTTGCATTTGATATACATCACGGCAGTACTAAGGGAGGTGCGTCCGGTTCCACGGCGTCGACGGCGTCAAGTATCCTGAGTAAGAATGTCCCCACACCAGAGTTGTCATGCAAATCTGCATGCCAAAAAAGTTTCTCATGCGGAGCCCCATGGGAACAATTCTCTATTCCTGTTTTGGAATTTGTAATGCTAGAATCAGCATGATATGTTAGATCTGTGATGCTTCGGAACTAGCCAAACAGGACTACACTACGAGGATAAACTTGCCATGCGAAACAACCAGAGGTGGCTGATTTGTCTAGCGGGTTTCCCATCTTGACTCTGGGGTGGGGACGTTTTTGCTCAGGATATCAAGTTCCACTTCTTCGAAAGGCTCGAGCTCATCTTCAAGTAGAAACACGACGTTCGCACATCACTGCCGAGGTATAGTGCTTTTTTTATAAGAATCTGGTACGTTGTTCTTGAGAGGTTATGAGCATTTTCTATGTATGCTTGATGCCCTCGAAGTCGAATCTGAGGAAGGACAAACAAGTGTTTGTCATGCAAAAAACGAGTGACAGCTGTCTTTTGTGATGCAAAAAGAACTAAAATAAAAAAACAGTATGCGTCTTCGACGAATTGTTCGATCCTGACGAGGTGAAAGGAAAACTCAGTGACAACAAAGCCGTCATCTGCCTTCTCTGCAAAAAACTGGGGCCGAATGCGAACATAGCCCCGGAGTATACGGAGGCCGTGAAGCAAGTCTTCAAACTCGCCACGTTTCAGGGGCTAGCATGTATATGTGATTTGATTTGTTGTCATCATAATTTCTTCGAAAGAAAAGCGAAGCTTGTCATGCACATGACAAAGCATTCTGATGCTCGTGACGTGCCCACAATTGATGGTACGAATCCCGCATGACTACAATCAACCTGAACCTTAACAGGCGGCGACACAGCTACGTCAGCGCACTATTTCCTGGCCGCAAGCGACACTTACGCTCTCTACCTCGACCCGCATGTGGAAACAAGGGCCGCATTGTATCGTAAGAAAAAACGTCTCCACGACCCCGGAGTCAAGATAGATGGGGATTTCGCTACACAGACCAGCATCTTTTGGCTGTCGCGCATTTGACAAGTTTGGAGGCATCGCAGTGTAATAAATCGCGTTTAGATGATCATACTGTAGCTGCATCAGAAATCGATCTACTCTTCCTGATTCTACTAGCACGACAAACTGGCAGACACCATGAGATAGAAAATGCTCCTCATGGGGCGATGCATGAGAAACGTCCCAGGCTTGGTGCAGATTGGCATGACAAAAGTTGGGTGGGGACGCTTCTTCTCAGGATAGATTGGACGGAGCAGAAATGGACACGAGCAGCTGGCACGCGCTGAAAAGTATAAATATATACTTTTGATGCTATAATTAAGTGTTTTGTTGTAGAAAGTCGCAATAGAAACCAGTAATCTCTTGCGTATCCAAGCATGGCAAATTGAATCAAAAATAGTAATGAAAACCGAGTGTACCAGCACATATGAAACCATCTTCATCTTCAGGTAAAGACGGCACGCCCTGTCTCTTTCGCCTGCCTTTCGAGTCTTTGAACTCTAGCAGTTGCTTCTGCTTCCTCATCCGCGATACCGAAGACCTCGCGCAGCTCTGCTTGGAATTGGAAATGTACGACTCACTCTCCGAAGCCTTTGAGGTGAAGCGCGGCGGGGTGTTCATGGAAAAACTCACGGGGTCGCTGTATCCTCAGGAAATAAAACGTCCCCAGAGTCCAGATGGGGATTTTGCAACACAAGCCTAGAAGTTTTGTTGAGAGTGACGCATGACAAGTTGCAGTGTGTAGTGTGGTGCGGGGTAGCACGGACAGCCGCACTATAAACCCAGCTGCTCATCCTGTTCAATTATACAGCATTGCAAAATTTTCCAAATGACGACTGGAAATGCCTATCATGGGCGACATGCGGCGCATCACAAAGTTTCTTGTCATTGCAAATCCGCACGACAGGTGGGGACGTTTTTACACAGGATACGCTGGACATCAATCAAAAATGGAACTGCGACGACGAAGACGAGGAGATGGTTTTGCTGTGATACAACTTGTGTTGCAAGAAGACAAACCGCATCTACTTCTTCTATCTGCGCCGAAATAAGATTGTCATAGACAGGAACCAGGTCCAGGCCGCTACAACACTACCACGCGCGTAAGGAGCTGCACCAGACCCCCGCAGAAACAACAAGCACCGGTGGATCCGCCATATTCTTACTAGAGCATTACAAGGCTGCAGCTTATGTCGCGCAGTGGGAGGGTGAACGAGTGGACAGGGTGGAAAGAAAAACGCCAGAGGGTGGGCAAGGGAAAAATCTTTGACGCAGGGCGGGGCCAGGCATCTGCGCCGCTTCTTGCTGAAAAAACGAAGGCGGAGCGCCATGGCGCCCGTGGCTCCCGTCGTTGTGCGAGCGCGAGGACTCCGCCCGCACAGGGCGCGCGCTTGCGTGGCGGCAGGCCTTATGCCCCAGCAACAACGCAAAGCGCGGCAGCGGGCAGGCGCCAGTGGACGGAGGAAGGAAGCAGGGGAACAGCCCGCGCCATGCGAGGCGCTGGCGCGTGACGCCCCGCCCGCGCGTCTGTGGTGTGGCCCGTTCGTGCCGCCTGCGTGTGTGCCCCGCCCCTGCGCGCCTTGGTGCCGCCCCCCGCCCTTCTCCCGCGCGCAGCCTTGCAGAGCAGGGGCTTGCTGGGGCCCCTGTCGCGCGCCGCGCGTGCATGGGGGACCGGACGGGCGCCGGTTTGGGGCATTCATTGCCCCCCCCAGGCGCAGGGGCCCATCACCCTCCCCCAGCACCCCCGGACAACGGCGCCCCCCGCGTTAGCCCGCATGCAATCTGTCCCGCCCCCGCCTGCTTCCCTCGCGCGCACCCTCCAAGACAGAGACGGCGGACGGTGGCGCCCTCTGCCGGACCCCTCGTGAACAGAGGGGGGGCGCCGGGGGAGGGTGGTGGGCAGCTGCTCGCCTGGAAGCGTGGTGCTGGGGTGCGGCTTTCCCTGCGCGAACAGAGGGAGGGCGCCGGGGGAGGTTGGTGGGCAGCTGCTCGCCTGGTGCTTGGCCGCCGGCGGCGTTCGCGGTGCGGGCCCCCCACCGTCTGTGTGCCCTCCGCTCGTGCTTCCCGTTTTCCCCGTGTTTCCCGCTTTCCCAGGGCCTCTCGCTCTCCTCGTGCTCTCCCCGCGCTCCCCGCTTTGTTTCTCCGTGCTTCCCGCATTCCCCGTGCTTCCCGCACGCTTTCCCCGTGCCCCCCGCTTTCCCCGTGCTCCCCGCCCTCCCCTTGCTTCCCGCGCGCTTCCCCCGTGCTTCCCGCTTTCTCCGTGCTTCCCGCTTTCCCCGTGCCTCCCGCTTGTTTCCCCCGTGCTTCCCGCGTGTTTCCCCCGTGTTTTCCGCTTGTTTTCCCCGTGCTTCCCGCTTTTCTTCCTCGGGCTTCCCGCTTTTCCCGTGCTTCCCGTTTTCCCCGTGCTTCTCGCCTTCCCCGTGCTAGCTTCCCGCCGGCCTTCCCCGTGCTTCCCGCTTTCCCCGTGCTTCCCACCCGCCTTCCCCGTGCTTCCCGCCTTCCCCGTGCTTCCCGCCTTCCCCGTGCTTCCCGCCTTCCCGCCTTCCCCGTGCTTCCCGTTTTCCCCGTGCTTCCCGCTTGCCCCGTGCTTCCCGCTTGCCCCGTGCTTCCCGCTTGCCCCGTGCTTCCCGCTTGCGCCGTGCTTCCCGCTTTGTCCGTGCTTCCCGCTTTCCCCGTGCTCCCCGCTTTCCCCGTGCTTCCCACCTTCCCCGTGTTCCCCGCCCGCCTTCCCCGTGCTTCCCGCCTTCCCCGTGCTTCCCGCTTTCCCCGTGCCTCGCGCGCGCTTTCCTCGTGCTTCCCGCGCGTTTTCCTCGTGCTTCCCGCTTTCCCCGAGCTTCCCGCTTTCCCCGTGTTGCAAAACCGGGGAGGCAGGGCGTTGGGAGATTGTTGCAAAATATTTGGGGTCGCGAAATATTTTTGGCCGCGAAATATTTTGGGAGGGCCGCAAAATATTTTGGGTCGCGAAATATTTTGGATCGCAAAATATTTTGCGTTGCAAAATTTTTGGACTTGCGAAATATTTTGAGCTGCAGAATATTTTGAGTTGCAAAATATTCGGACTTGCGAAATATTTTGAGCCGCAAAATGTTTGAAGTTGCAAAATGTTCGGAGTTGCAAAATAGTTCGAGCGGCAAAATATTTGGAGCTGCAAAATATTTCGAGTTGCGATGGGACTGGGGCGATTCGCCGTTTGCGATAGAACTTGGGCGATTCGCCGTTTGCGATGGGACTTGGGCGATTCGCCGTTGGGCGATTCGCCGTTTGCCATGGGACTTGGGCGATTCAGCGTTGGGCGATTCGCATTAATTTTGGGTCGCGAAATATTTTGGGTCGCAAAATATTTTGAGTTGCAAAATATTTGGACTTGCGAAATATTTTGAGTTGCGAAATATTTGGACTCGCGAAATATTTTGAGCCGCAAAATATTTGGAGTTGCAAAATATTTCGGGTTGCAAAATAGTTCGAGTTGCGATGGGACTTGGGCGATTCGACGTCTGCGATGGGGCTTGGGCGGTTCGCCGTTGGCCGTTGGCCGATTTCGCATGCAAATCTCGACAGCTTTGGAAAGTTTGAAAACTGCAAAAAAAATTCCGACGTGGGCGATTTTCCTCCCTGTTGCAAAATTTTAAGTTCCGCAGCCCAGCAAAAATAGGAGTTATTTTGCGTTGCAAAATATTTCGAGCTGCAAAATATTTTGGATGGCGAAATACTTCCACGCGCAAAATATTTCGCGGCGCAAAATATTTCGGGTTGGAAAATATTTCGGATGGCGAAATATTTCCACGCGCAAAATATTTCGCGTTGCAAAATATTTCGAGTTGGAAAATATTTGCTATTTTTGGTTGGGAGTTTTGAAAACGGGAAAGAAGTCGCGAAAACGGAAAAAAATTTTGTCGGGGGTTGCAAGATGTTTCTTCTTAGAAATATTGCAAACGGAAAGAGTATTTTTGTTGGGATTGGGCGATGGACATTGGGCAACGGACATTGGGCGATGGACGTTGTGCTTTGGACATTGTGCGATGGGTGTTGGGCGATGGTTTGGACCGTGGGCGACTCGGCGAGGGACATTGGGCGACTGGGTGATGGACATTGGGCGACTGGGCGATGGACATTGGGCGGTGGGCGAACTCGCCAAAGCTTTCGAAAGTTCGACAATTGCAAAAAAATTTTCGACATGGGCGATTTTCCTTCCCGGCGCAAAGTTTGGACATTGGGCGATGGACGTTGCGCGATGGACGTTGGGCGATGGACATTGTGCGACTGACATTGGACGATGGACAGTGGGCGACTGGGCGATGGACATTGGGCGATGGGCGAACTCGCAAAAGCTTTGGAAAGTTTGAAAACTGCGAAAAAAGTTTCGACGTGGGCGATTTTCCCCCCCGTCGCAAAATTTTAACTTCCGCAGCTCAGCAATAGGAGTTATACTAGCGAGAGCAATCTACTTCATTTCACGCGGTTCTTTTCCATAGGACAACCTGAAGAACCTTTCCGCCATTAGTTCATCTCTCTGTCTAGGTGGACCGGCAGCTGCTCGTCCAACGGCACGCCAACTACCGGGTTGGAGTTGCTCGCGTGGTTGCAAATTTTGATGTTTTGTTTTGTTAGTGTGGTTAACCTCAGAGCAGGAGCTACAAAAGTTCATGCGGATGGAAAGTTTTTAATCGAGTTTTCACGAAGTAGAAGATTTTGGTATAGAAAACGGATTTATTGCGCTAGTACAACACACTTTCTGCGCTCAGAACACCCTTGCTGCGCTGCAGTAAAACCAAATGAACACAGTGATGATTTAGATGCCAGCAAAACTACCTCGACTACGAACTTACAATTGGTGATGACGATAGAACAAACTTCTGACCGACGTCGGGCCAGCGCGAGCGTGTGCTGCGAGCTGCTCCTGCTGTGAATGTCCTAGTGGAAGAAGATGCGGACTAATTAATACATTTCCCGTGTAACGATATTAAATGTTGTGATCATGATTCAACGTCGCGCAATGATACCTAATGAAAAAGAAAGGGAAAATCATTTTTATCGGAAGCAAAGAAAAAAGCACCTAGCTTTGACTTTGTCGAGCCGGGCGTCACAGCTGCTTCGTTCTGCTTCCCGAGTTCTGTTCACGACTTCTTGTTCTCCTAAATATGGTTGTGTGCTGTACTCCTTGCAGCACTTCGAAGGGTTCCTGCCGCTATACGAGACGAGCCGCCACGGTAGTAAACGCGAAAGTACCCAAGAGAGTGCTGCTCCGCGGGAGAGTTGACCGGCTAAATGCCATTCTCTTGGTTCTCCCTGAGTAGGGAGGCACACAATAGAATTCCGGTACCATCGGAATTACGATAGCAATCGGAAAATTGCCGCCCGAATTCCGATAGCAAGCGCAAAACGCACATATTGAAACGGCGCGCGCAACTTGTTTTGGAGTGTTGCCGGCGCCTAACAGCGCTCCTGGCGCCGTGTGGAATGCATGCAGCGATGGCGCAACTTGGTGCCCGAGGAGTGCCAGCGTGCGTCTGTCTTCCCGCAGTCAACGGCGGCGAGGAGTGTGGAAAAGGTCCGCGGTCCGATTTAGGGCCGGCCGCCTTTTGCGCTGTGTAATGTTGGCTCCCCCGGATCGCCTGATCGTTCTTTGGGGGCGCTGGCGATTAAGCTATGATAGATGAGGCGCGTACGCGGGCGCCCTGCTTTTTTTCTAGCTGCAGGGGCCGTCTTTGGCAGATCCTTCCCCTGTGCGCTCTACGGGTTTGCTCCCTCTCGGAAGGGGGCGCCGCGCGACCCACGTGGCATTGCCGGGCCTGGGGCGTCGTTCGTAAGTATTTTACCGCAGCCGAAACTAGTGGGTGCCGAACGCACGCGGGCCCCCTTCTGCCGGCGGTGGGCAGGAAGTGTGCGTTCTGTCCGTGGCAGCCGTCTAGCTGCCGCGCTGTGTTTTCTGTTTCTTGGCTCCCACCGAGAAAAGGATGCGCGCCGGCGCATAAGAGAGTGCTGCTCCGCGGAAGAGTTGGCCGGCTGAATGCCATTGTCTTGGTTCTCTCTGAGAGACGAGCTTTGAAAATACAAACACCCACCGTTTCCCTTTTGCATGGTCGTGGTCCACGTCATGTTCGTCCCTTGAGGACGATGATCGGGTAGTACAGCATCGAAAACAAAACGAAAAAACAAGAAGACCAAGATGGTTTCCTCAAATAATTATCTCCACACGCCGGCGGTTGAGGTGCTTTTCGCCGACATTGTCACAACAGATGAGATATGCACTGCAAAAGCATCGTACTCGTATTGCGATCCGGCATATACAAATCTGTTTCTTGAGGTAAATCAGCATTACAAATTTTATTTCTCATGCTGAGGAAATTTGTAATGCATTTATTTTTATATATACGAGTGCGATACTTTTGCAATGCATATGAGAAGGTTCCGGAGGAGCTGGGCCCTTTGTTGAAAGTTGACATCAACGTGGAGATTCCGCTTATGGGAGTGTCAGGGTCGAAACCGACAAAGTTGAAATAATTTGTGATGCATAAAACGGATACCAGTTGGCGCCCAGTTTTCGATTGGCCCATGACAAATTTGGGCACAGCCTAAATCCAGTTTGTCATGCTGTTTCGGTAAGGAAGACGCCTTTTGTCATGCTACTTTAGCAGCTCTATTTCTACTCCTCAACAGGCTCCTTGCAGTCTGCCTTACTTGCCTACTCTGCAAGACAGGCACGTTGTGGGTTGCATTCTATGCATTACAAGTTTGCCCTCTTTTCAATTTCGGTCCTGACGCTTCCATACCGCTTTGCGATCTGGTGGAAGCGGTGGTCGGGAGCATTTCCGTATCAAATGTAAAAATGTCTGGGTCTGGAAGATTCTGACACTTGTCATGCACGTTTTGGATGAACCCTGATGTCTGTGATGCATGCCCTAGCAGCACAGATTTTTTGAGAGCTTCTTGATGCCTATTCCGCATGACAAACGCCCTCTCCGCGTAGCAAGAATTACATTCCCTTTGGCACTCATGCAATACAGATTTTTTTGGAATCCAAATGCAGCATTACATACAAGTTGGATTCTTCCAGACCCAGACATTTTTACATTTGATATTCCGGTGGGGAAGAGCTTCTCGATGTGAACGACGAAGTAGAGTTTTGCTCTGATGCAGAATTAGCGAACGAGAATTATAACGGCGGGAACAACAAGAACAACATCGAGCAGCAGCAAAAGTTTTCGGCAGGGCAGCAATTATACGGTACCGCCCAGCACGAATTGGAATTGCATGATGGTCAACACCTGCAAGAGAATTATGAGCAGCAAAATTACGATGAGTACGGAGACGGACGACCAATCGATAGTGATCCACAGTACACCCAAGATGGGGACGAAAGCAATTTCGAGCAAGTAGGTGCTGCTGGTCGTGTACCAGTGCACCTGCACCAACCCTACCCCATCGCGGCGGGACATCAACACTTGGGGAGGGGGGTAAAATCATGTTTTTTGGTGGTTTTCTTCGCCCATGGTGCCGCCGTGGTAAAAAGCGTTACAACCTAGCGCCGCTTGCATGGCGAACGCAGGTTGACGCGATGGCGAAAGCGAGAACTTCCGCCCGCGCCCCCGCCCTGCCAAAAAGTGTTACACTCCAGGGCCCATGGTATGCTCGGCCGAGCTTTCCGCCGTGCGCTCCGGTTGCTAGCTTGCAAAGCACGCCGCGCCCGCTGGCGCCGCCGGCCTTGGCGCGGTCCCCTCGCTCGCCCCGGTGGCCCATGGCGTTCGTGATTTCCACCGGTGCGCCGCGGCCGCCCCAGGCCCGTCGGTTGCGCCGGCCAACCGCCAGGGGCGGGCGCCGACGAGCTGCGCACGCGGGTGCGCCGGGCTATTCTCAATAAAGAAAAGTTCAAACCAGCGCGCCACCCCTAGCGCCCACCGCCGCCCGCCCGGGCGCGGGCGCGCGCCTCCTCCGTGTGGCCTGCCGTCCTTTTGTGAGTGGGTATTCGGTCTTTTCGGCATTGGCCGGCCGCACGGGGCCGGGCGGCTTCTCGCCGATTGACTAGCGGCAGGCGCGTTGGTTTTCGTTTCTAGGCATAACGAAAAAGCAGCGAGGGCGGCACCCAAAACAATCGGCGCCCGGTCTGAATCTCGACAATAGGCATCTATCGTTGGGGCGTCCAATTGTCGGGATTCAGAGCGAGCTTTGATTTCAAAGCAGGCCGGTTTTAGTTTCTGGCACTAAACAGGAAAAACAATGTGAAAATGCACAAAAAGCGTCGCACCGTGCCACAGCTTGTCTTCCTGTTGCTAGTTTCAAAGCTGGCCGGCGGCACAGGTGCGCTGGCTCACAGAACCGCTCACGTTGAAGCTGCCGCGGCCCTCTCGAATATGGGCCGCGCAAGTCTTTGGCAACTTCTTTGCAAGTTTCCACCTCCATAAAATTGGGGGTCCGTTCCACCTGCACCAACCCTACCCCATCGCGGCGGGACATCAACACGCCTCGCGTCTGTGTCGTTCCTGTCGCTCGCGCTTCCGCGCCTCCACGCCGGTGTCAAGTTGGGCTAGATACCTTCTTGGCCCCGCAGAGGGAGACCATACCACGCCAGCCAGAAAAGAATCTCTCGTTTTTTTTGTGAGCCGCTGAGATTTTTTCGATCTAGTGGCACAAGCCGAGCGCGCCTCCGTGCCGCTGTCCCGTTCGCTGCTCAGTAAGGGCGTTTACCTTCGGGAGGTGCAAGGCTTGCGTGCTCAAATTAGTTGTGATGCCCAGCCGTCTGCTTGGATGCGCTGCAGACAAGTACACGGGCCGGCGCTGCGCAATTGTTTTGCCACACCAAGCAGAGACCGCCGACCCAGTTTTTTTCGCGAACTGGACGCGCAGCAGACAATTTTACTTGGACCCGATTTAACCGCGCATCTGCAGGCGCCACACCGGGCGCCGGAAACAGAGAAAAACTGCAAATAGCTCGGGGCACAGAGTTAAATGAGAAAATTCCGCGATTTCCGCCCCTGAGTAAAATGAGTTAAATGAGTAAAATGAGAAAAAAGTGGAAAAAAATCAAAAGTCGCAAAACCAACGGCAAAACGCCTGTACGCTCGCTGCGCCCTGCCGCGCAAATTAACTGTTTTTTTTCTCCTCCGGGTGGCGGAAAAAAAATACTAAAAAACTGAAATTAAATCCAGCCGGGCAGAGCCGTATTTTACTCACAATCGCGGAAATTTAATCGGGCTGCAATTTTTTTGGGTTTCGCGCGGCGTATTTTTTTTTCTATGCGCTTTTGCTTGCCCAGTGAAAGCCACAAAAAAAATTTGGCGCCGCCGCGCAAACCAACAGGCACGACAAAAACGCGCATCGCTCAGGGCCCTGCTCCGGGCAGCCGAGGGGGCAGACCCAGGCGTCGAAGCCTGGTAGCCATTTCCGGGGCCGGTGGCCGCGCACCCATTTGGCCGCGCGTGCGGGCTAGTATGTAATGGGGCCGGGTGAGAGAGGTGCTGTCGCAGAGTTTGGTGCGTCCTGTGTCTCCAGCAGCCCACAACTAACACCATACCGCGACGCCTTGGCACCTGCGAGAAACGAGCGCGCACTGCCTTGGCCCCTTCATGAAGGAAAAGACGTCTGGGCGGCCTTGGGGGCGGCAGTTTGGCACAACAGAACGCTTCTCAATAGCCGGGGGCGGAAAGTGTGTTGCCATATTGTCGCCATCACTTTTCATGGGAGCCCGCTTTTCGTTGCCGAAAAAAAATACTCACTTAATCAAATTTACTTTTCTTGGGAATCTGGACCTCTTGACAGTGCACCTGCACCAACCCTACCCCATCGCGGCGGGACATCAACACGAGCCGGTGTTCATTTCTGAGGAGAATCAGCTGAACGCCACGACTGGGCAGCAGGTGCAGGAGTCAAGAAATAAGCTTTCGCCGCCACCAGCACTGGACGCGGATGTTGACCACGACACACCTTCCCGCGGCGCTGCGACTGGCGAGGTTGTTGAAAATACGGTATTATATATCACAAGAAAAATAATTAAGTGTTAACGTTACCGGTTTTATTCACAGATTGCAGTCATGCATCACAAGTGTAGCCCAACATACATGCTATGCATTACACATTTTTTCATGTTTTGTGATGCATTGGTGCATCACAAATTCCGTTAACGTTAACACTTTTTGCTGTGATATTGTATCCCCGGGAATTGCAGATCCCGATTCCGCAGGACGTAGCGGTGATACAGCGGGAGTTATTTTTGCAAGAACAGTACCAAGAAGTATCAAATGCAAAAATGTCTGGGTATGGAAGACGAAGATTCCGAAATTTGTCATGCTAGTCCGGCATGGCTCTGAACTCTGTAAGTATTGCGTGGCCCCCGCGACGAGCTCCTAACTCTCTGTCATGCAAAAACGCAGTTTCTCATGCGGAATACGCAACTCAGAACCATGAAAGAGACTTGTCATGCTTGTTAGCAGCGCATTACATTGAGCTCACTATTCCCTTCTTTGCATCACAAGTTTCCAGAACCAGACATTTTTGCATTTGATACCAAGAGGACGGAAGCAATTTCGAGCAAGGTGCTGCTGGTCGTTATCCTGAGTAAAAACGTACCCACACCAGAGTCAAGATGGGGAATCGGCTAGACAAATCCACAAGTTTTGTCTGTTTTGCATGACAAATTTGGATTCGTAGTATAGTGCTGTTTGAGCTAGCTCAGCAGCATCACAGATCTAGCATACCATGCTGATTGGAGCATGACAAGTTGCAAAACACGACTAGAAAATGCTTCTCATGGAGCTCAGCATGAGAAACATTTTCAGCATGCAGATTTGCATTACAACTCTGGCGTGGGTACGTTTTTACTCAGGATAGTCGTGTACCAGTGCACCTGCACCAACCCTACCCCATCGCGGCGGGACATCAACACGAGCCGGTGTTCGTTTCCGAAGAGGATCAGCATTCGCCGCCACCGGCACTTCAAGCGGATGTTGACAACACACCTTCCCACGCCGCTACAGCTGGCGAGGTTGAAAATAGTGCGGTATTATATAATCCCCGGGAATTACAGATCCCGATTCCGCAGGACGTGGCGGTTAATATACAGCGGGAGTTATTTTTGGACGAACAGGGAACAAGCGATCGCACGAACAGCTCGAGCAGCGGGAATCCAGCAGGCTTGGCGTCGTCGTGTCCATCGATGACGAATAACACAAGAACTTCATCCTCCACTTCCTCCTCTTCTGCCACTGTTTCAACAGACGGGAAAACAAGAATAAATGGTCTGTCTGTGTCTGGAAATCCGACAAGTGCAGCAGCAGCTGAGCGTGGAGATGATCCTATCAACTCCCTCCAGTTGCAAGCGCAGCGGGAGACTACTACACGGGTGCGCGAAGGAGGTTATGATCTTCAAGACGGAAGGGAAATCGGAGTGGAGGATGCAGCTGACAAGGACGACTTGTCGCTCACAAGCACGCCAATACAGCCACGGGAGCTGGTCATCCCGGATCCAACGAAATCGCTGCCAGCCGCTAGCAGTTTGATAGCAGCGAGGGCTGGGGCAATCATGAAAACTGACAACAAAAAGCAGGAGATCATGCCAAGAAGCACTTCTCGGGGCACAAAAACTTCTACTGCGCCCGACCCAACAACAAACCGCGGCGAGAATTGTAGTTCTGAGAAAAATGCTCATGCTGTGAGTTCATCTGGTGCAGCAGCTTCACATCACGTGCCACTGCAGCTTCCGCCAGATTTGCTGTCGGTCTCAGATAAACACACAGGAGAACGTATCGTGAGTAAAAACGTCCCCACACCAGAGTTGCAATGCAAATCTGCATGCTGAAAATGTTTCTCATGCGGAGACCCATGAGAAGCAGTCTCTAGTCGTGTTGTGGGATTTGTGATGCTAGAATCAGCATGGTATGCTAGATCTGTGATGCTGCTGAACAAGCTAAACAGGATTACACTGCGAGGCCAAACTTGTCATGCGCAGCAGCAAAAGCTGGCAGATTTGTCTAGCAGATTTCCCAGCTTGACTCTGGTGTGGGGACGTTTTTCCTCAGGGTAGAACGAGCTGAGGGAATAACAACCGAAGCATCCTCCAGTAGTTCCACCTGCTCTGCTAGCACTACTGATGATCATCTTCACGGCGAGAATGTTCAGCGGGAGAACTCGATGAGCACCAGGACGCATCTGGTACTTAAATAGAGAAAAAGTTTTTGATGTTGTATGCATCGATAAAGATGCTTCTCCGAGCCTGTGCTGCATGGCAGAGCCTCCTCCTGATGAAACGAAGTAAGTACTTCTAGCGCATGACAAACATGAACAAAGTGAAACTCCAAATAAACCTGAAATTTTTTCCCAAGGTGCCCTTCTTCTCGCGCACCCTGCACACGGAGCCGATCCTCGCTATGGCGTGTATGAGAGTTGTGCACAACTCCCCCTCCTCCTCGTTTGTCATGCAGAATCCGAAGTCCTATCGTTGCGTTGTGGCACGGTCTGCATGACAAATTCCGGGATCTGAAACAGTACTAGCGTAGGTTCAGCAACTTGTCATGCACTGGATCCACGTGTGCTGGTGTTTGTATTGGTATTCATGCCGCGCTGCAAATGGAAATGAGGGGGAGGGGGAGTTGTGCACTCCCATTGCGTGCAGCAGCGATTTACTCTCCTACAACTTGCCGGAAATAAGAAGAAGTGCTTCCAATGCAGAAGAAGTAGACGAAAGAACGTCTAGAACAGGAGAGCAAGACACAAAAACTAATGGCGAAAATCACACACAGACTCAGACCAACGACTCTGTCTACATCGTCGTGGGCGGCAAGAACGGGCTTTTGCTCATGACGAAAATCGAAAAAATCTTCTCGAACGACATCCACGTGCCGCAATCGGGCGACTTCGAAAAGGATTTCACGAAGTTTGTCGGGCACGAGAGGACGATTACGAAAGTGCAATTTGTCGCCGCGAGTAGCATGACAAATGTTGCCAGAGCCACCAACTCATCTTCCTGTCAGAAGCAGCAGCTGCTCGACAAGGAGCAACTGCGGTTGATTTCCGTGGCAACGGACCGGCAGATCCGAATTTGGTCCTGCGCCACCGGGGAGTGCCTGCAGATCCACCTGGACTGGGGTATGATGCTCGGGACGGCGATCATTTTGCCGAACAGCAGCTTCCTGATGTACGCAAGCAGCAACCAGAAGCTACAGGTAGTGCTTTTGTTGCGATGCTCATGTAATGTTGATGCAATATGCTTACGTCAACTTGTTGTTTGTTGCGATCTTCATGTTATGTCTCGTAAATCAATATCTTTTTGAACAGAATTCAGAGTGGCGCCTCCACCTAGCAGCGCAAGTGAATTTCTGGTTGAACTTTCCTGGAAATAAGAATCATTGTGCAAAGTACATGTACAACTCGCATCCATTTCTGTACCCAGGTTGTCGACATCTCCAAGGGTAGTCGTAGCGGTGGGAGTTGTACTAGCAGCACCGAAAGAGGAGCAGGAGCACAAGTCACGACGACAACGACCGCGAGCGCCGCTTCGGGTTCTTGTGAAAACAAACCAAATACTGCTGCTGAAATGAAAAAAAACGAGTCCACTTTTCCCCTGGTCCAGGTGTTGCCGTGCGATTACGAAACTTGGTGTCTCTGCCACGACCACCAAGCGGCGGTTGTGGCGGGAACGAAGAATGGCTGTTTGAGGGTTTTAGAGATCGGGAACGGAGAGGAGGATGGGGGGAGGGACTGGGAAGAGGAAAACGCCCGGTATTTTTCCCTTACAAAGTGACGACTCATCTCAAGCCTGCCACGACGTCATTATCATGCAGCTGCAGCATGATCCGGATTGGCATTTTCGATATCTTCGTTTTTTTGTTTTGAAGTGGTCTCGTCTCTTAATATCCAGTACTCTAATCGGAGGTGGTGTCTCGATCACTTATCAAATCGTGCTGAACATTCCACTACCAAACTAGGTCGACGTCCTCCCCACATCCAAGTAACGACCCCTCGACAACCGCCGCTCTTACCGTGAAAAATTCTTTCCGGTTCCCCATGTGCGGGTCGAACCGCGGCGCACCGGTGACCTGGTATTGTGAGGAAAAATGCCCCCAGCCCAGAGCTTGGGAGCATTTGTATCGCAGGCGTTTCGAATGGAAACATTCGCCTTCTTAGATGTATCAGCATCACAGATTTCCAATCGCGAGCAGCAAAAATGTGTATCGCAAAAGATTCCAGCAAGAGCTGCGTTTGTCATGCAAGCGGTGCTATTAAATACGACTCGACTAGACCCCGCATCAGAAAGATTCATAGCTCCTTTCATGCATGACAAAAAGTTTTCATTTGGAAACTTCGCATCACAAATTATTGCAATTTTCGGGGTGGGGGCATTTTTCACTGTGATACCTGGATGACCTTCATCAGGACCGGTTTTGTTGTCTCCTTGGCGATATGCATCGCAAAAGTGTATTAATCGCACTAGTACACGTTGCATTTTCACATGCATAAGATAAAGATACCGTTTGTCGTGCGTATTCAGGTGAGAAGGTATCTATGGTAGAATTTTCATGCAGTATGAGTATCGCAATGCCCATGGCGACGAGTCGTGCGCTAGTACTTTTGCACAGGATTGGCGAACGGTGTGGTGAATGTGGTGGACTGCATTTATAGCGGAGGATATGCAAGAAAAAAACTGTGTAAGTGTAACTCTGTAATGCAGAACATGCAACAGAGGCACGTCTGTCATGCCAGACAGCCAAAAGGTCCTCTTTTCATGTGTGTTTTCCCTTACAAACCACACATGACAGGTTTTTTCTGTCATGTAGAGCAAATTTGTGATGCTGTCATCCAAAGAAAGTTACACTAACACTTTTTTTTTCTTGGATAGAGGAGGATCTTCATCGCCTTGTTCATCAACCTCAGGATCGGGAACCGCAGTAAAAATACCATTACCTCCGGGAAGTAGAAGTAGGAAGAGGTTATGACAATGCACAACTCCCCCTCGTCCCGCTCATTTGTCATGCAAAATAACCAATCCACCCATTGCCTCTTGGCACTGTTTGCATGACAAGTTCTGGTAGCCCAAATACCACTACACTCCAGTGCAAATTTGTCATGCAAAACCGCCATTCTTGCTGATGCTTGTACTGCCGTTCATGCTATGCAAATGAGGGGGAGGGGGAGTTGTGCACTGTCATAAAGGTTGGAAAGAATGCAGATTCGAACCAGTGTGAAAACGGAACAACCCACGAGACCCGTACCGCTCAAAAACTGTTTTGTGCCGAGGTACACATCAAAGACCGAACAAAAATTTTTAGGGCACAGTGGTGTTGTCGGAGCAAAAAGTGAGTCGAACATTAGCAACACAGACGAGGAGGGCGAGAAAGCACCTCCAGAAGCACAACAAGAAGAAAAAACTGTTCTTGCCATTGCCACAACTACCGAGTCGTCTTCCGGCACGGCCCATCTTCCACCAGATGTGGAAAGCAGCGCTACCACCTCGTCTTCCGCGTCATCATGCGGTAACGCCGTGGACCTCCACGGGGAAAAAATAAAACAAGCCACTTCAACTACATCCGGAGAGCCGGAAGCTCGGCCGGAGGTAGTCGAGACGAATGTAGGAGCGGTTGTACAAGAGGGGAAAGGAAAAAATCCTGAGGCCGTTGAGCAGGTATCTTAATATCGTTCAGATTTTTTGCAGCAAAAATTTTGCTGCTTTTGGTTTTGGTTTCGATAGTCAGTGCATTGGGAAAGGCGCCGGTGCGTAGGCTTGTTACTGCACTTAATATGCAACACTTCAGTGAAGAACAAGATTTTTAGCAGCTGTCGTAGGAGCACCAGAGCGGACTTGCGATTCTACTGTGACACCGGTTTCTTGTTTAACTATCTCTTTGATCGCAGCTTTTGAAAATCAAAATAACGCGTTTAGAAATGATAACGTGCAGGTGGCGGCTGTCGTTTCCGAAAGAACATCTTCGCCCGGCGCGCTTGCAGCGGAGGAGCATCTTTTTCGCGGTGAGAATACTGCCGAGGAGGAGGAAGTTGTGCTTCTGGAGGATGCATATACATTGCAAATGCGTCTGGGTCTGGAAGAATGCAAACTTGTCATGCATATTTTACATCCTCCATGAGGTCTGAAATGCAGGACCTAGCATGACAAGTTCTGCGAAATCTCGATCATGTCCATCCTGCATGACAATCTGCCTCTGAACTTGTTCAAAAGTGGACAGCTTTTCGTAATCATGCAACACAAATTTTTGTAAAATCCAGACTTCGCATGACAAGTTGCAATCTTCCAGACCCGGACACATTCGCAATTGATAACGCACCAAGCTGCAAGACCGCGGACGACCGCCGGCGCGTCGGGACCAGCGCGAGCGGTTCTGGAACTAGTAGCTGTAGCAGCTCGAATTACAGTAACAGGGACATGATTTCCAGAACGCCCCGGCCTTTTGTGACCAGCGAGACCACGTTGAACAAGGAGATGTCCTCAGCACCACCACCAGCGCCGGGCAGCAGTGCAGCTACTACTATTGCGACATCAAAAATAGGCACCGCCTCGTCCAAACAAGGACGAGAGCAGCTGCCACAGCCAACTTCTGCTACAACTGGGGCACCTGTGGTGGAGGTGGTTCACGAGCAGTCTAGTTCTTCGTCTTCAGGTGCTTTACCTGGAGAGGGCGACCTCCACACAAAAACTGGTTCTTCATCTGTGGATTGTTTACAACCAGCTACGTCGAAACAATATGCATTGCAAAAGTATCGTACTCGTATAAATGCATTACAAACAAGGTCCGAGCACGGGGACAGAGTCCCCGTGCGGCGACCTTCCGGCATTTGTCTGCGCCGCGCTATGGCACTGGGCAGGCAGGTCGCCTGCAGCTAGGTATCTCGGTGCGCCTTGCATTCACTGACCCGCGACGGGCCTGCGCACGCGGCCCCCTTGCTTGCGCGCACTAGATTCTTTCATTAGCCTGCCGCGCGCAAAGATAAAAGAAAAGAAGAAACTGGCGCGCGCCGGGTCTGGAGCCGGCCCCGCGCGCCCTAGGTCATGACGCGGCGACAGAGTCCCCACACTGCCCTAGGGCTTTTCTATGCCCCCTCCATCCTTGGCCACGCGGTGTGGCGTCCGGGGAGTGTCCGTAGCTAGCCCCTAGGCCATGACGCGGGGACCGAGTCCCCGCGCTGGCCTAGGGCTTTCGCCCCTTGGCCGCAAGGTGCCCGGGAAGCGCCCACAGCTGGCCCCTAGGCCATGACGCGGGGACCGGGTCCCCGCGCTGGCCTAGGGCTTTCGCCCCTGCCTTGGCCACACCGCGTCCGGGAAACGCCAACAGCTGGCCCCTAGGCCATGACGCGGGGGCCGAGTCCCCGCGCTGGCCTAGGACTTTCGCCCCTTGGCCACACGGTGATCGGGAAGCGCTCAAAGCTGTCCCCTAGGCCATGACGCGAGGACCGAGTCCCCGCGCTGGCCTAGGGCTTTCGCCCCTTGGCCGCACGGCCTCGCGTGACAGACTGGACTTCGGGCCCAAACCTCACATGGCAAAGTCCGAAAGTTTGGCCGGGGTGTGTCCGAAAGTCTGCCCGGGGTGTGTCTGAAAGTCTGCCCGGGGTGTGTCTGGGGTATGTTCGGACTTTTTGCCTGGGGTATGTTCGGGGGTCTGTCTGGGGTATGTCTGGGGTCTGTCTGGGGTGTGTCTGGGGTATGTTTATACCCCACCTGTTGGCTTTTCGGCAAAAAATTGTAGTCCGCTCGTGATTGAGGAGCATTTGCATACCCCTGACACACCCCCGAACATACCCCCGAACATACCCCTCGCCTGCATTTTTGACCAGCTGCTGCAGTTTAGATAGTAATCTCCTCAGCATGAGAAATAAAATTTGTGATGTTGATTTACCTTAAGGAAAATATGCATGACTGCAATACGAGTGCGATACTTTTGCAGTTCATAAACAAGTAGTCACCGGCTACGCGATCTCCGGGTCCTGCGCCAAGGATATTTACATCATTCCGGTTTTCGACCAAGAGGACATGATCAGCCACAACGCCGGTGCTCCTCTCTTGATGGAAAGTCACAACGTAAAAACCCCACAGCATGATGAAGAGCAGCACCTCCACCACGGGGCGACGATGGGCAGCACGAGTATCAACTACACTAGAAATAAAACTACTGAGCCAGAACGAGCGAAGTTTGGGTTTACCTGCGCTCAACAGAGAACGGTTTCCGTCGTGGCTGCGGGATTTGATCGCTTTCTGGCGACCGGTGATTTTGACGGGAAAGTGGTGCTGTGGAAACGGGCGGAAGTCGTCGAAAGATAAAATGATTGCCAAAAAATCATGGTAACTACCTCCAGGCGCCACGCAGGGTTTATTTAAATCAACAAGGAGTTTTCTTTTTCATGCTGCTGCTGCTGCTGAGAGAAAATTACGCCGACAGATGGAAAAGTGTATGAATTTTTATGAACGTCGAACTACGTTTCTAGTTTTTGCGTCGTACTACTCCTATCTAAAGATCATAAAAGTTGGACAATATTTTTATCTAAAAATATACAAGTTGTATCCGGAGAAATAAAGAGTTTCGTTTCGAGCATAATGTTACAAACACAGTTTTGCGGGCCTATGTTGACGACAGGATCCTGTAGATAGTGATCGTCAAAAAATTCAAAAATCGGGAAAGAAAAAGAAACATGCGTATAAAGATGTTATCGAACTGGAGTTGCTGTAGCGAGAAAAAAAAAGCAAGGATGTAGATGAAGTGCCGCCTTTGTTCGTCCACTTTCTGCAATACAAATTTCGCCAGATTGTAGTGCGGATTGGGGCTCCGGAACTTGTCATGCGCAATCCTACAAGAGTTGGCTAGATCATGCAGCTCCTGCGCCACAGATTTCCATATTCTATTGTTTTTTTTTATGTGGTTGTCTCTTGTCCACCTGGTGCATTCGATCGATTATGATAAAGATAAATGAATGTAGTTGTGTTCTTCAAGAAGGCCGACGTAGTAGTTCCTACTTGGGAGTCCTCTTCTCTTGCTCACCTTTCTTCTTGGGACAGAGTTTTTGTTTCCCCCATCATTGATTTCCTTTTGCTTTTCCACTCTTGCTTTCGGGATCTATCTCACTAACCTGCTCGACGCTGTGCTAGTCGCATCTTCGGTAGGATTATTTCCTTCTATCCAATTTATGTTGTCACCACGGAATCTATAACACAATCAGTGTTGTGTGTTGCCACACTGAACTTCTGAAGATGAAAAAGCAATCTGTTTGCTTTTTGTGCGAGAAAATGTTTTTTCAACTTGCAACGAGGAAAAAGCAAGAGAAAGTGAAACTCTCGAACAGAAGAATCTGAACAATTTCTGAACTTGTCGACAGGCTTTTGGGAAACATCAACACGAGAATTACCTTGCTCCCTCTGTGGAGATTAGGTGTTCCAACATTGGTGGAGAACCTAAATTTTTTTTTCGTCCCGTAGAACCCCCTAGGCCCCTAGTTTTCTTGCGTTATCGTATTGCGTAATCTTGTTTATGTTTTCTTCCATCGCAATCGTACAGCTAAGGCGTAAAAGCAACTTCGTATCTGTGGAGATTAGGTGTTCCAACATGTTGGATAGATCGGAATCATAAGTGACCTCGTGACGATCAGAAGCATAGCACGATGTGAATCGCGACGCAGATCTGGTCTGATGTCAAATCTCTTGGTCTTGTACAGACCGGCGATCTGAAAATCCAGGATCCTCCTCCTTATCCGTAGCCATCCTGTTTGTCATGCATATTGTCCATCCTCTTGATGCTTTACCTATCCCCACAGGTTGCGACTAGTGCCCATGCTAGTGCGTCATCACGTAGTAACGTAAACCGCCCGCGATACGTAGTCGCATAGTATTGCTAGTGCTTGTGCTCACCGTGTTCACGTTCTTGATCGTGATCGCGCGTCTAGGTTTCTAACAATCAGACTAACGCTCGCGTGATTTTACTATAAATTAGTCGCAATCATGCACTTTTCGTGATTGGCGCAGGTAAGTAGTTTATTTCTTGACGAGACAGAACGCGCCATCAGCGTCCTGTCTAGAAACATCAAACGCACGCAATGATGTCTGTGCGCCCGTTGCTCTTCAGCATTTTCTGTTTCGCCGGCCCGTGCCTTGCCGCGGTCCCGGAACCGGCCCCGAAAAGACGCCGGGTACAACGTGGCCAGGAGCAACATCCGGGCCTCCCTTTAGACCGTGACCCGGAAGAACCGGCCCCGGAAAGACGCCGGGTACGTGGCCAGGAGCATCCGGGCCTCCCTTTAGACTGTGACCCGGAACCGGCCCCGAAAAGACGCCGGGTAGGCGGCCAGGAGCATCCGGGCCTCCCTTTAGACTGTGACCCGGAAGAACCGGCCCCGAAAAGACGCCGGGTAGGCGGCCAAGAGCATCCGGGCCTCCCTTTAGACTGTGACCCGGAAGAACCGGCCCCGAAAAGACGCCGGGTAGGCGGCCAGGAGCATCTTCCGGGCCTCCCTTTAGACTGTGACCCGGAAGAACCGGCCCCGGAAAGACGCCGGGTACGTGGTCTCCCTTTAGACTGTGACCCTAATATAGCGGCCCATGTTTGTTCGTATCTGGTTCTGCATCCGCTGCACGCCCTTTTTAACGCCCTGGCGACCGGACGACGGGCACCGGGCTCGCGCTGGCAACCGGATACGGAAGAACATTACCGAGAGATCGATGCAAATGTTGTGCGTCTGAAGGAACGCTCCTGGGGAGGGTTTTACCAACTGCTGTGTCGTGGCCCCGAGCTGCAGGCGCCCGCCCTTCGCGGTGCTAGTAAGCTCTTTCGCGAGGTGCTAGTAAGTCCTGAGGTCGCGCGCACCCTCCCGAAGATGGGTTTCGCCAACCAGCTGTTATCCTACGTGCAGCCGGAAGATCCGTTTTTCACTCTGGAAGAATTTTCCTCCCCGTGTACACCACCACAGGGGCGCCCCCTATACATTCCCTACTGGATTACACCACGACCGGCCCTAGATGACACTTTTCGGTATTTTCTGCATCTCTTGGAAGACGCACTGCTGCGCGCGCCAGAGCAAAGCTGGACTGACGATTATCAAGAGGAGGACTTCATATGCATTGCAAATATGCAGCCTGAGAGGTCTGGAAACTTGTGACGCAAATCTGGGAATGGTGGGCGCACCGCAATACGTAGCCAAGCACGACAAGTTTTTGAGCTGCTCCTGCTATGTAATTCGTTTCCCGCGTGCTGGCAAACCGCGTTTTCGCATGACAGGCAACAGTCCCTTATTTTCCCATCCATGCATCACAGATTTAAGAGCCATGCCATACCATACCATGCCAGACAACCATGACAAACGTGCATTTTTCCAGACCCAGACATAAGTATTTGCATTTGATACTACAGTGACCCGCACGGCGTTACACCGATTCTTTATCTCGACCTTGCGGGCCGATACCATGGGCCTAACAATCTTGGCTTCGGTAAGCTTCGCATATTCACAAGGCGTGTGCCGCTTTCGAGCGACGACAAGCAGAAGCTAGCAGGCTGGGAATGGGACGAGAACAACGGCTCGAACATAGTGCCCGGCGTGAACATAGTGCTTCTGCCCAATGCGCCGAGCCTCGTTGTGTGTGGAAAAATCAGCGGTCCGGATCGCGAAAACCTGTACTCTCTCGCGTTGGAAGTACAGCAACGGACAGAGGAAGCGACCGTGGCTTTTCGTTGTTGACCTGTCTCGATGTCGTCCCGGTGGTTCATCCTACTTTGGAATGCTCTTTTACGTCGTTCGGGGAGGAAGTGAACCAACCGAATCCATTCGCAGTAGAGAGTGATGGCGGCCGCGCGTTGCAAAAATGTGACAAAAAATATTATGAATGTGCTGCAGCTCAATGATCTTTATTGTATGCAAATCATAATCAGTGTAGTTGTAGTGAAACAGTGTAGTTGAAGTTGTAGTGAAAGTCAAAATTTGTCAAGTGAAGTGTTTGGCGCATTTTGATTTTTATTTGGGCCCACTTAGTTAGCGTACCTGGAATACTTATCATGTCCAACAAAAAAAGACGGCGACACGCAGACGTCGGTGTCGGGGGGTCGCTACATTGGGAAAACCTGTCATGTGCGAAGATGACTCGTAGTTCAGTTCTGTGCAAACGAGATGTAAAAAGAAGCACTACACGACAAACATCGCGCGGCAAAGGAGTCGAAGAAATTAGTTGTCCTCACGATGAAAACGTCTTAATAAAGTTGGGAAGTGGCAGCTTTACAAGCTGCTCTATGGTTTTGGCTGTAGGATTACATTTTTTTTGTTCCACAGGGGTCGAAGTCGAACAATTTGAACATACTTGCTACACGCATTTTTACAAGCTGACGCAAATTTTGTGTATGTTCGAACTTGCGAAAAATACATGAGAACTAACTATGAGCGTGCAACCTTTTGGAGAAGAAATATTCCCAGTTCGGCGCTATGCTACAGTGCTTATTTTCAAACTTCCCTTTGCGATTTTAGTTTTCAATCGAAGAAATAGAGCGGTACAACCAGATGGAACAAAACATGCTGCAATCCGATTAGTTTTACTGTTGTTTCTTAGACTCTTGAGGTTGAAGCTGTACATGTATGATAAACTAGAACTACCGATATCAGGCAGCAAAGCTTTTCAGCGCGATGCCTAAAATGCAACCTCAAGGCGTTACAACTAAGAGAAGACATAGGGACTAAGGTTTGTTTTTATTATTTTTACAATAGGCGTGGGCCTGTAGGCCTAAATTCCGGTCGGTTGGTCGGTTGGTTGGTTGGTTTTGGACAGACGACAACTGACCGAACCCGCTGCGTTGTGTTTTGTGTTTTTCCGAGATTCATCTATTGTTACTGTTGAAGCTGCCTACCTACCCACCTACCTGGCGTCTTTTCGATTCATTGTAGTACCGTGATCGCACCGACCCACCTACCTACCTATCCCTTGCCACCCAGAGACAGCTGCCTACTGGCCACGCCTACCGACCTACCCACCCACATGGTGGGTAGGTGGGGCGAGGGAGCGCGCGCTGCCAATTGGCCACGCCTACCGACCTACCGACCCACCAGCCTGGTGGGTCGGTGGGGCGAGGGAGGGCGCGCTGCCTATTGGCCAGCACACCTACCGACCTACCCACCCACCTCGCTGGTGGGTGGGTGGGGCGAGGGAGCGCGCGCTGCGTATTGGCCGCGCCTACCGACCTACCCACCCACCAGCCTGGTTGATGGGTGCGGCGAGCAAACGCTGCCTATTGGCCACGCCCACCGACCTACCCACCCACCTCGCTGGTGGGTGGGTGGGGCGAGCCAGGCAGCGAGCGCTGCCCCTTGGCCACGCCTACCGACCTGCCCACCCACGAGCCTGGTGGGCGGATGGGGCGAGCGTGCGCTGCCTATTGACCACGCCTACCGACCTACCCACCCACCTCGCAGGTGGGTGGGTGGGGTGAGCGTGTGTTGCCTCTTGGCCACGCCTACCGACCTACCCACCCACCTGCCTGGTGGGTGGGTGGGGCGAGCGCGCGCCGCCTATTGTCCACGCCTGCCGAGCGACCTACCCACCCACCAGGCAGGTGGGGGTGTGGGGCGAGCGTGCGCTGCCTACTGGCCACGCCTACCGACCTACCCACCCACCTGCCTGATGGGGGGGGCGGGGCGAGCGTGCGTTGCCTATTGGCTACGCCTACCGCCCTAGACCCACCCACCCAGCTGCCAAGCGGGGGGGGGGCGGGGGCGAGCGTGTGTTGGCTACTGGCCACGCCTACCGACCTACCAACCCACCTGCCAAGCGGGGGGGGAGGGGGTGGGGCGAGCGTGCGTTGCCTATGGCTCAACTTATTAGCAGGGGGTTTGCAAGCAAGCGACACGCGCAGCAAAGGGGTTGCGCAAAAAGCCTCCCTCGGCATGACCCAGCGGGGGCTGATCCAAATTTTGCGCGAGTTTGTCTCTATTTCCCAAGTGTGTTTCGCTTGGGTTGAGGAAACGCAGGTCGTGGCTGGAGAAAAGTGCAGCACTGGGGCCCCGACCTCTTTCTATCTCACAGGCGCAAACTCTCACGAGGCCCCCCGGAGCTCCGATCGCGTCCACGCAGCACAGATTTGTGTCTGCAGCGAGCTGCGCGCAACACTGATTTGCGTTGCGCGCAACACAGATTTGCGTCCACGCAGCACAGATTTGCGCGCAGCGCCGATTTGTGCTGCGCGCACGCAGCGGAGCTTTGTGTCTGCGGCGAGCTGCGCGCAGCACAGATTTGTGGTGCGCGCAACACAGACTGGCGTCCACGCAACACAGATTTGTGTCTGTGTTGCGTGGACACATCGAACTCTCCTTCTGCCGAGACCTTTCTGCCGCCCTGGCGGAAGTGCCTACTGGGCGGCGATAGGATGTGGCGCCACCAGCCTCGCAGGGGCGGGCTGCAGCCCCGGTAGGGAGGCAGGTGCGCCGCACGCCCCGACCACCCCCCTATCGCGTTTCGCCCTCCTTGCCGTTGCGGTTGTCTTCTAAATTCAAAACCGATATGCGTTTTTCCATAATTCGTAAATTCGGTCAGTTGTCGTCTGTCCAAAACCAACCAACCAACCGACCAACCGACCGGAATTTAGGCCTACAGGCCCACGCCTACTCTATTTTTATGAACTAAGAACTGCAACTGGGATACTAGAACTACACGCATTACTGAATCACTTGAGGGGCTGAAATCCGCGCGGGCCTAGGTCACCCAGGACGGTAAGCTTTGAAGGTGAATCGGTTTTGGTGCATTACAAACGTGTACTCGGTTGTATTTTGATACTTATACAAATCGCGCCACAAAATCCCGAATCGTTCGCAATCGTACTACCAAGGTTTGAAGTAGCACTTCAAAAGTCGATTATCCTGAGTAAAAACGTACCCACACCAGAGTTGTCATGCGACTTTGCCATGACAGGAACATTTGTGATGCGCAACCCCACGACAGGCATTTTCAATCGTGTTTGGGAACTTGTAATGCTGTAAACAGGACCAGCAGATCGATTTGTGATGCGGCTTTCCTTGCTAAATTGCACTACCTAACGGATTGAAACTTGTCATGCGTGACTCACAAAACTCCTAGGTTTGTGTTGCAAAATCCCCATCCTGACTCTGGTGTGGGTACGTTTTTACTCAGGATATCGACAAGTCGGGCACCCTTGTGGTGGTTAGATTTGCAGATCGTAGAAAATCAAGTGGCTGCTATCGGATATAACATGCTCGAGACAAAAACAAACAAGATAGATGAGATGCCAAAACAGCATGACAAACTAGAGATTTCAACATCACTACAGGAGAAAAGAAAAGCAAGGATGTGGACGACTTGCCGCCTTTGTTCGAGGCCGACGTAGTAGTTCCTTGGGAGTCCTCTTCTCTTGCTCACCTTCGGTGGGACAGAGCTCTTGTTTCCCCCATCATGGATTTTCTTGTTCCATTGTTGCCTTAATTATGGATCTATCTGACTTCTCGAGAGGACGGCAGCCTTCTGCTTCTTGGCTTCTGCAGTGTCGGGGGTCGACGTCGAAAAGGGATGTAGAAAATATTATTTACTGTAGTTGCACATTCTTTGCAGATAATTTGGCAACCCAAGCTTGTCCGGCAAGGAAGAGAGAGATGAAAACTGCAAGAGTTGTGCGGAGATCATATGGAAATAATACACACATGAGCAGTAAACGAGGCGCGTCTTGTTCTAGCTCTACCTGATCCAATCGTGGCGCTCGAAATGACAGGTAACGGCCACCTTGTGTCTCGCGAAAAAAAAAGCATATATGAATTAGAAGGGTCGCCTCGACTAGCAGTTGTAAAAATACCGCAGAGAAATCATATCGAGGTACAGAAAGATGAGTCCACGTCTCGCACAGCCAAGGATCCGAGTCAGAAAAGAATCGAGGTGATCCGCAAACGAGCAAAAAAAGATCAGAATGAAGATCCCGGCGAAGTGCTTGTTCCGGCGAGAATGGTAGCACTCTATGGAAGATCCTCGCCTAAAGATCGGCAGTTGTAGCGAACTCATTTTCCTACTTGCACGCAAGACATTTTCGATGGTCGTCCCGCAGCTCTAGGCAAGAATGGAGAGAAAACCGGCTACGGCTCGGGTTCTTTTCAGGATCAGAAAATGCTGCTCGAGTAGATCGCAAGAGAGAAGCTTGCCTCCTTGTTCCAATCTGATTAATGCACTTTTTCAGGTTACTACACGTCTTTTCTTACGACGTGTAATGTCTTTTTGATTAATGCACTTTCGGTCCCCTTTTTTCGTTACCCCTCCCCTTTTTTCTTTTTTTTTCTAGTCTGCGAAACAGTAAAACGAAGTGCGTATCCCTTACGCGCACCATCAGAAGTGCGGAACTGGCCGGCCATTGTGGTGTCTCACCATCAGAAGTGCGAACTACGAGGGTCGGGGCGTACAGCCTAAAGTTCTAAAAAGTCCCATCGCGCGATAGATAGATAGATAGACGTTGCTAAACCTGCTCGACGCTGTGCTAGTCGCATCTTCGGCAGAACAGATTATTTGCTTCTATCCAAGTTTATTTGGTCATCACATATAAGTATCCTCAGGGAATCTACATCAGAATCAGACAAAAAGCGTTCGCGTGATTTTACTAAAATTTGTTGCAATCATTCACTTTTCGTGATTGGTGCAGGTAAGTATTTTGCTTGACGAGACAGAACGCGCCAGCAGCGTCCTCTCTAGAAGCATCAAAGCGCACGCAATGATGTCCGTCCGCCCGTTGCTCTTCAGCATTTTCTGCTTCGCAGGCCCGTGCCTTGCCGCGAAACCGGATGCTGGCCACGTACCCGGTGTCTTTTCTCGAGACTGTGACCCTAATATAGCGGCCCATTTTTGTGCGTATCTGGAGGTTCCGGCTCCACTGCACGCCATTTTTGACGTCCTGGCGACCGGACGAAAGGCACCGGACTCGCGCGGGCGATCCGGTACAGATGCACATTACCGAGAGATCGATGCAGAGGTTAAGAATCTGAAGGAACGCTCCTGGGAACGGTTTTACCAACTGCTGCGTCGCCCCGAGCTGCAGGCGCCCGCCCTTCGCGGTGCTAGTGAGCTCTTTCGCGAGGTGCTAGGAAGTTCTGAGGTCGCGCGCACCCTCCCGAAGATGGGTTTCGCCAACCAGCTGTTATCCTACGTCCAGCCCGAAGAAGCGGGAACCAACCCGGACATCGCGCCCCTTGGATCCATCCCCACTTGGTTCACTAAGAAAGTTCAAAGAGCCCTAGATGACGCTTTTCTGTATTTTCTGCATCTCTTGGACGACGCACTGCTGCGCGCGCCAGTGCCACGCTGGACAACCCGGTATACAAACGACTTCAACATATGCATTGCAAATATGCAGCCTGGGTCTGGAAACGTGTGATGCAAATCTGGGAATGGTGGGCGCACCGCAATACGTAGCCAGACACGACAAGTTTTTGAGCTGCTCCTGCTATGTAATTCGTTTTCCGAATGGCAAGCCGCGTTTTCGCATGACAGGCAACAGTCCCTTATTTTCCTACCCATGCATCACAGATTTAAGAGCCATGTCATGCCATACCATGCCAGACAACCATGCCAAACTTGCATTCTTCCAGACCCAGACATATTTGCATTTGATACTACAGTGACCCGCGCAGCGTTACACCGATTCTTTATCTCGACCTTCCAGGCCAATATGGTGGGTATTGGAATCATGACTTCGCTAAGTTTCGCATATTCACAAGGGGGGTGCAGCTTTCGAGCGACGACTTGGAGAAGCTAGCAGGGATTAGTGATTCTGGCTGGAGCAGATTAGTGGTTCTGCCCGATGCGCCGAACCTCGCTGTGTGTGGAAGGATCAGTAGTTGGGATCACGACAACCTGTACTCTCTCGCGTTGGAATAGGGGAGTGTCAGGATTGAAATCGTCAAAGTTGAAATGATTTGCCATGCGTAAAATGCGATACAAAATAAAGTGACTCTATTGCAGAGGACGCACGGGAGGCAGATTATAGTCCTGGTAAGGGTCGTCAAAAGTTGGACTGCTGACTAGCATGACAGAAGGCAGCTCTTTTGCCCTAAACCAAAACCGCATGACAGACTCGCTCCCAGGACGGGGAAAATTTGTCATGCGCCGACTACAAACTGTAGGGCTAACTGGGATCGATTTTATGCATCACAAATTATTTCAACTCTGACGATTTCGATCCTGACACTTCCACAGGGAAGTACAGCAACTGACATGGCAGGCGACCACCTGGGTTTGTTGACCTGTCTCGATTATCCAGTGCAAATATGTCTGGGTCTGGAAGAATGCGAGATTTGTCTTGCCTGGCTAGCAAGACTCTCAAGTCTGTCATGCACGTTACCCAAAAGCCCCATTTTCCTGTGATGCAGAAACGCAGTTTGTCATGCGGAATAGGCAACACCGTAGAAGCTCAGAAACTTGTCATGCTGAGCCATCAACACTTCTGGTTCTGGCCTCCTCATGCTACGCAACTCAGCATCACAAGTTTCCAGACATCCAGGGATATTTGCAATGCATATCGATGTGGTCCCGGTGGTCCATCCTACTTTGGAATGCTGTTTTATGTCGTTCGGACAAGAAGTGAACCAACCGAATCTGTTCGCAGTAGAGATTGATGGCATTGGCAGCGCGTTGCAGATGCGACAAAAAATGAATGTGCAGCTCGATGATCTTTATTGTTTACTTATATGCAAATCAGCGTTGTAGTGAAAGTAAAAATTTGTCAAGTGTTTGGCGCATTTTTATTTGGACCCACTTAGTTAGCGTGCCTGGAATACTTATCATGTCCACCAAAGAAAGACGGCGACGCAGACGTCGGTGTCGGGGGGTCGCTAGTTGGGAAAGCCTGTCATGTGCGAAGATTATTTGTAGTTCTGTCTGTGCAAACGAGATGTAAAAAGAAGCACTACACGACAAACATCGCGCGGCAAAGGAGTAGAAGAAATTTAGTTGTCACGATGAAAACGTTTTAAAGTTCTTGGGAAGTGGCTTTACAAACTGCGTTCTCTATGGTTTTGGCATATGTAAGTAGAGTATTACGTGTAGGATTACATTTGTTTGGCTCAAGTTTCACAGGGGTCGAAGTCGAATAATTTGAACATACTTGCTACATGCATTTTTACAAGCTGACGCAAATTTTGTGTATGTTCGAACTTTCCCCGTGTTTTGTTTAATTATACTTTAATTAGTAGTTTATTTCAAAATGCTTTTATTGTTGTAACTCTCTCAGCATCGGTCCGTGCGTAGCATTGCAAGCTCGCAAGCATCTGTGCATCTGAGCGCCATTTTTTACATTTGCCGAGCTCTCGAAGTAGATGGAAGGCTTTGCATTACAAACGAAAATGTAAAAAACGTCCATCCAACCCGTTCTCTGATGAAACACTTTCGCGTGAAGTATGACATTACTACTGTCAGCGCCACACGCTAAAGCTTGCACTCGACCCATGAAAACCGCCTCTACGACGTGTAAGATTTGCTTTTTTAGACATTAATCATAGTATGGCGAAGATCAGCATGCTCGTAAAAAAAGACGCACGACCATCGTCAAAAGGAAGTAAGGGTGCGAAGTGCAGTGAGAAACTGGAAAACTCCCATAGTACGTCACGGATTTTTTGGAAGAAAAAACTAGTTGTATAATTTGAAAAGTGTACAACTCGTGTCTGGTTCTCTGGACATAGGAGTTGGTGATAAGTAAGTATCAGAGTGCACAACTCACACTGTGTTCCACCAGGTGCGTACCCGCGTGCACGTCCTAAAAAAAATCAGACGCAGCGCCACTTCGTCGAAGGAGCTTTCGAAGTTGCTGCGCCCCGCAAAATAAATTTAATCTACGAACGTTAATATCTTCGACGGCAGCCAGCACGACTTCTTGGCTTCTGCAGTGTCCTCGGGGGTCGACGTCGAAAAGGGATGTAGAAAATAACCGAATTTATTTCCGGTTTTTCCAACTTTTCTCCACCAATGCAAAACACTCAAAGTCGCCATCGGCGCTGGTGCACTCTTCATGTAGTTCTACTTGTTTGATTTCTTCTTCTCGTGGGGAACAAGGAACTAAACTACAAGTGATTCATTCTTTGATATTCAAGAGCTTGAGCAGGCAAAATCTAAACTCCATGTTGGTCTTCGTTCAGAATCTACTTCAGGATGTCTTTCCATTTACAAGAAGGTCACATCGTGCTCGCGTCTCTAGAGGGCGACAAAAATAAACGTATGTTTGAATAGTGTTGGTGTTTATTGTTTATGTTTTCAAAAGTAAGGCTCCGTCAAGAACAAGAAAGGAAAGGCATTAGTATAAAAGAAGGGAACAAGCACGCACACCACTAATTTTAATTTGAATAAAATCTCACAAAAAAGATGTCGTCGCTTTTGTTTTTGCTTTTTCCGTACTACCCCACGGAGATTCCGGAGCACCATGACCATGAACCGGCGTTGCTTCACAAACACATTCCGATCTCGGCAGAGGCACCGAACATGCGCGAGTTCGTATGACAGTGCACAACTCCCCCTCCCCCTCATTTGTATAGCATGAACGGCAATACAACTGTCAGCAAGAGTGCAGGTTTTGCATGACAAATTTGCACAACAGTGTAGTGCTATTTGGGCTGCCGGAACTTGTCATGCATAATAGTGACAGGGGGCAAAGCGTAGATTTGGTATTTTGCATGAGAAATGAGAACGAGGGGGAGTTGTGCACTCTCATAGTTCGATGGGGGCGATCACAACCTCGCGATGTCCAGTTTGCGCACCATAGGCGGGTATCAACTGTAAAAGTGTCTGGGTCTGGAAGAATTCATGTTTGTCATGCTTGTCTGGCATGACTCTTAAATCTGTCATGCGCGTTACCCGGCGTCTTTGGGTTGATCAACTCACCCGAAACACAATGTCATCCCGTAGTTGCACAGTCTGTTTATGTCATGCGCGTTACCCAACAGCTCCGTTTTTCTGTGATGCAGAAGCGCAGTTTGTCATGCAGAAGAGGCAACACCTAGGAGCTCAGAAACTTGTCATGCTGAGCCAGCATTTGTAGCCTCATCATGAGACGCCGCCCAGCATCACATTCACAAGTTTCCAGACCCAGACATTTTTACAGTTGATAGCGGGACAGAAAATACCAGGAACGACCTCTTTGACGCACGAAGCGCAAGCAGTAGAAGTAGTGCTGGGCCAGCAGAAGCTGCTCCTGCATCTACTTCTGCGAATGACGAGGACGGGGGCAGTGGAGCGAATGATTCCGAAGGAGCTGCAACAGTGGCGGGTCGTGCTGCGACGTCTGCGGGGGGTAGTAGTACGGGGCCATCACCATTTTCAGCAGCATCATCTTCTCGGCCGCGCGGCCGGGGTGCACCAGCTACAGGAGACGACAACATCAAGAACGACCCTCCTCCCTTTGGTAATGATCCCGAGCAGCAGGACCCTTTTGCTGCGGGCGCAACTTTGCGGCAACGGTCCCCACCTTCAGTCGGTGAGCAAGACACGGTGAACAACATTAAACCACCTCCCAGCATTGCGACGTCCTCCTCCTCCACGGTGACGCGGGGCGCGCCGCTGCAACCCGAACACGAGTTCGAGGGGACGAAGGCCGGTCAGGCCGGTAGCAGTACTTCGGGAGGTACTAGTACTGCTGACGAGTATGAACGACGAGGGTCCTCCTACCCAAGCGACAACGGTAAGAACAACCCCGCGGGGACGATAAACAACGGACAACTCTCCTCTATCGTGTGTAAAAACGTCCCCACCCCAGAGTTGTCATGCAGAATTGCAAGGACAGGCACAGTTGGATTGTCACAAGGGCAGGAAGCGAAACAGGGCGAAGGATGTATTGAGGTGCAGGGCGGTCGGGCGCATGAGGAGGGCAAAGTTGGGGAGGCCGGGGGCCAGGAAGCTCCTGACAGGCAGAGTGTGAGTCAGGCTGTAGACACCCAGAAAGATCCGAAAATTAATTGCGGGACCGCAGTCGTTGATCCATTGCGCAAGTTCCACATGGGAGCCGACTGCCTCGCGTTATGCCGCGAGCTTGGTAAGGATTTGGGGAAGTCAAAGAATAATGGTGCTAAGGCCCCAGCGTCGGCTGACCGGACCTGTAGAGGAAGTGAGGCTGCTGGCGCCCCCCAAGTAGGGCGCGCGGCTTCCTCGTCCTCCTCGGTAGCGCACAAAAGGTGCGACCAGCTCACGAGAAGCGAGCGCAAAAGGTTTCAGGTGGGGAGCCCAAGGGGCACAGGGAGCAGCTCGGACGAGCTGGCAAGAGGGAGCGCTAGCGCAAGTGCGGACAGAGACCAAGAGCGAGAGGCGGACGCAACAGTGCGCGGGGATGCCACTGCTTTAGGGGAAGAGGGAGGACAGGCAGTCAGCGCCCGGCGCGCTGACCCCAGCAGTGGGCCGAGAAGTCACAGCCGGGACATCAAGCAGGGAGTTGCCGAAGCGGCCCCCCCTCTCGCAAAGGAGTTTGGCACGAGGCAGCTGCCAGCGCAACAGGAAGCGCAAAAGAACAAGGGGGTGGCGGCTTCTGTCGAGCAGACGCAGGGCCCTGCAGAACCGGCAAAGCAGGCGAAACCCTTTGGGGAGCCCTTCGGGGTAGGGGTGGGAAAGTTCCAGAGGCTCCTGGATGTCGTCCATCTGATGGAGCCAGCCCACAGCGCGGATCAACAAGAAACGAGGGGGGACAGGCTGGAGTGCGAACAGTTTTCACCCAGGAGTTGGGGTGAGATGTTGCGTAGGGTTACAGGCAGGAAGAAGGAGGATTTCGAGTAGAGTAAATACTCGGCGTCCAGCTGCGTCAGTGCCTGCGCTAGGCAAGAGCAACACTATGAACCACTGAAATTCGACACATTCAAATTGCAACACTCAGACTTTCCTTTTCTCGATGAGCAGACTGCAAAACAAGAAAAAAAAAACAAAAGCAGAAGTGTAACATTAGCGGGCGCTTTAGCTCCTGCTCTTCGCTGCCTAGGCAGTCGAGTTCGCCTCAGTCGCGAGACCGTATTTGTGTTCGGCGGACGATACAGCGCCTGCTGATCATGTCGTGTTCTGCAACAGAAGCAAAGCGGTGGCAACAAGAACGAACATCGAAGGGCACCGGGTCACTATGTATGAAGGGGATTGCCGGTCACCCTTAAGTGGTAAGCTCCGAGACGAATCCGGTTTACGATCCCAGTCCCCCCTCCCACCCTTTGCTTCTGTTGCAGAACAAGGCTGCACTATGACTGCCATGCACAAACTAAGCCTTTAAGTTGTCGCTGTGCCCCAGGAGGGTTGCCGGTCAGCAGCGACAAACAACTGGTCGATGGTTTGACAACTGTGGTCCGTGCAATTGCCCTGTTCGCCCGTGCCGCAGGTAAGGCACAAACGGTCCAGCCTCCCCTGTCTGGGCGGGGTTGCGGCTTAGGGGAGAGTCTCGCCCCTTAACCCAAAGGGGTGCGTCGTCTCTTCCGTGAGAACAAAAACGTAAGGCGTAAAATGGGTCGGGTCCTGGATCGTTCTGTATGTTGGGCTGTCGCGCCCGGCTTGCTGGCCGGGCTGTGCTGATCAGGTGTGGTGGGTAGCTCCCGACTGGTTGGTACTTTTCTTGGGGCGACTTGCCGTGGTAGCGCTCGGCTTTTGTATGATGAGGTCGCCGAAAGTGCTTCCTCGCCCACCCCCCCGGGGAGGGGGTCCTTGACCTGTGGCGCCGGGAGCGGGTGTCCACTACATGATGATGATGATGCGCATCCCCAAGACGAGAGGCATTTATTTTCAATCGTGTTTTGGCATTTGTAATGCTGCAAACAGGAAGATAAGCGATAAGGGGAAGGCTTTGTCATACGGCTGCCCTTGCTAACCGGCACTAAAGTACAGCGAGAAACTTGTCATGCAGGATTCCCAAAACTTCTGGATTTGTGTTGCAGAGATTCCAGACCCAACTTGACTATGGGGTCGGGACCACGTTTTTACTGAGGATATCGTCCTCCGCATCATCTTCCGAGAGAACCGGTGCGGATCATGACGGGGGACAAGCTCCTCGTCCTCCTGACGATAACACTATCAAATGCAAATATGTCTGGGTCTGGAAGAAAGCAACTTGTGATGCGTCCTGCAGATGCCTCAAAAATTTGTCTTGCGCGAGTAGCACAAAGGGCCCACTTTTGCCCACCCTGCAGCGTTATTTGTCATGCGGGATATGCATTGCAAAGCCCTTGCAAAACCTGTGATGCTATACCCTGCATCCGAATCGAATCCTCGAGGTGCATCCAAAATCTGCATGACAAACTCCTGCACTCATCCAGACCCAGACATATTTGCAATGCATAACCACGAGCGAAGTGGGCCGCGTCCGGAAGGCGGGAAGTAGCAATAGTCCTTATGAAAAGGAAAAATACCCCCTCCCCATATCAAAACGAAGCTTCTGATGCAGGATTTGCGAACACAAATCAGAATTGTCCTGCTGGAGAGGAATGCAGGCCCATGCTAAGCCTAACTAGAGAGGTTTTGGCCTAGGCGTGCAGCATGAGAAACGTCCGCGCTGTAGGCCCATCAGCATCACAAACCGCCTGCACAATGCTGCGGAGCTTGTGGAGTTGCCTTCTTGCAAGACACACGTGATTTGTGGTCTCAAATCAGCAACACAAATTTTCGGAAGCATACCGCTTCGATATGGGGAGGGGGGATTTTTCCTCTCAATAGTCCTCGCGATGGAACCTCCTCCACTTCTGCTGGAGTGCGGGACCAAGGTCGTAGTCCTGCTTCTACCAGCTCCCTAGGCTCGTCCTCTTCCGCCGCTCGAAATTCACGCGGCGAAGGAGGAGAAAGCGGCTCGCTGGTACGTGGGGGTCGAACTGCTGGCGGGGCTGCACCGCAGAACAATTATCCAGATGACCTAAGCGACTCCGATAGAAGTGCTACAGATGCAAGAACTTCATCCGGGATGAATAAAATGGCACACAAGAATTACAGTGAGGAAGAGGCCCATGCAACGAGCGACTATCTCCCCTTCGGCCCCATCCCGATTGGCACGGTGCTGCCGACTTTTTTCTTTTACGTGTGTCTCGGCACGCTGCTCGGTCTCTGGTTCACGCGCACGCGGCCGGAGCGGCGAAAGTACGGGCGAACCAACGTCGAATTGTGGTACATTATCGTCCACAACGGGTGCATCTGCTTTCTGTCCGCGCTCGCGTGGCTGAAGAAATCGAAAGAGCTGGCGCTGATCACCTTTTCGCTCGAAGTTTCCTACGAGGTGTTTGACAGCCTGCTGCTCTACAAGCGGTTTCGTAAGCTCGATCACGAAACGCTGCTGCACCACGTCGGGGCGCCGCTGTGTATTCTCTTCTCCATATTGTGGGGAAAATTTCCCCCTCTTCATATCAAAAATGGAAATTTGTGATGTTGATTTGTGGTCACAGGTCGACTTGTATTGCTAGAAGGCCAAGAGACGCAGTTGTGGCCTCGTTTGCAGGCAATTGGCCATGCTCTTTCCCACTTCCAGCTGCCTCCTATGATGCTGAAGATGCAAGGGCTTAACACGCCACCCAGCACTACAGTCCGCATCTTTTCCCATCTAGCATGACAAAATGAATTGTGTACACAAATCCGGCATCACAGACTTCGATTTTGATACGGGGAGGGGGGAATTTTTCCTTTCAATACTCCACGCAGACCAACATCGACTTCCGAATTCTGTTATGCATTGCAAACATGTCTGGGTCTGGAAGAATGCAAACTTGTGATGCGCATTTCACAACGCGTGAGAATCTCTCATGCGTAGGCAGCAAAAGCTGCCCATTTTCTGTGACCAAAGTGGGGAATTTGTCATGCGGATTCGGCATTGCGGAAGCTTCTCGAAACCTGTGATGCTAGAGCTTCCACGCCAGACCTTCTGTGTCATGCAAAAGCAGCATAGCCACTCTACTCTTCCAGACCCAGACATATTTGCACTTGATATCTGTGTCACCTCATGATCTGCATCGACTTGTCCGGGGCGATACTGGCGTTCTCCAAACTTCTATCGTGAGAAAAAAGTGTTACAGTTACACACTGTAATGGAAGACAAGCAAGACAGACAACCTCATTTCGTGCGTGTTTTCCCTTGTTATAGTCTACGCATCACAGGTTTTCTTTGCCATGTCGAACAACAACAACTTTGTGATGCAGAAATTCCAACACATGTCGTGTAAATGTAACACTTTTATTTTCCTGTGATAACTTCTGATGCGGACCGGCAAGCACGCGCTGGCCAAGGTGTATCGCCGCCTGTTCTACTTCTACCTACCCCTCCGGATATCCTGTGCAAAAGTATCGTACTCGTATACTTGCAATCATGCATTACAAATTCTTTTTTTTAGGTAAAGCCGCATTACAAATTTTATTTCTCATGCTGAGGGAGTTTGTCATGCATTTATACGAGTACGATTACGATACTTTTGCAGTTCATACCGTATTATCGGACCCGCGTTTGACACGGTGCTATCAAGTGCAAATACGTCTGGGTCTGGAAGAATGCATGTTTGTCATGCTTGTCTCGCATGACTCCTAAATCTGTCATGCACGTTACCCAAGAGCCGCATTTTTCTGTCATGCAGAAACTCAATTTGTCATGCAGAATAGGCAACACCTAGAAGCTCAGAAAATTGTCATGCTGAGCCAGCACTTGTTGCCTCCTCATGATACGCCACCCAGCATCACAAGTTTCCAGACCCAGAGAGATTTGCATTTCATAGCTGCTGATCCTTCACAATTTGTTTCTCGTGCCGGGAAACTTGAAGTCTTGGACGCAATTCTACTTCATGTCGTTCATGACGATAAACGGGTTGAATCTGTACTTCGCAGTTGTGATCTGGCGGAAGGGGTTCGGCTATTACACCGAGGACTACCTGAAAAACTCGGAGGACTGAAATAGAACTAACAAGAAACCTCGACCAGGTTTTTATGTTTGTTCTCCATGCACTCGACGGCGTCAAGACTGGTGGCGTAGTTCACGTGCGGACTACTTGTGGTGAGATGTCTATGTTGTTTCACAACTCTATCTTGCGCAGCAAGAACACTACGTCTGATAGAAGTAGAATTTTTGAAGGAATCAAAATCATGCCGGACCTACACACAGTCGCAGCCGCAGCGACAGTTGCCTATTGTGTGTATGCAGTTCCTGCAGGCCCTGTTGAGGTAAAATGATCCGTTGCAAAGCCAAATGTGGCTGGGTCGTCTGGAAGGGTGCGCTGGTTTCTAGAATGAGTGCATGTTTCGAACTAATAATAAATGCGCAGCTGGTTTTTATTTGGGTGAATGCAGATGCACCCACAGGCAGATGACAGATTTTGGCTTTGCGAAGGCTTGATGTTCCCTACGCGTATCTCGCTCGAGAAAATTGCTCTTTGGGTAGACGCAAAAAACGCGAAATTTTCATTTTTGTGTGCACCCAAGAAGTGGAGCTGGTGAGCATCACAAATGCGGTCATCATTTCGAGAGGGCCAAGAAGACGTAGACATGTTTGCATATGCATGTGACCGCGTGCACGACCACGGGAGTTGCAATTAGACTTGCAGAGAAGTCGTAGCTGTTGTGGCCTTGTAGTCCCCTTGATGAAAGGGCGTCGAGGGCGTCGAAACTTCAACATTGAGAGTTGTTTCTTGAAACTCGGTATCAACTGTAAAAATGTCTGGGTCTGGAAGATTCTGACAATTGTCATGCACGTTTTGCATGAGCCGTGAAGATGTCTGTGATGCATACCCTAGCAATACAGATTGTTTGAGGGCTTCCTGATGCCTATACCGCATGACAAATGCTCTTTCCGTGTAGCAAAACTTGGACTCTCTTTGCTGCTCATGCAATACAGATTTTTTTAGAATCCAAAATCAGCATGACAAGTTGGATTCTTCCAGACCCAGACATTTTTACAGTTGAAACTCGGCGATCGGGATACTGTCCGAATCAAAACAATAAAAAATCGCTCTACCGACACAGTACTTCCTTCTTTGGTCTTGTAGCGACGGGTGTCCATAGAAACCGTCTGTACACCATTCTCACCGTGTTCGAAGCGCAAAATAGCATTACAGATTTGCGAGGACAACGCGAAAAGATCTTTTCTCCGCAACAACAAACTCCACTCAACAATGAAAAATGAAGTAGATCACGAAACTCCTCTTGTGTGCGAAAAAATGTAGCAGCAGTTTTCCAACACTAGAAATTGTAGTCTGGACTTCATTGCGCGCGAAATTGACGAGGCAAAAACAATGATGATGAATTTGCGTTGCTTTCAAAAACCATTTTGAACCCAAAAACAGTTAGGAACTTTGAGACTACGACGTGCCGCAAACTGCACTGCGCACGCCTGTAAATCTTGAAGCGACAACATCTATGATAAGAATGAAAAGAACTTGAAGGGAAAAATACAATTGAGAACTCTTGTTCTCCGTGAATTCATCTTCACGAGAAATTTGCATTCTGTGTTCCACTAAGCACTTTTGCTACAGTGGTGCATCAGCCGGCTCGAAAAGACACCGGGTCAAAGAGAACAAACCGGATACATATTCCGGATCCAGTTTTTTTTTGCATTTAAAAACCGGCAATATTAAGCAAAGTGCTTCATTTAAATCTCAAAACGTCGATGGCAACGCAAAGTGACTTCTTCTTCATCCAAATCCTCCAGCAGCAGCTCGTCGGTCGAAGCAAGTAAGTCGGTCGTGATCGACTGCGACGCAATCTGGTACGCAATTCATAAGGAATTCGCCGAAGCAAAACCTGCGGCACAGCGAGCCAAACAACCGAGCGCCGACCCGGTCGGGGATCTCGTCGACTGTGGAGCAAACTGCACGGTGGTGGACAAAAATAAAGACTGGAGGGAAGCAACTATATGTAATTGGCAGGCAGCAGTAGCAATCGCCGCCGCCTACCCGGAAAGAAACACGGTATTCGCGGCAACCAATCTGCCGGTGCAAACGTACGACGACGGCGGATTACCGGAAATACACCGAACAGAAGTAATCCTCTCCCCGCGCGGACTTGAAAGAGTCTTGCTGCTGGACACGGACGAGGTCAATAAGTGTTCGGAAACGCTCTTGGTGAAGTTGCGGGAGCAAGAAGCGGACGGAGAAATCCTGCTCTTCCCCCCGAAGCAAAACGCGTCCGTCGGCGGCGTGAACGTTAACGCAGAAAAGGCCAACGTAGGACAAAAATTGCTCTGCACGCCGGCGACAATCGAAGAGTACAACTCACCAAAAACCGGGCACGACTACCACGAAACTTACGACAACCGCCACCGCTTCTTCCCGCACGAACAAGACCTCCCAAAAGGATATCGAAGCAAAACTTGCGGTACGTCCGCAGACCCCGCCTCTCCGCTGTATCAAACCGAGGACGAAATTACAGCGCACGCGTGGGAGGCTGCGAGAAGAAAGCCGAGAACAGGCACGAAATTGCAATCGTATCGGAGTGGCGCGCAAATAAAGCACGCCCCTGGAGTCAGGGTTCAGTTGGGCGACGACACAAGGCGGCACTTCGAAGCGGGCCGCCTTGCGCCGAGGTTGAAGGACAACGCGAAAAAACAGTTAGACGCGATTCTCTTCGACATAAATAACACTCCAAGCGCGCGCCACTACTGCGACGCCAGGCGTGTCCTCGATTACGAGCTAAATACCTTGGCGGAGAACAACACGGAGTGGGTGCAAGCGACGTTCAACTGGTTCAAAAAGTACAACTTGGGACCGGAGCACGACACTCGGTGCGTCTACGTGAACCCCTCCGAAGTCACGCCCTTGGACGTGGTAAACGCTTTCGTGCAATTCAACTATCCCGCTTTCCAATTCCTTGACTGCGACCTAAACCGCATCGGCGCAGACGAGCTGGAGCGTTAAGCAGTTCTATGAACGACACCACGGCGACGCCAGCGTCGCCAAACATGTCGAGCATGGAAGAAGCACTTGTCGACCTCCAGGAAGCGGAGCAGGAAACAGCCGCCGCGGGAGAGCAGCAGCAACAAGAAAGCGGGCTGGTTGTCAGAGCAACAGCAGGAGAAGTAACAGTGTCCGCGGGCGGCGAACCGCAAACCCCGGCGCTGTGCACTTCTGTGTCTTCAAATGTCTCGATGCCAGATGCAGAAAGCGGCAACCGCTTGCAGCCGCCGCAAGGAGGAAATACAGAGATAAATTTCAGCCTCAGCTCGATAGCAAACGAGTCATTTTTAGCAGAAGTGCTGGCCTTGTGCGAGAAGAACAAAGACGAAATGACGACGAAAATCAGCGACGTTGCGGCGAACTACGAAAACGGAATTTCCGGGCTACAACGTCGACTGGAGCTGCAGCACAGCGGCACTTGCGGAGAAATAGCGACACTGCAAAATCGTGACGCGATGCTGGACAACAAGATCCAAGATTTCAAGGTGGAGGCATTGCAGAACCATGCTACGCAGAAGACCGCGGTAGAAAAACTCCGGGCGGACTTCTCCGCCCTCGAGCAAAGCTTCGGAATAATTATCGGCCAGCATCTCAAGCAACAGCTGCTTGCAGTCCTCGCAAGCGACCCGCAGTTCCAGGCGCTAGGCATCATGTTCAACAAGCCCCAAGCAATGGACATGGTGCAGGAAGCAATTAGCCGCTCAGACAAGCTGGCAGAACTATTCGGCAAGCTAGAAGATAGGGTGAGTATCCAAGTGATGGTAGCTCTGCAACAGGTCCCACAAGTCCGAGATCTGTTGTCGCCCGTCTGCGCGCTAGTTTTGAAGGACGAAGCAAATCAGCGGGCCATCCAAGCCTGCCACAGCACAAGCGGTCGCGCAAGACGTGGCAGACGCAGCAAGCGACAGCCTCGTCATGTATAGACAGCAAATCGAATTTCAGGTCGAGGGCCAGGCGACAAAGCAAGAACAGACTCAACAGGACCAAATCCTCCTCGAGCAGCAAATCCGCTCTCTCGCAGAAGATAGGCAGAATCTAGCAGGCCGCGTGGAGAAAACCGAGGAAGCAATAGTCTTGCTCCAGCACACGGCGACAATAAACGCGGAAAAGCCGCCTGCTGCGCAGAACACGCAATCGGCCAACTCCGAAATCTCGGCTCTGTTCCCAGATACGACGCTCGCAACGCGCATGGAAAAGTTGGAGCGGCGGCTACAAACGGACGATGAGTTCGCACAACGCCTTTGCAAGCTCGAAATCTCATCAGCTATCAAGCCCTTGCAGCAATCTCTGGAAAAACTGCAACTGCAACCGCCGCAGCAGCAAGCTAGTCTGCAAATCGAGCCGGTGACAAGTGTAAATCCAGAAATAACCAGTAAGCTTGATGGCGTCTTCAAGCAGAAACAAGACGAGATAAGTGATTTCTTCGTGGACAAAAAGAAAATCTTCGATAACGAAATGCAAAAATCAAAAGCCGAAGTTGAAAGTTTCTTTGCAGGAAAAAAGAAGGAGGTCGACGACGCGCATGACAAACTTGCCGAATTGCGCGCGTCGCTGCAGGAAAAACTCGACAAGCTCGGAGGCGAGGATGTCGTGAGCCGGCAGCTTCTGCTGGAGGAGAAGTTCAAGCAGCTCGAGGGCCACAAGCTCCACGAAAGCCAGGTCTCGCTGCAAACCAAGCTGGAGCAGCTAGACGAAACTAAGGAGCAGCACCAGGACGACTTGCGGAGCGCCAAACTCAACATAAACCTGCACAGCAGCCAGCTGCAAATCCTTATGGACCTTCTGCAAAGCAAAGCACCCAACAGGAGAGAAAACGATAATAGGACAGTAAGCGACCGGCTAGTCGAGCTTGAGGATGGATGCGGCGCAGGAGTGGAATGAAGCCGCAGAGCGGCACAGCTTCTTCGACGAGGCCGAAGACCTCACATGCCCGCAAGCAGCGCCAGCAACTGTAGGGACGCAAAGCGAGAGAATTAGCACGACAATCCAGAATAACCCAGGGCAAGCCGCAGCCGCGCAGGTTTTTGACATCTCCACGCCAGCCAAAGCCGGGGAAATCCGAGGTCAAGATCCGCTGTCGCAGCAGCAAGCACTGATGTCGCCGGAGCAGAAGGAATATGCGAGAAACCTCTCGGCCGCGCAGCCGCGCTGCAGCGCGGAAGCAAACTGCGATCCCCCAGCAATCAGAACGTCATATCGTCCCCCCGCGCAAAGCTCGACTCTACAGGCCACGAACATCCGTGATGCAATTATGTCGCAGAAGAAGACCTCCGCATCCGTGAATTCGCCGAGAGGTGCACTCACAGCAGGGCTCGGCGCTGCTGCTCCTCCGCAGGGCGCGCATTATGTGACGCGAGTTTCCAGCTCCAGTGCCGCAAGCAGCGAGATGCACTACTTCTCCGAGCAAAGTTTCAATGTCGCAAATTCGCCGCCGGCAAAAGCGACGCCTGCCCCGCGTGTAAGCAACCAGTACGCCGGGGAACCGGCGCAAAACAGGGAGTCAGCATTCTCGTTCTTCGCCCAACAAAACCAGCCGCAAGGCGCATATGCGTACCCGCAGCAAACCGAGCAGCACCAGTACCAAAACGCGAACTTGCCCACGGGAAGCTGGATGTCGCATGACTTTGCAGGAGCCAACCTCCCGTCCCTCCAACAACAACAAAGCGGTGCGCTCTTTGAGAAAACGCGGTCGCGGCGTGGAAGCGCGGAGTCGGACGTTGGAGACAGCGCCAGTGTAGTGTTTTCAAACGCCGGGGTTTCCGCAGCCGCCTCCTCCGCAAGCGCAAGCAGCAAGCTCGTATCAGCAGCTGGCGACGGTGCAGGACAAACAGAATATTTCGCAGCCGAGCTCGTGCCACGAAATGAGCGCGCGTGGCGCTCGCGCTTCGGGGGCACCGCAAAGATCCTCGCCACAGAACAGGATAAGGACGACGCGGCGAGCGGAAGCTACCCGATCGCGCATCTCCTGCAGCGAGCAAAGCTCACACTTCGTATCAAAGACGCAGAAGGCGTGCCCGAGGACGCAGAAATCCAGCAAGTGCTGCTGTCTGAGGACGAGAACAACGAAACATCACTCCTGGTCCACGCGTACGTCGCGAATAACAACGACGCGCAGACATTCGCGAGACTGCAGGAGCACGAAAGACCGACGGCGTGGAAGCTCAACTACGACGATTCGCGCAAAGCTATCGCTGAACACTTCGAAGTAAAACCAGTCGACGTCCGCCTGATTATGTTCGCGGGCAGCCTCAGCCTCTGCTTCAAAATAAAACCGCAAGCGAAAAAAGACGGAGGAAAAGGCACAAACGTGAGCGAATGGATCAAGCGGCTCAACCAAATGCGGAGTTACAAGATTGTCGCGAGGCTTAGTGATGTCAAATCTTCGCAGAGCCAGCTGCAAGCGCCTGACGATGGGCAGGAATTGGACGCGCTGAAAAGCGATGCGGAGCACGACTACAAACTCGCGTACATGGTGCTGAAACGAAAACCCAACCAAGAGGACCTGTCGCCAGATTTCTTGGAGCTGCTCGAGCAGGTGGGCGAGAAATTGAAAGACGCCCGCTCCAGAAACAAAAGTCACGGAGGCAGTTTTTCTCTGGCAAAGTGGAAAGAGCAGGGACTAGAAAACATGCTGTCGCTGATCAACGTCGTGCACGCCCAGGCAACGGGAGAAATCGAGCTGGACTACAAAAAAGCCTTCGAGTACATCGGTCAAAAGTGGCAAGAAAAATTCGAGGTCCCGCTGGATGGAACTGCTGTTGCGAAACTCCGCAAACAGGTCGTTTTCGAGCACAAGCCGCCGGCAAGTGCGGCCGTGATCGAAGTCCAGACGTGGATAGAACAGCACGAGCACAGGCTGACGCGAATGATAGATCGCGCAGTGCATCGGTTCGAAGCAGCAGGTCCCAAATCTCGACGCTACGCCAGACAGAGACTCCAGCGCGCAAGAGCTAAACGACTTGCGCCACGAGGTGTTGAAACAATTCCGCGCCGAGTTTGGAAGCAGCATGATCTCGCATAAGCCAACGCCACTTCCACCGAACAAGCACACGCCGCGCATCGTGCTAACCGCATACAAAGAAATCGTGAGCTACAAGGTCCAGCTCGCCCGCCAAACGGCAGTCGCCTCTTCTGGGGAAAAAACTTCTCCGCCGGGTGGAGGTGCAGCAAACGGCGGCCGAGGTGGTGCAGGGAACACAAACAACCCCGATACCGCGGCGAAGAAAGCGGCAGCTGCAGAGCGAAGAGCGGCCGCGGTGCGAGAAAAAGAGGACGCTGCTCGGAAACTCCAAGAGCGTCAACATCTCGACGCAGCAAACGCCGCTGCGGCAGCCGCAAAACAGCAGAGCGCAGAGGTGCCCGTGTGGGCGATCAAGTGCAAGGGAATAAGTCACGTTGCGCAGGAGTGCAAGAAAAATCTGGAGATCCAGAAAGAGGGCAGCAAATGCGCAATCATCCTCAACACCACCGAGCTTTGCAAAACCTGCAACGGGAAGCACGCGCTGTGCAAAAGGCTGGCTGGAAACCCAAGCGCACCGCTAATCGCATTGCCGTGTCCAAAAGAACTCGCTGCGCTCCCAGATTCGCATTGCAACAAACTCAAAAAAGAAGGTAAAGTCGATGATGATACCGTTTGCGGAATGAGCATACAGCTTTGCAAAAACGATGCTGGAGAACTTGTCAAGTACAATCCGAAAGGGAAAGGAAAGGGCGGTTCCAGCAGCGATAAGAACTGGCGATGCAACAGTAAGCAGACAGATGACGGCAAAGCAGACGGAGGACGAAGACCGCCCCCTGCGGGCGCTGCAGCTGCTGCTGCGGCAGCAGGCGGGGCTGCGCAAGCCGCAAAGCGACCTCGAAGAAATCTGCTGCACCGGCCCAAGGAGAAACTATCATCGGCGTTCCGAAAATGATGCCGGCACCGAGGCGCGCTGCGGCACTGCGAAGCTGCACTGTGTCGGACGACGGCGTCTTCCCAGCGAAGCGGGTGAAGAAGATGGCCAGCGATACGACGCCGGAGGGGCACTTCGTCCAATTCGAGATTGGCAATAGCGGCCGCAAGTATTGGTGTCAAATAGATACCGGCGACGACTTCGGAAACATCATCGACCCGGAACAGTACGAAGATTTGTTGAAAAACCATGAAGCGGAAATCGAAGAGGGATTCGTTGAATTGGGTAAAGACTGCAGCCTCGCTGCGGGGCAATTCGCCCCGTCTGCCCAACGCCTCCGGTTCTCGAAGTCGGCGCATGTAACAATGACAATCCGCGACAAAAATAATTCCGAATTGTTTATGATGCACAAAGCGCTGTACTTGGTTTCTGAAATTCCAATAGGGCAACCTTTCGCGCTTTCTTTGCAAATTGCACAAGCCATGAATCTGGTCCCGAAGGAAATTCAAATCCCCGTCGATGACGGCACCGGAAACAAGCCGCTGATCACGCCGCAACAGGGAAAAGCCGCGTCCTCCCAGCACCTTTCAAACATCCGGAAGCTGAAGAAACCGTGCCAACAGTCCTACGAGCAGGTCGATCCGGAAACAGTGATGACCTACGCGCCGAAACCCTACCACGAACCAAGCGAAGTCATGGACATCGACATCGAACTGGAAGTCCCAAGAGAAAAAGCGGTGGGTTGCGGCTATTTTGCTGTTGCGCCGACAAAACAGCTCGAGAAGCGGCAGGCTTGGTTCACACCGGTGGTGGCGCCGCAAATCATCCCAGGCAACGCAAGCACAAAACAGCAGCGGAGAGTCGTGTTGAATTTGCAGAGCGAAAGCCTTGACGTCCGTGCAGCAATGCTGGACGAAGGGGAGGCGAAGGTAACAATCGCGACGGGCCCGGCTCGGCAAGCAGTGGCGAGCCGCGAGCTCTTGAAAAAATATCTTGCAGAGGACATGCCGGCGCTTCTCGACGAAGAAGTCTGTGATAAGTGGATGCGAAAGCTGTCAAGCACGGAGCTAGAGGAAGACCTCAAGCACATTCGCACTTCGAAATTCCACGCGAAGCAGGCCTCGCTCGAGACCTCGCACAGGGCCACCCCTTGCGCCAGCGCGCCTGTTTCGGCGCTATTTTTCGACATGCCCAAGGCTTGGGGCAGCCTGTCGCCCTCAGCCTTGCCTGGGATCCAGGGCAGTGGCATTGCGCCGCCTGTCTGCAAATGTTTTGCGCCTGTTTTGTAGCGGATGAACTTTGTTTGAAGTTTGGCAGCCCAGCGATGACCTGTTTCTGATTCCACCCCGCGCGATCCTCTTAGAAATGCCCTGAAGGCTGAGCTTTCCTAAATTTTCTCGGCACACAGGCAGTGTGATCTCAAAAATCAAGTCCGTAAGCGATCCCAGGTTCCGGCCTCCTCTGAAAATAAGCACGTCAGTGTCGTGGTGTGATATTGATTTCGTTTGATTCTTTTGCTTTTACCCACAGTCCGATGGCTAGCTAGTTAAAATCCCCTTGCGCAGTTCGAGTTTTGCAGTTACATAGATAGATATTTTTTGTTGGTGTCCATGCTCATCTTCAAGTAGATATTGGCTTTCGCTGCTTTCCTCCGGTTTGACCATGGAAGACGATAGTGAAGATGATGTTGCGCCAAATATGGGCGAAATTTCTGACGTCGCAGTCAGTGTGCGGGCGGCGCGCAGTTTGTGCCTAGCTGGTCGCGCATCGCGGGCTTTAAATGGGTTCGCGTTGAGGGTGGGGTGCGAGTTAGGCGGCCTGCAGCTGAGTAGTAACAACAGTCAGAAAGCAACTGCGGGTGCCTACGCGGGAGCGAAGCCGGTGGACGACAGACAGGAGGACAGGCGCTTGGGGCATTATGTTGAAGATTTCCGCAGGACCATGTTTGTGGTCCTCCAAGCGTGCGAGTTCGAGATCTTGCGAGCGCGGTACAGTGATAGTGGTGGAACCCTTAAGCCTGTGAAAAACCTTGAGCCCCAACCACGTACTGCGTTCAATTTGCATGATTAGGTCGCATCTCCCCCTCCCCGATAGTGAGCGCAGAGGTGCAGTTGGGCTCCAGGTTTTCCTTTCATAACGCTGTCCACGCACATCGAGTTCGACGGCACACCGCTGCGGGTCTTGGACGGCGCGCAGCACCTGATCAACACGGAGAGCTTGCTGGTGCAGCAGAACTTCACTTTTTTCCGCAAGGGGTCTCATGGCGTCGGTGGGCCCGCTGGCACCCCCGGCAGTGGGCGGCAGGTTTTTTCGATGTGGCTGATGACCAACATGGCCCGAATGGAGCATGGACACGAGGCATCGCAGGTCTACGCGGCTTTGCGGGAGCGAACTTGGCACGTTTCGGACGTGTCTCGACTGGCCATGGCCGACAAGCTTACCTACACCAACTACGTCTGCGACGGTGGCTGCGACAGCGTGGCCCGACACTATTATGCTTGAAGAAAATTGATCTGGTGGAAGTTTGTCATGCGTGCTGTGCATGACGTTCTTTTTTTTTTGTCATGCGGACAAGAGCTACTCTGTACGTGAAGACGCATGATAAAATACGCATGACAAACTTTCCCCAGCGCAGTTTTTCCTTGCAGATAAATGTTTTCGAGCGGCACGACCATGTTGGTGGAGAGCTAGGGGGCCGGGAAGGGCAGAAGACGGCGATGCATGTGCTCCAGGACTTGTATGCCCGCCAGACTTGCGCGGTGCATGCTTATCACAATAGTTTCCTCCATCCGTTCGGCGCTTACATCGGGACCGAAGATCGCAAGAAGGCAGCGGCGAGAATATGCAGGGCGTTGAGGCGTGGGAGAGGTGGAATTCTTGAGTCCCTTCCGAGTTGGGTTGCGTGCAACTTCATCGGTGGAGCAGATTATATGCATTTGAAATCGAGCAGCTACGACAGGCGCTTTTGCGCGTCAGCATTTCCCCCAGCTGAGAACAGCATGACAGCACGCACAAGCTCCTGTCGTAGCTGCTCGCTTTCAAATGCATCGCTGACGACCTGACCAACAACCCGACGGAGCATGAGAAATACAAACAAATGGTGGAGATTCTCTTTCCAACCTCCAGCCTGACGCCTTCTTGCAGAGCAATCAAGACCGAAATGTTGCAGCTGCAGGTGCGCGCACTGGGAAGCGGTGTTTTGGTTGCCGCGGTCGACGATGAGGCGAGGGTGTGCGATTTCCTGGAGAGCGTCTGCTCCATAAGAGAACTGCAGTTGCAGAGATTCGCCACGCAGGTGAACACGTGCAAGCGGCTGGCGCTCTTGAATGTGGTCAACATCGTGCCGGGGGCAGCGCAGCACACCCTGAACAACAGCAAACGAACTTACCACCTCTCCGGAATCCATCAGGCCCACCTGCCGCTTTCGGAGTTTCTGCAATTTGCCTGGCTGGCAGCGGCAATGGACCACTTCGACCGGGGTTGCGCGAACCTCATGGGGCCACTGGGAACAATTGATGGGCTGGCGCAGTTAAAGCAAAAATTGGCAGTCGAGCACAATGACTTCCGGGCAAAGAAGTTGCGAAGTTTTTTCTTCCCCTACGCTGTGCAGGTCGGGGTCGATGCCGGTTGTCTTGCCCAGCGGGCAACTGATGCTGCGGAGTCGACAATGGCGATGCTGCAGATCAACCTATTCAGCAGGCTGGACGTCTTTCCCTTCGTTGCCATCCGGGGCGGCCGCAGCGCAGAGCAGGTGCGTGACTTGATAAGCAGAACGGACGACGAACTTCTCGACACCGGATTCAGCCAAAAAATCAAAGCACTTCATGAGGCGGGGCGCCTGGACAGTGGCAGCGTGTTGACTTCGCTCGAAGATGTTTTGCAGCTTGCGCGGCTGCACCGGATCCACACAATGAAGACGGAGCGCGCGCACAACCACGGCGCAGCTTTGGCAAGGCGATTCCGATTGGGACACAGCGAGGTGAACGCCCTCGCCAATCTGCAGCTCTACAAACAGCATAATGGCCTGTCGGGAGTACCACTGGAGCCGCCGCCGGACTTTCCTTTGCGTACTTTGGAAGAAGTGCGGGAGAGCGTACTAGCAACGAAGGCCTGCTCTCAGGTTCGGGCAAACACTGTCGGTTTTGATGGCGATGGAGTAGGCAAGGCGACGGGGTTCCGAGCTGGTCAGGACAATGCGAAAAGGCGGACTGCGCAGTATCGCGACAGACCCGAGGAGGAGAAGATAGTGGCGGCGTTGCGGGTGCACGAAATCCGAGAAGGGAAAGTCGCAAAACATGTCGAGGCGTATTTGGATGGCCTGCGGCAGCACAGCAAAGCGGAGGAGAGTTTCCTTCTTGGGCGGACGACAATCACGGACCGGAACTCGGACAACATCGACAAGCGCATTTTCGACGGCGACATTGCAGCAAAAGCGAAAGCCCTTGGCCGGAACGAGGTCCGGCGGATTCTGAAGGAAAAAATCGCCGAGCCTGCCCCCCTCGACTTTCAGTTGCACAAAAACCTCTGGGACGATGTTCAGCCCTATTTCTTCCCGGACCTGACGCCGCGAATTCATCCGCAGGTCGCCGAGCTGATTCGGAGGGGGAAGGGCGAGACTGGATTTCAGCGCACCTCCGGCCCCATCCTGCTCGCCCGGATCCAGAGCGAAGGCGCATCCGGAAAGCTTCCGACGCCGCGGCTGGATCTGTTTTTGGCAACCGCCCGGAAGTACAGTCCCTACACACTTGCCGGGTTTCGCCTCGAGATCCTCAATACCGGCCAGCAGCCGGGGAAGCAGACCTGGGTAAAGACGACCGAGTACTTGGAGTTGGGCGCGCAGCGTAGTAGGGAGGAAGACAGCCACTACACGTACTACACAGTGCCGCAGTACGAGGACCGGGGGGACCGTCTAGAAGTCGCCTGCCGCCTTTCACCGACCAGAACGCACGACCTCATCAAAGTTGCCGCGCTTTCCGGTATTGACCGGCCAGAAGAACTCGCCGCGCCGCCTGCGCCGAAGCGGCGGAAGGTGGAGAGCGATAACGCGATAAAGGAGAACAAAGACCGCGAGGTGCCGAGGCTCTTGCCCGTGTTGAGCGCGGACCAGGTGCAGCAGGCCAGGGACACGATGAGAGAGGTGCGCGCACGAGCGTCAACTTTGGGGCATTGGTCAATTTTTCCGCGTGGCGGGGTGTATGTGATGGAGCGACGGGGGATAGCAAACAACACTTGGAAGATCAGCGCTTCCGACCCATCCACGGTGCAGAAGCTCAAACGCCTCGGCCTGCCGAACACGAGGCAGGCAGCGGTGAAAGCCTGGGGCGGGGAGGCGCAGTCCGTTCGTTTTCTGGAGTGTGTGCGGGACGCGATGAAATTCCTGGTCGAGGCAGGATGCGTCGGCAGCGCCGGGGACGACCTGTTGAGCATCGCCATGCAGGGGGAGTTTCAGGAGCGCGGCCTTCTGGAGCGGCTCGAGGCGGAGGAGGAACACCTGCGGGGTCGGCAGGAGCTCGATGCATATGGGCGTGGGACTTTGCTTGCTCGTATCAAAGAATTAGGCACAAAAGGTCGCTTCACTGATGAAGCGACGGAACAAGACGATGAGGATTTGATTATGGATGAAGAAGATGATCTTTTAGCAGAAGACTAGTGGCACAGCTTTCGCATGTTTTCCAAATCTGCACGAAAAGCAAAAAGAAAAGCACAAACGGCGCGCAAGGCAGAAGCACGCGAGTCAGCATATTCACTGTCACTCCTGGAACATGAGAATTGCTGCAGATGATCTGGTTTCCATGTTGAGCACGAAGATGTAATTTCCATGCCGGACGACCTTGATCTGTGAACTGTGTCAGAAGTCTTCGTAGAGGTTTACTGAGCTTGAAGTTCTGGGTCCGCAGCGCGTTGCATTCCGTTGCATTTTGTCTCACTAACACTAGACGCATTTGACACGGATGGTCCACCGTTATTGTTTCTTGTACGGTTTCGGAAATGCTACTGCGCATGACAAATCAATGCAAAACACATCAGGGAAGTCTTGCTTTGGAGCAGTTTGACTTGGTAGCTGTAAAGGTTTCGCATTTTTGCCCGGGGTAGCGTAGAGCCGTTTATCTCAGTAGCAGTCGCTGGCAAGTTTCAAAGTATCTTCTCATGCACTTCTCGATTTAGATTGTTTTCAGAACGTCTTGAGCTACAAGTACATCTGTGGCATAGTGAAGTAGACACTGTAAACGTAAAACGCACAACATTTGCACACGAGGTCGTGCAAGGAGAAAAAAGCCTTTCAGCGGGACAGAGTCTTTGCGCAGATTCTCCGACAACCAGAAGTCGCCTTCCGTGGCAGCCCCGAGGGAACCTGTAGTGGTTTCACTAGTCATGCCTCCGAGAAAGGCCAAAGCTAAAGCGCCGGGCCCGTCGGCGAGAATCCCGGTCGCCAAGAATCAACATGTTGTTGCCAAAGCTGCAGGAAAAGCAAAAGCTGTAAGATTTTTCGGTTTTTCTTGGCCTGATCCCAGGGGGAAGGGCATTGCGCCGAGAAGCGCGACGGCTTGTCCAGGGGGCCTTCTCCCCCGGCCCGCTTGGCGAGTTGAGGGGGGATCAGGGAGCGGCGTTACCCTCCTCTGGCTCGCGCAGTGACTTCTGCGCGGCCCGGGAGGTTTTGTTATTTCGGCGGCTATTTTGCGCATTTTTCAAAATAAAGGGAAAACGCATTGGGTTTTCGGATTTTCCAAAGTTTGCGATAGGGCCGCGAAAATAGACAGTTTTTCGGAAAGGAAAAAAAGCAGAAAAATAGACAAAAAATTAAACGGGGAAAATAGACAGGAAATTAGCAACAAAATTAGACAAAAAATTAGCACAAAAACTGCCCAGGTGCGCCCGGCTGAAAATTGTTCCGAAGGGGCGGCATTTGGCCGCCCCCGACCGCCCCCCGCCAGGGCAGCGGCCAATCCTGCTCGAGGAGCGCCTCTGCGTGCTTTCCCGAGCCACGAGCCCGAGGGGATCCAGGCCTTGGGTGGCGAGTTGGCGGCCTTCGTGCCGTCGTGCTTCGTGCGAGGCTTGTGCCAGCTACCGAAAGACCGGCGCGGGCAAGGGGTGTCAGCATTGCGATGCCCCACCCCAAGCTACCTCGCCCGGGTTCGCCTCGGAAAACCCCGAATGGCGTTCCGCACAGAAATGCCGCTGCGCATGACAGACGGCGCAGCACGCGCCAGCCCCGCCCCGGGTCCGCCTTCGGGTTCTTTTTTGGCCGCGCCCGTGCGCCGCCGCCTGGGGGACGGGGGGAAAGGGCCGCGGCCTCCTGTGTCGTTGATTGCCCGCGGGCAATCAGCGAGTGCGCGCGGCCTTCGTTTGCATGCAGTGGCCACGGGTCCGGGCGGCCGGGGGCATGTTGCCACCCGGGTGCCGCGCCGAGGCTGGCAGCGCAAGAGGCCTGGGCCCGCGTTGACGTGTCCCGCGTCCCGGGGCGGGCTTGCCGCGGCCTTTTGTTTTCTCGCTTGGTTCTGCAGTGGCCTGCGGCCGAAATTAAAATTTGAAAATTGCCCCGGGTTTCGGGGGTAACTCCGCCCTGCGCGAAACATCCGAAGTGCATTGCCTCTGGCCGCCACGGGGAAGGGTTGATTCCTACCCGGGGCGACGCGCTTCTCGGGCGTTCTTGGGGGATCGGGCCTTTCTCGCTTTTGCTTTTGCTGCCCTGTGTGCAGAGTAGTAAACCAGCAAACAGTAGCATTGCAAGCACACACCCAGAGTAGTCATCTTGCCAAACGCGTAATAAACCCGCAACAACAGAAGGCCGCAACGTCTTCCACTACAGCGGCAGCAGTGCCGGTGCGGCAACGGAGCCGCACCGATAAGAAAATCCCCTCCGACACGAAGAAGCTGCACGACGAGGCTTGGCGGAAGTTGCAGCGGAAGAACTACGACCTGGAGTGGAGTTTCGACAGTGATCGCTTTAAGATCGTAACGTGCAAGAAAACCTACAAAAACATGGTGGAGCTCCTCGCGCAGGGCATGAAAGACAAAAAAGACGCCATGGTCCAAGGGCAGGGGAACCAGGGGAATGCTGTTACGACCTTGGCGCTGCACATCGACCGAGAAGTTTGGGCCAACATCCGCGAATGCATGCAGGAAGACCGGGACAAGCAAAACGCGATGAAGACGGGAACTACTGTTCTGGACAAAAAACCAGTCCGCGACGAAATTGCGGACTGCATGATGGAGAGCACCGTCGGGGATATCTTCGAGAAGTATTCGGAATTTGCTTGCAAGCACGCCGAGCAGCTGCTGAAGCTGCCGCGTGTGACCGGCGATAAGGACGTGGATGATGTTTTGAAACTGCAGGCGAAGATCGACGAAAATTCGATGGTGGTTGCTTCTCCCGGCGGAATTTTTCTTAGCCCGCACCAGTCGGCTACTGGCATCACGTCTTCATCCAGTAGCTCCAGCATGCAGCAGCACCCCCGCGTCAAGATTGAAGACCCTGACTCCATCGAGAATGATTTTGAAATGATGGGCCAAGACGACTACTACGACGACGACCTTTACGACACCGACGGGAGTCTGCGGCCCGGGGTTCCGGTCCACCCCAAGGGCAACGTCGTGCCGTTCGAAGCCGGGATTATTGACGAGGATGACGACACGCTGATGGACATCAACATTTCCGCGACCCCGCCTACCGCAGGGGCCTTATCTCGCATTTCTGCGAAGCGTGGCCCGGGATTGTTTTCCAAGTCGTCGTCGTTCCCCACCTCCACGGCGACCGGCAACACGCAGAAGCAAAGTTTCTCGGCGGAGACGCTGTTGGCCACCCCGGGATCCAAAGCTGGACGAAACCCCCCTCCTGTGCCGAAAAGCGAAAGCACCAACCCCAAGACTCCGGATATCCATGCGAATGCTTGATCATCAGGCCCACTTTTGCGATGTTCATTCTTTTTGCATGACAGATTTGACAAGTCCGAGTAGCTTCGCAAAAGTGCCTGCGATCACGTCCTTCGGGTTCTATACTCTACGTGGTCCGGGGAAGTGATTTCCTGTCGAAGCTCAAGGCCATGGCGAAGACTCCGGCACAGGGGCAGGCCGAAAAAAGCATGGTCGTTGAGGCCGATGTCAATCCCGATACTTTTCCGTTTTTGCACAAGGGCGAGGTGGGCGATGATAAAAACGGAATTTACGGCCATATGATCCGCAGTCCGGGCAAGATCACTGAGCAACTTTGGTCGTACGGGGCGAAGATGGTGGCCGCAGCGAAAGGTAATTTGTTTCGCAGCAGACCGCTCCGTATCAGTGATGCCATTTCCAAGGCGCATAGCACTAAGCAAATTAAATCTGTTGAGACCGACCTTCGCGAAGAGAAACGCGCGACATTATTTCAACGCTTCGCATGACAGATTTCGACTTGAACTTCCAAAATGTGTGGCTTCGCTCATCTCTCCACCATCGAAATTCAGGTCGTGCTCCGGATATGCAGGGTTACAACCACTTTGCGAAGGGAATGAGCGCGGCGGTCCTACCCTATGTGAAGCAGCACAAGATGAGCATTTCGGAGATCCTTGACCAGTATTTTTTTCGTAATCGCCTCGATATGCCTATGGGAGTGCAATCTTGAAGGCCGGGCGTGCCGTCATATTTTTTGCATATTTGAGCCCCTGCTTCGGGAATGTTACATATGATGACGTGGCGGAGTCTCTTTTGCATTTGTGACATTTCATCGCATCCCCACCTACACTCGAATAACAGATTCCACGAAGTATTCCTGGCTACCGCTCCCAATGCTGCGGAAATCACCAAGGTGCTCATGGACCTGTTTTTGGAGCTTAAGGAGGAGGACCCGTCCCTCGTCCTCAAGACAACCGACCTGCTGCCACACCTCCGGTCGGAGCATATATCAGTTGGAAACTGGGGGTGATTGTGTGAGCTCTTTCATGCATTTTGTGCAGCTGGGGCCTGGCGCTGCAAGACAAAAAGCATGAGAGGCGCACTCTCATCTTCCTGTTTGAAAATCATACAGCCTCGTGAAGATTGCGGCCGCGAGCAAGAAAAAACTCGAGTTCGAAACTGTCCTGGACAGCGTGGTGACGATGGCGAGTGGGAAAGGGGACAGGTTCGAGATTATGGAAAAGGTGAATGTGGCTTTCAACAATTCGCACAAGTTTATGCGGATCAATTTCGACACGCTGAAGGAACAGCTCAACACGATCCCCGCGGCCGACCGTTTGAAGCTGTCCTACTACACGGCTTTTTACGAGAATTGCAAAAGATTTCGAGTGGTGCCGACCAACTTCTTCTACAAAAAATATGTTTTGCGGGATACCGAGGTGGAACTGCCAGTATATGCATTGGAAAAACGAAATCTTTGGGAGTTTGTCATGCGTGTTTTCGTTGTGATGCGCTTTGATCCGCAGGCTGTCATGCAGGGTTTGCAAGTCTTCGTAGACTCCTTGCACAAACGCCATGACAAACTCCTCCGGGTTTCGTTTTTCATCGCATATTGGTGACGACCATGGCATCGACTGCTTGAAGAACTTGATTTCCAAAATGACCAAGTGGGACACTTCTCTTTCCAATTCCGGCAGCTCCTTCGACGTGTATAGACTATGTTTTTGCCTCTGGTTTTAGTAGTGCGCATGTCTGCCTGTGGAGTTGGCTTCATTCCTCGATGTTGAGATGATTTGCATGCAGAAGGACCGCCTATTTTGCGCGCAACAGGGCAGGCTCTGTTGCTTGTTTTCCAAATGTCAGTGTGCACGCGCCCCCATCTTGGATGGGAGGCGGGGCGGCATCACGTTGCTTGAAATGCATTTCAACAACTGACCAGGTTCACCTTCGCCAAGAAGATGGAGCGCGCGCACAATTCCCTGCAGGACGACATCGACCACGCGAACGCGGAATTGCAGAAGAAAAACGACTTTCTCTACGCACTTCTGGAGTCGGCCGATGTGCAGGCGGTCGAGGACATGTGGACGGAGGGTGGCGACTACGACGAGACCCGGAAGGAGTTTCTCGATTTTGTCAAATCTAACGATTATTCGGATATGCGGTCCCAGTTTCAGTACGGAATGGACGGGTCGCCCATCAAGAACTACATCAACAACATGATCAAGGACTCCGAAACTCTGAAAACCGAGGAAGAAGCGAAGGCGGCGTTGCAGCTGCTGCAGAAAATGAAGGATCAGGACACCCTCGATAACAGTACTTCTTTTTGCTTTTGTACCTAGCGTGTCGCCTACCCTTTTAGCTACGCAGCACTTGTTTCGCATGACAAACTGCCACTTGCTTCGTTTCCTACCTTGCGTTGTCATCGCAATTCCCAATATCAAAATGCATCACAGGCAACGACATGGTGAAAAAAACGATTTCGGATCTGAAGCGAATGCACTTCCTCCTCCCGGCGGCGGAGCGGGCGAAGTTTCAGGCCTTGGACGAGCATTGCGCAGCGACGGCGGCGGAGAAGGCCCTGGAGGCCAGGCGCAGGAAAGGTCGTGGAAAGCTTGGAGCCTTGTGACGGTCTTCTGCGAACGAACTAGACAAGAACTTTTACTAACATTTGAACGCGATCAAATACACGATGCGAAAAACTGATGGACTGTGACCGAACCGATGGACAGCGATTGGCCGGACACTGCGAAACTTTCTCTGACTTCAAAATGAACTGCGCAAGGGGATTTTAACGAAAGTAGCTAGATTTTGCCCGTCCTGTGACCGGCTTCGAAGTACCTGTTCGCGCTTGGTCATGTTGTGGCGTTTTTCGTGAGCGGTATGGTGATGCTTCCATTGGTCCGAGCGAGCTTCGTGCACGAGAGAGAGTTGCAGCCTGCGTGCGACTGCAGGCGGCGTGCCAGCATCTGAGGCAAACCCGGGCCTGCGGCGTTTTGGCCATTTCTTGCCCTTTCCATTTTTTCGCACGTGCTTGCTTCCGGGCTTCTTCGCAGTCGTTTCCTGTTTCGTGGGCCGCCGCTTCTTTTTGCTGTCTATTTTTTGTCTAATTTGGGTGCATTGGCTTGTCTAATTTCCGGGCTGGGGGTGTCTATTTTCTTTCTATTTTTTGTCTAATTTGGCTGGGGCGATTTTCATGTGCGATTTCCCTATGTATTGAAAACACCCCGAAAAAATAGGCGAAAAATAGGCATTGTGGGTGGGGGCGCAGGGGCGGTGAGGTGCCTCCGCCCGCGCTTTCTCTGGGCCGGGCTTGGCCCGGCGCGCACTGGCTTGGGCCGAATCAGAATTAACCTCGATTCAGGCAGTCGCCCGCAAGGGGTGGCGCCCAGCGAGAGACCCGAGATGAAGACGCTATCGTAGCCCTGCAAGAGGAAATCCGCAAAGCGCGGGAGGAGGAAGAATCAGGGGAACCGCTCGCGAAAGTCACCCACGACCACTACATCCGGACTTGCAGCGAGGAACTCTCCAAAGAAACGACGCATCGTCTGGCCGTTTCAGCATCACACATCCTCGCGACGCACCAACCCGGCGAACCACAGCCAGTTTTGAAGGGCTGCGTCGCGAAGTGGACCATGGGCCCGAACGAGGAAGCTGCAGCTGCCCGTCCGATTGAGCTTAACCGCTACAACGAAATCGCCATGGATTACCACGTGGAGGAAGCAATTCGAACCGACAAGGACGAACCTTACGGCTGGCAGCAAATCAATGGTCCTGCGGGACCGCCGCGCATCATCTCCCCTGGGTTTCTTGTGAAACACGTGAAGAAGGACAAAACCACAGGGAAAATGAAGCCAGTCCGCCGCAAGCGCATCGCGATCAATTACCAGCTGCACAATGTAAAGACCAGGGGCTGTGCGTGGGTTCCAGTGCAAAATACAAACCTCTTCTACAAAAGCCGGAAGCTCAAACTCGTGCGCGACGCGTACTTCGGCTTCAGCACGTTGCGAGTCAGCTCTAAAACGTCGGCGCTCGCTGCGTGGTCAACAGGACTACGAAAACGTCCTGTCATGCGACCAAAACGATGCGGGCTCGGACCGAAGCAAAATCCGAATAACTTCTCCATGCGAAGCGAAACAGCGTTCGGGTGGCAGCAAAATGCGAAAGGAGAATATAACACCCACGCGTTCATGGACGATGTGAAAAACAGCGGCGACGATATTCAAACCGAAGTCGCGGGAGCAGTCTTTGCATCAAAAGAAAATGACCACTACCCGGCGCTGCTGTGCGACAGGGAAGATTGGGAAATCGATTCCGAGCCGGACGCCGAGTCAGAAGAAGAAGCCGTGGACTCCGGGCTTCCGCTGGATCCGAAAATGCACGCGAAATTCCGCCAGGAACCGGAGGAGGTGATGGCACGTAACGCTGCGGAGCTGAAATTCGACCGCAAGGTTATGCGCAACACGTGCAACCGCAGCCGGTTGTACAGCACCGGCTTCGAAAACATCAACGACCAGTCGACTGTGCTGCCGCGTGAAAAAATCGCCACCCCTGCTTGCATGCAAGAGACCGATCGCGGAAAGATTGAAGCCCACACAATTGATGCTTTCGCTACTCTTGCGTGGCAGACTGCCTTCGGGCAGGACTGGGAAAAAGTAATCGCGATTATCACGACCGATCTTGATGGAAATGCGTTGCGCGTGGTGCTCCAGACCGAATCCGATATCACGCTGGAGGCCGCGATCGCGCCTGTCAGCGGTGCAAACAACAGACCGCGCGACACAGTCACAGCCTGGATTTTTTCGGACGAGAAAACCGCCGAGAAGTGCCTCCATCTACACCGAAAAGTGTGGCACGAAAGCGACGTCGTTGATGCGGACGCCCGGATCAACGCGCAAGCCAAGCTCTGCGGTTTTGCGTTTAGCATTGCAAAATTGCAACCTGCATCTCTGGCCGTCAAGTGGCTAGGAGAAATCGTGCATCCGGACGGCGGAACCGGGATCAATGAAGAGCAGATAGAAAAGCTTCGCGAACTTGCAAAAGAAGCTTCGAAGGACGCTATCACGGCAGTAGTACACATTTCGAGCTGGGAGGGGGTAAGAAATTACATCCATAACCACGCCGAAACAGTGCTGCCGCTCCGCCCGTATCTGCTCCCAAAAAACAATCCCAAGCACAAGCCCATAGCCCTCTTCAAAACCGACGTCGCGGCGCAGGAGGCACTAGTCATGGTCGCGGAAAAGGCAGGCCCGCAGCTACGAAAATATCCAATCGACTGGCAAGCAGTCCTCTACTTCGTCGGGTTCGGCGATGCGTCAAAAATCAAGTGGAGCGTGAGCCTGTGGGGCTCGTACGAGGAAGAACCAAAAACGCGGCTCCACGACAACGCGGAACAGATGTGGCGCACAGAGCTAAACTGGCCAGCCAAAACCAGGGAGCTCCGCTGCATGAAGAATTTCTTCAAATACCTGTACCCGCTGACAGAGGGCGTAAGCCTCGTCTACTGTCACGACCACCTGTCAAACAGTCCAGAACAACTCCTCTCCTCGCTTGACGGCGTAAACGTCGACGAAGTAGTAAAACGCGACATCCACTTCCTCAAGCCGTTTCTTGCTACGACGTGGCTCCTCCACCTGGGTGGAACCGCTCTCCGCTTTCCGGATGGCAGAAGCCGCCTCTACGATCTCGAAGACTTCAACCTGCAGAAGATCGTCCCGAAAGAAGCGTGCGACAGCGCAGAAGTGGCGTTGTTTTGGCTTTTGAATCCAACCGCACGGGAAGATCCAGAATGGAAAGCAAAGTTCATTAAAATGGGGAAGGAGCTAGCAGAAATGGAGGACGACGACCAAGCTTTCGAGGACGAGGCCGAGATGGGTAGAAAAATCTCGGCTGTGCGAAAACTCGGCGCGCCGCAATGCGAGGACGCAGGGCTGCAAACCGCGCTCCTGTGTGTGGACCCCGAAGGACCAGATGCGCATGTCGCTGCAAACGGCATGGTCCGCAGCTTGTGCTGGGCAAACACCACCCACGCCTGTGTGCGGGCGGCGAAGAACGAGAAGAAACAAAAAGCCAGTAGCAGTTCTAGCAGCGTCAGTGCCCAGAAGCTGAAGGAGGAGGAAAGCAAAATCAAGCCCACCTACGGCGGACGAGGCAGGGTGGACTGGGAAGAAATTTTTGATGAGCCGACAGCAGTGATTCGCCCAAAGCGCCTCTACACCAAGCGCGACGCGCAGGTCAAGTCAGGGCACGAGTATTTCAACTATGTGCTTGATGTGGAAGTCACGCAGGGAGGAAAGACAGAGAAAGTCACGCGCTGGCTCGGCCGGAATAAATGCAAGAAGCTCGACAAAGATCTATCCGACGAGCAGGCTACAAAAATGGCTTACGAGGAAGCGCTTGCGTTTTTGCGGAAAGCCGTTGGCCTGCGGTGGGCAGAGGAGCAGAAGCAGCTCGAACACGGATACCACGGGGACGTAAGCCATAACTTCATCATCCTCGATCCGATTGCAAGCGAAACGAGCAACCCGGTCCCGCAATTCGCAAACGACTTCACCTGCCGCAATGTGATGTTCAAAGACCAAAACTACTGTGACAACTACCTGATTCTGCGCGAAGCAGTCAACTGCACTTACGCACGCTGCAGGGGTCGTGGCAGCGTCGTGCTGCGCAAGCCGTCAGAAAGCGACGATCTTACGCCGCTGCACGATGTTGGCGTCCCTGTGGAAAGCGAGGTGAAGTGGACAACAGCGAGTAACGAGCTCCATGAAAAAGTTGCTCTTCCTCTTCTGCAGCGCTGGTTTGGTAAACAAGCCGCAGACGGCAGTGACATTCCCTCCGGAGACTCCAAGCCCGACGGGGAGGAAGCCGCGCCGCCGCTGCCACAGGAAAATCTGACTCCGCGCGAGGAGGTAGTGCAAGCCAGTCCCGCTGCTGTGCAACAGCAGGCTGCCGCGAACGAGCCGGCGCAGCCTAGGCCGCATGAAGAACCCGCAGCACAGCAACCCGACGCCGGGGCACAGGTCGAAAACCTTGCGCAGGACGAGCAGGAAGAAAGTGATACTCCGGCAGATCAAATTTACAAGCACAATTACCGCGGCCACCGAGTCCCAGACGAATTCGTGTTCAAAACAGCAACCGAGGGGCAGAAATACTCCGACCCGTTCCCGCCGATAAAGGCAAAAAACACCTTCTTTGTTGCAGGGATAAACGCCGGCTCGGAGGACCTGCACTTCGGCGGCGCAGGCTTGAGCAAACGCTTCCGAGAGGTCCTCGGGGATAAGAAAACCAGCACTCTCTGGGATGTCGCGGCGCAGAAGAAGTTCCGCATCGAGCTCGAGAAAAAGCTGCTCGCGCAACCAGGTGAGGTGCTCTCCTGCGACGACAAGGAATTCCTCGAAAAATACGGCAAGCGGTTTGCGGTCGGGATAGCAACAGGAGGAAAATCGCGTACAGCAACAGTTTTCCTCTCAGCAGAAAAATCAGACCGGTTCCGCGTCATGGTCTACGCCGTTGGCCCACGCGGAGAAATTTGCTCGAAGGAAAGCTTCTTAGCGGGGATACGGCTTACGACAAAACATATTGTGAACGTGATCCACCACTACAACGACTACGCGCAGCGGAAAATCAAAACAGTACGGGCGCCACTTTTGTCGGGCGGGCTCTACCGCAAACCGCGAACCAGCCCGGCGAAAGTTGCAGACGCAATTCTGGAAACCTTCCTTGAAGAGTACAGCAAAATCGAGAAGAAAAACCGCTTCGCCGTCGAGTTCGCCATCGCAGAAAATGCGTTCTCC